CTGTTTTCCACTCTGTTATGGTATGCTGCAAATCACACAGAATAAACAAGCAACTGTCATCCATAACAAATATACCGAACTGGTCAGCAGCATCCCGATGCATGTAGAAAAGGTCAGAGGTGCTATTCAGCAAGTTCTGACAGGTTCTGAAGAACTGGTAGCAGAAATTTTGAGTAGTTCAGAGAATCGGCAAATACCACCTCTGGCTGGCCCCAGAACAGGGTGGGAATGGAGATTTTGCAGTATCCTTCCCCTGCCATGCCCACCAAGCCACACCACGCCCACCAAGCCACGCCCACAGAAGTGGTAGTAAAAAAAAATTGAATTCCACCACTGGAGAGGGTGTGTATTCCAATGCACTACAATACTTAAAACCCTCTTGTTCCCCCCACAGACACCACTGATCATGGTTTCCCCACAGTTAAAAGTAGCCTATGTGGCTATGTTCTTCCTTTTCTTCTGTCCTCCCTTGATTTTTACAGCCTCATAGAGCTCGGTGCCTGAGTCCCAAAGGTGCTTTTTCAAAAGGCAACTGGACTTTCTTTGTTTTTTCTTGAAGACATTTTGCTTCTCATCCAAGAAGTTTCTCCAGTTCTGACTTAAGAAGCTTCTTTTATGAGAAGCTAAATGTTTTCAAGGAAAAGCAAGTCCAGTTGCCTTTTGAAACAGCACCTTTGGGACAACTATGACCTGGATGACTGAGAATCACCATAGACACTCAGTGCCTGAGTTCTCTCATCCTGTGGCACAAGTGGGGAGGGGGGAGACATCTATAAAATTTGCCTGGGGGCCCAGAGAGCTCTATTTGCCCCCTTCATGCCTCTCACCCATCCAAGTTCAGTCAGTTGCTGTATTCATGCTGTTTACATCATTTCTTGGGCTGATCCAACAATATGTCATTGATGGGTTTTTCCAAAGAAACCTGGGAAAGTTACTCATGGTAGATCCTGTGAGTAACCAAATTACATCAGTCTAGTAAGTTGCTACTGTTATGAAATAATTTTGGAATAAACAGAGAACCCTGCCCCAATTGTTTGAGCACGAGAGGGGAGATTCAATCTCTAAATCTAAATAAAATACCACATGAGGCATGCATTCATGGACAATCAATTAGTCAAGCTGGAAGGATGTGAAAGTAAGATAAAATATTTTTGTTTGCGTATAAAAAAACCTAAAACCCTTGTTATCCATCTCCTTACAGAAGATTAGCCAATCCTGCACTAATGTGTAGATTGTACTTATTTACAGGCTGTTCATAACATATCTCAAATGCTATTAAAATGAAGAATGCTGATTTAAGATGACATTGATTCATTATTTATCTACATTTAATTAATTAAATTTAATTATATTTTATTTATTGATGTACATTTCTGTAATAACTACAATTCTATTAGCTCCCTAAAAATAATATGTTTCATTCTTCCAAAGCCCAAAATTTCTAGTATTCTACTGCTATACATTTAATTTTCCAAAATAGCATTCATAGAATGGGCCTATCATTATCTGAACATTATACCCTAATCTGAACATTATGGAATAAAGGCGCGTATACTAAATATCTATAATTCACCCCATCGGTACCTATTTTACTTACAATGTTTCTGGTTTCACTTTTAAAAATCATTCTGTCTTGTCAGGGTCCTTACTTCATTCTGTTTTTTAACATTAAAATCATTAATGTCACCCACGCTCTTGTCATCTCTCGCCTGGATTACTGCAATGCCCTCTACATGGGGCTGCCCTTGGGGTACACCCGGAGGCTCCAGCTGGTCCAAAATGCAGCCGCACGGGTTGTTACGGGAGCTTCCCATTACTCCCGTGTTACATCTCTCCTGCGCGAGTTGCACTGGTTACCAGTGGTCCTCCGAATCCGCTTCAAGGTGCTGGTGCTTACCTAAAAGCCCTTCATGGCATGGGCCCAGGGTACTTGCAGGAGCACCTACTGCCAGCCTCTCACTGACCAGCGCACTCGCATAGGGCAGCCCTCCTCTGGGTGCCGACGGCCGGGCAATGTCGGCTGATGGCACCCAGGATGAGGGTGTTCTCTGTGAGCGCACTGACCCTCTGGAATGGTTTACCCACCGGGCTCCGCACGGCTCCCGACCTCTGCTCCTTCCGCAAGGACCTAAAGATGTGGCTTTTTGCCTGACCTGCGGGGTGTTTTTAGTTTGGTTTTAATATGGGTTTTAATTGTTGTATTTTTAATTTATCTAAATTAATTTATTTTTACTGTTCTACGGTTTTAATCCTTTGTGAGCCACCCCAAGTCCTTCGGGAGAAGGGCAGCATATAAATTTGACCAAATAAATAATTGTAAATAAAATGTATATGAAATTTGGCACTTATAAAACAAAGTATTAGTCTGCACTGTTGTTTTTGTTTTTAACAATGCCCTCAGATTCATAAAAGCTCAAGAAATAAAAATACTGAGTGGTTGCAGGCCAGTTGATTGCATATATGCCTACCTGTGTTAAAGAATAACCACAATTGGAACTGATAGTCAATCTCCTGGAATGGCAGGATAGTGAAAAAGTAAGTGTGCAAAATGTTCCAAAATATTGTAGAATACTCCATTTACTTTCAGACCATGCCAAATTTTTCAGGATAGTTCTATGATTTCCAGAGTCATTCTGGAGACAATTCCTTGTCTGCACATGAAATTTTGCACAACTCAATCTAGAAAAGATGGAAGGAAGCTACCTCGCAAGTTTACTTTCTGTTAATTGATCATCTTTGGCTATCTATAGCCATTTGTCAACAAGCAGGTTTCCTTCATAATAATTCACAGAATTCAGACCTGTGGTGAGGTTTATAATGTGGCCTACTTGCTCCCCACTTGTTCAGGAACACTTTGTATCTTTCAATGGATTTTAGGCAAAGGACAGATGAAAGCTAAGGACAATTGTAATTTACTTCAAGGTAGAAAAGGAAGAGAGGAAAGCAGCATAGATTGTATGTACAGAGCAGTTTGGTCAACTTAGTTTTTGGACTAATGGCTTTTGCTGATTCTCTCCCAAGGCTCAATGGACCAAATGATGATACAAAATGGACTACATATGCACGTGGCCTTTCCTTTCCCTCTCTTTTAAAGAAAGAATTTCTTTGTTTTGCTTTATTGCTCTGTTTTAAAGTTTATCCAACAATTTTTGTGTTATTCGAAATTCAAAACAGCATAACACTGTTTGTCGGTTTGGGAAAATCCATGCTATTATCATTCTTTGGTGCCTTCTCGAGATCACTGTGAGGACTGCAAAAAAGGAGTTTGAGTTCTTCACTCAAATTGAGGCAGCAAAAACACTCCATGCGTTCTTAATTGTGCTTTACATGGTTACTGCCTAGAGCCATTGGGAATCGAGTGGCATATGAATTTATGTGCTTTTAATATTTATATATCATATAATTAATGTTATATAATTATAATTTTGTAATAACAACTATTATTTTTATTACATCATTTCTGCACCACTTGACTGTTCCTAATATGGCCCACATGTGGATGCTGGGAATTCTCCATGCCTATGTTAGAACAAACAAACAAACATAAAACCCCACCTTCCAATCTTGATTTGGGAAAATATGTTCTTGGAACACAACCAGTTTTTCACTTAAGGCTTACTAACACTTTAACGCTATTCTTCTAATTAAATCAGATCAATTTCTGACCTCCAAAGGCCAGCAAAAACACTGTCCTTAGCATGGGGACAAAACAGATTTATTTCTGCTGTTTTACTCTAAATACAATTGGACAGCCATCCTCTGGTTCCTGAAAAGAATATTGTAGATGTTATTATATAGGAACAGGAGGCTTTCATCTCATCTCCCAGCTATTGCAGTACTTCCATAATCCTTATCCCTGTAACTGTGGTGTCAGAGGCTAAACCATTGGCCCTCAACCTTTTGGGCACCAGGCACTGGTTTCATTTTTCCGTAGGCTGGAGGAAGCATGGTTATACATGCTGTCTGCAACCGTCGGATGTAGTTTTGCTTATAGAACTAGTATATAGAACATCAGAGTTACGTGGCCTGGATTTTGGTATGCTGCAAACCAGTGTCAATCCTTGGACTGGGGATGGGGACCCTTGGCTAAAGGAGACAAAAGAATAGGAGTAGGAGATGGGAATCCAAGACCTTCTTGGTTGTAGGAAATGCTACTACATCTACCCTGTTTCCCCCAAAATAAGACATCCCCTGATAATAAGCCCAATCAGGCTTTTGAGTGCATGGCAATAAGGCCAAGTGCTTATTTCAGGGTTCAAAAAAATGTAAGACAGGGTCTTATTTTTGGGAAAACACAGTATTAATCTGGGGATCCCAGAACTTTCGGGATGGGTCATGGCGTTGACGGGCATTGAAAATTTAGGACGTTGAAAGTACACTCTCAAAACAGATCCCTGAGGCATCACAAAAGAAAAAGGTACATAGCAATTAGGACTTAAACTGTTCCAAACACTGATTTATTTACAGGGTTGATCTATCCCATCTTCTACAGCTTCTTCCACCTTTTGTCCTTTTTCTAGGCAGGCAGCCACATACCCAAACAAAATAGTGGATGGAGCCAGCCATTTCTTTAAAAGCTATTTTTATAATGAAGTTTAAAGACTCATTTGGGGTCAGAAGTGTTCTTGGCAGTACAGATGCCCTGGAGGCAGTGCCTATGCTCCTCAGCATCTCAGACATCTTTTCCTTTGTTTTTGTTTTTTAAAATAAAAATTGTTTTTAATGCAATAAGCCAGCAGATTTGAGGATACCAAAGAACAAATTGGTGTCTCCAAGAATTACATTCCCAATGCTAATCAGTTCCAGGTCTGGAGCAGGTACAGAATATTCCTCTGGTCTTAATGAGATCACTCCTCCCTTATTTTCAGTCAGGAACTCAGCAAGCTTTTAAAAATCCAAGGGGAGTAGAAATCTCCATGCTTTAGTTTTCCAACATGGTAGTCATTATGCCAGCTTTTCTTTTTTTAATATTCATTGCAACTTTTACTTTGAATTAACAGAACGAGCAGCAGGAGTGTATCACAGAGAAGGACGGTCTGGGAAATACCAGCTGACTTACGATGAGGCAAAGTCGGTGTGTGCATATGAAGGAGGACAGTTAGCAACACTCAAGCAATTGGAGGCTGCAAGAAAAATAGGTACAATGGTGTAGTTGATGTCACTAGAGAGTATAATCAATTAGAACAAGCACTGCACAGGATAATAAGACTTGAATGTATGTATCAATTCATTTCCATATGTGGGCTGAATAAATATGGTCAATCTCTAGATGGCAGCACCAAAAACTCCAACCCTTTGTGGCCATCTAGTGGTTAACAAACTTTGTGATGTCTATCCATCACAGGCTTTTTATTTTGTTTTGTTAAAGACCTGCCCATGTTTCAAAAAGTAAGTTATAAGCAGCACAAAGGGCAATATTCTGAGAACTCTGTGAACTAGGATACACATCCATTTGATCTTGAGTTGGTCATATGCTGGACAGATACATGTTAAAATATCCATATAAGCAGTACAACATAGTCCTGGAACTTTCACCAAAGCAGGGGTGAAATCCAACAAGTTCTGACAGGTTCTGGAGAACCGGTAGTGGAAATTTTAAGTAGTTCGGAGAATCAGCAAATACCATCTTTGGCTGGCCCCAGAGTGGGGTGGGAATAGAGATTTTGCAGTATCCTTCCCCTGCCACGCTCACCAAGCCGTGCCCACCAAGCCACACCCACAGAACCAGTAGTAAAAAAATTTGGATTTCACCACTGCACCAAGGTAAAGTGCATTCACATACATGATGTAAACCAGTGGCCAATATTAACTATATGTGGCTTGGGCTTGCACTATCAAATAAAATATGAACAGCCTCATTTGTTGAACAGAAAATTCAGAATAGGGCAAGTCAAAGATATTTCAGCAGCAGGAGAAAAATATAAACAAAGGTTTGTTTATATTTATATTTGCAATACTTTGGATTCAATTTTGAAAGTTATTTCAGAAAATATTAACAAAGGTTTATATTTTTTTTTCAGAATTAAAGTACAGAATGATGTGTTTAAATTATTACAAAATATTTTTGCTTTTCTTGGGACAACTCTAGCTCCCTCAGCTAAAAAAATGGAGATGAGCAGCACCCCCTAGAGTTGGACACGGCTGGAAAGGAGAAAACTTTACCTTTATAAGGAATAAATGTACATGTTCTGAAACACAACGTGTGTATTCTACAGTGGATGGTGTTGTGTCAAATAGATTTGCATTCTGGGTAGAATAGAAATTAACTCACCAAGACTACAGTAGTGTAATGTTTTATGTTAATTAGGCATCTTTGAATAAAGATGCTCAGGACTACAGTACAATTTACTCAGCCTGTGCCTCCTAATAAGTTTTGATTGTATAAAGTGAAATGGTTCTTTTTGTGCTAAAAGGCAAAGATGACACAGTTGAAAAAATATGAACCAGGGATATACATTTCTCTCTGTCTAGGGTGGAAACTGTTTTGCTAGCAAACCCTAATTCATTTTTAAATAACTGGGACTGTATTGTATGGTGGTAATGAGCACAAGAAATTGTGAACCTGAAGTTCAGCATTCCCTCTTAGCCAATACTTGTCTTGTATGACACTTGCCTTTCATCCCTCAGGCTTCCATATGTGTGCTGCTGGCTGGTTATCTAAGGGAAGAGTCGGATATCCTATTGTCAAACCAGGAAGCAACTGCGGCTTTGGGAAGACAGGGATCGTTGATTATGGGTTCCGGCTCAACAAAAGTGAGAAGTGGGACGCCTATTGCTATAATCCTAATGGTACGTGAACATGAAATATATATATATTTTTACAGCTATTTAGACTTAAGGATACACCTTTGCAAAAGCACCTGCCTTTAACTGCTGTGGCCCCTTAAAGAATACAATACGCTTAAGGATAGCAAAAGCTTTTATAGGCTAAAACCTACTTCATCAGATGCGTTAACATATCTTGATTTAGGATTACATAGCTTCATGGTTGAGAAAATTATCTTGGCAATTTTAAATGATAACATTACAAGAAAAGAAATGTAGAAGGTATAGCCAGGGATAATAATTTTATTAGCAGTGACTGCTCACAAGATGGGCAGTATTGCAGAAATCTTCATATTGAATGGGTAATATACTGTATAATTGAATACTAGAGTTGGAAGGGACATTTTAAAAAATCTGATCTATCCCCCTGCTCAATGGAGGATCCGCTAGGTGTGAAACTCGCCACATCATGTTGCTGTCACATGACATTTCGTGACTTTGTCCCATTCACAGAGCTGGGATGGCCTGCATGTGATGCATCCGGCCCACAGGCCACCAGTTTGACACCCCTGCACTAGAGCATGTAAAAAGGAATACACCATGATGTTTTGGGCTAGTAGTCACCAACACCCACAACTATTCTCAAAAGCACTCCTTATTTTCACACAATTTTCAGAGGCAGCCCAAGAATGGGCTATGTTTTTGTGCAGCTTCTCGACCCTTCTCTTGTGCAGCCTCTAGAACCTCCAAAAATCACACAGAATGGGGTGTGCTTTCATACAGTTTTCGGAGGCTGCAGAAGAACATTTTCCAAAGCCCTTCCAAGAATGAAGGCCTCCCGTGGCCCAGAGCTGCCTCAGGTAGGCCTCAGGGGCCTGTTAACAACAAAAAAAGAACATTGCCTGAAGATAAGCAATGCATGGCAGATTCTGGGGATCACACACACAATTGAATTGTATATTTTAAAAACTAAATTAAAAAAGTATTACTTCTCTTTTGTTTGGAGTGGGAAGTTGACATGCCAGCAGAGTCAAGTTAGGCATTTTCTGAAATTTTGACCCGCCAACCCAAAAGGTTTGCCGTCACTGCACTACAGCATTTCTAAGCGATATCCTGCCTGTTTGAAGAACATCATTTTATGTGGCGCAGCCTGTTTCATGTGCAATATGGAGCATGAGAAAAAGAACTTGTCCTATGCCAGCTAAAGAAGATTGAGCAGAACCTCTTGCTGAACAAGTAAGGTCGTATTCAATGGCCAAATTATGATGAAGTGCCCTAGAAAACAGAATAGTCTTCCAAAATAAAATATGTACTGTCACAATCTATCACATGGTAAGAGATTCAACACTCCACAGGAGAGATGGAAAAGACAACAACTAGGCAATCGACATCATTCTGAGCAGCGGCCCCGTACTGTGCCTAATTATACTGTGCTTGTATTCTAACACAAAGTGACTTGCCAAAAGCCACTCCACTGAAACATGCAGAAAGCAGGACTTAAAGTTCATAAACAAATTAGATTCCTTATTCCAATAGACTCTGCTTCTTCAACCAACTCCTTTTGTTTCTGTCCTACGTTCAGGGCAAACTTCATTTACAATGACAAATATAAGTTCAAACCTTTGTGAACATTCCTTTGCTTGCTAGAGTCTTTCTGGAGAAGGAACTGTAAGGAAAACAGCTGCGAGTGAAGACAGGGCTAGTCCCCGGGATAGGCTCCAGTGTCCAACCATGTCAAAGCACATAACATTGTTTCTGCCAAGTCCACTTTCCGCTGGCAACAGAACCAGTTCTTAAGCTATTGCTGTGCCCCAGCGGTTGCTGTTTGGGCCTCTTTGCTTGTCATTGTTAATTGCTTGTGACATTCAGTCCTGACTTGAGTTGCCAGAAGTTAGAGGTTACTCTAGGATAGTTGCGGAGATGTAATTCATAAGCAGGAAAAGCTCAGGGGAGACACTTTTATCATTCCGTGAAATATTCTTAAAACTATTCAGTTCAAAAGGGGTTAATTCAACATGTTACACCAAGCCGTGCTTTGGTTTATCCATGGTTGGTAAACAAGACTTAATAGCTCACTTCACACTTAACATTACGCCACAGATAACTGTTGAGTCTGTACATTAAAGAAAAAACTAAAGAAACAACTCGCATTATGGCTTAGAATAATTTCTCAACCCATTACGGGAAGGAAGAGTTGAAAGTGGGATTTAAGCCTCAGTGGTTAAAGAGGCTGAACTTGTCAGCTGGAGATCAGTTTGAAAGCATGTAAATGCAAGTAGATTAATAGGTATCTCTTTGGTAGGAAGGTGACAGAGTTACATGCACCTTTGGTATATAGCCATAGCCATGCTGGCCACATGACCACAGAAATTGTCTTTGGACATCACTGGTTCCCTCGGCCAAGAAACAGAGATGGGTACCATGCCTTAGAGTCGGACATGACTGTCAAGGAAACCTTTACCTTTTAAACTGGATAATATAGAGAATATGCTTCCCAAAGATCTTCAATTTTGGGCGATCTTTCATTATCACTTGTCTGTAGAGACCTGCAATACCTTGGATTCAATTTTGAAAGTTATTTCCGAAAATAAGTCTTATTAAAGAGGAAGGTGGCATGTCGTGTCCTCCAAAGCTTAGAAGCAAATGTGAAGTGCCTCATCCCTATTTAATTAGGGAACCCATTGCTGCCACATGGCAGGGTGAGCTCCCATCACTCGCTCCAGCTCCTGTCAACCCAGCAGTTCGAAAGCAGGTGACCGCGAGTAGATAGATGGGTATTACTTCGGTGGACAACTTAACGGGGAGCCAACTGGGTCTCCCCTGGGCAATGGTGATGTCACCAGTTGATTCTTTTGTCACGGAAACACTTCAGTGCTTCCAACACTGAAGTGTAATATAACCCTATTTAATGAATGTACAGATTCACTTCTTTTTCATAAACAATTGTGTTTTGGAATCTTTTTAAATGGAAATAGAATTTTCCATAATATGTTAGCTACCATAATAATATTAGACCACAATAGTCTAATATCAGAAACTACACTATATTCAATATTGGGGGTGCTTGATTTCTGTTCTTTCCTCCCCTTTCTTTCTTTCTTTCTTTCTTTCTCTTTTTTGTCTTTTTTGTCTTTTTTTCTTTCTTTCTTTTCCTTCCTTCCTTCCTTCCTTTCTTTCTTTTTCTTTCTTTTTCTTTTTTCTTTCCCTTCCTTCTTTCTTTCCCTTCTTTCTTTCATTTCTTTTCCTTCCTTCTTCCTTCCTTTCTTCCTTTCCCGTCCTTCCTTCCTTCCTTCCTTCCGTCCGTCCGTCCTTCCTTTCTCCTAAATGCAACATTTTCTAAACGATAAGGACAACAATACTGTGCCTTCTTTGAAAAATCCTGCAGTTTTCTCCATGTAATAATCTTTCAGTGCAGAAAACACTCACAGATGTCAGGAAAATGGGAGAGGCCTCTTGTTCATAAAATTACATATAGTCCACCTCTCTTCCTTTCCTATTTGGCCATATCCTCTGAGAGGCAAATCTGATTTTTCCCCCCCAAATGTATTGTTTGGGTGATGAAAAGCTTAATTAAACCAAGTTGTTTGCACTGGTTGGTGGTGAGTCATGTTCTTTCCATTCTAGAAAAAAATAGGTCTCCGTTACTAGCGAATGATGTTGAAACTTAAAAACAAGACTGCAGGTAGAACTGTGTCTTGAGGGGTTCATCATTATATCACTTTGGATTGTCTCATATTCCAATAAAAAAGAATTGACTTATGTGCTGTGTGCTGTGTTCTGTGCTAGAGTATTAGCCCATTTTCTAGTTAAAAATAGTTTCGATATGCTTGCTGCTTTATATTCCCATCTGGATGACCTGGAGAATCAAAACATGGTTCTTAATCATCTGAGATAATAACTTGGTTGTTGAGTTGACACAAGCTGTGCGGTTATATAAACACTTTAAATAAATTACATAAATATGCCTTCTTAGATTCAGCAGAAAGGCATTGAATTGGCCTGTTTCTGCTTGTAAATATCTGGAAGGTATTGGCTGTGGACAGGGCCGGATTTTCCTATAGGCTAACTAGGCTTCAGCCTAGGGCCTCAAGATCAAGAGGGGCCTACATTCAAATTGTTAGCAAAATTAAAATTACACTTTCACTATACGTGAAAGGGCCTCATAAGTGGAATAGCCTAGGGCCTCTTTTCATCTAAATCCGGCCCTGGCTGTGGAATTGCTGAAAGCACATAAAGCACACAGATTTTTATATTTCTGTTATTCAGTTATTCATTTGAGGAAGGCAGTGGAATCCCCTGAATACAAGTAGATGACTTATGATCACAATTAAGCCCAAAATTTATGTTCCTAAGCGAGACATTTGTTAAGTGAATTTTGCCCTGTTATGACCTTTCTTGCCACAGTTGTTAAGTGAATCAGTGCAGTTCTTAAGTTATTAACATGGTTGTTAAGTGAATCTGGCTTCCCCATTGACTTTGCTAATCAGAAGGTTGCAAAACGGGATCAAATGGCCCCAGGACATGGCAACTGTCATAAATATGAGTCAATTACCAAGCATCTGAATTTTGATCACGTGACCATGGGGATGCAGCAACGGTCATAAGTGTGAAAAATAGTCATAAGTCGCTTTTTTCAGTGCTATTGTAACTTCAAACAGTCACTAAATGAACTGTTGTAAATCGAGGACTACCTTTAGGTGCTTGGAGATTTAGGAATGAATTAGGGTGAAGGAGTAGAAGTTAGACTAGACAGCAATACGAAAAGAAAAGAAAAATGACCTGGATAGAGATACTGAGTATGTTTTCATTTCTTCTGAAAGTCTGTAGAGGTTCTTAGTCATCCAGATCATGGTTGTCCCGAAGGTGCTTTTTCAGGAGGCAACTGGACTTTTCTTGTTTTTTCTTTTGAAGACATTTCGCTTCTCATCCAAGAGGCTTCTTCAGCTCTGACAGGATAGTGGGGAATGGAAGGATTTATATTCCTGTCTGAAAGGAGTATAAATCCTTCCATTCCCCACCATCCAGTCAGAGCTGAAGACCTGGATGACTGAGAATCTCTACAGACTTTCAGAAGAAATGAAAACATACTCAGTATGAAAAGCACCTTTGGGATTCCTCTGAAAGTGTGCGCATTGTTTTTGTTGGCTTCTGAATTTACTGCTACCTGTAGGTGGCCAACCTGCAGTGTGGTAAGAGCTTGTTCTACTGATAGGAAATAGTAAGCTATATGGAGAAAAGCATGTGTTTGAAAGATGGCTAACAATGTATCCAGCCAATTTAATATGCAGATTTACAAAAGCATATATGATTTAAATTAGTTTTCAGGACTGTTAGAGGTGAGCTGTAGAAAGTTGGCACAAAAAAAACCCAAACCCCACGTGCTAAAAAGGCTGCAAAGGCACAATTTGACATCTGGGACGAGTATGACATCTGATCTGACGTTGTTATTCCTCTCTCAGGAAAAGATTGTGGTGGAATCTTCACAGCGTCAAAACATGTTTTTAAAACTCCTGGGTACCCAAAGGAATATGAAGATGACCAAGTCTGTTACTGGCATGTAAGAGTGAAGTATGGCCAACGGATCAAAATCCAGTTTCTTGACTTCGACCTTGAGGATGATACTGCCTGCATGGCTGATTACTTGGAAATATACGACAGCTACGATGATATAAATGGTTTTGTGGGCAGGTAAAAATGTTCAAATCTTTCATAGTACAAGATGTACAAATTGCGAATGGTTGGGTGAAAGAATCAGAGAAAAGGCCAAGTTTTTTTTTTTTAATTCCACCCAGTCTCAAAGGATTATGTATCATGTTTACACACACAGAAGCCAAGCTAATAAGCATATATAAGTACAAGCCCAGTTAATAAGTGCCAAAGGAATGCTAATAGTCACACACTTTTTCCTTCTTTTTTCCATCCACTCCTTCTTTGTCCCTTGCCCAGGGGAGCCCATCTTAGACCCAGTCCTCACCATCTTCCAAATTCATGACACTTGCTTAGAGGAATCTATAATCCCAATCAATCTCCTCTCAGTCCTGATTCTGTCATCTTTTCAAACTATTTTTCCTCTCATTCCTTTTCCCTTACCGCTCACTGAGAAGTGTTTCTGATTCCAATAGGAATCTCCCAGGGTTTTTTTTATGCTTTTCAGCTCCACGCAGAATGACAGTGACAAAGGGTTATGGCAGATGAAGTTTGAAACACCCGAAGATCTTTGCCTTAATTAATCTTCTTCCATGGAATTTTCTTTACTTTCCTTGTCTCAACAATTATTAATGGAAAGCAGCAGTGAAATCCAATTTTTTTTACTACCGGATCTGTGGGTGTGGTTTGGTGGGTGTGACTTGATGGGCATGGCAGGGGAAGGATACTGTAAACTCTCCATTCCCACCCCACTCTGGGACCAGCCAGAGGTGGTATTTGCCGGTTCTCTGAACTACTCAAAATTTCTGCTACCGGTTCTCCAGAACCTGTCAGAACCTGCTGGATTTCACCCCTGGTGGAATGGATATTAATTTTAGATTCTAGTTTTATTGGCCAGGCATGGTGGGATGGTGTAGCTCTTTAGATACTGTATCTGTTACTGCTTTATGACTTTCCTTTCTCTAAACACTCCCTTGAGAATGTGGGCATCAGAGTAACACCAGTGGGAAAAGTGTCAAGTTTATATCATTCTGGACTTTTTCATCCTGCTGATTTATCCTCTGGGGAGCAGAATGTATTCTGTTGGACCTGCTTCTGATTCAGTCCAATGTGATTTTTGATATAGTCTGACACATGTTATGATAAACAGACCACATAGCGCTTGGAGCTACTTTACTGAGAGAGCCCTCGGATTTCTGCCCACAAAGATTGTTTTCAGGCAAGAAGTATTGTAACTGAGCTTGCTGATTGTGTTTCAAGCTTCTCCAGAAGCTGGATTTGAAAAATTCTGGACCCAGGGTTTGTTTTTCTCTCATTTTCTCACATATATCTGATTACAAATATGTATGAATATGTAATACACAAGTGTTTTTAAAAGTATTTTACTCAGTGGGAGTAAAACAGGGGTGAAATGCTGCCGGCTCTATCCAGCTCACGGTAGCTGGTAGTGCCGGCGGCAGGTAGTTCGGAGAACTGGTAGCGCCAGCGGCAGGAGAGTCCACCCGCCCAGACCAGGACGTCATCCCGTCCCAGTTTTGACATCTGCGCATGCAAAGAAGGCTTTGCATATGCGCAGATGATGGCGCATGCAGACAACGGTGCATGCACATCAGTAAACCGGTAGGAAAGGTAAGTACATTTCACCCCTGGAGTAAAACATTTCCTTTCCATACTAAGAGAATTCTCAAGGAATGCCTGTAAGGCAGCAGTTCCCAAACTTTCCAGCCTGGTGGCCCAGCGGGGGTAGGGGGTGGGTGGCAGGTGCACATGCGCATGCACAGCTCTGTGTGTGCAAGCAGAGGGGGCACACACCCTCCACTCCTGAGAATGAAGCTTCGCACGCGAGCAGAGGGTGCTTGCCCTCACACATGATGCTCCACTCACGCAAGCAGAAGGGGCTTGTGCTCATGCATGAAGTTCCACTCAGGAGAATGGAGCTTCGTGCACAAGTGCTAGCGCCCTCCACTTGCACGAGTGGAACTTCACATGTGTGCTTGCCCATCTCTTCCATGGCCTGGCTTTGAACAGGCCACAGCCTGGTAGTAGACCGCGGCCCAGGGGTTGGGGACCTTGGCTATAGGGTATTGTCAAAAAGTCAAGATGTTGGATCCCAATGATACAGTCAAAGTTCCTCCTGTTTATATCTGACATACATTTATTTATATCCATTTTATTATTTTCATAAATAAGTCAAGGTGACAAACATACCTAATACTCTTTCCTCCTATTTTTCCCACAACCATGTGGAATGGAGTGGGCTGAGAGTGAGTGACTGGCCCAAAGTCACCCAGCTAGCTTTCATGCCTAAAGTAGAATTCACAGTCTTCTGGTTTCTAGCCTGGTGCCTAAGATGGATGGAAGGAATTGGAGAATAGATGCTTCAGAGCATATTTTCTTACTCTTACAAATTAACACCATCCACCTATTATTCCTATCTTTCATTATAAGATTTAGTAGCAGATGTGCTAGGCATTTTTAAAAAGTGTTTTGTAAAATGTGTTAATGCAAACAGAACACTTTTCTTTGAACTGCTCAAGCAGTAGCCAAATCTTGTCCAATATTTGCATAGCTACTAAAACATAACTCCCAATGATCCCTGCCTACCTATGCATTACTAATGATCTCACACAGGAAGTATCTCTGATGCACATGGACCAGTGACCACAGAGAGTTTTTGAATCAGCTATACAGCCCTTGAAAAAGACACAGCTGCTTTAAAGCACCAATGAGAAATGCTTAGTTCTAGTAATGCATTATCTTTCAAATGCTTTGCACAGTTTTGGCATTTAGGTTAAACTTGCCCTTATTTTTTTATAAAGAACTCATGTCCATCCAACCTTAGGTGAATTAATAGCACCCTAACTCTGGCTTGGAAGCTAATAAGAGCTTGATCCCTGAATTTGAGAGAGAGAGATATTTTTACCTTTGCAAAGGGGTTTCTTTGCCCAGCCAAAAACACAACTCACCAAGTAATTCGGACAAAGCAGAAAGCATTTATTAAAGGGGTCCTTTTCAGGGTATAGATACATACCTTTGGTATATGAGACATCAGAAAGCAATTGACATTGATTATATGTGAGACCTGATCAACAGAAAACATTGATTTTAGACAACATTCAGCAAGTGGTAAGTGTATGGTTTACACTACTCTTTCACAGCTGGACTATATCTTTCTTAAAATTTGCTAGTGTATTCAAGGACTTTTAGCATACAGCTCTCTTTCCTAGACAGGGATGCCCTCCGTACAGTCACTCATGCTCTCGTTATCTTGCGTTTGGATTACTGCAATGCCCTCTACATGGGGCTGCCCTTGTGGTACCCCCGGAGGCTCCAGCTGGTCCAGAATGCGGCCGCGCAGGTTGGTACAGGAGCTTCCCGCTACTCCCGTGTTACACCACTCCTGTGCGAGCTGCACTGGTTACCAGTGGTCCTTCGGATCCACTTCAAGATGCTGGAACTATAAAGCCCTCCATGGCACGGGCACTGGGTACTTGCAGGATCACCTTCTACCAGCCTCCCACCGCCCAGTGCATTCACATAGGACTGCCCTCCTCTGGGTGCCTTCGGCCAGACAATGTCAGCTGATGGCGCCCAGGATGAGGGCGTTCTCTGTGGGCACACCGACCCCCTGGAATGGGTTACCCACTGAGCTCCGGACGGCCCCCAACCTCTGCTCATTCTGCAGTGACCTGAAGACATTGCTTTTCCAACAAATTGCCTGATCTGCTGGGAGTCTTAGTTTTAACTTCTTGGGGATTTTAATGGGATTATTTTAGTATTAATTTTATTGTTCCGTTGTTTTATCTTTGTGAGCCGCCCCGAGTCCTTCGGGAGAAGGGTGGCATATAAGTATGAATAAACTAAACTAAACTAAACTCTTATTATGTAGTTGCTGAAAAAGCAAACTGTCACATACCAAGGAAATGGCCTTGACTGAAGAAAGAAAAACATTTTAATTTTCTTAAAGTTAAGTGGCCTAGACTGCCATGTTAAAAGTGATATTATCTTTTAAAATGCTAATAAAAAAGCCTAAAATTTGAGGTAACATCTTCTCTTGTCCCCTTGCCTTCTTTCACTTTAAAAAAATAATTTTGAAACTTTTAGTAATGGAAAATTTATCTGTCAGGGCGGGAGGGTGAAATATTTAGGAGTAAAAAAATAATGGAGAAAATACCTTATGGATCCACTTCTTGAACATTAAAGGATTAAAACCTCCCTGTGTGAGGGGAGCTAACTCTTTGGCAACCATATTTGAAAATATGTTGTACTCATTCCCACAAAATGAATGTTGGGTGGACCTGACCATTCACAAAATGACTGTCAAACATTGCTTTACAAAAAGCCACCTGTTCCAAAATCCAAAGCAAGCACCTAACACCCCAGCCTCATTTGCCATTTGATTTTGGGGGAAAGTAATAAACATGTCACTGTTATTTGACTGACTTATAATGTTATGTTTTTCAGATACTGTGGTGATGAACTACCAGATAGCGTCGTTAGCACAGGTAATACAATGACCACAGATAAAACTACGATATAACATTTTCCTCTCCGATTCAAAGAGCTAGAAGCCATGAAATCTGAGTTGCAATAAGCTGAATGATCACTTGATCATGGGCCATCAAGTCATTGTACATTTTATCCATGATGATCTATCTCTGATCTGGTCTTTCAGGTCTTCCATCACCACATTCATTGTTATTGTAACTGAATTCATCCATCTTGCTGCTGGTCATCCTCTTCCTATCTTTCCACCTTTCCCAGCATTATAGCCTTCTCCATAGATAAGTATTCCCGTAATATGTCCAAAGTAAGATAATCGATGGCTGGTCATTTGTGCCTTGAAGAGAACTCTGGATTGATTTGTTCAATGATCCATTTGTTTGTTTTCTTGGCTGGCCATGGTATTTTCGGGAGCCATCAATTTCAAAGTTCAAGTGTCAATACTCTTCCTACTTCTTCAAAACCCACAATGATCATTAGGTGGCAACAAACATTCCTTTACCTTCTTATTGCTCTCTAATGGTCACCTGGATGTTTACAGCAGTAATTTGGTAGCCCTACATATAGCACTACCTGAAGATAGGAAAGTCACCACTGAGTTTAACCATTTCATCAGATAAACATTCTTCAGATTTGTTTTTTTTTTAACTTTTCAGTCTGGCATCCAACCTGTGATTTGCTGGTGGCAACCCATTCAAGTATTAATGAAAGATCTGTAAGAACCCTGAAGAAAAAATCTATACCTTTCTTTTAAATCAAAAAAATGCCATAGAGCAGAGGTCTTCAAACTTGGCAGCTTTAAGACTTGTGGACTTCAACTCCTAGAATTCTCTAGTCAGCATAGCTGGGTGGAAGTCCAAAAGTCTTGAAGCTGCCAAGTTTAAAGACCTCTGCCATAGAGCTTTCTGTTTCCATTGTTTGTATAAACAAAAAAGAAATGGTATTATTCTCTTCCGTGCATACATGGTCTCTCTCTTTCTTACTCCAGGAAATGTCATGACACTGAAATTTTTGTCAGATGCTTCAGTGACAGCAGGCGGCTTTCAGATTGAATACACTGCTATCAACTCAACTAAAAAGATTGTAAACCCTAAAGCTACTACGAAGTATTTTCCAGGAAAATTTGGCATTGTGTAAAAGAATTTTGCAAAGAAAAAAGATAAAAGCCTGTAAATGCTACACCTTGTGGAAGTTGCTAGCTTTCTCCCAGAAGATCCCATTTCCATGACTTCTGGCCTCCCCTCCCAATGTATTTTCCTCTTCTTAGCCATTAATCCAGGTACTTCTACTGAACTGAGCTGAGCTCTCCCTTCTTTTCCACTACTGCAGAATCTGCTTTTTAATATTTTGAGTCAAGGATCTGGGGGAGTGATACTCGACTATGGTAGTATGTTCCTTTCTGCTTCAGAGCTCCTGGGTAGTATCTTTTTTCCTCCTCTTTTCTATTTTTCTTGTACTTTTTTTTCATTCTTGCACTTTTTAGCTTTCTGATTATTTTTCTTTTTACTTTGCATTAGTTTCTATCTTATTTTTCTTAAAACTTTTTAACAAAAGCGTAGGACGGAAATACAAAAATATAACTGGAAACGTTTTATAGAAAACAGAAAAATGTGAATTTATGATTTATGGTTTTGATGATTAGACAGGATTATAGAAAGACTTGCTGTAATTTTAGAGAAAGAAGTAAATTTATAATTGTACATATAACTGCTGTAAAGAACATCAGAAGACACTTCCTTGTATCTTTTTTCTTTCTTTTTGCACTTTTGGCCTTCCCTTTAATTTTTTTCTTTCTTTTCTTTTCTTTTTAGTTTGTACTAGTTTTTAGCTTTTTAAAATCTTTTAGTAAAATTATATTTTTGAAAAAACTCCTGTGTGGTAACTCCCTTAGTTGTTATACAGCAGGGATTTTCTTGAGCCAGAAGGTTGTAAAGACGTATTCACTCACTAAATTTCTCTTAAAAACTACTCTGCATTTGATGTATTATTAAGAAGCTGAGGTAATAAATATTTAAGACTTCTTGAAAGGAATACCTTTGGGGGGGGGGCTTTAATTTATCTGAGGAGGAAGAGGCAGACCTCACAACATCTGTTTGCTTGCTTATTATTATTGGGGGTGAAGGGTGATTTCAAATCAGAGTTGACTCCTGATGATTGCCTGGACAGGTCCCTGCATTTTCTTGGCAAGATGTCAGAAGTGGTTTGCCATAGCCTCCTTCCTAGGACTTTGAGAATATGATTAGCCCAAGTCGTTTTCCTTAATTCAGACTATTGTCTTATATCAATGGATATGGAAAAAAAGCAGTACAATACAACATTAGATACATCCCTTTATTGATTAGTTGAGTTTGCATAATGCAATATACAAATATTAGATAAATCACCTTTTACTCAGCAACTATGTTGGAAAGCCTTCAAATTTACAAGAATGTTTCATTTTTCATTTTATTGTTAAATATATTCTAAGGTTTGTTTCCACATCTTACAAGATCCCTAGGATGTCATTGTGGAAATTTCCATAATCTACCTTAAAATTAATATAAATGTAAGTGTCTTGTCTGAACTACTTCATTTTACCGAACATTTCAAGGGGATGATCAGATAGAAAATTCGATATAAACTGAAAATGACATTACATTTATGTTTTTTATGTTTTTGTTTGTATGTTTTTCTTTTTCTCTGTTTGTAAAAAATCTTAATAAAGTTTCTACAAAAAGAAAAAGAAAATTCACTAAATGGGAACCTGAACTAAAGTCATAAGCCTACCATACTCTGTGTGTGTGTGTGTGTGTGTGTGTGTGTGTGTGTGTGTGTGTGTGAAATTGAGGCTTCATATGTTCTTATGAAACAGCAGATTTTACAAATTTAATCCATAGATTACCTGAGGTTGCTAATTAAATTCTGCCATCTAGTGGTTTCAAAGAGCAGCATCCAAAGTACCACTAGCATTTATATAGACGGGACACAGAGGGAAACAGGATGGAATGGAAGGGTACTTATGTTCTCACATCAGCAATATCATAGTTTGACCAATTAATAGGGTTGCCCAAAGCTTCAAAATACACTCTGATTCACTCTGATGAAATTTCATGCAGCTGCTGACAAGTAAATAAGCACTCTCTTCTCTTATAAAAGAAAACTGGTGGATTACAGTACTACCGTATGCTTAACTTTACCGTGTTGGCAGTTTAGTAGCCTTGACAAGAATCCTATGCATACTCAGAAGCTAGGACTATCTACAAATATCCATAAGGTGATTTGATAGCCAAGAATCAAACATTCACCCTCCTTTCCTGCCATTCATGGTTTTGGGGTTTTGCTGATAGCCTTGATAAAAATCTTTTCTAGTGAGCTATGCAAAGAGATAAATATGCAAAGGCATTAAAAGCCTCTTTAACTGCTAAAACTGCTGGAAGGCATGCTAGAGGCAACAGGAAATACCTTGATAAGGCAGGTCCTAGTGCCTTCTCCCCACCACAAAAACTGTATAGCCTCTGTATCATGAAAGGACAAAGAAGAATTCTTCACATAAGCCTGCTGATTAGCCCAATATTTTGGGTTCACAATCAACCAGACTGGATGGGTTCTAGCAGTATACCAAGCCTAAAATATTATGCAATTTGTGTTTGGCAACGCTGTGTAAATCCAGGCTCAAGAATTAAGAGTTTTTCCAAGTTGAAAATACAAAGAGCAAGGAATGAAAAACATCTCTAAATCACACCAATTCAGCCCATTTCTCTACATATTAATAATAGGACTCAACAAGTGGATAAAAATGTCAAATCCTGTCTAAACATCTGACTGACTGTGCAACTGGCCAGGATAATAATTTAAACTTGTATGCCACCCAATTCCCAATGACTCTTAGGATACCAATCTCAGAAGGCTGGGGTCTCCACATAAGATGCCTACCCCATTCCTTTACATCATATTCACAATTCTTAATTGTTCTAGAAGCTAAGACCCTTAAGCTAACAAAACATGTAGAAAGCAGAAAACACTATATAGCCCCTACTTGTCCAACTGGTTTTCCAGCTTCTTTTCTTTTTCTATCTTTTAACAAGTAGGTATTTTTTAGTTTTGAGCTAAGCCAGCCTTTATTAATAATAAAAACAAACAAAAGAGCACATGCAAAAGACATTTTCAAAAATAGAAGCTATAAACAAGTCAGATACAAAAATGCAACAGAATTCCTAGAAGTGGCACTTTGACAAATCAGCCATTAAAAGGCAAATTGAGAAAAGCTTCATCTATAAACTGCTCAGTCAGAGTCACTCCTAATCATAGCCTTTGTAAATTACACCTCTCTTACAGTATTCAACAACCAGATAAGCAGGAATCAGTACTAGATAAGAGGAACAATACCCCAATCAAGGCTGAAAGTCAAACTACCTCTTAAAAACGGGCAACAAACTTGACTTCCCCATGCTCTGATGTTACTTCATCTGATTAAGAAAAAAGAAAAGCAAGGACACAGAACACCAAGATCCCAACTATTTAACCCTGAACTACGTTTATTTTCCACCTTTGCAATATAAATACATTTTACTTCGGACTGTGATCACGGTGAGCAAACATACACATGCATTTAATTAAGTGTGCAAAGAGCTGCGGTCAAGTTTACAAGGCTGTATCCGATCATTCTTAACTGAACCTTACAATCAAAATTGCCAAATCGATTCTTGCGCTTGTGCATACTTTTTACCCCTTTGGAAGTTTTCAACAGAATCAACTCCACAATTCTGATCCCCTCCTCCAATCATTCAAATGGGATTTGGAGTGAAGTACAGTTTTAGGTGCAAAACATGTTTGAACTTTGAGCTGCTAACACTTCATTTTAATCACATCTACTAAATGCTTTCCACAATTCCGTTTTGCTAAAAAAAACAAAAACAAAACTGAAACGTGTACATTTTGGTCACTCAGTGGATGAAGTGACCGGTGGTGCCAAGTTCGTGGTCTAGCTCATTTAGATGTAAAATTGATGCGTAGATTTAACAACCTATTAACTTTAGCTAAAGTCATCTTAAAGTTCGATTTTATGCAAACTACCCTAAAGCATGGTTTGCTTAACCCTGTTGCTATTGAGTTGGAGGCATTAAACTCAAGTTTTGCCGGTTTAGACCCATGTGACGGTCTGGCTCTACCAATTCATGCGTTCCAAGCAAGCCTTCAAAACCGTAGTCTGGGGGGCAGGGGGCTTATTTTGGAGAAAGTTCTACCGATGTTACTGAGTGGAGGTGAGTCATGAATAATGAGCGTGGGTTGCAATATCAGTTTGTCTACAAGACAATGAATGAGCAGAGCATCTCTGTCGAATCGCCCACTCAAGCTGGGCGCCCTTGCGACGTGCAAAATGCTTTCCAAACACGAGCACCTCGTTGGTTGCCTTGATCCTTAACAGAGAGGAGACAAGCAACGACGGGCATTGTGGATGAACGACCCGGCTTCCTTTTGCACGCTAGCCGTTTGCCATCGGCGAAGAAAACTGCGATCCACAACGCCTTCGATTCCAGTAAGGCAGAGGTCTTCAACACTTGGCCGCTTTAAGACTTGTGGACTTCAAATCCCAGAATTCTCCCAGAAGCTATGCTGGCTGGAGAATTCTGGGAGTTGAAGTCCACAAGTCTTAAAGCGGCCAAGTTTGAAGACCTCTGCAGTAAGGGGAAAAGAGGAGAAAGGGGTGGGGGGTGGGGGAAGGAACATGTCGATCGATGATTCCGCACTCTCCCTCGCAACGGCGGGGGCAAGAAGAGTAGAGAGAGGCATTCTCCGCGCTCGACCTCTCGGCGCTCTGCCTTCTCAAATCGACGCCCCGCCTCCTCCCGCTCTTCCCGCGCGTTGATTGGGCGAAAGCGGCCCCCCAAGGCTCCGGCTCCCGCGCTTCGCCATCTTAGCCCGGGAGAAAAGGAACGCGAGCGCGGGAAGTGCGTTCGAGAACGGGGGCGGCAACTTCACAGCCGTTTTTATCCTCTCCCCCCCCCGCCCTCCCACTCCTCGAGCCGTTAGTCCGCGATGGGACCCTGCGACGGTTCAAGCATGCGGGCCCTGCTGGAGACCCTCGAGGACCCAAGCGCCTCGCCGGGGGTGTTGACAGACGCGTGGCTGACCCTCACGAAGTGAGTCCCGACCATGAACTCCTTGTGCTCTCCGCGATAGGATGCGAGAGACGTGCCCGGCAGCGGCAGTCCGGCCAGCCGTGTGCAGGATATTTAAAAGAAAACAAAAGCAAAACCAAGTTGGTTTAAGGGGCGGCATTATATTCTTGGCGCCCCTACGGACTTTCCGAGAAGCCTTTATATATATTATATGTAATATACACCAAATGGTGCATGTAATCCCTCTTTGCCAAATCCACGGAGTTACTGAGCGTCTCTTCCTATTGCAGCGCAGCATCCTGACGCTATGCAGCTTCCTGAGCCATCGCCGCCACGGATTTCTTTTCATTGCCTAATGCCCTTCTCGGAAATTGGGTTTTTTTTTTTTTAATAATTATTTTTATGGAAGGGGGGGAGAGGAGAAAGGGAAAAGTGAAATCTTTGCTCCCGGCCGTTCTCAGTCTTGGGTTGAAAAGGTTCCACAATTCACAAGTTTTCTCTTCGCTTTTTTTTTTTTTTTTAATTTCTTGGGTTTTAAACGTGCCAGCACAGGATTCTGTGCTTTTTTGGAAAAAATGCTGTAGAGAAGAGAAATTTTTTTTGGGAGGGGGGGGCGTGTTTGGACATACTGTTGCAGGAAGTTTTCTGACATACTGATGGTTCTCGTTTGAATTACCCCCCCCCCCCCCCCCGAATCTCAATTTGACTGGTGAAGCTTTGATGAGGGGCACCTCTTGGGATATTTGTTTGCTGCACAATCGAAGGCTAAAATAGTCTGATAATGGCACGGGGGAAAAGGCATTAGTGCTATATCCCACTACAGCTTTTTTTTTTTTAATAGGTACAGTTGATTATGTGCCATCACGTAATTTCATAGATTCTTTTTCCCCAGGATGATCTGTTCCTGATCTAGTTTTTCAGGTACTTGATGGGTACATTGGTATACCCATCACCAATGTCATTGTGTCCATCTGTTTTGATGCTGGTCGTCCTTTTCCCTCCCACTTTCCCAGCGCTGCAGATTTATCTAGAAAACTAGGTCTTCACTTCACACAATGTATCCAGAATATGATAATTTGATCAAAGGTGGTGTAGTGAAAGCTCTGGGTTGATCTATTCTGTGATGCATTTATTTTGGAGGGGTTTTTTTTCCCTTGCTATCCAAAGTACATTCAGGACCCTTCTCCCACCCAAAAGTTTAAAAAGTATCAATCAGCTCTTTTCCTTTCTTCATTCTTTAAAATCCAACTTTCACTTCCATAGTGTCACAGTGAAGACTTGCCTGCACAGTTCTGATCTTTGAAGTTACAGATAGTTCCCAGCATCTGAATATCTTTTCCAAGGTCTTCATGGCTACTCTACCAAAAGCTGAATTGAGAAGTGTTTCTTGGCTGATGATTTCTGTACTGTTACTAATTGATCTTAAAAGACAAGCTTATCCATCACATCAGTATAGATAGTCCTCATTTAGTGGCCATAATTGGGGCTAGCAGTTTGATCGTAAATTCTCCAAAGCACCTGAACCCAGGACAAGAAGCAATGGATGGAAACTAATCGAGGAGACAACCAACTTAGAACTAAGGAGAAATTTCCTGACAGTTAGAACAATCAGTGGAATGACTTGCCTCCAAAAGTTGTGGGTATTCCAACACTGGAGGTTTTTAAGAAAAAATTGGACAACCATTTATCTAAAATGGTATAGGGCAGTGATGGCTAACCTTTTTGCCATTGCGTGCCAAAAGCGGGGGGAGCGGGGGGGTCACAGGTGCGTGTGCCCGCATCCATAATTCAATGTGCCCCCCCCCATTTCCACCTGCTTTTGGCACGTGATGGTGGCATGGGCCCGGTAGGCCCGTTTTTTCCCCCTCCCCAGGCTCCAGAGGCTTTCTAGGAGCCTGGGGAGGGCAAAAGCAGCCTTCCCCATCCCCCTGGAGGCCTTCCGGAGGCCGGAAACAGCCAGTTTCCCGACCTCCGGTGGGACCGGAAGGCCTGAAAATCAGTTGGCCAGTGCGTGCATGCGTGCTGGAGCTGAGCTAGGGCAACACTTGCGTGCCCACCAAAATGGCTCCGCGTGGCACCCGTGCCATAGGTTCACCATCATGGGTATAGGGTTTTCTGCTTGAGCTGGGAGTTGGACTAGAAGACCTCCAAGGTTCCTTCCAACGCTGTTATTCTGTAAAGCAAAGTGGTCACTAAGTGAAACCACAATTGTGCTTTTCCTTCAGCTTTGCTTTGTAGACCTTCAAAAGTTATAAATGCGAGCATTGGTGACAAAGTTATTTTTTCATCACCATTAGAACTGCATGTGAAATAGGCAGTCACTATACAAGTCTACTTCTATCTTCATTTCCAATTCTAAAGCTGGTTGTTGTACCTGTTGTCATTAGTTTGGTGTCTTTAATTTTAATTCCATTTTTTTTTTACTCTGTTCCTTAACTATTTACTAGAGCTTGGAGATTCTTTGCATTACTAGTAGTACCATCAGCAGTACACATATAATTGATACTTCTCCAGTTTTAAAACCATGCTCATCTTTTTTCATCCCACTTTCTTTTAATATGTATTCAGCATATAAGTTGAATAAAATGAGAATATACAGCCTTGCTACACTCCTTTGACAACCTGGAGCCAGTCTGATGTAAACAAGGCCTTACTATAATTAATGATGCACACAGAGACTTCCTTTTGGTTTTCTTTGGCTTTCTCAATTATACAGGGTACATTAGCAATAATGCTTTGTGTTCCTTAGCTTTTTCTAAAACTTGTTTGTCATCTTTTCCAGGTAGGGCTGTAATTTTCATAATCTTTATTATTTTGTTAATGTGAAAGTAAGGATATTATATGATTTTATTAATAAGATTTATATGACTGCCCATCTTGCAAGAAATGATTGAATAGCATACAACAATCAGTAGACAGAATAAATATAAAAATAATCACATAAATAGTAATTATTAATTTTAAAAAAAAACACTAAGAAATGTAAAACACACAAACTAAGTGGAGAAATTAAAAAATCAACCTAAGAATGTTTCCAGTTCCCTGGGGTCCCCAGGTTTGCTGACACAACCAGGTCTTGAGGGTCTTCTGGAATGAAAACTGGGATAGACCTAATCTGATTTGACGGGGTGGGGAAAATAATCCATAGGGCGGGCGCCACAGCAGATAAGGCCTGCCTTCTGGGATCTACCAAAAGCAGATATCCCTGGCAAGTGGTGCCCACAACATGCCTTCTCTGCCAGATCTAATGAGACAGGCTAATATAATTGGGAAATGGGATCCAGATCACCTGGTCCCATGCCATAAACAACTTTTAAGGGTTTGAATTGGACCCAGAAGCCAGTGCAGCTCTTGGTATGGATGATGTAATGTGTGTTCTGTTAGGAGAACTGCCACATAACTGCCACTGCTGCTGCATTCTAAATCAGTTGAAGCTTCCTGATAATTCTTCAAGGGACCACTATGTAGAGCACATTACAGTAGTCTAGAAAAAAAAAGAATGATAGTTTGCATACTCTAAAGTCTCTTTTGTACACACGCTCTCTTTTCTTTCTCATTCCTTGAAATGTTGAGTGACTTCCAATTTGTTGGCTACTGTGTCATTCTGCAAATTTAATGGCATAGTTTGGTTAGACCTTGACTGATTTTTCCATCTATTGCTTGCCATATTTCAATCAGTATTCCATCCTGTAGCCTTCCAATCTGGTAATGACTGGGAGTATTGATCTAACTTCATCTCCTAATACAAGAAGTTCTTGTGAGTAGGGTTGTGAGTAGGGTGAGTTTCTTAAACTTTTTTCTCTTAAGATTTCTTCCCACTTTTAAAAGTTATGAAAGACTCCAAAAGATATTTTCTTTATACAATGGTACCTTGGTACTCATCATTAATTTGTTCCAGGAGGTGCGATGAGTACTAAAAATGATGACTACCAAACAGTTTTTTCCATGAAGAATAATGTGAGTCATAAGGCAGCCAACACTGACAGGTTCTAGTTTGTGCATTGAGTACCAAACAAATGATGAGTACCAGGAAAAAGTTTTCGCATCAAAATGTATTGAGTACCAAATCTGATAAGTTTCAAAGCAGTTGAGTACCAAGGTATCATTGTATGGGTTTTATTTATCAATATTTACTATATTGAAAATTAAAATGAAAAAATTTACTGCCATTTGCAGATCTTATAATACTGCTACATATCTCTTCTAACTGCTCTCTTTAAGTTACTTGTTAAACTCCTTTCTGGGATTTTTGTCTTTCTTGGCTTTGGCTTCACTTCTCTTACTAATTTTCACTGTTTGTTTTGACTTCCAATTTGCTTTCTTGAAAGCATGAGATAAAAAGGGAAATATAATTAAATCTGGGTGTACACCATTATTTGTTGTACCATGTCATAACTTTATATTCTGACAAACCATTTTTGCTCCCAACCCCCATTCATACGTATTTCATACATTGCCTTTTGCTCTTTAACATTCTTGTCTCTTTTTTGGAATCTTATCAACTCGTTTAATGGCAACTTTCAATCAGTATTCATTCCCTTTGCATGACAAAACTATTGCATTTTACTTCTTTCATAGTATTCATTAATTAATGGCTGCTATATTCATTTAGCACCCATTCCTTGTCTATGGAGATTCTCAATCATCCAAGTCATGGTTGTCCCAAAGGTACCTTTCAAAAAACAACTGGGTTTTTCTTGGTTTTTTTTCCCCTTGAAAGCATTTCAATTCTCATCCAAGAGAACTAAAGAAGCTTCTCAGATGAGAAGCAAAACATTTTCAAGAGAAAACAACCCAAGAAATTCCAGTTGCCTTTTGAAAAGCACCTTTGGGATACCCACTCCTTCTTGATTTGTTCCACGTAGTCACAGAAGCACACCCTTATAGAGAGTTGCTTTTACTTTTGTCAATGCATTTTTTTTTATCAGCAGGCCACTTGCTACTCACTATTTTGTATTTGTATTCTTGATATTTTTCTACTTATTTTCCCATTGTCAATAAACATATGAAATCATTTGCCACTTTCTCTATCAGATACCTTGGTCTTTAAGACATTATTTTTCAGATCCATAATCTTTACGATATCATAATCTAACATTTGCTAGAAATAATTCAGATTCTGAATGGTGCCAGACAATCTTTTAACATCACTTTCAGCATTCCTTTCACATTTATCCTCAAATATTTTATTTGGATATTAACAGAAAGCTTGAATAGCTTGAACTTCTCACGAGCAAAGCCTGATACCGATAAATGTCTATTATGATCAAATTCATAACTGAGTCATGGGTTGTATTGGCTAGCCTTTAAATAGCTATGTATTTTCTTACATTAGAGCACTTTTTAACTGACAGCTTGTTTGTTTTTCAATATTAAGTCGCTTGACTGAAGAGGAAGAAGATGAAGAAGAAGGAAAAGAATTTGCAGCTGAGGTTGAAAACTCTTTTCCCCAGCTTTACAAGATATTTATGGTATGTATTTCACTTCTGTTCTTAGCCTTTATTTCCCTGTTTAGTTATCTGAATACCTCAGACTAAAAAGGTTTGAGTTGCTTTCTCATCAGAATTAGGCAAGATTAGCAGTTCAAACTTTTAATTTGAAGAAGTCCATACTTTTGTAAGTTTTTAACAATTTGAATCATGTCAACAACTATTGGTTTTTTTATTGAAGATGAAGTAAAGAAATATAATGTGTTATCTAGTTTGCCCATTAAACCAGATAAATAAGTTTATTCATTTTTCATATCAAGATCACTAAATTACTGATATTTTGGTCAGCCTCCAAATTAGCTGGAAATCCATTTTCATGCCTTCCAGTAAAATGACTACGGATGGTGATTGAAGAGCATCTAGTGGTTTACCAGATCGGGGAATGTTGGATTAGAGAATGATATCAGTTTCAGATCTTAACAAATTGAAGTAATATAACTGGTCAGTCTTCTATTGTGTGAGTTTAGATTTATTTTCTTTCCTGTTTAGACACATATTCCTACTGAAAATTTGGAGTTGAGCAGTGCAGCTTTACAAGCTTTAGGATTCTGTGTGTGTAATCCAAAGATTGCTTCCTTATTATGCGGTAAATATCTTTTTGTATTATAAACATTGATAAACTATAATCAGTTTGACTAACCTGTTTCTTCCAGTGTCTGATATCCATAGTCTAGATGTATAACTGTAGATAATGCATATACAAACACTTATGCATATATTAACAGAATTACATAATCACAGATAGAAATTAAATGTATTAGTTTTAAATCTGTTTCCCATTAGCTAAATTTCAGCATAAATAAACCACATAATCTTTTGGTTGGTTCATGCTTCAGCCAAAATAAAACCTGCAGGGATCCAAGAATGATTTTTTAAAATAATAATTTCTATTAAAGTTTAAAAATACAAAAGACGAATAAAAATAACCTGTGGATTTTCCTGACATCGAAATAGTCACATGAGCAGTACTTTGGTATATTTTTTGCTACCTGTTGGCATACTACCAATGGTAAACATCATTCTGAAAGAAACCTCTATTCAGAATAGCTGTTTATACAGAATAGTTGAGCCATCATTTTATGAAATTAGTCTGAACTTCATACAGACCAAGAAAATTGCTACTATCAATTATTACACAGTGATAATACCTAGAACAATAATTACTGGTTTTTCTTTCTTTTTTAAACAGAAATAGAAATACATGAACTCTTGTCTATGTTAAACAGTGTTGCTATAAATTCAGGAGACAAACACATTCGCACAAGAGCCCTCTGGGTGATCTCAAAACAGTCCTTTCCTCCAGATACGGTTGGAAAGTTGGTGAGTAGAATTTGTTTTCATCACCTATAAATAAAAGTTGATAAAAAGTCTTACTATACTTAACTCATTATATTTTTTCAGGTACCCAGTATTATTGCTATGCTAGAAACAGTACTTCATAAAGGAGATTCACATTCTGTGGTGGTTGAACACGAAGCACTAAATGTTATCATCCGGTATGTGTTAAAATATACATTTGTTAAAAGAAGTAAGAGGAGAAAGACTTCTGTTTAAATTTTGACCTGTTTACATTGTAAGCCATAGCACTGTTGCCATGATTGTACTACATGCTCAGTAGCGCCTATGTTTTGAATTTATCGTATTATTGGAGTATGTGTCAGAGAAATTGTATATATGGTTTTTTTTTAAAAAAAAAATCTGTTTTCCAGTTAAGCTACTAACTATATTAGATCTTTATTGATATTGTATTTCATATTATAATTGGAGCAATGTAACATAAATGGTATTTCTATAATGTAGTAGATAGGAAACTGCTGCTTGTAAGAGTTAGTTTGGGGAAGGTTTTCCATATTGCTTCAACTGTCAACAGTCTATTGAAATGAGCAAAGAATTCTGGATCATATTCTAGATTTTACTTAATCTAAAGTGATTTTAATTTATTTGTGGTCCGAATCAGCTGAAACGGCCTCATTATTGCACTGACGCCAATGGGATAATTGACAATGGATTAAGTTACCTTGACTCTGGTCTGCAGATCCCTTCAATTAGCCTATGAAGCATTGTAATGTTATTCAGAATAGACTATGCAAACCACTGCCACGTGAGAACAAAAGATTTACATACACTTGCATGCTCTGTTCTTTTGACAAACTTTTGTAAAAACTTTGTGTTTGCAAAACTTACTCATATTTGTGTTTCTGAAATCTAGGCTGATAGAACAGGCTCCATCTGACATGGAGGAACAGGCTGTGACGTGGGCTAAAATGATAATTCCTTTGCTGGTTCACTCAGCTCATAAAGTACAGTTAAAAGCTGCTAGCGCTTTGGAAATGGGTCTCCCACTTCTTCAGCAGCACCAAGAGGTGATAGCAGTCGCTGAGCAACTCCTGACTACTGTAAGTCAAATATATCTTAAATGTGTTTGCAGAGCACCACAGAGCCAGACATATTTCTTGCATGAGCAATTTGTAATGCTCTTCTTTGACCTATAATTACACAATATTAATGGTAGCCCTGTTGCTGGAGTCAATTTAAACCTATTCAAAACATGTTTTTATTCTCAGCAACCCAGTTTCTAATCTCAGAGAATAAATTTCTGAATTGTGCTTCGTATGATAATTAAGCAGTGGACTTGCCACAAGTAATTTATTCAATTCCTTCTTGGATTGCATGGAATTTTAAAATTGCTTTGGTATTTTTTGGAGTGATGGAAGAGGCATAACTGCAATTTGCTTCTAGATATTTGACAAACAACTCCTAGACATTTAAAATAATTCAGAATGCTGTTCTAGGATCCTAGCTGACCATCTCTGAACAAATCTCCAAGAATCTCATCAAAATACATTTTTATCTAATTTAATACAACACTTTAATAAATGTTCTCTATTATAATCCTACAGAAAGTAATTCCAGAACTCCAAAAGCTATTTTTTTCAAAACATGAAACATATATTCTGAAACTGTGGCCCCTGTTTGTAAAGCTGCTTGGAAAAGTAAGTTGGAGAAAAATTCTTTATAAGCTATGATACTGGAAGAACATTACAGTGTACAGTGATGCTGTATTTTTCCCTTTAGACACTGCATCATAGTGGAAGCTTTATCAATTCCTTGCTGCATTTAGAAGAACTTGGATTTCGTAGTGGCTCGCCGGTGGTGAAGAAAATAGCTTTCATTGCATGGAAGAGTCTGATTGATAATTTTGCTTTAAATCCAGGTATGCTAAAATGTTGAGCAGTAATTTATCCGCAATGAGTATTCTCTTGTTTCTCATGTGCAGAGGGAAAATCAGTGGTTAAGCTGACACACAAAAACATAGAAAGTTATTAGTGATATTGATAGTTTAAATTAAATTAGTTGCCATCTTGTCACATACTGACTATAGTTAATGTAGTTGTTATTATTACCAGATGCCAGCTATCTCTTATGAGAATGTGCTTTTCACCCACTATAAATCATTTACTCAAATTTAAGTTCTGCCTGATTTCCAGCAACTCTGGGCAATTTTCAAATTGTTAAAAATCCTTAAAAACAAAGAACACAAATCAAAAAGAACAAAGACATAAGACAGACATAAAACAAACAAAGACAGACATAAAAAACCTGGATGGAAAGCCCCAAAGGTGCTTTCCAAAACACAACTGGGCTTTCTTGTTCTTTTCTTTGAAAATGTTTTGCTTCTCATTCAAAAAGCTTCTTTGGTTCTGAGAACAGTTGCAGAACTGAAGAAGCTTCTTGGATGAGAAGCGAAATATTTTAAAGGAAAAAAACCCAAGAAAGTCCAGTTGCCTTTTGGAAAGCACCTTTGGGATAACTCTGACCTGGATGGTTGAGAATCTCTATAGACACCTGGATGGGAAGAAGAAAAAGAGGAAAATGCCTCAATCATGCTTGCCAAAGGCCCATTGAAACACCAATGTCTAAAATACTTCTCTGGATTATTAGCCTTTCCCATGAGAAAGTTTATAGAAGACTACATTTTGAAGCTTTTAGAGAGTTGGATAGGGAGTACAGAATTCAAATACAAGAACCATGGTGGCGCAATGGTTAGAATGCAGTATTGCAGGCTAACTCTGCCGACTGCCAGCGGTTCAATTCTGACCGGCTCAAGATTGACTCACCCTTCCAAGGTCAGTAAAATGAGGAACCAGATTATGGGGGCTAATAGGCTGTGAGAAGAGAACACTGTAAAGCACTATGAAGCAGTATGGTAAGTCTAAGTGCTATCATTACACAAGTGTAAGAAAATTATTATATTTCTGAAACACCCGTACAAAAAGAGTGGCTTATTTGTACTTGTTTTTCTGTTGGTTTTCCTTCTTTCTTTTCCTTGCACTTTGTATTTATATTCTTTTAATTTTTTTTTCTTTCTGATATTAGTTTGGGTTACCTTTTAGAATTGTTAAAATCTTCAATAAAAAGTATTTTTTTAAAGGGGATGCCATATTTGTTAGACAAATCTATTTTTAATTCTTAGCAACCCAGTGAGGCAAGAAGGATTAAACTTTGCTTCTCTTTCTATTCAATATAATAATAAATATTTTCAATTTCTGTTTTCCAAGATATATTGTGCAGTGCAAAAAGGCTAAGATTGCTAATGCAACCACTTACCTCTATTCATGTGAGAACTGAAACTCTGGCACTGACCAAGCTTGAAGTTTGGTGGTATTTATTAATGAGGCTTGGATCTCAGCTTCCAGTCCACTTTGAACAGGTAACTGAATGTTTGTTGTTAAATTAATATTGAGCATTAGTTAAAATGGGATTCTGAAAGACACTTACATTTACATTTCTATGCAATATCTGACATATTGGTTGTGCTCTTGTATTTATTATTTATTTAGGGAATTTATATTGCCACCTATTCACACATGGCGACTAAAGGTGGCTTACAGAATATAAAAACAATAAAACTAATAAAAGAAGAGTCATAATAAATTAATATACTAAAATCACCCCCTGCTGCTGTGGCAGCACCTCACATGAGCCATTTAATGGGCTCCATCCCGCTCTGGGTTCCCCAGGCCCGCTGGCAGAACTAGGTCTTCAGCACCTGGAAGAGTGCTAGAGTGGGAGCCATTCTAATCTCTATGGGGATGATGTTTCAGAGAAAGGGGGCCACCACAGAGAAGACCCTTCTGGATCCACCAGGTGTATCTCCCTAGGGGATGGGACCCGCAACATTCCCTGCCTCCCCGCTCTGATAGGTCAGGTAGATGTGACCGTCAAGCGACAGTCCCTCAGATAACCTGATCCCAAGCCATGAAGGGCTTTAAAGGTAACAACCAACACCTTGAATTGCACCTGGAAGCAAATAGACAGCCAATGAGGCTCCCGCAGGAGAGGTGATACATGAGCACACCGGGATCTGCACAAAACCATGCGTGCTGCTGCATTTTGCACCAACTGGAGTTTCCGGATGCTCTTCAAGGGCAGCCCCATGTAGAGCGTGTTGTAATAATCAAGACTAGGGCATGAGTGACTATGAGTAGGGATTGTTTGTCCAGGAAAGGGCGTAACTGGTGCACAACCCACAGTTGTGCAAAGGCCCTTCAAGCAGGAGTTGTGAGTCCAGGAGAACCCCCAGATTATGCACAGGGTCTGTTTGGGTAGTGCCACCCCATCCAAGACAAGAATCAACAATTCTCCCTGAGCCAACGAACCCCAAACCCAGAGCCATTCTGTCTTGCCAGGGTTTAGTTTCAACCTGTTGCTCCCCATCCAGCTCCTAACAGCTTCCAGGCACTGCAAGAGGGAGGACATGGCATCGCTCAACTCACCATTGGCTGAGACATACAGCTGAGTATCATCAGCATATTGGTGATACCTCAGTCCATGGTGACAGATGATCTCACCCAGTATGCATTGTCCCGTTCAATAAATAATATATGTATGCAGTAAATATCTCTTGTTTATTGCTAGAATAAATTATTGACATCTGATCAGCCCATTTATTTTATTTTGGGGCTTATGCTTCAGTGTTTGTTTTTTAGGTTTGTGTACCATTAATTCAGAACACTTTAAGCGTAGATGCCTCTCTGCTACAAGAAAATTCTTCACGGTTAATTTCTAATCAGAATTTAGCTATAGCGGGTTCTTCACGAAAATCAGGTATGAAGCAAGCAGGTACAAGCACATTGGCAGCTGTGGGGAGGGAGGGGGAGCATTGGGAAGGTTGGGAGGTGGTGACCACATTGGTGGGATATGGCATCATGGAAGGGGAGGAAGAGGATCATCTCAATTCTGCCCAATTGTACCACTGACCTGAAATGGTTCACACAACTCACAAAATACGTTAGTTCTGGGTTTAAAAGGGAAAAAATCCTTTTTCCATTTCTTTCACACCCCTAGTCTGTCCCAAAGCATTTGCCCTGCAAGGTAGAACATTTTGAGTAGACTTTCTTTGCTCCTTGCTATTACTGAAGGTAAGTTTTGTTAAGAGAATACTATTAGAATTGTATAGTTGCAGTTTAAGTATAGGACCATTAATGGAAGATAATGTCATAGATTTGGGGAAACTCTAAATAAAATATGCTGGCTAATTTTGAAGTGCAGTCCTATTGTTAGAAGCATGAGATACAATCAGATCTTCAACCTAATTTCCGTCAGCCAACTCTTCAAGCTACTCCTACTGGGGTGGGGTGGGGTGTTTTTGTTTCCCCATATGAATAATTTTCTTTGCTAGAAGTGAGAGGAAAAATGCATTTTTTTTTTATTTCAGGGGTTTTCCCTTTTGGAAATGTTGCCAGTCCAAGGATGTCTTTGAATGCTAGCAATGAAGGAGCTGTTATTCCATCTATTCAGCTTCTAGGAATTGAAATGCTACTTCACTTCTTTATGGGACCAGAAGTATTGACTTTCGCCAGGGAAAATAATATTGTACTTAGTTTAGGTAACTATTTGTTTGGTAAAATAACTTTTGTAACAAGGTAAAATACTGTAGCCTTAGTTTTATTTTTAATTATTTTTTAAAACTGCTGATTTGTCAGTGATAGAAGTTCTTTACTCTCTCCTTATATAGAACCTCTTCAGTGCCCAGTAATCACCAGCCCTTCCTTTTTCTGCAAGTATGCCAGTGTTTTCATAAATGCAGCTCAGGATGGTTTCATTGCAATTGGAAAAGATGTTTCTGGTAAGGAATGTGCAGGTTAGATATTTATTGTAAGCAGGTATCTTCAACTCTAAAGACAAAAGGCATTAACTATAGGAATGCTATATAAATATAACTAAATAAATAAAAAATAAATCATTTAGGTAGTTCTTGCCATCAAGTTTAAAGAATAAAAGAGGCATGTCATAAAAAGATGAGGAAAAAAAATTGATGATCACACTTCATTTTAATTGCTCAGATAGAACTGAGCATTTTACTGTCTGTACTCCATTGGCACTGGATTTTGAGTCTTTGGTTGGACTGTTCCTTGCAGACTTACTCCATTTTTTCTTCTTTGCTCCTTACCATTCCTGAAAAATAAACTGAATTAGTTCCTTGTCTCCTTCAGGACAAGATAAGCCCCAGAAACCCTATTGCTGACTTTTAAAAGGGAGGAAATGGCTGCCATGGTGATTTGGATGTTAACAACCCACCAAGTTGTTTGTAGCTTTTATCTTCTATTCACAGAAAAATTCTTTAGTGGGCATTTTTTGTTTTAAAAAAGCTTCATATAGTGCAGTAGTCAGCATCTTTCAGGTACCTATTCCAATGTTTATTTAATATAAATCTACTTACCTGATTTTTCACTCAATTTTCCTTTTGTTTAAATCATGCCTTGCAGATTTTATGCTCACTGCTATATGGAGAGAATTAGTTGGTTTTGTGAAAGCTGCAATTGAATCAGGTAATAATTGTTTATATGGTCCAACTGTACAGAGACCTTATGAAAGTGAGAAGATATTTCTGAATTTATTTATTTACACTTACAGCTCTCTAAATAAGTTGGTGTACTATGACCATACCATGCTTCTGTTTGAACACAGCTTGCTGTTAAACTTCATTATTTAGAAGTTATCTGCCCAAAATGGGATCTGGATAAAGATGCAGTTAATGTATGAAGCTTGTTACTATGTCTAGTGTTATAAGATCTGATTGACCCCTACATGCATAACTTATTTCTAGGCAACAAAAGAGATCGGCAGAATTCAGAAGTATTAACTATGTTGCTGCAGACTTTAAAAAACATTATTTTGTCAAAAGAATTGCCAGTATTAAACTCATTGGTAAGTGTTGATAGAGTTTTTACACATGTGAAATTTAAATTTATAGTATTCAGCATTCTTATATAAAACAAACCCTAAATTGGACATCCTTTTTAGAGGCTTATATTATTTATAAGAGTGGTTCTAGTATTTTATTTATTTATTAGAGCTCAAGGCAATATTTTGTTGTTCAGAAGTTTATATACTTGTCCTTGATGGTCTGAATTTGGTTATTTTCTTCAAGATGTTTCATTACGCAAACTAAGTAATATCATTAGTGCTTATGAGAGCACCAAGAATGCACTCATTTCAACCCTGAGCTACAAATATTCTCCTTCATTGGTTTATATACTTATAAAAGTGATTTCAGCATTTTATTTATTTATTAGAGTTTAAGGACAAATTTTGCTATTATATGTACACATATACAGCATAATACTTTGGATAAGTCATATTTGTATGATAAGCTATATGTTATAAATAGTGCTTATTTCCTGTGGAGCAGAATGCTATTTTGGGTAATCTTGATATTTTTTTTTCATTATATGTTCAGTTTCCAAATGAACATGAATATACAGTGTAAACAAAGGCGAATAGTGTTTTCTAATTTTAGTCGTGTTTAGTTGTGATATAGATACAAGTTAATTATTTTACCTTGTTACCTGTTAAATGAAATACTTTGATTTCTGTTTTAGCCCTTGTTAGAAGTGGCTATTAAAGAATTGCCTCCAAAAGTATTGGGATCACCAGCCTATCAGATTGCTGATATGGATCTTCTGAATGTGAGTACAATACATATGATGAGTGATATTGCTCAGATTAGTTACACAAAGCATGATATGCCACATGCTTTGTTTCCTATAAGAGATAACAACTGGCAAGATACCAGTCACAAATATTTATAAGTGGTTCTCTTAATTCCATTAGACCCTAAATTCCTAAACTATTACAAGAATGGATATGGAATTTCTACACATTGGTTAAAGTGACCCTCTCCTAAAGCAGAAATCAAAAGCTGATGAGTCAGAATGTCATGTCCATCTGCTTAAGTTTTAAGACACTGAGTGGAAACTGAGACATTCCCAAGTCAGATAAAGATTAACATGTCAGTGTGAGAGCAAGCCAGTTTAGCTTTCGTACTGTTCAAAAACCAGGAACTGTTTTTAATTATTTTTTCTTATATAGAAGTGCACTGGTCACTTAGATTCAACAAATAATCCATGTAAACAAAAATGTCTTCAATTCTATATCCATAAAGAAAGGAGTATCTAATTCCAACACTTGACTCCGTCCTTCTATATACTATAATCTTATTCCACCAAAGCAGTAGCATATCAGATGTACTATGTACTAATTCACAATTAAAATTCTGAAGTGGCACAAATGAGAAACATATTCTTAAGTACCATAAAAAAATCTATCCTAGTATTCTCTCTCATGGGGTCAGGAAGATGAAAGATGTTGCACAGTGCTCGGAATTCATTTTTGCATAGTGAAAGAAAGAACTAACTAGGTTAGGAAGGCACATAAAGGCAAGGAGTCTGCTATTGCTCCCTAAATTGCATTGCTATGGTTAAGTATTTTTGCTTTTGAAGGAAAAGAATTCCAGTAATTTGATCCAAATATTTATGTATTAATTGAAACATTCACATATGAAATTGTCTCTTCTATATTAATTATGCAAGCATTTTTATTTTTAAGAATAGTCTGCTTGCTATTAAATGCAGAATATATTGCAAAGGCTAGACCAAACCTTATTGTACTTTCATAGTAGGGCAAGACCTGAAACGAGCAATTCACGTTAGGAAAATTTCAGATGTTATTGAGCTAAAGCAATCTACCATGGAAAAGTGGGTTAAAGTTCCTGCAGAGTAACATGAGAGCTTGATCATTGATTACAGAATAACTTAGGTGGAGTTATTGTAGCTAAAGTTAATTCAAACCGTTCATAATTCAAAGGAAGTAATTATATTCTCCTACTGACATATTTCACATTGGATTACTTACAAAACAGGCACCAGACTTTGTTGTTATTTTGTCACTTAGATTCCCTTTAATAACCATAGGATCCACATGAAGCTCAAATAACATTCAGTGGAGAGTATGTGCAAACTCATAAATCCTGGACGAAGGTGAATTTTTTTTAAAGGCGATATGAATTTAGGCGCAATTCACATATTGTTTGTTTGTTTGTTTGCTTTATTAGATTTATATACCGCCCTACTCCCGAAGGACTCAGGACGGTTAACAGGCACAAAATAAAATACATAAATACAAAATTTAAAAGCAGAAATAAAACCAAATTAAACAATTTAGCCCGAGACAAATTTAAAACATCCCAGTAATTTAAAAACAGATTTAAATTTTCGATTTAAAAGAAAAGGGGAAAAAGGTTAGGCCAGGCCAGCTTGCTGGAATAGGAAGGTCTTAAGAGCGCGGCGGAAAGTGCGCAGATCCGGGATCCTCCGTATCTCCGGGGGGAGCTTGTTCCAGATAGTGGGTGCCCCCACAGAGAAGGCCCTCCCCCTGAGGGCCGCCAGTCGACACTGTTTGGCCGACGGAGGAGCCCCTCTCTATGAGAGCATACCGGCCGTTGGGAGGCTATTTGTGGTAGTAGGCGGTCCCATGAGTAGCCAGGTCCAAAGCCATGGAGCGCTCTAAAGGTGGTAACCAAAACCTTGAAGCACACCGGAAGACCACCGGGAGGCAGTGCAGCTCGCGCAGGAGAGGTGTTAATGGGAGCGCCATGTCGCTCCCATAACCACCCGTGCGGCTGCACTCTGCGCCAGTTGGAGCCTCCGGGTGCTCCTCAAGGGGAGCCCCATGTAGAGAGCGTTGCAATAGTCCAGGCGGGAAATGACGAGGGCATGAGTGACTGTGTATAAGGAGTCCCAATCCAGAAAGGGACGCAACTGGCGAATCAGGTGAACCTGATGAAAAACCCTCCCGGTCACGACCATCAAATGCTCTTCTAAAGACAGCCGTGAATCCAGGAGGACACCCAAGTTGCGAGCCCTCTCCGTGGGGGCCAGCGATTTGCCCCCAATAGTCAGCGATGGCGTCAACTGACTATATTGGGACGTCGGAAACCACAGCCACTCGGTCTTGGATGGGTTGAGCTCGAGCCTGTTTCTCCCTATCCAGATCCGCACGGCCTCCAGACACTGGGACATCACTTCAAGGGCATCGTTGGGGTGGTCCGGGGTGGAGATGTACAGCTGGGTGTCATCAGCATACTGGTGGTACTTCACCCCGAAACCACAGATGATCTCGCCCAGCGGCTTTACATAAATGTTGAACAAAAGGGGCGAGAGGACTGACCCTTGTGGCACCCCACATATGAGGGGCCTCGGGGTCGACCTCTGCCTCCCTGCCAACACAGACTGCCACCGGTCGGAGAGAAAGGAGGAGAACCACCGCAACACAGTGCCCCCCACCCCAACTCTTCCAACCGGTGCAGCATGATACCATGGTTGATGGTATTAAAAGCCGCTGAGAGGTCTAATAGGACCAGGACAGAGGAACAACCCATGTTATATTAATTTAATATTTAATTTAATATTAATTAAAAACAGGAAGATCTAAAGATTTGGCAATTGAATTTACATAATTTTCCCAGCCAAAATGCTAGGAAGAATGCCTGGTCACATGGTAAATCTTTATAATGTCAAGGTAATATCTAGGGGTTGAATTGTATAATAAAGGTATGTTGGTTGACAATTGTGAAACAGAAATTTAGTCCTGAGGAAAATGTTGATGGTGGGCAGAGTTGGTAAGGCAGAATAGACTTTACATTACTCCAATGAATAATAGACTTAACTGCCTGAATACTTAGCTTTTCTTTTCTTGACAGGGAACTCCAGCACTGTTCCTGGTTCAGCTTTTATTCTGTGAAGATGTTCTGAAATGTGGAGTTGAAAATAAAAGGTAGGTACTCCTGAACAGTTTTTTTTTTAAAAAAATCTATATGATAATAAAAAAATAGTTTTAAAAATTATGTATCCTAATACCGGAGTTCATTTGAAAATGCTACTTTATTTAAAATATCCCTTGTGAAGTACAATAATGCATCAACAAATGGTAGTGCTATCCTGCTTAAGTATAACTTAAGTACCCTTCCCATCTCTAAAAGTTAAAACTACAACAATTAATTTGACTATGTCCAACTGGATATTTAGTTGCTAAAATACATATCTTTAATTTTGATTCTAATTACTTTTTTCTTTTTCTTAACTAGATTCTTTTTGAGCTATGAAACTCTTGTGGAATGTGCTTTATCTGGCCCTACGTCTCCTCTGGCTTTTACTGAGTCTGTACTCACAATTGTGAATCAAAGTGCCCTGCACTTGGAAAATAAGGAATATTTGTGGCGAATGTGGAGTATTATAGTTAACCCATTAATTGAATGGATTAAACAGGTATAGTGAATTAGTTTGTCTAGTTAATTATCAACTATATAGAGATATCAAAATATTACTACAGAAATAAAAATATTTTCCAGAACTAGATTTCTCTCTACATGGGGCTCCCCTTGAGGTGCACCCGGAGGCTCCAACTGGCGCAGAGTCGGCCGCGCGGGTGATTATGGGAGCAACGTGGAGCTCCCATGTAACACCTCTCCTGCGCGACCTGCACTGGCTCCCGGTGGTCTTCCGGGTGCGCTTCAAGGTTTTGGTTACCACCTTTAAAGTGCTTCATGGCTTAGGACCTGGTTACTTACGGGACCGCCTACTACCATCAATAGCCTCCCACCGACCAGTACGCTCCCACAGAGAGGGGCTCCTCCAGGTGCCGTCGGCCAAACAATGTCGGCTGTCGGCCTCTAGGGGGAGAGCCTTCTCTGTGGGGGCACCGACGATCTGGAATGAGCTCCCCCCAGAGATACGGAGGATTCCGGACCTGCGCACCTTCCGCCGCGAGCTGAAGACACTGTTATTTCATCAAGCTGGCCTCGCCTAAATCTTCTCCCTTTTAAGTGTAAATTTTAAATTTTTACTGTATTTTAAAATATGGGTATTTTAAATTATGGGATTAATTCAGCCAAATTTATTTAATTCATTTTATTCGATTTTAAATTTTGTATATCTATGTGTTTTATTTCATGGCTGTGCACCGCCCTGAGTCCTTCGGGAGTAGGGCGGTATAGAAATTCAATTAAAAAAATAAATAAATAAATAAAATAAAATAAAAAATAAATAAACAAGAATATTAAGGTTTCAGTGTGTCTTAAATATATAAACAGTTCATGTGTCAACCTAGATACAGGTAGTCCTTGATTTACGCCCACAATTGAGCCCAGAATTTAGGTTGCTAAGTGAGAAATTTGTTAAGTGAGTTTTGCCCCATTTTACAACTTTTGACACATTTGTTAAGTGAATCACTGCAATTGTCAAATTAGTAACACGGTTGTTCAGTGAATCTAGTTTCTCTGTAGACTTTGCTTGTCAGAAGGTGACAAAAGAAGATCATGTGGCCCCGGGATACTGCAAGTGTCATAAATATGAACCAGTAAATCACGTGACCCTGGGGTCTATGCTGCAACAGACCTAAGTGTGAAAAATGTTCATAAGTTAACTTTTTTCAGTCTGTTGTAACTTTGAATGTCACTAAATGAACTGTTGTAAGTCAAGGACTACCTGTACAATGTTTTAAATACTTTGAATGTTAAAAAATTTAGAGGATTTTTTTTAATTTGGGCTACTTTTTTTTTTTCCTTAGACGAATGAAGTAAATCAAGGTGATGCTTTGGAGCATAATTTCAGTGCAATTTACTGTGCATTGTTGCTACCAGTAAACTGTATATTTTCATCTTCTGAATTTCCAGAGGTAGGAAACTGAATAGCTATAGCAGTTCTTGTCATTTAGAATCTAAGGTTCGTTAAAATGTAATTTATTTTCTTGCTACAGTTTACCATGAAAAAACTATTGCGTTCTTGGTCAGAACTGTATAAAGCATTCGCCCGTTGTGCATTACTAGTACCAACAGCAGACGATAACATATGCTGTGAGGAACTCTGTGCCAAAATAATATCTGGATTAAAAGATGAAGCACATCTAGTAAGTGGAGGTTCCCTTATCCTAGTACACATATATTTCTCTGTTCCTTTCTATGCTCTCTTGACAAATCTGTTTTATTTCTATTTCAGAATCAATCCATGTTGGATGGGCTCTCTCATATTACAGCAGTCATAGTTGAATGCGTCAATTTTGCACCTTATGATAAGAAATGTCCGTCAGCACATAAACGTAAGATTTGCTAGTATGAAATGTTGCAGTATTGAATGGTCTAGCTTTATTTTTCTTCCTTTTATATTTTTTGCACCTCTCCTAATATATATAGTCTTCAACAACCTTATAACCACATTTGCAATCAGAACATCTGTTGCTAAGCAGTACAGTTATTGAGTCATCACCTGGCTATGTATCAATTTTGTGCCCTTTTTGCCAAAATCCAAATTCTCCTATTGACTTTGCTTGTTGGAAGCTGTCTGGAAAGGTCACAAATGGTAATCCCATGACCCCAGGATGCTGCAGCTCTCATAAATCCTTTGTTCTATTCCCACCGCCCTATTGCTTATCATCTTTTGTCCCACTGCTTTTAATAATAACAAGCTAGGCTTTAGAACATGGTTACAAAGAAGCATGACCTTTGGCCTTCCGCAATTGATATTGCAACTAGTGGGTATGAGGGATGTTTGAATCTGAACAACTTTTCATTTTAAAATGCTACTAAATTTTTACGTTTCAAGCAAAATTAATGTTAAATTGTTCTTCAGCTCTACAGACGCTAGTGGAATGGGCCAAAAGGAAGAAAAATCCCCTTTGCGAGCTGTCTTCTTTAATTAAACTTCTGATAATATTGATAAATACTCTTCAGATGCTTGCATCTGAGGAATCTGACTTTGAACAATTAGCTCCTGTTGGTTTTGTGATCGTTGGTATTCTTCACAATATCATCAGCCGCGTCACTTTGGCTTCTTTCATGAGATCGGTCTTAGGATTTATTGCAAAACCTTTCACAGCATTATATGAAAAAATAAAGTAAGTATATGTACATTATAGAGTTGGGTTTCAGTGACGTAACAGTTGCACACTGATGTTATGAAATTGTCTCGTACAAGTAATTTGAAGTAATTATGGAAAGTTATTGCATGTGGCTTTGGATGGCCTTTCATAACGACTGCAAATTAAAAGAGGACACAAGCAGATTAAAAATGGGTGGACAAGGTACAGGGGTAATAGATACACCTTTCGAAGACCTGAAGGACAAGTTAGTGAAATATCATTCCAGAGAAAATACATCTCAGTGGTTCCTAACAGGTGACATTGATTTATGGGGCATGTAATCATAATCATGGAAGACTATTTGACTATTACTTCAGCTCTTGAGTTTCTAGATATACTTCATTGGTGGCATCCTAATTTAAAGTTCTGTAATTACAACATCAGTTTTTAAATTACTTGAACCAAGTAGCTTTATAATCAGACATTTATTACAACCACATATGCAAGCTTCACCAAGGAAAAGATTGCTCGTTTTTCTACTAGGAAAGAGAAGGTGATTATCACATAAAAGCTTCATCTTAAAACAGATTTGGGGTTTTTGATTGCAGACTTTTTTTTATCCATATGCTCATTAACTAATTTGTTGAAAAATTTACAAGATTATGCAGCTAAAATTTTCTTTGGTTTTTTTTATTTTTTTATTATTATTTGATTTATATGCCACCCTTCTCCGGAGACTCAGGGCGGCTTACAATGCGTTAAGCAATAGCCTTCATACTTTTGTATATTTTATATAAAGTCAGCTTATTGCCCCCACAATCTGGGTCCTCATTTTACCTACCTTAGAAAGGATGGAAGGCTGAGTCAACCTTAAGCCTGGTGAGATTTGAACTTGCAGTAATTGCAGGCAGCTGATGTTAATAACAGTGCTTTAGTCTTGCTGCGCTACCAGGGCTCTTGTTGAGCAACCTGGAAGTATATACAATATTACAGATTAATGTTAATCCTTTTCTGAAAATTCAATGTAATTGTGTTGCAGAGCATTGGCCCATTTCTTAATATGTGTTGATATGGGCATAATTATATTTACCGTATCTGCATCTCATTTGAAAGTGCTGGGCTGCCTTTAAAAATTGTTCAGAAGGCTCAGCCAGTTGAAAACATGAGTCCACATTCTTGACTGGGTATATATGTACAGTAACTGAATATATAACTTTCTTAACAAAGATAAACTGTCTTAATTTGTTTTTGTGGGACTGTCAAAAGCACTCTGAAGTTTTAAATACAAACCTTGATTTTTAGCATCTTCAGGTGAGTCCCCACTCTCGGTTTTTTTGCCGTCAGAAACATATTTGGTAGAAATGCAGGAAGGTATTCTCAGTGAGTATTCCCTCTTTGCTAGATGGGTTTATCCCTGTTACCTTCTGGCAGCTAGCAAACAATTTTGTTTTGCTTTCTAAAAAAAAATAGAAAAACATTTAGTGCATTCATTCATTAAGATGTGCTTTACTTTCCTGGGATGCAGTTTGCTGGGGTTTTTTTTAATTTACTTGAGTAGTTTAGTGTTGTAATTCTGTTTTTATCTTCATTTTTGGTGATACCTTGAACACCATTTGGGATCAAAAGGCAGAATATAAAATATATATCATAGTTGAAAGCTACTGGTGCTCAGCACTTAGATAATTTCTTAATGTATCAGTGTACTCTTTCTTAATATATGTAGTGTATCCTATTCACTAAACCAGTATCTACTGTATACCTTACCTATTAGTTGTATTTCAGCTTAAGATTGTAGTCAAACTGTTATTTTATAGATGAATAAATACTTACATGCTAACTATTTTTTTCTACAAGGTCTGCTAATCCATCTAGAACGAGTCCTGGACTCATTAACAAGGTACTTTATATATGGAAAAAAGCTATTTTTCTGATTTTTAAATGGTAACAATTTTGAATATGCTGCTGTTCTGGAGTTAATTTTAGAAGAAATATAGATTACAATTTTTATTGTTTTATTATATTGTGCTTTGTGCTGTGCTTGACTTTGTACATCACCTAAAGCCCGTGAAATTGAGTCAGTTTACAAATCTTATTAATAAATAAATGATGCTCACATATTCATTTGTGAGAGTTATTCCCAATTTAGATTTACTCTGCCATAGAAATACAGATTTGGCTGGGAGAGTCCTGCCGATTGCAGTGGCACTTCTAGCTAGCGTGCACTTGGAGACCTATTCTGATAGCAGTATCGGATTGCCATCCTTTTACCTTGATTAATCCATACTGTGGTCGAGTTTTGTCAAAATAGAGTTATTGCCATTTAAAATGGCCTTCAGAAATTGCAGTTGGTTCAGAATGCAGCAGAAAATGTTTAGGTAGATGTTTATAGGCAAGATCATTACAAGTCCTTCAAGGGTTGCACTGGTTTCTATATCAATTCCAAATATGGGTGATAAGGCCAGATCAGGGACCGCGCCTGCTATGCCACCTTATTTGCCTCTTCAGATCTAGAGGAGATATTCTGTAAAGGTTAGGGATAAGCATAACATCCTTCTTGATGCTTCCAAAGCTCTTGTTTTGGGAAGTTCCATTGATGCTAACTCTGGTTATTTCCCTGCTAGTAGAGTAAGACTGAGAACTCAAGAAAATGTCCCAGAGGTTTATGCAATGACAAACTATCTCCATATTTTTATGAAGGCATCAGTGTAGGATGGGGAAGAGCCAGTCATTGGGGAACCACTATATAGTGACACGGTGGAACTAATAGATAGTGGCATGGTGGGAAATATGCTGTTTCATGTATGGGTGATGCAGTAAGCCACCTAGGCTTCTTGCATATATAGTTTGTAAATAAATAAGTAGATAAATAACACTGCATAGGGGTGTCCATCAAACCATCAGAGTTCAAATAAGTTCCCCATTGCCCAATTGCCTATAGAAGGTAACTTGTTTTTGATTTTAATTGTTATAAATTTAATCTGAACGGGGTATAAATTAGAAAGGACAAGATGCTTGTTATGTAAATACAAGTGAGATTAATACATATTTTTACAATACAATACAATTAATACAATATTTTTTTAAAATTAATGATGTTTCTTACACCATTTTTGCTTTTAGTGTGAAAAGATACTGGCAGACAGCCTTACTTCTTTGCGGTTAAACTATATTGGATCTTTTAACAGTGATCTCTTGGAGGAGATTTTTCCATTATTAAGCGTAATGTTTTCAGATAAGAACAGACAGGTATGCAGCCATGCTGCTCAGTTTTGGAATGCAACATTTGGAAAAGCGCCAACCCTCGAGTACCCTGAAGAATTAAAGTAAGACATATTTTGTTCTTGTGCTTATTATAACATTTTGGAGCCTTGAAACAGACATATCATTACGTAACATATCATAATTTGGATCTAGACATTCCTTCTATTTATGACACAGTGAGTTTCTCCTGTGCCTGATGCATCCCTCTAGTCTCATGCAAAGAGGCAATACAAGAACAAAGGAATTCATTATTATTTCTATCAGTTGCTTCATTCAGTTGAGCATCCCAGAACCAAAACTGATAGGAAGAACAGATGACATCTTGGTTTTATTAATAAAAAAAATTATTAACGTTTAAAAATACAAAAAGTAAAAAGTAATACAAACAAAGAAAAATATATAAAGTGAGAAAAAATGTTCAGAGAAATGAGAGAGAGAAAGAAGAGAGGGAGAAAGAAAAAGAATAAGAAAAGACAAGTACAAACAAATTTCAATAACTTATCACTTTTTCTAATATTTCAACCAAGACTTATTCAGTGACCATGTAAAGTTACAATAGCACTGAACAGTTGGTACTTACAGTAGTCCTTGAAGTTCTGACTATATCTCAGGAACCCCACAGTATGTGATCACTTGGCACTTAAACTTGCATTTAAGACAGTTACTGCATCCCACCATCACATGATTGCTATTTGCAATCTTCCTTGTCAGCTTCTTGGAAGCAAAGTCAGCAGCAAGGGTCACAAGTTGCTTTTGTCAGTCACTCCTGCTCCCTATATGAGGAGCCCTGCTATGGCGTATGGATGTTGTACTCCAGTGTGTACATGTCTACAGCCTTCCCCGATTGAAATTCAATAGTGCACATGAACACCAGGCTGCAACAGCCACCTGGGCATAGTCTCACCACAGCAACCATCTGCATGCCGTTCGTGGCACGTATTCTTGGCCATACACATGCCATGCCACAGCAGTCGCCCATGCACCTCTCCACCACAAAGCTGCTTCAGCAGCCATCCCTTTACCTGAGGACACTCCACAGCGCTCACCTGCCTGCTGGCTTGCTTGGAAGCTGCCCAGGACCTGTGACTTCCTGGTGGCTTCCATGTTGACTGTTTTTTGGGAGTCAACAGGCATTCACAAGTTGTAGTTACATAAGCCTTTCACTTACAACCTGCAATCCTTGCTTAATGATGGCAACAAAGCCGGCTGGGACTGCCATTATTAAACAATGCAGTATTATGCCATTATTTTATAAGAGTTGTTTTTAGCAGTGAATTAATGTTTTGCCTTTTTTTTTTTTTTTTTTTTGCTTAAGAATTAGAATCAGCCTTAGGAGAGTTGGTAATTTCAAAAAAGATCTGGAGCTCAGTTCGTTCTGTCCTGGTAGTCTTGTGTTCAGAACTTCATGTAACCATAAACTTGACAGTGGAATTCTGTAAGAAAATACAATGATAAATGCTTAATCTTTTTCTCTTCAATTTGTTTGGTTAAGAGGTAGTAATTATTTAGGAAAAGCATATGTGAAAATAAGGTTCTGTTTGGATTCTAAGCGTTTTTAATTGGAATATCATCATGCTTGGAATTACTAAAGAGAAAGTGTAATTTTGCTTTTTAAAGTTCAGCTATAAGCAGTTTGTCAAAAATACATTTTGAAATATTACCATAATTTTTAATTTTTCACTGCTATTTTATGCTTTCTTGCAGAATTGTTTTAAATAAAGCAAAACAAAAATTCATACTCTTACTGCCTGCTTTTGAAAGCTGCGAGATAATGGAGGGATCTAGTACTACATATTCCTATTGTGTAAGTTCTGATTGTTTTCAATTCCATTTTGGAATATTAGCAGTTTTCTTTGATCTGAATAAACAAAACTCATATAGCTTTAGTTCAGCCACATTATTGATATTTTAATTTACTTTAATAAATTATGCTTAAATATGTTAAAACAGACAGAGAATTCCCAGTGCAGTACAAACATCAGTGGGATAAGATTAAATCCTAATGGAAAAAGGGACTTATTCCTAGCCCAAACCGGTGAGCCAAAGGAAGAAAGTGTTGATTTTCACATTACCCCTAAAAAGGTAAGACATAAAAATTTACTAATCAAATTATAGTTTTGGTAGTTGTATCTCTAGTAGTTACAGGAAGTATCAGTGAAACACAGGCATATAATGGTAGTCTAAATATGGGGCCCTTTGTTTAAAATTGAGGTTAAATTTACAATTTACAAACTTGTTCTCCTTCCCAGACATGAGTAGAAGGCGTCCTGCTCATTGTGGGCATCATTTCTGTTTTGTGTTATGCCTGAGATACAGACTCCATGTTATTTATGAGCTATTTTTGTCTTTTAATGCTTTTTCCTCATACAAGATGAAGCGAGAATTCTCGGGATCAAAATCAAATATAAAAAGCATTCCTTTGGAAGAAGAAAATACTGTGGACTTTGTGTACATTCCTGTAGAAACAAAAGAGCGAGTCTTAACAGAGCACCAAAAAGAAGTTCTGAGAACTAAAAGGTTTGTAACATATTCATCACATTAAATTAGTTTTTGCCTGCATCTTCTCTGTGTTTTGAAGTTTAGGAGTCAATGAACACCCTTTTTATTTTGCCAGCCAGCTTCTGACTTTAAAGTTTACTCCTTCTGTGGTCAGGAAATGCTAGAAGGAGGTTTTGCAATGAACAGGCTTTCATGGCCTTGAAGCAACTAAGAATATAGGTTCCCATACTTTTCTCTGCATAGCCACTCCATAAGTAGCAAGGAGCTTACTAAACCAGGCTTATGTGTAGAGAAGAGTTCACCATAGAACACCCTTCTCCACATGGTATCCTCTAGATATTTTGAATCTAGATATTTTCTAGAATTTTCAGTTAGAATTGTTTTGAAAATGATGGTCTAAAGAAAGAGTTCAATTTCCTCGAATACCCTCTGCAGAAATAAAAGTTTGGTTTATGTTATGTTCTTTCTGTACATTTTTTTCAGGGATGATATTCCTGTCATGTATAATAATCTGGATATGTCTCAAGATGCTATTCTGTTTTCCCAGGACACTCAGAACCAGGAGGATTCTTTGTAAGTAATAAGCACCAGAAGAAAATTTTAAAAGGGTTTATGTTTTCAGTGCATTTTAACCAGTGATCTTTGTTGTAGGGAGAAACCAACCATAGTTGACATAAAGGAAGAACATGGCAAGAGAGAGGACAAATTAACACCCCAGGTATATTTCTACTTTGAATGTTATTTCTGTTTGGGATAACACGAAAGTATTTTTAGAGCTTTCTTGATAAAGGATTTATATGAAAGGATTTTACCTGAAATAAATCAGTTATTTTTTTTCAAAACTTTTGCAGTAATGCAAGCTTTCTGAAATATTGTTGAAGAAACACTAAACCATTATATTTGAGTGACATTATAACGTAGTAAAACAGAGGTGTCAAACTGGATTTCTTCGAGGGCCAGATCAGCATTGTAGTTCTCTTCCGTGGGCCAGCCGAGGGGGGAACGGGACGGACGCCTCCAGCACCCTGCTGGCCAAAACGGGGCATTGGGGGGACTGCATGCGGCCTCCTGCTCCCCATTTTCGGCCTGGACAGCCTCCTGCAGAACTTTGCCATGCCCCATTTTGGCTGCCAGAGGCACATTGGGCCAGTCTTTTGCTATTTCCAGGCCGGCCCCATGGGCCAGATTTAAGCACCCTGCGGGTCCAGCCCACGGGCCTTGAGTTTGACACCCCTGTAGTAAGATATATGTAGAATTATCTAGGCCTGCTTATATTGTGTTTGATAATCCTGTGGTTTTAGGTGTTCAGTTGGAGAAAAAATCATTTCATTTTTGATAGATCTGTTTATCTTTAAATGAAACAAGCCACTAATTTAATACCATTGTGTTCTGATAATTTTATGAAAGCAATACCAAACACTTTTAGAGGCAGGATAGAAAAAAAATTACTAAAACAAATGTCTTCTCAAGTAGTTACAGTGTTATAATCTTACTAAGTAGATAAAGGGTTTGGGGGACTAGAAATCCCACAGAATGCTTAATGCAATCATTTTATAAGGAGGGTGGTATATTAATGATGCAAGCAGTAGACTCATAATATTTAATGTTGCAAATTGTTTAATTGCAGAAAAAAGAGGCAACAAGTCATCATCTTGTCATCCCACATGGAGTAACTGGAAATTGCAAATCAAGTGTATCTCTGGGGAACATTACTTCTACTGTTACTGAGCAACCTAATAACTTTCAAAAAGAGAAGTTGGATCTGAAAAACGAGGAGTTGAATGTCTGTGTTCCAATACAATCTCCAATATTAGATTCCACTTTGAATGAAAATCCCCCTAATTGCAGCAGCAACTCCTCAGCTTCTAGTGATATAATTTCAGGAACACCACAAGTAGTGGTGAACAGAAGGCAGGCCTTTGTAACGTTAGAAAAATTTGATGACTTAGAGAACAGACCATTCAGTCCTTCCGTTTTCAATAATATTTCTGTAACATTAACAAGTCCATTTATCCAGCAGGAAAGCACAGTAGTTTCAGATGTCTCTTCAAAAGAAAAGTCAAACTTGGAGAATAAAGGTGGTTTAAAACTCAAAGCAAGAAAAACTGTCCCTGGCACAAGGAGGACACACTTAGAATTCTTAAATGCTCTAGAGATGTGTGTCAAAGCAAAAAGACTTAAAGAAGAAACTACTCCTGATCCAAAATTGCAGCCTAACGACACGGTTGAGATGAAGAATTCAAGTCTTGCACAAAATAAAACTTTGGATGACAAAACCTCAGAACAAATGCAATCAGACCAAGAGGAAAAAAATCAGGTTTCTGATACGCATTGCGAGGATAAGCATGAATTACCTGTGGACACACAAATACCAGCACATTTGCTAGATAATCAGTCTCAGATCCCCAGTGTCGGTGTGGCTGACAGCACAACAGTGGAGAGTAAAGTCCTCCTGGACATAGTTAAAAATGAAAATGGAGAACCAAATTTAGAGCACAAAGAGAATACATCTCCAGAGATAGATGTTCGTGAAGAAGCAGTGTCTGATGTTAACCAGAGTCCAGACATTTCACTTAATCAGAAAACATTAAGACGTTCTTTAAGACGAAAAGCAGAACCTGATGGAGCTGTAGATAGCCAAGATAAAGAGAACAGTCAACAAAAGAAGGACAAGCAAAAAGATGATGAAAAAATTCCACCAAAGAAGATGGCACAAAAAAGGGAGACTTCTGGGCAAAAAGAAAAGGCTGAAAAACTTGAAAAAGCAGCAGATGCACCAATATGTGTGCCTATAAACAATGCTACAGAAAACATAAACTCTAAAGAGAACAGCCAGGAAGAGTTGGACGTGAGTCTTGGGAAATCTGAATGCAGTCCTACTGCATCTGACCTTGAAGAATCAGGCCCAGATGTATCTGTGGAGAAACTAAAAGTATTTCCACGGTATCATACAAGAAGAGCAGCTTCACAAGGATTACTTACCAGTATGGAAAACTCTGAATCTGATATCGGTGAAACAAGAGAGGAAGGAGCGAAGAGGAAAAGGTCTGGGAAATTGAAAAAAAATGATCCCCCTGGGAACCAAGCAAAGGAAGAGCCAGACAGCCAAGAGCTTTCTTCACAAGATGCAGTAGAAATCCAAACCAGGTCAGTAGGAAAACAGAAAATACGTTCTGGCGGAGAGACAGATGTGCCTTCGATGTCTAATAATACAAAGGAAATCGGTACAAAGGAAGAAAAAAGTACTCCCTCGTTAAGTCCCTGTGTGGACCTTAAAGAAAATGCAGGCTCGACAGGTCCTAGAGCCTCTTCAGATGCAGGGAGAAAGCCTGCTAACAGGCGGGAATCTACTTCGGAGCCTATTTTAGAAAACAGGCAGGAAACTAGTACTCTCGACACAAGTTCTGTGGTACCTAACAATTCAAGTGGCATTTCAGAAGATGATGCTTCTGCTACTGCTATCAGTGCCTTTCCTTCACCCAAGAGATTTCTAGATGTGTCTGAATGCCAGCACAAAAGAAGCAAGCGGGCAAGGAAATCCAGGAGCTGCGAATGCTGTGATGAAAAGCTGTCTCCCCAAGTGGAAAAGTTGTCCTCTGAACCGAAAAAGGCAAGCACTCCAGAACCAAAGATAAAAGAACCAAAGAAGAGCCTTAGTAAAGTAACCGTGGCCCTGACCTTAATTCCTGTTGCTGAAGAAATTCAGTTTGCAGAGAAGCTGAGCATAGAACCTTGTGCAACAAGCACCCCGCTGTCTTTCGTTAAGGATGCCGCTGATCGGAAAGAGGCCAGCAGTGTTGCTGAATCTGTCAGTGGCGTCCCAAGAAACAAGGCGCCAAACGTTAAACTGGAGAAATTAGCATGTGTCCAAAATGAAAGGGACAAGCCAGTTGCAGGAATTCCAGATGTTCCTTTCTCTGAAACAATTTCAGAATCCAGATCAATGGATTCTCATTCAGAAGAGCTCAGTGTTCAGGGTCAACCTTTAGAACCAAGTTCAGTGGATTCTCATTCAGAAGAAGTCAGTGCTAAAGATCAGCCTTTAGAACCAGGTTCAGTGGATTCTCAGTCAGAAGAAGTCAGTGCTAGGATCAGGGTTTAGAACCAGGTTCAGTGGATTCTCAGTCAGAAGAAGTCAGTGCTAAGGATCAGGGTTTAGAACCAGGCTCAATGGATTCTCAGTCAGAAGTCAGTGCTAAGGATCAGGGTTTAGAACCAGGTTCAGTGGATTCTCAGTCAAAAGAAGTCAGTGCTAAGGATCAGGGTTTAGAACCAGGATCAATGGATTCTCAGTCAGAAGAAGTCAGTGTTACGGATCAGGGTTTAGAACCAGGATCAATGGATTCTCAGCCAGAAGAGGTCAGTGCTAAGGATCAGGGTTTAGAACCAGGATTAATTGGATTCTCAGTCAGAAGAAGTCAGTGCTAAGGATCAGGGTTTAGAACCAGATGCAGAAGCAGAGACTGAAATGGATGTCGGTAGTAACCAAAGTGATCAGTTGGAAAGTGAAACATATACAGAGATCAAAATTATCCAAGTTGTGGGAGCGCAGCCTGAGGAAAGAGTCGTTCAGAATACTGTAGAAGAGACTACGGTAACATCTGCCACTGAGGTAGCAGAGCTGCAGGAAAATGAGACGAGTGAGGAAGAAGGCACAGAAGATAATGCAGCAAACGCACCAAGTGAACCTCCAGCCTTAGTTTTGTGGCAGGAGAAAAGTAGTACCTTGGATTCACCACCAAAATGTAAAGAACTTGATTTTCTTTCTTTAGCCAAGGTCAGTGGAAGTCCCACTGGGGCACAGGCTCGCTGTCTTTGGTCCCCATCAGCTTCTCCTTCTACAAGTATTTTAAAGAGAGCCATCAAAAGAGAACCAGAGGAAGATTCGTCATCTCCTGCAAACAAGGTATTTTTAAGCAAATTGTGCCACTCTACCTGTGATTATTTGCATATTACACAAGCTCCTTTTGAAGCCCTAAGTATATTTTTAGTTTCTTTGCCATAGTTGAAATCCATGATTCGCCAGCCTCTTAAGCTACTAAAGTCTATGTGGCGTGCCTGAAGCAATAAAACTTGAAGACTTTTGGGTGAAGGGAAATCTTTTGATCAGCACTGGAATTTTCTTTTCATAACTTGGTTTTATAGGATACATTATATTAATGTAATTGTATAGCCACTTGAACATTTATATCCTACTTAACACATTTTTTTATTCAGCAAATCATTTCTTATGCCTGATGGTTGGGCATTTGAAATAATTTATACAAATGAAGTGCTAATGGCACTCAAATGATAATGCATTGGTCACAGCCTCAAATTTAGTTTTTTAACAGATTTGGTTGTGTAAAAATATGCCTTCATTTGACTCCATGGTTAGTGAATATTGTGCACAGGGTTTACATACTTAAATAGTATTTTCTTTCTACTGGCATCTGCAGTTTCGTCAGGACTTTATTTAGAGATTCTAATGAATAAAAATAACAATGTGTAAAGTTTGAATTAATTTTTTTAAATTCCGGTATCCTTATGTTTGTCAAAGATGTGCTGAATTTATAACAGCCCTTGTTTGCCACAGGTAGTCACCACGTAATGACTACAATTGGGATTAGCAATGCAATCATTAAGTGAGACAACATATGTGGTTTACTACATCACTTTCACAGTTGTTAAGTGAACCACCTTTGGTCATAAAGTGAGGCTCCCATGTCTGAGGCTTGCAGTTTTACTACCATTTTCTCTATTGACTTTGCTTGTTGGACATGTATAAATGATAGATCATAAGATGCTGCAATAGTTCTTTTTAAAATGTAAGGTTTGATTGTAAACCCATCATAACTGAATGGTACTAAACAGGGCAGTCAAGGACTATCTGTATTCCACTTAGTGAAGCTTAAATGCATATGTCCTTGTTAAGGCTACTTACAAAGTGGTGTAAGTGAAAGAACCTCAATGAGTTAACAAAAGGATAGCATTCAGTATATTTCCGTCCAAATGTCTCAAATGTTTAACCTGAATTCCAGTGAAATGTGAAAAAGGAAGAAATTAATTATTCCTCTCTTATTTATGTGCTTCCTATTACTTAGGTTGCCCTGTACTGTTAGCAGTACAATTCCCTATTACATTGTCAATAAGTTCTGTTTCCTCAAGGAAATATGTTTAGTATTGCAGTTTAAAAAATCACTGTAATATTCAGGGTTACATTAATTCATTTGCCTTTGTAGGTACATGACTTTCCTGAAAGAGCATGCCCAATTTGTGGGAACTTGGATAAATTTGCTTTTACCAAAGATGCACACTAGCACATTTAAGATACATGTGATAGATTTCTATGTTTCTTTATAGATAATGCAAATCTAATTGTTTGTTTTTATAAAAGCATTGATCTATAAACAGAGTGTCTATAGATTTCCTTTGGAGGTTTCGAAGCATCTGTATTTTAAGCAACACGTAGGCAATAGGAACTTCCAAGCCATGAAATTGTAGCTTTTGCATTTGTATGATATTTCAAATTCATTTAAATAATAATTCGTCCAATATGTGTGAACAGAACCGAAGAGTCTCCTTTGCCAATCCAATCTACCAAGAAGAATTAGCAGATGACATTGACCGGCGAAGTCCTGTACTTAGAACTCATCCTTGCAATAATGGCTCTCAATCTTCGCGAAGTGCTAAATCTTCACCTAGTCACCAAGCCAAGGTAGTGTTACCCAGCTTATTCTTAGTGTTTTTTTTTCCTTGGAAAATAAGATCAGCGATGCAGGAGCTTTGTAACGAATTAATCTGTAAAAAAGCCATATCTTGGATTCTGAGTATCTGCATTAGCAAAAGTGTCCCCCTCTCCCCTCTATACACCAGGGTTTTTCTCCTGCAGATTCAATTTGGCCAGTTACTTTATGCAAGCCTTTGGGACCTCTAGAACACTGTACAACATAACATGTACAATAACACTGTACAACATAACATGTACAAGAAAATGTGTAATTACAAAGCAAAAATACTACCTATGTATATACAGGAAGGCCTTTTTGTTCATGTAGGGTATGTTGACTGTAAAATTAAATTTCAAGTTACACCCGGTTGGTATGAAAAAACATAACATAAGTTAATTTTCCTATCGCTATTACATGGCTGTCTCCATACATCAATTGGAATGAAGATTCTTTCCTGTTGATGTAGCTTAGGCATCCATCCATTACTGTTATATTGTTATCCTTGACTGGTTTTCATGTGTAGCTGCTCTTTCTACAATTTGGTCATGGAAGGAACCAGATGCCTGGTAGGAGAAACCTATGAAGCTACAGTAATCAAAGCTTAGTCATGTATTCCTTGTCTGTTCCAGTTAATGGATGAATTAACCTATTCTGTGGATGCCTTAAGTCATTTCAACAGTAATCTTCATTGTGAGTGGGTTTTTTTCCAGCCGAGCTAGTTTGTTGAAGAAGTATTAACTGCTTCTGGAAGTATTTTTCTGTTGAATTGGCCTTTTCTTAAATAAAGGACCTCATTTTAATTGTTTTGCTTTAAAAAAAAGAATCACAGGGTTATAGATGATTCCTATGATCTTGAGCAACATTTTTTCCTCTTTTCCTATCCAGCTTATAACCACTCCAACCAAAGGATCTCTGTCCCCTGGAACCCGTAGCCATAAATATAAGAGCTCAAAGAAGTGTTTAGTAAGATTTGTATCCCTTTTATGTACCTCATCTCAATTTCTCCCATGCTCAGGTCTTAAACTTATCCAAATTCATGATTTTTTGTATTACTTAAGATCACAGAAATGGGCAAGGAGCCAACACCAATACCTACAGAAAGCGTCTATCCTGCCCTAATGGGCTGTAAAGCATCTGTCGACATAATTCTGCCTCAGATTACTTCAAATACTTGGTAAGTAGGAAGACATTGAATCAGGTTGTCCTGAAAAAGTTTACGTGTTATATGTTTAGGCAGTGCTCCTAACAAGTAAAATAATATATTCATTTGAAGTTAAACACTAGCTGCATAAAAGGAGCGAGCGCCAGATGATAGGAATCTCTGTTTGAAGGGTACATTGCATTGCTGATAGATTGTGGGGTAATTGTTAAATCATATATATGAAAATGTTCATAATAATATAAAGTTGTACTTTTTCCAGTATATTGAATCTCAGTGCATTAAACTCACTCATTTTTCTATAAAGATATATTGTTATGTACCATGTTGAAAATACAGCTGAAGAATATATATTTTGGATAGACAGAAATTTTATATAAATAGTGCATCCCGCTCTTGTTTATATTAGCAAAAAATTCAAATTGTGCCACATGAGGTTTTTTTGTTTTTTTTTTAAAGATTGCTATGTACAATGTGAATATTTCCTAATCTTAAATTCATTCTGATAGATACAGAATTATTTTAACCCAGAAGATGCTCTTTGAAATTGGAATAGATGATAAAATGCCCTTTTGGACATATAGTTTGAACAGAAGTATTGTGACCTTGTACTTCTCAATTACTTGTTTCGGGATAGTAATTTAGTGTTGCTTATTTTTGCAAAAGTTTCATATATGTACATAAATTTATAATCTGCATTGGGTTAGAACTTGTAGTGAAGTTAAAAAACACTTTTTAGATGGTAAGGTTATATTTTCCGTGGTACATTAGATTAAAACTCCTCCTTTCATGTACCTTTAGGACAAGAGGGTTAGGACATCTGATTCGAGCAAAGAATATCAGGACGGTGGGTGACTTGAGTTCTCTCACCGCAGCCGAGATCAAAACTCTTCCTATCCGTTCTCCTAGAGTTTTAAATGTTAGAAAGGTTCTTAAAGGCTATCATGAGCAACAGGTAAGTAAGCTTATTTGCACTTTTAAATTAAAATAAGCAAAAGTGGAACTGTTGCCTTAATAAAAGTTGGTTCTCCACAGAGAAGAGCAGTGGGAGAAATAAATTATTTAAATAATCTGGAACTTGCAGTTTGTGGATGGTGGGAAAGAGGTAAGGAGGACATCCTTGTTTCTGGTTTTTCTAACATCCCTCCTGATTATACTGAATATATATTTTCAGTATAGTGAAAGACTTAAATTTGGACTAAGTTCCATATCCCTCAGCAGTTCATTATTATACAGCAAAAAAAGACTTTCACCTACCTGATTGTGGCACAAGAGCAAGTAATTTTAAACTCTGTGTTCTTTATCCCCTAATCCTGTTAATTTCCCTTTCCTCCTTCCCACATTCACATTCAAGCCTGTGTGTGAGAGCCATTTTATTTAATCATATTCCTTTATCTGAGATATTTTGGATGGGCTTAATCACTTTTAAGAGTTCTAGAGGACTGTTACAGATATTCAGATAATGATCCAGGCTGTATCCATACATACATCGGAACCAGGGTGAAGACAAACGTAATATTTCTGAATTCAACTCTTCTAGTGGTATCTGAATTCTCACAATGTATGCCTTTTGCCTTTTGATTCTGTTAATAGCAATAGCATTTAGGCTTATACACTGCTCCCATAGTGCTTTTTCAGTATTCTCTGCGGTTTACAATGTAGGAACATTAGTTGCATATTGACCCCAACAATCCGGATCCTCATTTTACTGACCTTGGAAGGATGGAAGAACCTTAAGTCCCGTCAGGATTGAGTTTGCCTGCAATACTGCACTTTAACCACTGCATACCTGTCAACTTGGGGAACTGCCACTTTGATTTCAGGAACTAAGGATATTTGTGGATGTTGTGCTTAGGAGAATGTATGGTATGACAGAAATCAGGTTTCAAGCACTGCTCTTAAACATTGGACAGTTCTGAGCAGAACCTGCAGGTGCAAGAAATGCTTGTATAATTTTACAGTGTCCCACTCAAAGAACCACATTTACAGTTTTATCTTTTTCATCTGCAGATTAAACAATATTCTTCTCCCCCCACCCCACCCCCTTTTAATACGTGCAGGTAAAATCTCGTGGAATGGAGGAAAACGCTGGCCTTGATGATACAGAGAAATCAAGCAATGCCATGGGTGATACATTTTTCTCTGCAAATGAAAATGCAGGTAAGTATCGCTTAAACCTATGCAACCTGTTTTGCTGTGTTTAATATAAAGCATAAGAAAGCATGCTTGTCAGCAATTCAAATCCCAGATGAAACTGAGTGCCCATGTACCTTATGGCAGTATCCTTGTTATTGTTCTCTTATTCTGTTTCTTCTGGATAATTAATCTGGTTATATGATTCTTATATATGCTTAAGTATGTATTCCTGCATTTACTGTTGGTATTCCTGTGCTGCTGTATTCTGACACAGTTTTGAGTGGCATATAGCAGAATTAAGGTCAAAAACGGTCAGAAAAGTAGCATATGCACACTTAAGGTATGCCAAATTGGTTGTCATTTTCTTCTAAACACTTACATTCACTTGATACGTGACCTTTGACTATTTCCAAGTACAGTAACATTTCATCTGAAAATATTATTAATAAAACTTTGTCATTGGGCTGTGGGGCCTGATTGTTAAATGTGTGTGTGTGCGTATATATATATATATATACACATTCCAAGAGCGCTAACCAGTGCTTGTGGTGGTTTGTGAGATAGACCATAAAAAGAAAGGCTAATCACTCCCAAATGCTAGTATTTCAGATTAAATTTTCATCTCTTTATCCTGCTGGCTAAATCTCTCCAGTTAATGGGTGGATTGTCTATAGTTACACAGTTACTTACAAAAGCAAGAGTTACAGACTATCTATGTTTGAATGGGCTTCAATTTGGTCTCACCTAGAATGTCTTTACAACCCACTTTTCTTTTCTTTCATTTTAGACGTATGTGAACCTGAGGTCTCCAGTACAGGTGAGTCATCAGCAATAGACCTTTGGGCTCAGGTTAATCTACTTGCTGACCAAATTTCTTCTGAAAGACTTCGAAACTATTCAGGGAATGAACTTTTTGAAATGCAAGAGAAGCTTCATAGTATGACAGACTGCATCATGAAGACTCTGAAGTCCCGTTGGACACTTTCAAGATCTTGCGAAACCACTGTTTAAAAACAAAAACAAAAAAACCCCAGCTACTCTGATTAACTTCTTTGAAGAATACATTTGATTTTTTAAAATCCAAGATTTAAATTTGATATTAATATTTAGTTTTATTATATATTTTAAGTAAAAGGGATTCCTGTAACTTGAAGCAAATACAGCATTGGAATATAAATCTTAAACTTCTAAATTCTGTGGACTTGCATTTCAAGGTTTTCTTTTTTTTTCATTGCTGCTATGCACAACTTCCAAAATGTAAGATGTGCAGTAATGACTGTGAAACATGCCACAATTTGGAGCAGTATATTTTTAAAATGTTAAGTATTTTAAATGAAAGGGCTTTGATGCATTGTCAATATTTAAAGCCCTGGTTTTATTGTTCTGACTAAAGTTTGAAGTGTTAATTAATTTACCAAAAGTGATACAAATCTTCCTACTGATAGTTGTTTGGAAGGTACTAGTTTTATAGCTTCATTACCATATTACGAAGTATGGTGCTTCATTAGCATACTAAAAATATCTCAAACTTTTTCATAGGACATAGTCTATTTTTTCATGAATGTAGTATGCAAAAGAAAAAAGTGTGTCAGTACATAATTCCAATAAGTAATTCTCAGGATCTGACCACGTGCTCTTCGAATTTTTATATACCACAAAAGTTTTATTTGCCCCATTCATGAGTCCTATATAAACTGGACATAAGAATAATTTTGTATATTATGTATAGATGTACTAAATGCAAATGCTCTAAATTATATCTGTATGAAAGGCAGAGTCTAACATGCTTGAATGGGAGAAACTTTGTATAGAGCAAATTTGTGCTTTTTAAAGTTGACCTAACAATGGGATCAATTTATGTTTTAGGAAATAAATATATATAAATAAAGTATATAAATGGTTGAATAAAATGGTTGTAATTATTTTGGGAAAGAACTGTGTTGTGTTAAGATTAAAATTAGTTTTAGTCAAGAGAATGTATTTTTAAAACAGCATTTAAACTCTTTATTAATAACTGACATGGCAAAAGTGCTGATTTGTCTATTGCAGGAAAAAGGGATAAGGGTGAATCAATAGGTCTGGACCGTCTGGGCCTTTGTAAAGGTTAATAGAAAGGGTTTTTAAAACCAAATTAATCTGGCAATTGCCTTCTATGATTATATGGTAATTTAATTCCAATTTTGGTTTTTCAGCATAAATCAGTAATGAATAATAGGGTACAAGAAAACCTCAAGAGAATCAAAGACTATCATTAAGCTAGGAATATGCTTTCAATATTGAGGAGAGAACAGGCTATATAGGAATTTATAAACCAGTTCTGCAAACCTATTAAACAATGTCGTCCTTCATCTATTCCCAAAGCTGTTGGAAATGACTCAGAACAATCATCTAATCCTCTTGATTTTTGATGAGGATCCTTGAGTTTTTAACCTTTAGTTGTTATTGCTTGCCACTTGTTTGACATTACAGGATAAATTGGATTGGATATCAAAGATTGTGTCAATCCAGCACTCTTGTTTATTTAAATTTAAATTTTCCTATTATCATAGAATCTCACCTTGTTTTCTACCATTTGTAACATCTCTATCTATGCTCATCGTTCATAAATATTTATGGCAACCGTCATATGATGGTTATAAATTAGACCCAACAAGCCCTTAAAAATATAAGGGAAAATTTAGTATCCATTTAATTTACTGACCTGAAATAATTGTTGCTTTTTGCTTGCCCCTTTTAATCCCTCTCTATTCAGTTATTTTGTTACCTCAAGTATATTTTCCTTCTTAAGGAAGATAAAGCTAAGAGAAATTGATACATGAGGATTGTGCCCATCAATCATGGTGAGGAGAAACTGCTACAAATGAAATACAGTCATTGTGAAGTATACTGTATTACCCTCAATGCTAATCAAGGATCAGAAGCTTGACAATGAGAAGAAATCGCAGAACAAAAATAAGGTGTGTTGGTTGAAAAGAACTGAATATAACAGCAGCAGCTGGTGGTATTCAGATGATAGAAGAGGTGGTCTACCAGGGAGACTGGGAAAATTGCTGAACCATTTACCTTGAAGGAATGAGGCCAAGATCTGGGGAGAAAGCTAAAATTACTGTTCTCAGGAAAGCAGGAAAATCTTACTATAGTGAATTGGACTTTGATTCTGAAAAAGCAACCCAAGAATTTCCAATGAAGTAGATTGTAGATTAAGGAAGGAAGCCCCCATTGTTTAAAATGTCAGTGTGAAAAGTATGAACATTGCCAGATTCCAATTTATAGTCTGTTTCTATCTTTGTTGAGGCCTGAAATCTTAATATATGTGGGTTCAGCAATCTCTTGTTCAATTATGCAATTAAAGTCATTTTTTTCAAAATGATCTCTTGGAAGTCTGCATCAGAGTTCAACTTCCCAGGATTCCCTGTTGCAGATTTCAAAACGACCATTAATTAACCAAGAGATTGCTGAATTCAACATATGTTAAAAAGTTAAACAATGGATTTTTAACATTACAATGATAAATGGAAAAGTTATTTCTGTCTCCTGTGTTGCCTGCATCTGGGTAACCAACCTGTCTTCATCACACTGCCCACAACCCAGTTTTAATCCAGCATCAATTTAGTTTTGCATCTGATGAAGGGAGATGCAGCTCCTAAATCTTACAGCTTTTAATAAAATTATGTAAATGGGGAAACATTCTTCCAGTCTCCTAGAAGAATTGCAGCCACTGTTTCAAGGTGCAGTGTTATTATTATACTGGTGATACCCAATTGCAATATGTCCTCCATGATACAAAGTCTTATCCTGTTATCTGGAGGCTGTTGGGGTGTGAGTGGAGTGAAACAGGTTTAACCCAAGCAAGATGCAACTTGCCTACTAAGCATCTCTCTCCAGCATTCTCTCTTCACAGGGAACCACTGCTAATGGGCAAGTCTATCACATGCAGGTCTTCCTGGACCCATAGCTACTGCTAGATGGGCAGGTGGAAGGCTTGGTCAGTAGGGCTTTTACCCAGCTTTAGGGGATGCGCTAGCTATGGCTATATCTAGAATGGAAGATTTCAGAAGAGCAAAGTATCTCATGTGCATGGATCATACATGTATTAATATCCTCTTGAAAGCTACAATAGGTGCAAATGAGTGGCCTCCAGATGCAGGCCCTGCATTGGTTACTCACAGCTTCTGGCTGCAATTTAAAGCCTTATGAAGCCATATATGATTTGGACAACGGTATTTATTGGACAACCTCCAGCCAGAAATTTCCTGCTTCATATGTACATGTGGTTAATATTGTTGGTTCCCTAGTTTTATGAAGTAAGGGAGGCTGAGGTCAGGAGGAAGTGTTGAAATTTCTGTAATGTCTCATGTGCTATGGGATAACCCTTGGACTTGCTCCCGATTTGCTCCCGACTTGCTCCCGATTTTCAGAAGATGGTAAAGATGGGGATGCTTTGGCAAGCTTCTGGAGATCGATGGGTGAACACACTCAAGTTCATGGGCTACATGTTAGCATCAAATACTTTTAGAATTAATTTGCATTTTGAATTTTTTTTAGTATTAATATCGATGTTTTATCACTACTTTGGATAATTTTATTGTACTGTTGTAGTCACAACAGCAAGGACTCTGAGAAGCAAATAAGTATATAAAATGAAATACAGCACATAATAGATTTGCGGAAACATGACATTTATTAGTCACTAATTTGAGAGGAAATTAACAGCACTGCGACCCAAGAACACGCAGATTAACAATGCATGCATCACATCAGCATTCTCTAAGTAGAGCAGAAGAGAGGCTTTCCACTTTTAACTAGTTTAAGGTGGTGTATACTAGAAACAGACATGGATACATCCGGCTGTGTTTAGACTATCGTGTGTGATCACTGCATCTCTTGGAAAAACCACATAAACCAATACAATTCAATGATTCGTGAAAATAAACTGAATCGTACAAATTCAGCTGAATTAAAAGAGGGATGACGTACTGAATTTCAAGTACCCAAAACTCTCTTTTAAACACCTAGTCAAACTAGGGATGGATAATGTTTCCTGAAAGTTTTAGATGCCAGACAATTCTTCACATGTATCAAGAGAGAGAAAATAAGGCATTTTTGGCGACTTGTTATGAATTGTACTGAACTGATGTGGCATAAAGGGCCTTCTTATTGTCCATGTCAATGTGAGTCTCCGTTTAAACTCCTTCTACGTAGTTGGCTGGAAGCATGCCTGTTTTGCCTGTTCTTTGCACAGTTCCATACATCCATCCTTCGTCGATGGCTTGGACGTTGACAATTGCATCACCATCTTTGAAAGAGACTTCATCAGCATCCGATGCTGTGTAGTCATACATAGCACGATAAGTCTTCTATTGTGATCATATTAGGGAGAAAAATAATATCCACATGTTACTAGCATAAACACAAGAGTACAGGGAACTATCAATTCAACACTTCTGTGAAGCTTTGAATATAAAGACCTCCCTCCCAAACACATTAATAATATACCTCAGTCCCTCAAGTGAATAAATATTCATTCCAAAGATGACCATTCATTCAGACATATGAAGGTTTTATTTTACTCCCAAGAAATGGCAACCCTTCCACACGGCAGGCAATGATGAGTTAATGTTAAAGTATAACATAATCCAAGTTTCCTTCCCATTACAATTTGCCACCATGACCTTATATGTAAGCATGTAAGGAGCAAACCTTGATGTCATGAATCAGGTTCAACCATTCTGATGAGGTCATTGGCTTGTGATGGACTCACCTGTACATAGGCTCAATTCAGAAATACCCTCTGCCTGCAGAAAACACCATTTTTATAGATACTTTTGTTGGATAGTTTTACTTACCCCTGCAGTGGATGGATGAGAGGGGATGGAAGATATTGTAGTCTGTTGAGTCGCAACAGAAGATGATCTTTGTTGTGGCAGCTCTACAGTTTTGGCATGTTTGTATTCCACTAATGAAGGAAATGAAGTTGAAATATATCAGAAGAAGCAAAACAAAACACTCCAGTGTGTTTTCAAAATACATGTTTAAATAGTGCTTGAATACTGGGTATGTTTTTCAAATTTTGTTAGTGGTTGAAGCTATACATTAATATAGCACTGATGTATGTATTGTTAGAACATCTCTTTGTAAAAAAAATTGTAAAAGAATATTGCCCACAGAGATGGTACTAACATTTTTTTTTCTTTTTGGCATACAAAGGTGTTGCTACTTTTTAGTACTTTTTTCTGATTGAAAAGAATCACTCTGGTATTGTACATTAAATAAATTGTGGCATTTATATGTTGCATTCCCAAGAAAGTGTTATCATCCTATAACCAACCCTTATGTAGGTATAAAAATAATGTGTGGCTGTTATAGTAGCTAGTGTTGATACTACAGCAGCCAACATATTGCATTATTCTTAGTCTTCCCATTCTGCTTTATCCATGCTCAATTGTTTTGAACAATGAATTACAAGTTTTGTATGACATTCCACTTGATAATTTTTCAAGACTGGCAAAAAAATGTAGTTTTCCTTCCAGTTCCATCTTTTCTATCATTTTTTTAACACATAAAATAAATCTGAGTTTTGGCACTAACAATGCTCTTCTGGCCTTTCTATCAAAGTGCAGGGAAGCTGATTAAATTCTAAATAGATGGCTCATGAGGAGAGTAAGCAAATGGAAGCCAAAAGGGAAAAAAAAAATTTATGATTTATGTTTTTGATGATTAGATAGGATAGGTTATAAAAAGAAGAGAGTCGTGAGGTAACTTTGACACAGAAGTTAAAATATGACCATAGTGAAAAAGATTGGAAGCCACTTCTTTATATTTTTCTTTATACTATTTTCTTCTTTCTATATTTCTTCTTTTTTTCCTTTCTACACTTTTAGCTTTTTTTTCTCCCTTTCTTCTTTTTCGTTCTATTTTAGTTTCTATTAGTTTTTATTTGTTAAATTTTTCAGATACACACAAATTATGCCACCAATTTCCCATATAAGGTGACTCTGGGCAGTTTACAAGTTATAAAATAAGTAGAAGAATAATTAAAATATTAAAATATTAATCGGTCAGAATAGAGCTGGAAGGGACCTTGGAGGTCTTCTAATCCAACCTTCACTACACTTCACCACACTTCACAGGTTAAGGTTTTAAAACTGTATTGAAATCAAAACTAAGAGTTGGGTAGAATAGGATTTTTTACTCCGTCAGCTACCTCCAGTAGTTAGTGGCTCCCTCATATATATTTGATGGGAAATTATTTATGTTTTTACCTGTTGCAGTTGTAGGAAAGAAGCCTCCATTGCTGTAATATGACAAATGCTGATCGGCGGCCTCTGAATGCTCAGATTTTTCATCCCCGCCACTGAGACTGACAGCACTGGCGGAACGTGAATGCTCTCGGCTACGTCGCTTGGCTTGAACTGGGAGCCAGAGGTGAAGAAATAATAGTGAGGGGGAACACTGTGGTTTCTTACTTAGCAGGAAAGTAAGATATGTTAAATTCCTAACATAAAGCTGCATTTTATTTATTTTATTTATTTTATTAATTTAATTTGTATACCGCCCTTCTCCCAGAAGGGACTCAGGGCAGTGAACAGCCAAAATTAAAAAACATACAAATGCAAAAGTTAAGATAATTAAAAGAATTAAATCACTGGCTACCCAATTTAAAACCCCAAATCCATAAAATTTAAAATCCCAATTAAAAACCATTTAGGCTAGGCCGGCTTGATGAAATAAAAACGTCTTCAGGGCTTTACGGAAGGTCCGGAGGTCCGGGATCAATCGTATTCCAGGAGGCAGCTCATTCCACAGGGCGGGTGCCCCCACAGAGAAGAGAGCTAAAACAATAAGCTGCCACTTTGTGTTTCATCCATAATGAAGCTCAAATATTCTTTTCTATTGATACGATGCTCACAATTTCACAAATAGCACAACATACCTGCCAGCAAGTGCAAGCTTCTCGACTGAATGTTATCTTCTGCTGGGTCATAGTCAAAGACCGATCCAGGATTGGTTCGCCAAACACGAAGGCCTGCAGAAACGTAGGATGAGAGTGGGATGTTGTTTGTGTTATTGCAGTTTGACTTTGCAATCAAACAGTCAAGATGTAAGTAAATGAATGCTTGTCGTTTTTACAAGCCACATTTAGAAAACTAGTTTAGTAGTTATGCTTGAAATGTGGTTTGACTGAGAAACAACAAAGCTGTTGTTATCCTCTGTAAACATAACAAACAATTATGGTTAGATGATCTAAGATACTTTCCAAACAATTGAATCTGGAATAGACCATTAACTCAATAGACCTCAATATAAACTCGCTGTTGTGCAGAATAAAGTCTGCATGCTATGAAGAATGGATTTTACAAGCAGATTTGGTTTAGACATAGCTTAGTACAGGTAAACTCTCAAGATAAATCAACTTTTTTTAAAAAAACGTATTTAGTAAAATTAATTCTCTGCCTCGTATCTTGACACAATGCATTATAGTTTTGTATGCTTCATTTACGAAAATCCATACAATATAAGATAAGATATACCTGTTAGGTTATTCAGTTCTTGATCCTGACCTATTCGTTTCTGCTCCATTTCTACGACTCTTCTCTGAATGCCCCTATAGTTAATGTCACTGAAGTCTTGCATATTCTTCTTGACACGTTCTGTTATGGGATCTGTGACAACAGGTGTGAAACTACCTTTGGTCTTTTCAAAGTCTTCATGGTATTTCACCTGGAATTTTTTTAAAAAAATACAAATTCATTCCAGATAGTCATATTTGAGACAGCTTACCTGGTAAGAATTAGTAGTGGAGTACAACATTCATAATTTTCAGCTTCTAATAACTAGGAATTATTTCCCCAATAATTGATTTTGCTGATTAAATAAGGCATCCATAGTATTTTTTGCTTGAAAGGCATCAGGTTGGGGAAAGTTATATTAAGTAAGTGCTTAATATCTGCTTACCCACTGAAATTATGAAAAATTTATACAGTAAGTTGTCCAAACTCCACAAGCCGATTTTAGTTTCTGCTTTGGATGTTACATTTGAATTGTTCTTTCTTAAAATATGTTACTGTTGATAGTTTGCTTGGGCTGTTTCTTGGCTTTCATAGATAGCAGTACTCACTGTGGAAATGTGCCGCTGTGTCTCCCGAACACGCCTCATTTCAGGGGTATCGAAGACAAAAGGTGCTTTACCTTGTACTTGCTTCCGGAAGCTATCTGAATAGAGGATCTGACAACATTAGAGAGTTTGAATTAATGTTACTAGCCATTAGTGAACAGATTTTTAAAAGATGCTTCATTTAGAAGTTGTAAGGAATCAAGAAATGCCGAATATGAAAACAAGCTTAGAGGCATATCAGAAACATTTATTCTTTACTAACTCTTGATCTTAAAAAGTTATTGGGCGTGTAATATTGTTTTTTTTTTAAAAAAAAAAAATCTATACAATCTCTTAACCTACTCAACCTGAAGGGTTCTAAGGAGATAGCTTTCAAAACAACAGCAACAGAACACAGAACTGTTTTGCATTGTCTCTGATTCTTCGTTGTGGTTTTTCTGCATGGCTAATAGAAGGTTCTAAGACCTTCTGCTTATAAACGTGGCCTATTTCCAACATGGTGCAATAAAACAGCCCGTCTTAATCCCAGGCACTCAAATCAACCGTATGCCATTCCAAGAAAAAGTGCTAGCTTTAGATTTTGGTTGCTCCAAAGGCAATGGTGCTTCTATCATAATTTGGCAGCCCCCTAAAGCACTTGGTTCAAATTCTTTGCATGCAAACCTGAAGCACAAGTGATACACTTAAGGCAAGGGTGGTCTCACTTGCTCCTAGACTGGGAAAAAATGTAAGGAAGGGAGACCCTATAGCAGATAGAAACCAACTCTGTGATTAGTACTCATAAGGCTCAAAAGGGGAGAGCAGATCATGAAGTCCAGGATTGGACTTCTGAGAATGATTAAAGTCACAGAAAGCCAATGTTGGTGCTCGAAGTAGCTCCACCATCATCTCAATGGGGCTCAAATGCCTTTGTGTGTTTACACAAAAGACATGTGTACCTTGACGTCTACAATTGTGTTGACTTCCTTCCTTCCTTCCTTCCTTCCTTCCTTCCTTCCTTCCTTCCTTCCTTCTTCTTCCTCCCCTTCCTTCCTTCCTTCCTTCCTTCCTTCCTTCCTTCTTTTTAGGTCTTATATTATTGGACATAAAATAGTTAAAAATATTTGTAAAGAACTGCTTCAAGGCACTCTGAGGAAATCTTAAAACTTATATTTAGATTAATGCAGGCTTGGGTTTTTTTTTTAAAGTCTAAAATGCAAAGATCATTTTGATCCATGTAACATGAATAATATAAAGGCTATCTTTTTTTTTTTTTAAGTCTAGCTGTTTATTGAAGACAGTGGCAATTTAAAGTCCTTAAGCCATGCTTAAGTAGAAATATGACACCATTAAAAACCAGATCATATGCTAAGATAATATATTAGTTTCTAAATGCCAACATAAAGCTATAACACTAATGCAGTTATCAGTCTGGATTCTGGAAATATTTTGAACATTATAGAATATATATATATATATATATATATATATGTAAACAGTAAGTATATATAAAGTATATAAAATATAAATTGGTTGTTCTTGAAAATACCGAGCTAATGTTTTCTTGATTGCGTTTGGCCCTCTCCATCTCTGGAGTGATCGAAGTTGGGGTTCCTTTTCCCAGGCTCTCTTTGTACAAAACCTACACAGCATACAATAAAGTGTTGAAAAATCAAAGATTAGATGCTTGTTTGTGAGCAATTTTGTTAAGATGGATTACTATGAAGTAAGAGTGCAATCACTACAGTACATGGGTAGACACATAACCCAGGAAACAAAATGGTTAAAAAGTTACAGGGTGAAATAAAAACAAGAAGAAGAACAAAAATGACAATAAAAGGAGTGTTGTGTTTAAAAAATATAAAATGAATAGGATTGAGCTATATTAGATGCAGGACAAGATTGATCAAATTTGTTATTTTAAGTTATTTCTTTTTTTTTTCCAATACCAAGCTAATGTTTTCTTGATTGCGTTTGGCTCTTTCCATCTCAGGAGTAACTGGTGTTGGGGTTGCCTGCCCCAAATTTTCTTTGTAGAGAACCTGAAGATTGTAAAAGTATCCAAAAATCACACAATCACCAAAAAAGTCACCAAAAAAATATCACAAAAATATAATTCAAATAAAATATCTAGCTGTTATTTCTTTTGCAAAAAAAAAAAGTGCTTGAAGGCTTTTTCTGAAAAGAATACAAATAAAAATATAAAAATAATGATAAAAAGTTCATGATGTCCAAGGTAAACTTGATAAAAATGAAATGTCATTTGAGATATGGTTATTTTTTTTCTCTATTTCACACAAGTTAGGAAAACATATACTTCATTGATCACAGTTACATGGTTTTAGGTTCTTATGAAACCAAAGACATTTAATAAAACTGAAATATGAACGCAAGACAAAGAGGTGCTTGAATCAAACCTCACTTATTTGTTAAAGAGATCTCTGCAATATATGAAAAAATATTCTATGAGAAATCACAAAGAGAAATTGTAGTATATTTTGGTGTAAATTAATAAAGGCAACATTCAAGTAGCAGCATTTAGAAGGAAAAATTAAGGTGAGATGATTAATACAGAAAATATTATTTTAAAGATAAGGATTCTATCCAGTTAGCAAGATCCATTACATTGTGCAATGGTTCTTTTCAATGAAGTCTGTATGGTTAAAATAATGGTCCAATATTAGTTATCTTACTAACGAAATAATAATCAAATAACTTCTGTTGCCTATCAATTGCTTGCTCAATGAAAACCATGCAACAGGAAGTTATCTTGAGATGTTTTTCTCATAGGAAATGGACTAAAGGCACAGTGTATAGTTCTCCATACCAACTCACATAGATCTTTTCATTCTAATTCCTATACATACTTCTAATCACGTCATACTCCTACCGATATTAAGGTTCTATGGAGTCCTTGGTGCTCTGTGAGCTTGGATGTCTTGCTTGCAGATGTCTCATTATTCAACTAGCTAACATCATCAGTGCTAGTTTGCTCTCTGTTTATATACCGTAGCTTGCCCTGCCAGTGTATTACCAAGCAAAAAACCATACCCCCACCAACACTGGCAGAGCAAACTGCAGTATATAAACAGAGAACAAACACCACACCCCTAGCACTGATGATGTTACCTAGTTGGGTAATGAAACATCAGCAAGCAAACAGCCAAGCTCAGAAACCACCAAGGACTCCACCAATAGTGGGTTTCACTTACTTTTGCTACCGGTTCGGAACTGTGAGCGCCTGCTCATGTATAGTGCTTCTGCGCATGCGCAGAACCTTCTGTGCATGCACAGTGTCCATGATGACATCCAGGCGGGTGGGCAGAGCCTGCCGCCGCCACTACCGATTCGCCCGAACCGGGACGAACTGGGAGCAACCCACCACTGGACTCCACGGTATAATCTTGATCTACATAGATTCTCTTCTATTGGTACATTAAGGTTCTATTTATTTTTAGATTGGGTATGATATAATTTCTCTGCAAACCTCACTACACCATGCTAAAAAAATTCAAGAGCATGAACAATAAGCCCGCTAAAGAAGAATACACTGAAATCCATCATTACTGCCAGGCCCCAAGAACCAAGAATAACATGTGGAGTTACTTCTGAATGGTTTCCTCTGTTCTTCTATATATACAGAAACCTTCTGTCTTCCCCTATAGACAGAAATCTGCTAGACTAAAGCAAGTATTTGCATAACTACACTAGGGAGGAGACATTTAACTCTCTTCCTGCTGAGCAAACTTTCCAGCTGTGCTGCCTCTTTGCCCTCAAGAAAGCAGCCCATCCATCCTGGAATTCAGACTTATAACCCATCACATTCAGACCCATCACAATTATAATTTATACAGAACAATGAACTGATAGTCTAAGTTATTTCAGAATTATTTTTTCCTAAATGTTGTTATCAACAAGATCTCATTCATTACATCAGTTCCAGAACAAAATTCTGATTATGCTGTGTTTTCTCTGCTGTGCAAGTTTATATAACCAGCAGCTGAGGTGCATATAGAAATGTTTACCATGTGTTTTTATGACTTGGCCTTTCATTATCCCTAAAAGGGATAGCTTATATTTTAAGGTTAGGCCATTGTTCGTGAATTATTCTGCCTCTTACAAAACAGTTATTTGCATAAACCTCTTCTCAAGAACAAGTTATTTGGACCAGAAATCATAGCATGTAGTAATATCTGGATAGAGTCCTATTGCCATGGTTGCTAGATTATTAAAATTTTTCAAAATCTGATGGTTGAATATTAATATTAATATCAGAGGTATCTTATGAGTAGAAGGTAAGTGATCAATACATCAGTATTTTACTTCAAGGATATTTTTAGATACAAAAGGCAACATTTCTGAAGTTTTGTTAGCATGTTATATTTTATTATATCAAAAATATTTTTGTTTTTAAAGTACCGAGCTAATGAACTCTTGATTGCGCTTCGCTCTCTCCATGTCAGGAGTGATAGGTATCGGAGTACCTTTCCCCAAACCCTCTTTGTACAAAACCTACAAGGTAAAAAACGGGTGTCCGGTAACCATAGAATAGCAACAACCAAAATTATCTTTCAAGAGTTTACAATGTTAATGCCAGGAGCACACCAGCTTTCAGTATAGAAACTGTTGAATTGTGTCAGAACAGAGACCTTCAGTCAACAACCAAATAGAAAACAATCTAATAGGAGAAGGAAGCTGATAGACAGCACACGTCAATCAAGCACTCTGCTGAAGAAAGTAGTAGCTCAGATCTTTTTGGGAATATGTTAAAGTTAAGTTGCAGAAAGAGTTCAAAAGGTAAATGGTTTAGGCCAAGAGGCAAAAATGGGAGCTATAGTTTAGTTAGAAAACACAAAGCTCTAACACATTTAATATTATTTTAAACCATTCATTCCTTTGCCTCTTTCTTTTAAATACCGAGCTAATATGTTCTTGATTGCGTTTGACTCTCTCCATCTCTGGAGTGACAGGGGTAGGAGTTCCTTTCCCTATGTCCTCTTTGTACATCACCTACAGGATATAAAAAAGGTAATCTAGTAATTACAAAACAGCAACGTTCATCAAAAGATGTTAATAACTTATGGTGTTAATACTTGGATCACACCAACTTCCAGGGAAGCTTGCTAGCTATTGATTTCAGGGTCATCTGGAACAGAGACCGTTAATCAACACCCACACAAGAAAATGTTCTAGTAGGATAAGAAAGATAGAAAAGCTGAAAGGAAGGTAAAAACACCGGGTTTGCTGAAAAATAAACGTAATTAATTAATTCTTAGTAGCAGTAACAGTAGTAGAGTAGTAGACGACTTAGGTTGAAGAAGGAATTCCAAAGGTCAGAACCTTGTTTTAAGGGTAAAATTGAGACTCCAACAGTTAGAAAGCACAGATCATTCACACAACAACTTATTTTCAAAATATTAGGTATAATTTCTCTTCTTTTGAATACCGAGCTAATGTGTTCTTGATTGCGTCTGATTCTCTCTATCTCAGGAGTGACAGGTATAGGGGTACCTTTTCCCAGTCCCTCTTTGTATAAGACCTGAAGGATACAAAAGAGTATCCAGCAATTATGAAACAGCAAGGATCAGAAAACATATTAATAGCCAGCGTGGTTAATATTTCTATTGCACCAGCTTCCAGTGAAGCCAGCTGGCTGTTGATTTCAGAGTCATCTGAAGCAGAGAACTTGAATCAACACCCATAAGAGGAGAAAAAAAACTGATAAGAAAGATGAAAACGCAAAAACAAAAGGGGAGGAAATTCCGTGTTTGTTAAAAAAAAAGAAGAAGAAGAAGTGAGCAAATCTTAGTAGCATAAGTAGACCTGATCGGGAGAAGGAATTTCAAAGATAGGAGGCTTGTAATAGGCGAAAAGGCATTATTGATAGTTAGAAAGTAAGATTATTAACACATCAATCTACAGTATTTCAAAGAAATCCAGTTAATGTTTTCTTTTTCTGAATACCGAGCTAATGTGTTCTTGATTGCGTTTAACTCTCTCCATCTCTGGAGTGACAGGTGTAGGGGTTCCTTTCCCTACATCTTCTTTGTATGCAACCTATAGAATACAAAAAAGAAAGGTATCCAATAATTACAAAACAGCAATGTTCATGAAAAATATTAATCGTTTATGGTGTTAATACTTGGATCACGCCAGCTTCCAATGAAGCTAGCTGGCTGTTGATTTCATTGTCATCTGGAATGGAACAGAGACCTGTAATCAACACCCACAAGAAAAAATAATCTGGTAGCATAAGAAAGACGGAAAAGCTTTTAAAATGTGAAATTATCTATGTTTTGGAAAGTAGTGAGTCAAGTCTTAGTAGGAATAGTAAACGTAGCTTGAAGAAAAGATTCCAAGGGTGGGGGATTGTTTTAAAGGGTACATTGGCAGTACTGATAGTTAGAAAGCAACACATCAACTTTTTTAAAGAATTCAGGTCATTTTTTTTCTTCTTTTGAATACCGAGCTAATGTATTCTTGATTGCATTTAACTCTTTCCATCTCGGGAGTGATGGGTACAGAAGTTCCTTTCCCTATGTCCTCTTTGTACAACACCTACAGGATATAAAAAAGGTAATCTGGTAATTACAAAACAGTAACGTTCATCAAAAGATGTTAATAGCTTTTGGTGTTAATACTTGGATCACACCAACTTCCAGGGAAGATAGCTGGCTGTTGATTTTCCTCTGTTAGTTGGAGCAGAGATTTTTTAAATCAACAACCATGGAAGAAAATTATGTAGTTGGATAAGAAAGGCAGAAAGGGGTAGGTGGGTGGAGAGGATTCTAAGTGTGTTGAATATTAAAAATTATGAGTCAACTCTTAGTAGTACACCTAAGTTGAAGAAAGAATTCCAAGGAAAGGAGGTGTTTTCTGGGAGATGAATCAGCACTACTGATAGTTAGAAAGGGAAATCATTAACACATCAACTCATTTCAAAGAATTCAAAGAATTCTTTTTTTCTTCTTCTTTCCAATACCGAGCTAATGTGTTCTTGATTGCGTTTGACTCTCTCCATCTCTGGAGTGACAGAAGTTGGGGTTGCTTTCCCTACATTCTCTTTGTACAACACCTGTGGGGTAGAAGAGCAGCCAAGTAAGCCAGCAATAATTAAAATGGAAGGATTTTGTTACTGATGCTTTACAAAGAAGTTGATCGAGAAGTGGAAACATCTGGCTGGATGATGGCATCATAATAAGTTTTCTTTTCAAAAATCAGGAACTAGTATTCTTTACATATAGTATCATCCTTTGAAGGCGCGTTTTGGATCTTTGTATAATATTCAAAGAAGATCGAACATACCAGTGATAGGAAAATAGAGTATTATATTTTGGCAATAATTTGGAGGCAAGGTATCAAATAGCAGAAAAGGTTTAAGTCTTCAAAATGATGCTATCCTAAGTTGAACAACAAAGAGCAAAGTTTCATAGAAAGCACAATGAAAACATTAACAAGATGGAACTGGGATTGGGAAAAAACTATCTTTTTTTAAAAAAAAAAAAGAAGAGAGAATTAAAATGCCAGTTTCTTAGAAGTACCGAGCTAATGATTTCTTGGTTGTGTTTGACTCTCTCCATCTCAGGAGTGACAGGAGTCGGGGTGCCTGTCCCTAGATTTTCTTTGTATAGGACCTGCATGGTAAAAGAAGGTGGGACAAAAGAAAAATAAGAATGAAAAACAGAGGTCACTTCAAATATGCCAAGAGTGTTGGTCTTCAATCTCCTGGGAATGAGTCTGAGGCTTTCAAAGTTATGAGAACTTTTCCAAGTCCTATTTCCACAATATTCTTTCCGTGGTTTCTTGCTTTTGTCTACCCTGCCAGCAAATCACAATGTTAAATACACTAGGAATGTTTAAGTCATCCAAGATTATGAGAAGATGTAAGATTTGGCTTTTTAGCAATAGCAATAGCGCTTAGATTTATGTACTGCTTCATAGTGCTTTGCAGCCCCCTCTAAGTGGTTTACAGAGTCAGCATATTGCCCCCAACAATCTGGTCCTCATTTAACCAACCTTGGAAGGATGGAAGGCTGAGTCAACCTTGAGCCTGTCAGGATTGAACTGCTGACAGTCGGCAGAATTAGCTTGCAATACTGCATTCTAACTACTGCGCCAGCACGGCTCTTATGTTTTGATTAAGCTCAATAAGTATTTTAAGGTACCTACTGGGTGGATCCCGGCCATGCAACTAACAAACCCATTAAAGATTATGAATGAATGAATATTAAATATTAACATATTTAAATGGATTTTATGTGTGGGATTCATACAGGTACTTCAAAATTTTATTATCCCTTTAGGTTTTTCTCTATGTAGTAATTTTTATTTTTAACTATACATGGCACATTACAGCATAGTTTGTGGTTGGGAGTCACTCACTCATCATCCTATATTTTTTGGAGGCTCTGCACTGTGATGTGTTCAGAAAGGTCAAAACACACAAGATGGCAACCGTGATGGCATGATCCAAGCCCCGCCCTTTTTGTATATGGTTCCACCCATATATAAAGTGTAAAGAGGTGAGGCTTCAGTCATGATGCTGCAGCCATTATCTTGACTGTTTTGATATTTCCACCACAACCACCACCATCACCCCTCCTTGGATGAACTTGCTCTAAGACAGAAAAGATTGGTCCAAGATGTTGGAAACTCTTAAGATTTTGAACATCAGAATGCAGTCTTGTAAAATGGCCTGATAATCCTCCGAAATGCCCAAATTATCATAAGATATCAGTAATATTACTCAAGAGTTTTTTCCATGAGATCTTTTATATTAGAGTCGCTTTTCAGACTGTGCATATAAATTTAATAAATGAATAAATAAATAGTTTTAAAAATAATTTGGCTGGGGAAGGGCTTTGTTTTAGAAAGTAAACAATGCTGCAACTGTAGAACTGTGGTGTAAAGATTACCCATTCAATATTTTGGAAACATCGAACTATATACCATGTTGGTTAAATCAAGGTTTCTTTTTGCTATGCTAAAATAATACAGTAGTCTCCAACAGAACTGAGCAAAGAAACCACTGCAAAAGATATCATAAGGTTACTGGTTTGGCAGAAATAGGACATACAGCGATCTTAAAGTGATGGAAGAGAGATTCAGCTACGAATTATTATAAAAAATGATTCCAATATTTTATTCTGAGCATGCCCCTATTGTTTGCATTTTTTTTTCATTTCTAAACTTCATCTGAAAAATCACTGTACACCCTCATCCATCCAATTGGAGATTTAGACCATATTCTTTTTACAATTTATGCTAAATAAATGGTTTTTAAAAAGAATCACAGGAGTTAAAAAAGAAAAGCATAGTCAGGATTGTATTCCAGATGGTTAACATTATTCCAGGGACAGCAAAAAAGTTAACAGTATTCCAGACTATTAGAATACAAAATAGTGAACAAAATAAATTCATTGGAAAATTAACTATATTGATAGATTCAATATTATTTTGATCAGTGAATTATATATAGCAGCTAATCAAGATTCAAATGACAATTTAAATGAGGTGAAAAGGGAACTTTGTGTTATTTGAAGTACAAAGCTGAACTTTTACTGAACATCTTTGAGTTGAACTACATTTTTGAAAAGATATAGCATAATTTGGCCCATGATTCTTTAAGACTATTCCTTAAAACCTGGCTGACACTCTCACAAAATCATAAATGTAAACTGCCTACACAAAGGTTCTTTTTCCAAAAGGCAACTGGACTTTCTTGATTTTTTCCCTCTTAAAAGCATTTAATTTCTCATCCAAGAAGCTCCTTCAGCATTAATTAAGTAATGCAATTTCATCCAATGAAATAAACTTTACATTGGATCCAAAGTTCCATTGTAAGCCCCATTTATTATAAGAAGATTCGGTAGACTTAAGTTTAAAATTTGCTTTTTCAATAAAAACCCACCAAATTAATTTTATTTCATTTTGGCTGGATTGTAGCCTAAATTTATGGATCCAAAATTTTGTTGTTATTTTGATCTACTTCTCACACTTTTCACAGGAACTATCAATATGAGTTGGGAATACATATACCATCATTAAAGAAATAAAAATCAAATAAAAAAAGGTCAGTAATTGAATGATTCAATTACTAAAACAAAGGGGTTTTTTAATGAGTATTTTATGTTACTCAGAATGAGTAATATCAAGGTTTGTAATAATTAATTCCATTTTAATAAAGTTAAAGGGCATTTTTAAGTACAAAAATACCGAGCTATAGATTTCTTGATTGCGTCTGACTCTCTCCAACTCTGGAGTAATAGTTGTTGGAGTTCCAGACCCTAAATTCTCTTTGTATAATACCTGTGTAAGAAGAAATATATACGTAAAAAAAAAAAATCAGCACAGAAAAGCAATCCAGTGCAATTTTCTTTATGGAATAAGTTTTCTTCTTGAAGACTACAGAAATTTGAAAATCCTCTTAAAAAATAAATCCTATCTTAAATCTAAAAAAGGATTCCTACTGCTAAATTGGATATGAAAGCCCACCCAAGATTTTAACTTAATTGCATTCAAATAATTTGATGTGGCTATAATCTTAGGAATACTTTAAACCCTCTGTAGTTTCTTTTCATTCTCCCTTATGAAGGACAGAAAGAGAAGAGAACACCCAACCAGAACTCATTTTGGGTTGATCAGACTATGTCTTCTCTGATGTAGTCTTGGAATATGAGGACCTCTTTTTGGAGGTGAGTTGTGATCTGTGGTCATATGACTACTCATAGACAATATAACCCCCATCGCCAAACACACAGACACTTTTATTTTCCTAAATCCTTGACAGCTTAAATATATTTGGAATTGAATTCTCTTGCTTGCCAAGTTCAAGGATTCACATGTTTTTATGAATAAGGGACAAAAAGGTAGCCTTCTTAGAATCTGTAGCTTGGTCTTGATTCTTCAGCCTCATGTTCTCCGGTCAAATAAATGAAAGCTATAAACAACTACTCCATGGAGTACTACATGGAGATGGAGTTACTACAAAAGTGATAGCTATGCTATTCCTTCTCTGGAGTGAGACAGGATTGAAGGAGTGAGAAAGGATTTGGAAGTGACAGGATAGATAAAAAAAAATACTGGAATCCAGTGGAATAATTATCCCAATTTAATCGCAGTAAGGGGTCATTGGCACATGTTTGCATTTAAATATGTGCATGTACATATGGACTTTTGTACCGGAGTTTGGAACTTGGAAGACTATAATTGTGCTCTTGTTTTCATGTCCAGAATAACAAATTACCTCAAAGCTTCATTAACAAAAATAAAGATTAGCAATAAAAAGAACATTTTACAATAGTTGTTGAGACTCATTAGTTAGGATCAACGTGTTATTCTAACTTTGCATTGCACCAACACGTGGATGCCAAAAGCTATTAGAGGGATTTCCTGTTATAAGGGTTGAATATATTTATGTAAGGCAAATCATATTGTTTTATTTGAGGAGGGGAAGGAAGCTAGGAAAGAAGTATGGTGAAAAGAAGAAGTTAAAAAAATCACTGCAAAACAAAACTAATTAGTGCTTTAATTGTCCACGTCTCATGATGGGATTAAAATGAAGAGGAAGAGATTGTCAAGATCTCATGGAGGGTTTAAAATTAAAAGGAAAGTTAGCACAAGATCATGGCAGTTAAAATTATGTATCAATAAATATTTTGAGCTATACCGAGCTAATGTTCTCCTGATTACGTCTGACCCGTTCCATTTCTGGTGTAACAGGAGTTGCCATTCCTGTGCCCACCTGTTCTTTGTAAGACACCTGTGAGGGTACAATAAAGTATCCACAAAAAACCCTAACAAAGAAGTGCAATAACCAGAACTGAATTTCAACTGATAGTAGGTAGTAACAGTGCATGGTTAAATCCTACGGTTGGACTAGTGCCACAAAGAGAAAAGGCTAAAAGAAATAGAATATTATTCATTAAATATGTGAATGACATCGCAGGTTAAGGAAAGCATATGGAAGGGAAACACTATGTTAATTTTATGGGAGCAAATTGTTTATTATATTTTGTTTTATTTTTTTTAAAACTTATTTTATGATGCATAAAGTTTTTCATTAGTTAAAAGTTAGGAAGGGAGATGAGTCACAAAAATCGTAGAAAATAGAGTAGGATAGTTAGAGATTATTTTTTTAAAAAGAAAAATTATGAGTTGTTAAAATAGATTTGATTTTATTGAGAAATACCGAGCTAATGTGATCTTGATTGCGTCTGACTCTCTCTATTTCTGGAGTACTTGATATTGCAGTTCCTTGCCCTGCATTCTCTTTGTACATTACCTGCAGAATACAAACACCCACCAACGTGAGAAATTGGATAACTGCTAAGAAAACATCAGGGCGCAATGCAAATGTTGATTAACACACTTATTTCATATATAAATGTAGACACACCCACATGCCCAGTTGCACTGTGAGAAATGTTTCCACTCTCTTTTGAAAACATTACATGTTCAGAAAAGAATGATATAAATGGAAATACTGTAGTTTTTAATACAGGTAGTCCAGTTTGGTGTAGTGGTTAAGACATCCATTTAGAAACTGTAGTAGATGACCAGGTGGAGCCCAAAGGCGGAATCACAAGCATCATTGATTTGGAATCGCTGCGCTCCCACATGAGACCTAAGTCCAACCACCTGTGAATTCCATTGACTCTTATTTAGTGCCAATTTGCCTTCACCATTAGATCAGATTCTTGTGTATAGTTAATAACATTGAAGTGCTTTGAAGTAAACTCCTGTTCCTAGAAACTTGCGCCTGACAGAAACTGGGAGACTGGGAATTCTAGTCATGCGTTAGGCACTAAGCCAGCAGGACTTTGGACCAATCACTTTGTCTCAGTCCTAGAAAGGAGGTAATGGCAAACCACATCCAAAACCTTGCCAAGAAAACTGCAAGGATTAGTCCAAGCAGTCTCCAAAATCTGAACATGACTAAATGGAAAAAAAGGTTCTTGGTTAGTAATTGTCTCGTTTAGTGGCTGGTCATAGTTACGACTGTGATGAAAATATAACCTTGTGACCAGTCCTCATATTTACAACCTTTGCAGGTCTGTAAAGTCAAGGAAAGCTGAAATAAAATAGTAAAATCATGTTTCACTTAGTGACAGCTTTACTTAACACACGGTCCCAGTTGTAGTTGCTAAATGAGAACGATTTGTATTCCATTGAACATTTTGTTTAAAACTCTTTCATGGGTCTCCTGCTGGAGAGAAGGCTTGGAACTATAAAATTCCCTTTAATTTTTTTTTATTTGAGAAACCCATATCTGGAAAGTTCCTTTTGAATCAAATTTGAATCACCTGAATTAATAAGAACTCTGTTTCAACTTTAAAAACATCCTTTAACATAATATCAGGCCAAGTTTTAAAAAAAGAACTACGTACGTTCAAGATTTAAACATAATATCAAACTGGTCTCACACATTTTTACTTTCTTAAAAAAATGAAAACAAAAAAGGAGAGAGAAAAGTCCTTCCGTTTTTTTTAAAAAAAAATTAAAAGTCCTGCATTTCACTCCTTTAAAAAGATGCTTACTTCCTCACATAGAAAAATTATAATTAGAATAAAGTATTCAGTCAGTTGAAAAAAAATCCCAAAACAAATAACGTAAACCTGAAGTTAGAACATGAAATATGTAATGCACAGGTCTGGCGGAACCAGATTTTGCAAAAACATATTTTAAAACTAATTCATTGGTGAAAAGCTTAGTCCAACGGATGGGGAAGGGGTGGGCGGGCAAAAAATTCAAGATGCTGGCTATGATCATACAACTGGAATCCATTAGAGTTGAGTGATACAATAAATTTAAATTGATCCTTGGTAAGGACCTGATAGGTGAGAAAAATGCCAAATTCAGCCTAAACAACAGGCTGACTATACGACCAACTGTAATAATAATAATAATAATTTAAAAAACTGAAGTGTGCGCCATGTATCTTGACTTTTCTGATCCCTCCACTGCAAAGCGGACAGTATAGAAAACGAGAAAGGAGAAGACAATACCTATGGGTGAAATTTTATGGTTTCTTCAGCAATGTTACATTGTTACTAACTAAACAGCCCTCAAATGAAGGAAGATTCATGGCTAGCCATAATTGCCTTATTTTCCAGGCAAATCTGTGGCACAATATTGTACTTATTATTACCCTACACTTCTAATAACCACCCTAATGGCTTATACCAGCCCCTGGGCTGCAGCCCCCTACTGGGCCATGGCCTATTCACAACTGGGTCACGTGAGTGGCAGGCATGTGTGCTGCCCCGCCACTTGTGTGAGTCGAGCTGCATGCACTCATGTGCTCCGGGCCACTGCTCATGCAGCCCGGTCCCCTCTCCTCCTCCCAGCCAGGTTGCCAAGCCGCAAAGATTGGGGACCACTGATTTAGACTACCCAATGTATGTCCAATTAAGATTTGGTTGCATATGTGCCGTCAAGTTGTTTCCAGGTCCTTGTGACCATATAAATAGATTTTTCTCCATGTAATTTGGTTTGAGTACCTGACAGAATAAGCTAGAAAATTAAGTTCCGTAAAGGGTGGTGAATTATTTAGAATTTCTAACTCTCAGATCTTTAATCCCTAACCTCAGATTTCAAGAGGTACATTGCAAAAGCTAATTTGAAGCCTGGAATCAGATCACCCCAACAAATAAATAAGCAAGCTAAATTGCATACTTCACAAACTAAGGAAACAGATATGAATAAACATTGATGTAATTGTATTAGGATTGTGCCCCGTTATCTCTGAGTATATCCAAAAACCTGTCAAACATGCTGACTAAACATCCCTGCTTATAGGCAGTCAAAGCCACTGGTCTTAGGCAAATGGCAAGTTCTAGAGTAGCTTTATAGGAAGCACTTCATCAATTACTTTTGTCATTATATTTTTAATTCCATCCCATCCATCCCCATTTGTATTTTTCTACCTGAGAAACCAATTTATGGCTCATCCTCATCAGCTCAGCATTAATGCATTTATATTCTCCTTTCAAGGTTTGTATACAAAAGTTAGCAAAGCAAATGGAACTTTAAGATGGAATACCATGGGAAGAGAACGTCCATTAAAAATACAGGAGATGATGTCAGTACATGTTAACAAGAGGAATAAACAGCAGCTTAGCAGGGTGAACAGCAGCATGTCATACTTGGCCAGCTCATTATCAAAAGAGAAAGAAAATTTTAGCCACTACCGAGCTGATGTGTTTCTGGGTCTCCTTGACCCGTTTTACTTCAGGAAGGTCAGAAATGGGAGTTCCTTTCCCAATGTGCTCCTTGTACTTAATCTACAAAGTTGCATTCAGAAGAAAGACCAAAAAAAATGATGTCATGTACAGGAGACTTACATATCCATCTCATCTCACTTACAAGAACAGAGAAACAATTGTCACTGAAGGTTTTTATAGTTGTGGAACTTAAAGGCTTAATATGTACTCTACTGAAAAATCTCTTATCAGAAGAAAGTTAGGAGACAACACTCAAGTAAATATAGATAATTAAACAGAAGTCCTTTTCCTGGGTTGAAGAAATTCTCACACTAGAAGCAATTTGATTTATCCATAACTATGAAATTATTTTATTTTTAACATGTAAAACAACTTTTTTCTTGCCTGAATGTAACCCAGATTGTTTCCAATAAGCTAGTTGCAAAATTCTATAAACTGCATAACCCCAGATTGGGAACGGGTGCCACAGTAAAAATGATCTACCTCATAGGTAGGGAACTCATGGTTGTCCAACCATGGTTGGATCCATGATTAATCCAATTAGTCCCTTCAAACATGAAACATTATACATGCAATGGAGTCACCGGAGCAAGTAAGAATTATGGATCAGATCCAGTTTCTCCAAATTTAACTTCATTGGTTTTGCTGAATATACTCTTAAGTACAGCAAAAATTATTCTTTCAACGTGTATTTTTCCCTTTCACTTCCAATCTAATTATATTTTAATTCCATTCAACACTAAGTCTAATATTAGCATAAATGACACTCAATTTTATAAGTTAAAACAGCAAAGAATGTGTGTGGGGTTTTTTTTTAAAAAAATCATTTTGATGTTTTTTACCGTGCTAATGGCATCTGTGGTTTTTCTAATTCTCTGTGTCTCTGGTGTTTTTTCAATTGCTGTTCCTGTTCCAATGATATCTTTGTATAAAACCTAAAGCAAAACAAGATCAAGCATAGAAAGACATATTGTCAGTTCTGCAGCAGCACCACAAATCACCAGAACATTTATTTCAATAAAAAATAGAAATAGCATCACAATATCTATTTCAATAAATAAATAATCATACCCAATCTCATTTGTGTGTCAAGTGTACTATTGATGCTTGTATGGAGAAACCACTTAGTGTTTATAATTTAAAGCAATATAAGAGGAAAGAAATCAGACCAGTAAAAACAAGGATATGAGGATATACCTCTTTAACCTTTAAGGTAAGAATCTTAGCTTTTATAGCCTGAAAACGAAGACATTCATTTGCAAACACATGAGCAAAATATAAATTCTATTCACAGTTATGCCAAATGAAGCTCTGAAGATTTTTTCTGATATTTAATAACAGCTTTTTTAAAAAAATATTTGTTCATTATCTAGTTTTCTAAGGCTGAGGTAGGCAAGGATTTCATAGGATCTTCAAGCTTCAGACTTCAGGTATTGAAAATAAATCATGAAGTTTTTAACAGAGAACTACCTCTCTTGGTCAAATGCTTCAGTTAATAAAGACATAAAGTTACTTTGGTTAATAAAGACATCACAAAATGATGATAGTTACCTCTTGGAGCCCTTTGAGAGTTTTAGTTTTTAGAATAAACTAAAAATATTTATTCATGCCATTCCTGGATTAGCTGCTCAAAGAAAACACATGAAGCTTACAACTTTGGAACCCATAAAGGTTCATCAAGATATACGGAGATATGTCAAAATATTATTGCTGTGTATCAGTGGTGGGTTACTACCGGTTTGCCCCGAATCGGGTGAACTTGTAGCGGCAGCGGTACGAGGCTCTGCCCACCCACTCGGACGTCTCTGCGCACATGTGGATAAGTGTCACGAGTGCATGTGAGCAATGCCCACGAGAAAACCAGTAGGACCGAAATTGAAACCCACCACTGCCATGCATGTTGAACTGAAGTTATTGCATTATTTTAAAAAAATGTTAAAAGAAATAGAGTATAAGGCAGAAGTTGGCAACATGTGGCTCTTCTGACTTCATTATAAAACCCAGCATCCATTTCCATTGCCTAACCTAGCAGAGGCTGCTGGCAGTTGTAGTTCAGCAACAAGGTGATTGTTACTGGAAAGTGATTGGTTTCCCATTCCTGATGGGCAACTACAATTCCTTTTAAAACGAAAGTGGCATTAACCCTTTTTCCCCACCCTATCACTTTGTTACATAAAAGTTGAACATCCAACCATTCTAAAAATGGATGTAACAGCTACATCTTTTTACTCTGAAATTCCAGTGTGGGAAGATGGTGGTTTCAACTGTCCATCCCTGATTTATTTTGCTAAAAACATATATGTTTGTGGATCAGATCTTTATGTCATATTACACTGTAAACAATGAGTGGGTTAAAATCCCTTATCACTAACTCAGGGCTAAGTTCTGGATCCAAATGTGGGTCTTTTGAATTAGGAGGGAGGGAGAGAGGGAGGGAGGGAGAGAGGGAGGGAGGGAGGGAGGGAGGAAGGAAGGAAGGAAGGAAGGAAGGAAGGAAGGAAGGAAGGAAGGAAGGAAGGAAAGGAGGGAGGGAGGGAGGAAGGAAGGGTTTTCAGTTGTGCATACCTGGATTCTTAATTGTCTATTGTCAAGAGATTTTATTGGTATTAGTGAAAAGATTGAAATGTGTTAGCCAACTGGGGACCAATAACTTGCTAAATAATATAAACTTACCGAGCTGAAATTTTTCTGGTTTTCTTTAACTCTTAATATTTCTGGTGTTTCATTTACAACGGTGACCTTTCCTTTACTGTCCTGCAGATCATGTTGATACTGAAGCTGTTAAGAGAATACATGTTTTTCAATGCATTAATCTCAAAACAGATTTCCGCTTGGCCTGTCACCAGTACAGGCCACTCATTGCTCTCTGAGGGCAAGAACAGGTGACATCTTCCACTTCCCACTCTCAGCTCTCTGCAAATGCCCCCTGCCCTGCACATAAGTTTCCCAGCTTTCATTCAAAGCTGCTGTTTTCCATCCTGAGCCTTCTGAAGTCCTTGAGAGCAGATGGCTTCCAGAGCTTTATTCCACTTCAGGAGCAGCCCAGCTCTGATTGGCTGGAGTGCCTAGCACATCCCTGCCCTCCAGTGTCTCGCATCTGTCTTGTGCAGCCATTTTGCTGGGAATAATCCCACAAAGGAAAGAGCAGGCACTGGTAGAGTGGTCCACTGAGAACCAGCCCGGGAGCCCTGCCTTCCTTGGCGCAGATAAGAAAGTCAAGAAGCAGAGGAAAGACCAGTCTGGCCATAATCTCCGGACTGAATACAAGCCCAACCCCATTGCCAACCCAATGTAATCTGGATTGGAATTTCTGAACTTTATTTAAGAAACAGACTGAGAGACAAAAATTTATCACTGCTGGGCAGAATTGGCCCAGGAAGAGCTCAGTCTTTTTGCTTCCAAACTGACTTTTTAAAATGTCAGTAAAAGCAATGGGACTTAGATTTATATACCATTTCATAGTACTTTATAGTGTCATAGAACTGTCGAAGATATATAAGAAATATATTTACGGCAGCATGAACAAAGGTCACTCAAAATATAGTATCAAATGTAGTCAAATATTGGTAAGCTATTAAGTATTCTGCATTCATGAATTCATGAGTTATTTGACAAATTCTATTAAGTTATTTGTAACTAAGCCCTCCAATCTCAGTTGGACTTGTTTTCAAAATAACTGAGAAAGGCTCAATTATTATGGGAAAATTTTAAATTTCTTGCTCAGCAAGAAAGAATGTACCTTAGAGAGAGTGGTAAGTATGGTATCTCTGAAAAATACCTGGAATCTGTGTCCTTTTTCTTTACCTACATGATCAGCATCACTGACAATTGTGAGCATGGGACTTTGTCATCATGGTCAGAATAGCATCAGACATGCTTCTAGTAAGGTATGAGCAACCTATTTCAAACTCAAACCAGGTGGCTAAGGCGCAAAGCATTTCAGATCCCTAATGTTTTCCATCCTCTAGGCTTAATATAAGAAAGGAAAATTGCATTTCAGGGGGAGCATGTCAGAATTCTATGAGTATGCTAAAATACATACCATGCTAAAATTCTTTTGATTTTCTCGGACCCGCTGATTTTCTGGAGTCTCTAACACAGAGACATAGTATGGCATGGTTTTCTCTGCATCCTCTTTATACTTTTTCTGTTACATAGGTTAAAAAAGAAAGAAAATGTACTATTGCAGTAAAAAACAAATACTCATGCAGAGAGACATTTTTTGTTTGTTTGTTATTTTGGGACAATAGCAAAGTCACCACAGAAATAAAACAAACTATCCAGAGTTCTCACTTGAGGCTCAAATGGCCAGGGTCACATTGTCATACTTTGGACATACTATGAGAAGCTGAGAAAGCTGAAGGGAAAAAGAAGATGGGGACAATAAGAAGCAAGGTGGAGGAATAATCTACACTGGTGACAAAATGCACTATTGGAAGTCCTGAAGTTCAGGTTAGGAACAAATCAAATATCTATTTACGTTGTCATTAAGAGTCACCACCAACCTGATGGCACATAATCAATCAATTAGTTAATTTGGTGTCTAAGGCAGAAATGCTTTAAAAATAAGAGCAGATACACGATAAGCAATGTATACAGGTATAATAAGGACATTTGTTAGAAGGTTTGATGGCTCGGGCTTGCACTTTCTAGATTGCATCTGTCAAACGTGATCTAGTCCATAGATCAAGCAAACTAAATAATGTTTTTTTAAGAAAATACTTGGAAAGTATTACCTTCTAAAAGGAGAAGCCAAAACTACCTGTTAACTATAGAAGCAGGGACATTCTGGTCACAGATTTTATGACTTAAGTATTTATTTGAGAAGTGTAGACTGGGCCAAAAGGGTTGGTTGTCAGAAGTGGATTTTAAAAAATGGGGAAAGTTGAGAGCCACAGATAGTAAGATGTAATGTCATCAAATAGCCCATGTTTGGATTTGGGGATGGAAGGAAAATAATGGATTTTGGAAGACTGGGTTTTTATTTTACTTTTTTAGGGAGTTGTTAAGCACTAAAGAAGAATAAAACTCATTTACCAAATGCATTTCTGCTAAAAAAAAAAAAAAAAGTGAGAAATCGTACTTTTGATTCTTGGCAGTTGACTGAGAAATTCAGCTATATCTAAAGCAGGGGTGTCAAACTCACGGCTTCACATTGTCATCATGTGATGTATTGCAACTTTTCCCCCCTTCGCTAAACTGGGGGTGGGCATGGCCAGTGCATGAAGCATCCAGCCCGCGGGCTGCAAGTTTAACACCCCTGCTCTAAAGGCACAAAAAGAGATTTTAGGGGCATGTGATCTGTGGTTGCCATCCCCTGCTTTGAAATCTATATGAATTTTCCCTTTAATTACTATTAGTTTTGTTCTATATTGAAATGGTTGCAAAAATGAAAGCAGAGTCACCAGTGAAAGTGAAAATCAGAGCAAAATGTCCAACAGTGTAGAGTACCTCACAGTTATTGGAAGGATTTACAGTGCACTCTCAAGGTCACACAGACTTGGCTAGGTGGCTCAGTGGCTAAGACGCCGAGCTTGTCAATCAGAAAGGTCGGCAGTTCAGCGGTTCAAATCCCTAGTATAGGTCTCCTGCGTGAGCAGGGGGTTGGACTAGATGACCTCCAAGTCCCTTCCAACTCTGTTACTGTTACAGACAGGGCCCTATTTCAGATGGTCTCCGTATCACACTATTTATCAGGCTGGTTAAGCCTGGAAGTTGGAGTTCACCTCCATCTGCACGGCCATCCTTACCTTACTGGAAAAGTTCTTCACATGATGTGCATGGATGATTTCTGGAGTGTCAACAACTGTGGTATAATTGGCTTTTTCCATTTCCGCAGAGTGCTTATATTTAAGCTGTTGAGAGAAACATTTCAGGAGAAATATTCAGAATAAGTAATTTACAGATGTAGCTTTTTGTTGATTTAATACAGCAGGAAATCAAATGATGTTCATTAATCACTAACTTCACTAGCAATATCTGTGGCATTCTTTGCCCTCATATAATCAGGTGTCTCCAATGAAAGGTCTGTTAGTCCCCTTCCTTTGATTTCCATCTCCAGAGCTTTCCTGTATTCTTTCTGTGGATAAAGACAGATATAAAAATATATCAAACAGCTTGTTCCCAAATGAAATTCACCCCAATCCTCCAAAGGTTATCTTGATATGTAATCTGCTCATGTAAATGTACAATGGAAGGAAGATCAATCTATTTTATAGAAGAAACATTTAATCTTGCAATGTGATATGAAATCTGACTAGTTATGCTTTTTATAGATCTCAAAATTAATCAGGCCATTAATCTGAAAAAGGTAAATATAATAACTAGCCAATCTTTTCCTTTCTGCTTAATGTTCCATCATTATAATTCCCAAGAAAATAATCCAAAGTATGCAGGATCAATTCAAAACCAATGGTTAAATGTACTATTGACCCCATTTTCTATTTTTTTATTATTTTAAAATAATTTTAAAATGCATAATGTAATTGCAGTGAAAATCATCTGGTTCCTATTTTAATATGACTGTGTAATTCATAGATCCATCCATGAATAGTCCTGTGATGTACCAATTAGAGAAAATGCCATGCCAAAAAAATGCATAAATTTGAGGAAATTGTACACAGATTTTAAAAAAAGATGGGCTTTAAAATGTGTGGAAGAATGTTATCTTCATCATCCTGCTAGAATTTATATCCAGATCATTGCTTATTTGCTACATGAACAGCTGTTATCGGAGCCAAAAGAAGGTGGTTGTTGTGTCTTTTGATTGTTTGGGAGAGCTTGTTTGTTATCTGCCTCATGGTGCCCTCAGGAAATTCTGACACATTTTTTGTCTCCTTAATGTGTCACTGTTGGCAGCTGCAAAGAATAAGGTGATGGCTGTTCTCCTTGAGGTTACAGAAGATGTTAACCGTTGTTAACAATATTGTTGGTACTAAACATTTCAAAATGGATTTGGCTGACAACAGAGTATTTTAGTTGCAAGATCATGAAGGTTTAGTGGGACAAGGAGGACTATCCATAATCAATTAATTAAACCTCTTCAGGATAAAGGATGCCTTTGGAATGTCATTCTTGATGGGCTACAGAGAAAGGCCAGTTGGTTCACTATGTATGGTTAACTGGACTTAAAAAAAAGTACCCAGCTTTTCTGGATTTTACCAAGGAAATTCAACAATGGGGGGGAGATTAAAAATGTGAGAACTATTGCTCATGAGAAGAATCTTCAATATCTTATTGGGTTTCAGTCATCTTTGCTTTCAACTTATCAAATGTTACTCAGAAATAATTTATAAAGGAAGTTCAAAGAACAACTCTTGAAGTGGCTTTTTTTTCTTCAAGAAATTATCACTACAATTCTGGGAAATGACTATTGATTATGATGATTTTCCATTTGAGTGGTATAAAAATTAGATTGGATTTTTGTCTCCTATTTTATGAGGAGTCTGTAATAAAACTTTTTCATGCAAATCCCTGCCTTTAAATTTTTATGAAACAAATATCAAGTTTATTCCGAAACCAGGCAATCTGTTCCCATTCTAGAACTATTTCCTTAATAAATGTGGATGGTAGGTTTTATGAGCTTCTTTATGAGCAAATTACAGAATACAGCTCAGGCTGGGTATAAACAGGGCCATCAAACTTCTGACAATATTGGTTTTTCAATAGATGTTCTTCCTTTAACTCAAACGACTCAGCATCCACCAACTATAATCACTTTGAGGAGTAAGAAAGCCTTCATGTGGTCTCTTGGTAGTTTTTGGTGTGGGTTTTGATTTTTATGTCTCCACAAAGTTTTTATAGTTTGGATATAATTTATTAATGTTTCAATCACAGTTGATTATTAATAGAATGCTTTCCTTTCCCTTGGTTAAATCTCTATCAAAATGCTTTCTTTTCTTTTTAATTTTGCTTTAGAACTGCTGGCCTCATAATCAGAAATTCTAAAGTTATCAATAAATTACAAAAGGAGGAGCAAAATAATATTATTTGTCAATATTTGAATTTGTCTTTTTCGACAAGAGAAATTAAAAAAGACATTTAAAAATATCTGTTTCTTGGAGTTTTTACAAGTTCTTTCTTGTAGTATAACTTACTTATTTCCTTTCCCTATCAGTTTTGTGTTGATCCTTAATATTGTTATATGCATTTTTATACTTTTATTAGTTTGTGTAATTTAAAATAATCCAAATACTTAGAAACTAAAATTGAAAAATGTCCTTCCTCTGTCTGAATATATGCTGGACACAAAACTTTGAAATGGATAGACCAGTACTAAACATTTTAATACTCCATAGAAATCTACCTTCCAGATTCCTAAACTTTATTCCACCTAGTGATATGCCTTACCTCATTCAAGATATAGGTTGCATTCTTTGCTCTAAGTAAATCTGGTGTCTCTTCTAGAATTGTTAGACCTTTGCCTTTTACACCTTCTTCTAAATCTCTCCTGTATTCTTTCTAGAGGGTAGAAAACAAGAAAATAAATCAAAAGAGATAAGTAAGGAGGAGTCAAAGAGAGGAAAAATATAAAGGAGAACAAAAAGAGTTAGGAAATAATTCCTAGACTAAATAGTTGTTTTTGCCTTCCAAACACGCAAATCTTGTTACGCTAAAATTCACACAAAATAAATAATGAATAATGAGACAATTCTCATTGGTTCCATCAATATAACAAATTTTAAAAAGATAAAGAAAAAAAACTAGGCATCACTATCAGTTAAATCATGCTTATAATTAAAATTAAAATTAAGGGGGGAAATCAAAAATTAACTTGTAAGCTTAAAATTAAAGTTTAAGCATGGCAAAGACAACAGTGAAGAGTCTACTTTGGGGAACATAATTTCCATTGCAGAAGTCAGAAGAGTAGTTGGTACCTCGCTTGCTATTTTAGTGGCATATCTGACATGCAGTAAAGATGGTGTAACCTCCAAACCGGTAAGATTCCGGCCCTTAATGGACTCTTCAAAATCTTTCTTATATTCTTTCTAATAGGAGTTGGAAAAAGAAGGGAGAAGAAAGAAGGAAAGAAAGGGGAAAAATAGAATTAATTTTGGCATTGTAAAAATAATTTCCAGGCATTTTAAATAGATGTTAGTTATGGATCCAATTTTGTTTTTGTGCCATTTGGGAGAGGTTTAATGCTTTTCATTGTCCTAACCTATGATAAATTAATATTTTATGTACTTGAAAGCAATAATACCTACATCTGGCCTCTAGACAAGCAAAATTTCTACATTGTAGTATCTGGGGAGCAGGCTGTACCAAAAGGACAGAATGATCATTGGTCAGTAGTGGTCTTAGCAACCCAGTGCCAACAAAATGTGTGCTATGACATGTCCAGACTCCAGTGGTTCTCACTCAATATGCTTGGGATGATGGGAGTTCTGATCTAACACACTAGATAATATTAGAAAATACCAGGTAAAGAAATCTGTTCTGGTTAGAATGCTTGGTCCAAGGAAGTTTTTTAAAAAATGAGTACTGGTAACTCCATAGATCATGCATTTGGATATTGTATTTCCTTTGAATGAAAACAATTGGCAGATTTAATAGATTCAAACATGACCCTCAAGTTTCACCTTGCATAAATTTGACATTGGAATGAACATATTCCAATAATTCAACTGTATCTTGAAATACCTATGAAAGGGTATGAAAGGGGTAAAATTGAATAGAGGCAACAATATGCAGTCTAGAAGCCCAGCAAAGGAGCAACTGATTCTCAAAACAAAACAATGGGAATAACATTGTATAGATGTAGATTGAGGATGGGGAATGGGCAGAGGGGCTGGGCTTTTATTTGGCACCCATAAAATAAGCTGTGATGGTCATTTAATCAGTGAATGGAAAGATATAATCATTCTGTTACAAAAATACCTTCAGAATACATGTATGATTTAAACTGACTAGAAACAGTACAACCACAATTCAGTGTCTCGCTGATGTTTTCTAATATCTGATTAGTAACCTCCTACCTCACTCTGCATCTGTTGGGCTTCCTTAGCAGTGATATATGTAGGTGTTTCAAAGTCCAGCATGGGTTTTCCTCTTTCCTTTTCATATTTTTCCTTGTATTTCACCTGCCAAGAAGGTGGCATGTGTTATTCCACAGTAGCAGATTAAAAAGACACATACAGAATGTCATATCGTTCACTCAACCCTAATCCCGGATGAACAAAATACAATTGTTGTGCTCATATAACGTGCTATGTCAAAATGAATTTATTTTTTTATTGATAAATATATTAGCCACATCAGTCAAGGTGACTCTAACAGGTGAATAAAAGCAACAGCCACAACCAATAGAATTGCACATAAATATTTAGGCACCACTGATTAAACATTATTTCAATGAACCTGTTTCAATGAATCTGGTCGTGAATAAGACTGCATTGTTCAAAGTCAAGCACATCTTTCTGTGAAGTTGAATGGATCCGTGTCTTTTATGACCAGTTTACATATTCAAAAAATGGAAGTAATGACTTTGCCAGGTGAAACAGTTTGCATACTCTTTCAGTCAACAGTTTGTAAAGCCTTCTTTGGCAAATAAACAGCTTTTCAAATGTTTCTTGCCATTAACTGAAAACATCTATTGTTGCTTTTCTCTACTTTTCTTTGCAAGAAGTATTATAGCTCAAAAATGTTCTTAGGTCTCGTCTCATGCACTGCATGTTTAAAATCTTTCCACAGACTTTCAGTTAAATTCAGCTTTGAGATCTGTGAAGAACACTCCAAAACCTTCATGTTTCTTCCTATAAACACTTTATTGTTGATTATGTTTTATTGCTTTGTTAATTATTTGACTTCCTTTCTGAATATGGGACATTGGTTTTTATTATATGTGGTTCAATCCAATCTTCCTTCATCTGCACAATGTTTCCTAGGCTACTAGTGAAGGGGTGGGTTCTACTTACCTTTACTACTGGTTTGCAGTGGGGCTGCGCGCACGCACTCGCTTGCCGGCACGCTCTTCTGCACATGCGCAGAAGCGTTTTTATGACATCAGGGTCGGTAGGAGGAGCCTCCCTCCGGTTTTACTACCAGTTCTATAGAACTGGTGCGAACCGGGGGCAACCCACCACTATACTAGTGCCACCCAATCCCAAAGCATAATAGATATCTTCAACTTTAGTGACCTAGTGGATACATTTAAAATTTTGAGATCACTTCTTACAAAGTAGTCCTCATGGGAAACATGGACAGTTACAAAACATCTCCTGTAGCTGTCCTCATGATGTTATCCACCGCACAGCTTACTTTTAGCATTCTCTTAGGCAAGTAGTCACATTTTCAAACAAAGTACCTGTTATGTTAAAAAGGATCAAGCCAAACAACTCCATATCAATAGAATCAAAATATATGTTTTATTTTGTTTCTACACTAATAAGTCTACCCTTTAATCTTCTTTTTAGGTACATTGTATCAATGGAACACAAACCTGACTGGAGTACAAATAGAAGGTGAGTATCTTTTATATCAGGTGGGAAGGGAAAGTGGAACATTGCATTATGGGACATGTAATTTAAATAGAACATGATATATCGGTGATGTTTATTCCAGATTAAAACACTCTGGTATTTCATCTCAACAGTACCATTTTACAGCCTTTCACTGTTTGTATTTTCCAAGCATATATTTTGGGTGTGTAAGGGATCCAGAAGTATCTTGGAAATAAATCTGATGTTTATGACTATGGTTTGCTTTACATTATAGCACCTTTAAAATCTAATAAAATCAGGTGGACATGGAGCCTGCTAGAAGTGGTTTGTTTGTTTGTTAAATGTAGGCACTGTCAACCTCACTGCAGTATCTAAATGATTGTGGGCCTAGTGTTATGATGCACTTTGGTATCTCATATTAGAAATCCAGAAATAACTGGCTGGCTGCACATATATTATTTAGGTTTCTGGCTTATTAAGAAATACAGAAGCATTATATTGCCCAGAATAAAACTTGACAAGGTTTCCAGGGTAGTTCCCAATTCCCATCGATGAACCAAACATATCAAATCTACACCTGCATACTTAATATACCAACGTCTATAGAACTTTGAAGAACATGTTTTGGATGACAATTCAGACACAGTGGCATGTGGCAGTTGTATTATAAACATAAGTGTGTGAAACACTTAACTGACTTACTATGCTCTGAAGTTCTGAGGCCTCCTTTAGATGGAGCTGTTCAAGGTTATCTGGAATTACGTGGTAGTGACCTTTATTCCTCTCGTACTGCTTCTTGTACTGGTACTAAAGGGAAGGCGTCAAAAACCACCTCAATAGTTAAAAAATATATCCTAACCAGAGCAGCTTTTCTAGATCACCTTACAAAAAACATATCAGTAGTCAAATGAGACATCAGAAATGAAATGTAAAAGAAATATATAAAAGAGAAGAAGAAAGAAAAATATGAGGCAAAAAGGGAAAAAATAGGGGAAAAAAGAAGAAGAAAAGAATCAAAGAAATGTGATGCAGTGAATAAGTAATGCTGTTAAAATGGAACGATGCCCCTTGGTTTTTGCTTAAGAATATAAAACGGGATTAGCTGATATTACTCAAGGGTGATTTAGTTCAGCATTTTGTGTCACAAAATGGCTGACTATATGCATCGACCAAGTCCACAAGCAGAATTTATTATAGCAAGAAGATCAAAGTTCAGACAAAAGCAAACTATGTCTGAAAATGGTTTTAAAAGTTAAAGAATTATTGTTTCAAAATAGTAGCTGTGGGTTAAAAAATATATAAAAAGTTAATAAAATAATACCTGTTAGTAAAAACATGAATTATAAAAGTAAAAAAAAAACACTATTAAAATTTAGTTAGATGTTTAACATTATTAGTGGTTCTGTTTTAAAAGTAATAGAAAAAGTTCTAAAGATTTGAGGTATTAATGTTGCTAGTCAACATGGGGGATAGTCATCAGGCAGGAGATAAGAGATCACTACCAGGTGATTTCCTAGGAACAGTCAAGGAGGAGGAAAGATGTTGCAGAGGTTGTTAGCTGATATTATCTTAGAAAGGCAAGGAAAGGTTAAACTGAATGTATCTCAGTTTAGCTAACAGGCTTACAGTGCTGGCAAGGTGGCTGGTGTTCAAAACATGATTCATCGCAAGAGATTCAGACATATCAGTCACTGGCTTGTGAAGTTTCTTCAGATCTGCCTTATATTTAACCTATTGATAAAACAAAGGAAAACGTCAACCACCTTGTCACGGGAGTACATAAAGCAGGCTTATAAATGGAATACATTTCAATTGTTGTATTACAGCTTGTGCAATGAGCTACTGTCTATGGAGATTTTCAGTCATTCAGATCATAGTGGTTCCAAAGGTGCTGGTGGCCTGCGGAGCTGGCAGCAGAGTCGGACAGTGAGGAGGTTGGGGAGGAACATGGGTCAGTCCTGGAGTCTGGGGAAGGCTTGGACGAGGGCTCTGCATCGGAGGCAGAGAAAAGGCCATCTGGGAGGTACATGCTGCCTCCGGAGCCTCCAGAGTCAGACCTCAGCGAGGCAGAGGAACAGGGGGAGCCTGTTCCCAGTGTGCGCATGCGCAGAGCTGCCAGAAGGCAAGAACAGTTAAAACAAAAGGGACAACTCGGGAGTAGGGCTTGGAGATGTTGGTCCCTCCCATAAGACTTAAAAGAGGAGCAAAGGCACGTGGGCCTTTGCAGGAAGCAACGTTGTTAATTCTGTTCAGTTTAAAGTCTGAAGCTCTGTTTGATTCTGGACTCCATGTGGCTTTGCTAATTAGGTCTTTGGCAGCATGACAAAGGAGATAAAGGTGGGTGATTATCAGCCTTATACCGAAGGACTCTTTACAACTATGTGGGACTCATCTACGAATGAACAGAATTCACAGCTGTTGCAATAAAAGAGGTTTTTGGAACTACTCGTGTGTTTTACTGACTCAGGAACCCCAAGTCAGAACAGGTGCTTTTTCAAAAATCAACTGAATTTTCTTGTCTTTTTTTTTTCTATTCTCATCTAAGAAGCTTCCTCAGTTCAACTGTGGTCGTAAGTCGAAGGCTATCGGTACACCTCAACTTATGACCACAATGAAACCCAAAACTTCAGTTGCTAAGCAAGACAGCTGTTAAGTGAATTTTGCCTCATTTTACAACCTTTCTTGCCACAATCATTAAGTGAATCACTGCAGTTGTTAAGTTAGTAACACAGTTCTAAAGTGAATTTGGCTTTCCCATTGACTTTGCTTATCAGAAAGCCACAAAAGGTGATCACAGGACTCTGGGACATTGCAGGAATTATAAATACATGCCAGTTGTCAAGCATCCGAATTTTTGACATGTGATTGTGACCATAGGGATACAGCAGTGGTCATGTGAAAATGGTCATAAGTCACTTTTTTCGGTGCCACTGTAACTTTGAACAGTCACTAAATGAATGGTTGTAAGTCAAGGACTACCTGTATTGTTGGAGTTTTTAAACTGTTTGTTTTCACCTGCGCTTGGTCTGTTTACCATTTTTATTTTCTCTGTAAATACTACAAGGTTCTAGCAAACCTCTCTCAAAGGAATCTAGATCTGGCATCTGGGTTCTCCTCACCATTCAAAGAAAAGCTAATGAACCAGACTTACCTCACTTGCAATGTGGTGAGCATCTTTCAAGGTCTTGTAGATCTTGCTCTCCTTCAGATCGTATTGAGGCCTCTTTCCTTTTTCTTTATCAAATCTTTCTTTGTACTTGATCTGAGTCGAAGAAAACATACACACACATATATATTTTAAAAAGGGTCCTGAACTTTAACATTTCTGGCACCAAGAAGGGAGAAGAGAAAGCACCTATCCACAATCAGGTGTTCAAAAGAAATCTGATTGCAAGCAAGCAGATCAAAGGATGCATCACATAGGAACTACTTCGAAACAAAAGAGACCATTGGAAAGATCAAGATTTTTCAGTAGTAAGATTGTTACATGCTACATTTCACAGGGTGACATTTCTTCTTTCATTCAGTGGTTTATTTCAGCTCCACAAATCAAAAGGTATCAAATTTATCCATTGCAAAAAAAAAAAGGACAAATTGCTTGAGAAAGTGAGATGAAGCACAACTTCCGTTGTGTTCTTATAGCAAAGGCTTTCCCCAACCTTCAATTGAGTGGCACAGTATTTCATATATCCCTTCACTCCCAGACAGCATGGCTACTGGAATGAGGCAAACAACAATCTGGCATATATTCAGGCCTCAGAACAGGAAAGGTGGTATTATACAATTCTGTTACTCTACCACCACATCCCACAAAGGCATGATAAAGGGCAATAAACTTATTTATGTAAAAGCCAAACCTGTAGAATCCATGGTACATTCTGTGCATCTTCAGTGCTAAAAGGGAGTGGGGTTTGCTCTCTGTTTATATACATTAGTCAGCGTTTCCCTTCTAATATTGAAGGTGTTGCCTAGCTGGGTAATGAAATGTCTGCAAGCTCAGAGAGCACCAAATATTCTCTTCTGTTGGTAAAGCTAGACTTTTAAAGTGTTTATGTCTTGCTTTTACTTTGAAAATATCAAAGACATTTTACATCAGATTACGGTAGATAATTATCAATAAAATAAGATAATAACTTTCCTAAGATTTCTCATGTGGAAGGTCATTATTTAACATCTACCCTACTACCCCACCAAGAAAATTTGCACCTCATGTAGTTGATGCCCAAATTATTGTTTTTAAGAGAAGTGATAGCCTTTTAAAGTGTTTTTAAAAAGCAACTGAAAATAAAAGTTCTGCTGAGATGCTTTTCTTATTAAATTTAAAATAATCTATCTGAACCCACTGATGGATAGTCTGCTTCTAATCATGTAAATAATTCAGCAAGCTTGCTTTCATCCCAATATGATTATATTCAACTCAGCTTTTTTTTTAGTGGAACTTGCATATTGCATTTATATTACATAATATTGTACTTACATTCAATAATATAACTTTCTAGATAAACAAGTTCCTAAATGTTTTAGTACTATTATTATTAAACAAAGTCATAAAAGAGAGGAAATATATTAGCTGTTTAGTAGACAAAAAGTCACAGATTATAAACATAAAGGCATTATCTGGCTACAACTAAGGATATTTTCATTTTATTTAGACTATAGAGTTTAAATAGGAAGTAAATGGACAATACTCTTAAAAGATGGGCATAACTGTGTGCAAGAGCTGATGGAGATAACTGATGAAAGGAATTGATCATGCTAGGAAGTAACACACATCACTGTAAAGAAATAAATGCAGTCTATCATCAGAAAAATCAAAGATGCTATAGTGCACTTTCAACTCACATTCCATGATTCTTTATTTATAAAATATGGATATGTTCTTATCCATGCAACTCTGTATCCATCATGCTGGATAGTTTCATTTTTAAACTAGACTGATAAAAATTCTGGGAACATTCAGTTGATATCCTTCTCGTTAGATTTCCTTGAGAAACATACACCGAATCACACATGAACTGATGCATTTGAGAGGAACAATGACGTTTTCACAATGACAGATCTGACACATGACTAAGGAAAACTTTTAACTACATCCAGTGTTATGTATGTGGACTTTGGTTAAAGATTTCCAATTCTATGTTTTCTATTGGCAAATGGACAACACAGGATAAAGACAAACAACAATAACAACAGCATAAGAAATGACATGCAGATTAACCATAACAGTGATGGAACTGGTGACATGATAGACAGTATAGATGACAAATAACCCCTTGAAAGATTTTATGTTGAACTTCTACACAGTCAGAAGTATAGAAACATTCACACAAACAAATGATGTATCATTACGAACATCTATAAATCTGACAAAAGTATTGGATTTTTTTTTCAAGAAAAGATTGTTAGTCCCATTAACTTTCCAAGAGTCAAAAGTTGCTTTTTCTTCAATAAAAGACTAACTAGAACAGCTTAATAAGTGGAAGAGTTTATTATTTCAAAGATAAGATGGTGTATCATTTTCTGTACAAAGAACTGATTTTTGTCACAAGCACAGAAGACTGTCTGTGACTGCATGCAACATAAAGAAAGAAAAGCAAGAAAGGAAATATCTCCCTTTTTTCCTTATGTCCAAAAGTCCTCTTCAATGTATGTCCTTCCTAAGATTTAGGCCAACAATTCCCATCATCCTTCACCACTGGCCATGCTGGCTGGGGCTGATAGTACTTGGAAGCCACCTCAATGGAAGGAGTCAATTTGGAGAAGGCAGATAGTAAGAGAGTCTTTCTTAAGAGGGAGTGAGGAAAATAAACAGGAAACACTTGACATCAAGTAGCAGCAATTAGAAATTAGTCAAGATCCAGTTCTGGCTTCATTTTCCAGAAGCCTTTCTTCAAAACTCAATGTTTTGTATAGCCTGGCTGGTTGAAGACAATAAAGTGAGATCACTATTGGGAATGCTTGCTCATTGTCTCAGTTCGGCCTCCATAGTGAATGGCCATTTTTTTACATGTTTTACTGTGTGTGTTTTAGTTTAGTGTGCAACAACATTCATTAGACCAGGCTTGCATTTTAAATGCACTAACTGCACCTTCTAAAATTATTAGATTTGAACAAATATTCAATCTCCATTTCAATACTGAACTCTCAGGAGCAATTTTATATAAGAAAGAAAAGGGAGATTTTTTTAAAAAAAAATTAAACTTCATGAGATTTTCTTTAAAAAAAAGAGAGAGAGAGAGCATCCCATTGGCAATCCAGGCTCAATTTTATGTGCCAAGAACATTTTGCAAAATTCATAAAATGGAAAAAGCTGAAAAGGACAGGCACTTTAAATCCTTCTTACATGACTACTTAGGGTATTAGCTTTTTTAAAATGCCTCATCCAGGGTGTATCATACGATGCTGCCCCATGTCCCCTCAAGTATCCTTTAATGTATTTGACCTACAAAGCATAGCAAGATAGTAAGATTAGGTTAGCCAACCTGCAATGACACAAAGCAAAGAGCTAAGACAGAAATGCAGGCATCATCCATTCCTTCTCTTGATGGAGATGTCTCATAGGATAGAAGCAGCATGATTTGAAAACTCATCACTTGTTCAAAGTTTGATGGAGGACAAACAGGTTGATGTTAATTAGTAACAATACTAAAATATAAGGTACCCAAATTATTGAAAATAAATCATTTATACAAGCAGTAAATCACAGTTTCAGCAAAGTAAAAATATCCAAGTATTATGCTAGAAAATCTTTTGAGTATAACTCAAAAGTTAAGTTTTCAAGCAAATATCTTGTCAGAAATCCCAAATACACGGGGAATGGAAATAAGACAAACACATTAAAATATTTATTGCAAAAAAATGTGGAGCTGGTAATTATTGTTTTAAAATCCTGTACTGGTAATATATGGCATACCAAATTTACTTAACAGAAAATTGGTGGTGTAATAATTACCTCTAAATGGGTAGTACAGTATGTTTGTGGGTCATGTATTCACTGAGAATAGAAAATACAGTTGACAATGAATGAAGGAGCTGCTTCTTGGTGAATTTAACTCTTTTCTAATATCTAAATCAGTGTTCCTCAAGCTTGGTGACTTTAAGATGGCTGATTGAGAAATTCTGGGTGTTGAAATCCAGACATATTTAAACCTATTAAAATCTATTTTATAAATAAGTATGTACTTTGCTGGCTATTCATTTTAATTAGGTAGTATTCAATTTTTTGGTCTAGATTAAATTGTAACTTCCATCAGATGTGTAAATGTACACACAAACATATGTATGTGTATATCTTGTATATGTATTTGCATACACGTATTTGATAATAAGGGAAATTGCCATTATGCTTTGTTTGTGTTTGTATTTTTATTTATTTTTTATTTCTAGAGAGTTATCTCAAATCCAGAAGTGTGGTATAACTATGGTACTTTCTGAAACAACAGTCATATGAAAACCATAGATAAGAGTTTTGTAAAAGGGAATAATATTTTATCAATAAAAATGGCTTCATACTCACTTCTGTAGGACGTCCTTCGCTTCCAATTAGTTTATGGACAAATTTTAAGTTGGAAACTCACCCTTTGTTCAATGTTTTGCTTTAGAAATTTTAATACAGCAAATCTAATTTTTAAACCGCTAATAAAATTTTCCTGCAATGTTTCTAAACATTTAAAATGCACTGCAAATTTAAAATTGGATGTCTGCCCAAAATGAATACTGAAGTAGCTTTACTCTTTACCATCCAGTACATATTCATATGAACAGGAACAATTCATTTTAAATAATTCACTTTAAAGGTAAAATCGTCACTGTGCTAGTCAAGCCTTCTGAAATTAGGATCCAAATTTCTTCTGTACATTCAGTGTTACTCTTTGGAAGCTCATATTAAGCACAGGATTAATCAAAGATTAAGGGCGGCCCATGTATGCCCAGGATGTCTACAACACAGAACTAACCTTTTTATGTATGAAAAGATGAATTCACATGCTATACACAGTGACAGGATTCTGAGCTAACCCAGAGTCAGCTCTACTGATTACTTTAGGTATCAACATTACCTCCAAGAGATTGTGGAAATCCTGTGTCACTTGCTCCTATTGTTGTAATTTATTTGCTTTGATTGTTCATACCTGGCTGGTTAGTTTGGACACTTCTTTGGCAAGTTCAATATCTGGACGTCCAAGCATGGTGACTCCTACTCCAGCATCTTTGCGACCTTTGCCTTTGTATTCAATCTAAGATCAAGCCAGACATTTGAAACACCAATGAATGTTGTATTCTACATACAAAAATTAAAGCAATTTTACTTATATGTGTATTATATAAGCAACAAGTTATGAAGCAGTTACATTGATTTGCACTCACATCGCTGACTAAATGGGAGACTTGTGTGGCCTTCATAATATCGGGTCGATCTGCCACAGTGGTATAGTGGAGCTGTGATTTGGCATCTTTTTTATATTCGACCTACAGTAGGTGAAAAGAAGAGGCAGATCAACGATAAACACAATATTTTTTAACTAGAGGAGAAATTTTTTTAAAAAACTATTTTTTAACTAGAAAAGAAAAGACAACAGAAGGATGAAAATCAGCTAATATTTTGCCATTGGTTTGCTCTGGGTGGGATGAAATCACCATTTATATATGGATGTTTAGCAAAAAGGAGAATGGGGAAATGGAGAGGGGAGATGCGAATGTAGTCATCTATGGAAACTGTCATGTGCATGGAGACCCTTACGCCCAACCCAGATCAATAAGGGTGGAAATCTTGTGAGGCATGATTACATCTGCTCTGGATTTTTTTCCCTCAGTGTCATTTGCTTCTGCCAAAGAAGGAAGAGTGATGCCATAGGAAAAGTCATTGGAGAGAGGCAATTTTCTTGCCGCTTCCATACACACATTATCTCAGGAGCCTTCACAATTGCAGTCCCTTCTTCTCATGTCTAAAACTATGTATTTGCTTTTGATTGGATGAGCAGTTAATGCTTCCCCTCTGACTCTGCTCAGCAAAATCTCCCAGAATGTTTAGAAAGCAGAGCCACTAGTAGAATACTGGGAAATTCAGCTCTGGTCCAGGATGATGTAATGGCGTTTAGGAAAGCTTCTGGGATAGGATAAAGGCTAGAGGTAGAACTAACTTTTGAGACATAAACTAGGCTTTTCATCTGCAGAATATAATTTCACACATTTATGCTTTAAAATGGAATTATAAAGAAACTCAAAGTAGATTGAAAGAAGTTTTTTTTACATCTATCGTGCTTGAAATATACCTAAAATTATTAGGGCAGTATATATTTTAAAAGCCATGCCGTTCATGCCCAAATCTTTCTTTAAAATGTTAAAACATCTACTTTCAAATTAATTATATGGGGCCTTAAGCACTCTGGAATTAAACAAATCTTTCCAGGAAGTGAGAATCCAAATTATCATGATATCCATTAGAACCTTATCAAATACATGTAATAATGAAACCAAGGTAAGCTTTAACCTCCAAAGCTGAATGCACTTTGAGGAGGAGTGGTACTTATACTGCTCCTTCTTCAAGGGAGAGGGGCAGTTCAGAAATGTAAAAAATAAATAAATAACAAAGTCATTTTTCTAGCAATTAGCATAATTATTATTACTATCGCTACACATATTTCTATGTTTTTCCTTAGATCTCCTTTCATTTTACACTGCAGTGGCAACCAGGTAAAGCAGGTTTGTTTGCAAAGGAGACTGATATTGAGGGGTCCTTGGTGCTCTCTGACCTTGGTTGTTTCCTTGCAGACGTTTCGTTATCCAAACTAGCACTGATGATGTTACCTAGTTTGGGTAACAAAACATGTGAAAACAAAACAAAACAAAACAAAACAAAACAAAACAAAACAAAACAAACAAAACAAAACAAAACAAAACAAAACAAAACAAAATCCCAAGCTCAGAGACTACCAGGGATCCTTCGTTTCAACTCTGAGCTCCAAATACTTTCCTTTATTGGAGACTGTCACACTCATTTATATATCCTGGTTAAATCATGATATCTTAATTCCAAATATTAACAATACACTGAAATGGTCCTGCATCCAATAACAGATCACATTTTATTTGTTAAGGAAGAAAGTGCAGAAATAACTTACAATACTCTGTTTCTTTGCCACATCCATGGCGTGCTTTACATCAGGAGGTTCCACCATGATAGAATAATCTGACTTGCCTTTTTGTTTTTGAAATTTCTTTTTATAATTTGTCTGTTTGGGATAGAAAGTTATGCTTATTATTAGTCTCCACTGAAAATCTGTTGATGTTTAAAATAGGAAAGGCAGATTAAAAACACTGCTATCTGGAAAAAAGGATGTGTGAGTATATGCTTGTACGATAATAAGTTTTATCTCTTTAGTTCTGCTGTAATTTTCCTTTATATTCTCAAACTCTTTGCATTATTGATTGGATTCAAAGGGCAGCCATATTACTGAATTGGCAGATAATAATAAAGTCAGTAGCATTAATTATATATGCAACACCACATCTGTTCTTAATTCCTAGTCATCCTGTGATTTAACTTTCTTCTCACCCTCATTTCTATCTTCTTTCTAAATTTTCAAGGTACTTAAAATTATTTTATTGTGTTCATAATCAAGTTTTTAAATCATGGAAGTTCAAATGAGAGGAACACTTTCCAGATTTTTCAACAATTGCAAGTACACATCCCACAACATGTTAAGCCTTTGTAGATTCTGAATATCTGAACAGTTGAAAGAACTGTTAAATGATAAACAGTACCCTTCAGAAAACACTGTTATAATTTACAGCGGAGAAATTATAGTTTCACTCACAAACACAGAAAAGACAAATGACCATCTGCAATGTGGATAAAGTGATGCAGAAGTAGCTTACCTCACTAACATTACTGGTGACTTTTTTGACATGAACAGTATCCCGTGTTTCTGGCAATTTTGTGAAAGAACCATGTGGGAGGTGTTTCTTCACATGCTCTTTGTATTTGTTCTGTTTATCAAAAGACAAACAAAATATTTCAGAAGTCACTTATCTTTAGGAAGAAGATATTTTGAAGCCAAATAATTGCAAAATAAAAAATGAAAAAGTCAGTTACCTCAGACACAAGAGAGCTAACCAGCTTGGCAAGAAGGATCTGGGGAGTGTCTGGAATAGGAAGGATGCTTCCCCGTTCCTTGTTGTGCTTCTCTTTATATTTTAACTGAGAAGTTAAAAAAGGGGGAAACATGTTTTCAAGCAACAATCATCAACAGGATTCCACAAATGAGATTATCAACAGTGAGCATGTTGTTTTCTTCTCTTAGCTATTAAAAACCCAGGATCGAGAAATCTTATACGGAAGCTTAAGCAACTATAAGATGTTTCTGAAATCAAAACATAACCTTGAAGAATGTGAAGGATGTGATGCAACATTATTCTTACAAAATCTTTGTTTAAACATGATGCAGGCATTCATCTAGACCAGAGTTCCCCAAGTGGTCAATATTGACCCCCCCCCCAAGGATTGATGGGACTATTTAAGGTATAAGTGGCTGGGGATCAAAAGGGGATCAGCAAATGTCTGGAGGTCAATAAAAGATGTAAAATCAATTGGGGTCAGTTAGTCTTTTGGGGACAGTATAGAACTTACGTCAGTCCTGAAGATAAGTGGCCAGCAGTGAGATAGTATTAACTAGGGTTGGATGGTCAACCAGAGAGAGGACTTGAGCTGTCTCTATTATTATTATGTGTATGGGTTATCTAGTTAGATTCAAGCCTAAAACTGGTGGAAACAATAATTCAGTTCCTAACCAAGGATCTAAGAATTATTAAAGTAGCATCTAGGAATATAGGCAGTTCCTTATTTGTAAACCTTATTTACAAACCATTATTTGTAAATACTGCAAATACATTTGATTACATTTATGTTTTGTTTCTGTTTAGCAAGAATGGTCAAAATCTTTTCCATAGAAAAGGTTTTAAAATACTTACATCACTTGCCAAGATTGCATTCTGCAATGCCAACACTGTGTTTTTGTCATCTGTTACAGACAACTTGCATCCTTTGAGGTATTCTCGGTCAAGCTTGTATTCGTACTGCAAAGAAAGAAAGAATAATAGTAACAATAACAAAAAATGAAAAGTGTCTAGTTTACTCTAAATAGCAACAAACTGTCTTATTCCATCAGGGGAAAAAGTAAGTTTCCTTTCTCAATTGCTTACATCACTCTGTTGCAAGGATGTCTTAGCAGCTTGGATAAAGTCAGGTCTATCCATGGTCCAGTGCCAGTGAGCTTTGGTTGCTTCATATTTCTTCTTGTAATCCAGCTATTTAATAAGAAATATAAACATATAATCAAAGTGTTCTTGCAAAACTGGCATTTTTAAAAGAATTTTAAAAGGTTATTATAGTTTGCTGAATAGTTAATTCATCAGCGAATCAACAGACATGATTAATAAGAATATTAGTCTGGGACAGATGTAAACTCCATAGAAGAGTGATGTGTCTATGTCATGGTGTAATTGGGCAAATCACCCATCTATGTCTAAAAGTCATCCAAGTTAGCATCATATAGATTTAATGAACCATTTTTATGTTACAAGATTGATGGGAAAAGTGCTCAGTTCTCTCTTTAGGAGGACACAAAAGCTAGTTGCCAGGATTCTATTTATTAAATGATGGTATTTTCATTCCATATTCATATCTTCTGGGTTGCATAAGGTTCTCCAAGAAAGTTGGATCCTGGGAATCTGTACTGCCTCCCTTTCTCTATGAAGCATTTTACTCAACAAGATGGTGTGAGCCCATTCTCATACTTCTGAAAATACCATGAGGAACATGAATACTTTCATTCTGGATTTTTATTAAACTATGACAAGTGGGTTCTTCAAATGTTCAAGAGAGTGGGAATTGGAAATCCTGCTTTCCTAGTTTCCTTTGAAAGCCTTAGTCACCAATGATAACATTTAGATGGGAAAGAGAGAGAGAGAGAGAGAGGGAGGGAGGGAGGGAGGGAGGGAAGGAAAGAAAGAAAGAAAGAAAGAAAGAAAGAAAGAAAGAAAGAAAGAAAGAAAGAAAGAACTTACATTGCTGTTCACTTTGTAAGCCTGCTTAGCAGCTTTAATGTGAACTGAATCTGGTATCACATTGCAGTGAGATTTATTCTGCTCATAGAGTTCTTTGTATTTCAGCTGTTGGAAAAGCAGAAGATGAATGATTTATAAGGAAAGACAGAACCAAAGCTATCCCAAAAGCTTTATTCATGTATTTATGCTAGGCTGGATTGCAGACAACTATTTAAGGCTGGCTGTATATTTACAACAACATAACCTAAATCCAAAGCATATTAATAAATAGTCTTACACATGAGGGGCACTTCATTAGAAGGATACAATTGTAAAAAATTACTTACTTCACTTATTCTGTCCATGACCTTCCGTACATGGAGAATCATGGGAGTATCATGAATGCTGGTATATCCCTTTGGTTTGGCTTTCTGGAATTCCAGTTTATAAAGAATCTAACATAAAAAAAAGAAAGGAAGTTAGCACATGTAATCAATATATACATACATACATACATACATACATATATATATATATATATATACACACACACACACACATATATACATATACATATACATCATGTACATCATATACATATACATATACATATACATATACATATACATGCATACATACATACATACATACATACATACATACATACATATATATAAATATTAAAAAACACTTCCATTAGAAAGTCGCACCCAAAATGTCCAACCCCTCTTCATTCCCTAGTTATCTCCTATTGGATATCATGACTGGCTTGAAAAATGCAACTACCAAGCCCAGTCCAAGAAAAACTACCGCTACCCTCATCTAGACCTGTCTGAATAAGACATACAAATGTTGCATCTACAATCACAACAATATTAAAATTGGCTTATTTGATCTCCTGTATTTGAACAATCAGCCAATGAAACAATCATTTGCATGCCCAGAACATACATAGGTCAAAATGAAGAAAGTGGGTGATAGCATGCTAACCGAACACCCTATGCTATATCTTAGCTATCAGACATGAATGATTGCAGTTGATGGCACTCTCTTAATTATCCAACTTAAAATCTTCTTGAAGGCATATGTAGAGAAAATTGCCTATATTTTCAGCACACACACACATATATATAAAGGACAACAAAAACAAAAGTATGACACTTTAATTAGCTTTTGGCATCGGATTTTGTATCATTCAGGTGTGGGTCTGCTACCAGTCAGTGAACATTGTATACTTGATGATATAGTTTAACATTTGGTGTGTTTGACAAGTGGGATTGATCTCAAATCCATTTAATTAGGAAGGTTACTGACTAGTCACTATTTCTCAGTCCGAGAAGTTGGAAGTATGGAAACAAAACTGAGGGGAAGCCAAGAACTCAAGAAACACCGAGTTTCTTGAAGATATGTAACCCATATCTTCTCTAGAACACACCAAAACCCCCCAAAAACCTATCATTGATTTATCTTTAAACTTACCATTTAATTTGAGAATTTTCAGTCAGAGAGCCACTACTGATTCATTTCCTATCTCTCCCAAAATAACAATACTAAAAAAAGTTGCTTGACACCACTTCTTTCAAATCTCAGCACTTACATCACTGATTAGCTTGTTGACTTTGGTAGTCCTCAGATGTTCTGGAGTATCCACAATACTTGTAAATTTGTCCTTCTGCTTTTCATACAGCCTTTTGTACTTGTACTGTGAAAGGAAAAACAAATAACAGTGATATGGAATGGCAGCAACAAAAACACCGCCAATACACCTTTTCAAAAGGGAGCTAGAATTAGCCTGCTCGCTATCAACAGCTGCATAGAGGTCAACTGAAACTGTCTATGTGGGGAGCAAAGCCCACACAACGGAAATGTCAGTTAGGTGGCTTTTGGTTATGCTGAATTCAAAGGAAGCCAACGAGATGCAAAAAAAACCTGCAGAGCACACATTCAAGCCACCTCTCAGCCATGTAACTTTGGAGTGACTACTGTGAATCATCATCTCTAACCCTCCCACCACCTTGATATGGGAATGGATATGAGATAATCCCATATATCCTTCCTGGGACAGGATGTGAACATGATAAATAAAAGGAGTAAATTAGCAGGTTTTCAGCCAAGCAGATGAAAACATGGGCTGTGCTTGGACGAATCTCTTAAAATGAATAACCAGCGTAGGTAAGTTGCACCTTTTAGAAAGTAAATTTAAGAATTTGTTAAATACTGATTTATTCATTTTATAGTGTTTCCTTTCTGTTGTAATCCACACAGACTCTGGGCTGTACATAAGAGTGTGAATGAATTCAGGATCACTGAACCCACAAAAATTAGGAGTGGTTTTTAACCAATTAGGAATTACAACTATATATTAAGTAAAAAACAATACTGGTAATCAACTTCCTAAATTAATTTATGTTTTTATTTTAAAACATCAAATTAATTGCAAATCCAAACAATACTTCGTAATTATAGCAGAAAGGAAAATACTGAAACTATTAATTGTACAGATACTTTAAATATATATAAATATATTATTTATTTTGAGCAGTAGACATAGATATTATTATAGATCCTTATAAATTATTTTATGCAGCTGAAAATCTTGGGGAACCTTCTATTTAGTTATACACAGAATACCAGGACCTTAAAAGTGGTATAAAGACAAGAGTGAAAACATAATCATTTTTGTTTATGCATTATGATGAAAAAAACAACAACAAACGCATGCACAAAGACACAAATTCATGCACAAAGAATCACGCATATACAAAACAATGACAGCGTATACTAAGAGATTGCTGACATATCAATGCCATAAATAAAGCATGTATGTAGACTAGATGCGGGGAGACTGAATTTAATTCTGAGATTAGTTAACATTCCAAATCTAAAACTATTTACATGTAAAAAAAACCAACCTATTAATTTTAGGGCAAGTTAATAATTTGGCATCATAATATCATAATATTACTTTTATTCAGAAGTAAATCAATTTAGATTATCGTAGCGTAATCTAGATTTAGATAAAATGGATATTCTGTTCACAAATAGCAATACTGCTTTACTTCCAAACATGATTTGTTTGTGAGTTCAAGCTTTGGCGTTTAAATGTGAGCAGACAGACTTAATCTTCAGGTAGCTGAACATGACAGAATAGATTATGAATGACTAATATCTCACTTTAGAATTGGATTTATGGAAAACTGGAGGACTGAATTATGAAATCCTAAACATGAATGTCATTCTTGGATTGTCAAACCCTTGGATGCAGCTATGCCAGTTTGAACTTGTTTAGAGAATGAAGGTGATGTTTGTATTAGAACAGGTGAATGATGATTGTCATGTGCACAATGGAGAATCTATGTTGGCCACATTTTTCTTTCCCAACATTTAACAAAAACTGAGAAGGGTTTCCAAATAAAGAACAATAATTTCTGGGACTAGTGTCTTCCCCCAAAAGAAGAATAAATATCGTAGTTGGTACAATGTAAGTTGTCCTGATGAAGGTAAAAAGCAGGAGAACAATCATAAATTGCATCTATTTGCAGGGAATGAATGATCTAAAATAGCAATAATATAGCTAACTTTACAGAAGGATATGTTTGCTAGCCACATGTCCATCATGATGATGGACATGGAAGAGGAGACCTAAAAATATTGGATATTTCCTCCTACTCATACCTGTATCTGCTGCAGCCGGGTGCAGCTTTGAGCTGTGTGCAGAAAGAGAGAGACACATAGTAGTTTTCTGCCATTCATTGTCTTGCTGGTTGTAAAGAATTTGCTCTAATATGTATCAAATAATGGCAACATTCAAATCAACTCCACTCTTTTAATGAAGAGTTTTATGTTTATTGGACAAAACCTTCTTCAGTCAATTCACCATATTCTGTGTGTTGTACAGAGGTTTAATGTCTACCATGGGGCTATTATATATATGGATTTTTAATTACTTCATATTTAATTAATAGGAAGGATTTTTAATCCTTCAATATTTACTATTGTCACATCAACACTATCAATCCACTATAACTGCTGCTACTGCTACCACTACTACATCAACTACTACTACTACTACCACCACCATCACTACTACTACTGCAAAGCATTACCTGACTCCACTGATATGTGTTGTACAATGCTGTCAGCATATCTGGTCGCAGAATTTCATTACATCCCCGTTGAAGGAACAACTTGGCACTAGACTTATATTTATTCTGTTCATGCAGACAGCAACGAAGCACAAAAAAAGAAGACTTGTGAAGACAACAAAAAGAGCTCTAGATCCCAGATAGTGAAATTTAGGCCTTTGAAATACTCCTGGGTTCTCAAAAATTGCACCAATGAATGGCATTTGCCGTAGGCAGCATCAGAATAATGTCATAACTGAATAACTGGACACCGGACACCAAAAGAGTTATCCCCACACCCAGGGCTCCCCTTTTAATAATAAGAACATAGGAGTAAAACCAGACATTTCTTTTTTCAATTGAAATGTAGTAGAGAAATCATCCTCATTCATTGGGGCATAGTTTATGAGAACACAGAGTATGGACAGGCTCACTCAAAAAGCTACTGAGCAATTTTGGGTGGCAAAGTACAGATAGTTTTCAGTACATGAAAGGCATAACATTTTGAATATCCCGGATCACACCTGTTACATCGCAGACTAGCGACACTTTAGACATGTAAAAATGGACATCCACAAATGACAGCAGCCACATTTTGGATGCCTTGATCAACTTTGGCCAACAGTACCTGACTGCTTAACTCTCCTCCCCATTTGGCCAGCAAGGTTTTAGGGTCATCCACCACAAAGGAATACTTATCCTTCTTCTTCTCGTACTCTGATTTGTACAATTTCTGCTCAAAGCAGCACCAGGAAGTAATACATGGAGAGGCATAAATGTTAACAGCAATGTGTCAACTATGCAAAACTTTTTTAAGTTACTCATTAAATCGATTCAATCATTCAGAAAATAGAGAAGGCCCCTACTCCCCTCCTTCCCAAAAATAGTTATACATACATTTAAAACACAACATAATCTTATAAATTTAAACAGAATAGTGCTAGGCTGCTCTAATCAGAAAGCAGCCTAAATAATGGCTTATTTCCAGCTTCAGAAAGAATAGGATGTCAGTGTTAAAGATACAGAATTAAAACTTCAAAGTTGGCAGCATGTCTTTTAACTCTTCAAGCTAATCAAAATATTAAATTCAACTGCATTATGACTATATATACTGTATATATGCATTTCAAAATATATAAATGCTTGTCATATAGGTCCAAATTAATAGCCTGGACTTAACCCATTAAGGACACATAGCAAAATATAGAACGTATTTAACTAAGAGCAGAGTTTGGCATACTACAGCACCAATTAATTTCGCTGGTCTGAATGAGATTGACTTGAAATATACTTACTTCACAGCTGCAAATGTAGGAAAATTAACTTGATTTATATATGAAGTAGAAGAAGATTTATGTATTCAGCAGAAATAAAGTGTCCCTAAAACACAGATGTATCTCGGGAACAGGGGGAATTCTCATTTTTTTGTGTTAAACATGCATTATTACTGGAGTTTATAAAATCATTTTCTATTCCTTATATGCTTAATATTTTCCTGATTTATTCAAACATTATTTTATATCAGGCATGAGAACATCTAGCTTGTGGTTGGGTATTCACATCTTCAAAGCTGACTTCTTAGGGAGATCCTACTACTGTTCCCAAATTTCTTAACTCTCTTCTTTCCTTCCACACATCCAATTCTCTTTAAGTTGCATTTTAATATAAACTAGTTAGTTTTCTATGATTGGATTTACTTATACTTTTATAAAATGAAATAGGGCACTAGATCACAAAGAAAACTCAAGCTCTTTTCATACCAAATCTCGTACGTCCAGGATTTCTTTAAAGAAAATTCATTGTGAGTTTTTCACGCACCTTCTTAACCCTATTCTATACATGTGACACCTGAAGTTCCAAAGACATAATCAAGGAATCCTGAAGATATTATTCCACCTAAGCTCTCTAGATATTGATATTTACCCCTAAATCTTTTTAGAACACTAGTCCCTTTCACAAAATCTTTAGTCAACTTCTAACCCAGTCAGATCTCTTTACGGGTGGTTATCGCACCACCACTCTTAGTTAATTTACGAATTAGTTAATTCATTCAGGTTTGTTTGTTTTTTAAGTTTCTCAGCCAATTAATCTTCCTCCATGTTTCCTGACCTAGTTAAGCATGTTGAGAGTACAAAGCAATTTAATGTGCTGAGGAAGATTTAGTGGAATTGTTGCGGGCAATTCCTATATTACAAGAGTCTTTTAATCTACTTACCGCATCCATCAACCGAGTAGCATATTTAAAATGTTTGTTAATTGGAGTGTCAGCAACGTACTTGAACTTGGATTTTGTCTTTTCAAATGTTTCCTTGTACTTATACTATTGAAAACAAATATACAACAGTTATAAAGATACGATTAAAAGAATCAAAAGTCAGTATCAGTCACTGATCAAATATAAATGTGTGAAATATTGCAGCCTTCTCACAATTACTAATGAAAATGAGACATCAGTAAATGATTCCTTGAATGTTTCCAGCCTGGGAAACCTGTTAGTCTGCTGCATCCCAAAACAGAACTGTGATATATTTTTATTTACTTATTTATCAGATTTATAGATTCCCTGATTCCACCATGATTTGGGTGGCTCACAGGAAACTGTTATTTCTTTATTAAATTAATATCCCATCCTTCCTCCAGAAATTCAAGATATTGACCTTGCTGTCTTTCCTCCAATTTTCTCCCACAACAAAAATCTTGTGAGATAAGTTGGGCTGATTGTATCTACCCCAAAGTCAGCAAATGAGTCTCTGTGATCGAGGATGGATTTGAACATGGGTCTCCCAAGTCACAGTCCAACATTTTAACTATTATACTATGTAAAATGCAACACATTTATTTCAAGCAGTCCTTGACTTACAACCATTCATTAAGCGACCATTCAAAGTTACAACGGCACTGAAAAAAATGATTTGCAAGCAGTCTTTGCACCTATGACTGTTGCAGCATTTCCACCGTCTCATGATCAGAATTTAGGTTCTTGGCAACCAGCTTGTATTTACAACAGTTGCAGCATCCCAAGCTCATGTGACAGCCATTTGTGGCTTTCCCAGCTGGCTTCACACAAGCAAAGTCAATGGGGGAGGGTAGAGTCAATTAACAACTCCAATGATTTATCTAACAACCATGGCAAAAAGGGCTGTAGAATCGGGTGCAAGTCACTTAACAACTATCTTGCATAGCAACAGAAATTCTGATCCCTATTGTGGTTGTAACTCAAGGATTACCTGCATGACATGGATCTTGATTTATTTATCCAACTGATTCAATCGTATGATCAGCAGAACCTGAATATGACACAATATTGTAGAAACTGGTAAAATTTTATGTTGCTAAAAAAAATCTGTTAGGCAAACCTATGCAGGTTGACTAGAAAGAAAATTATTAAATTGATGTCTAAATAATGTACCAAAGGTCTTTCCCTTTGTGTATGCAGAATCCTGCCCCTATCAAACTAAATCAGATCTTCATAAAGAAACAACCTCTCGCAACTTTGAACAGGAACAAATAATGCACGTACTGGACTATACAGAGCTTTATTCTTTCCTGCGAGGACAAGATCAGGAGTATCCCATGCGTAGCATCCTATGCCTTTGAGCCATGTTAAATCTTCCTTATATTTAACCTGCAAAAACAAAGTAGTAAGAGAAAATTTAACTATATGAAATAATATCAGAAGTCACAAGAAGTCACCATAAACTCTTAATTTAACCAACTAATTAAATTGTTTAACTCTGTTTAGCAGATTTCAGGTAGAAGAGGTATATTTTTCATTTGGCACATAAGCTGAATCTATGCAAAAGTCCTCTTGGCAATTCTTTGAGTGATAGCTGTAAACCTAAGATAACCTCCTATGGAAAGTCCTTTAAATATCTACATCTGCTCAGTTCTGGCAGAGTAGAGCTGCACTTTATCATGGAGCTTAGAAATTTTGACAGATTTTAAATTCTGAGATCATAAACAAAATGCAGTCAAAAGTCCACTGGTAACCCTATAAATCTTGAGTTCACTTTGCAGGTGGTATTATGACTGCTAAGCTCTCCAGCATATGAGCAAAAATAGAAAACCATGCACTTTTGAATTGCATCATAAATTAACCACCCTAGAGTTTCTCAAGGCTTATTTATGTGCAAGATGCAAGTAGTCAACATAAATTAATACTCACAGTACTAACTGCATCAGTGACTGCACGATGGTGGTAGTGTTCTGGCCGGTCTGGGATAGATCTCCAAAATCCTAATTCGCTCATGTACTTTTCTTTATATTTCACCTAAAAAAAAAAAGAATTTGCAAACAATGAATAAATAATATTAAATTAACAAAAAACACAGAATGTATATGTGTTTTCTCACAAGAAAGCCCCACTAAATGCAATGAGACCTGCAAAAATTGAACTGCTTTATGTAGGCAATCCAGACTAAGAAAAATATGCACTGAATGGAGATACCAGGATGTGGAACAACTCACTTCTGCTGCTTGAAATTCTTTTCTGCCAGCAAAACTGAACTAGAAGGTGGGGGGAGGGGACAAATGAAGCATTGTATAATACCAAATCCATACCCTAACCAGACTGGGGGGGGATATCTGCAATGCCATCACAAAATTAAGACAAGGATACACAGCGCTAAATAACTTCCAATACAGTTGTTGTTATTCAGTCACTAAGTTGTACCTGATTCTTCGTGAACCCATGGACCATAGCATGCCAGGCTCCCCTGTCCTCGTTGTCTCCCAGAGTTTGACCAAACCCATGTTCATTACATTAATGACACTATCTAACCATCTCATCCTCTGCCGCCCCCTTCTCCTTTTGCCTTCAATCTTTCCAAGGAGTCCTCTCTTCACATTTGATGGCCAAAGTATTTGAGCTTCAGTTTCAGTATCTGTCCTTCCAAAGGACAGGCAGGGTTGATTTTCTTTAGGATTGACTGATTTAATTGTCTCATTGATCCCAAGGGACTCTCAAGAGCCTTCTCCAACACCACAATTTCAGAACATCAATTCTTTGGCACTCAGCCTTCCTTACAGCGCAACTCTCACAGAAATACATTACTACTGGGAGAACCATGGCTTTGTCAATATGGACCTTTGTTGGCAAGGTGATGTCACTGCTTTTTAATGTCTTATCTAGGCTCTGATGCAGTATTCTAAATCTAATGGAAGAGCCCCAAACCCCAATTTGATGTAATGATCCCTAATGACAACTGAATTTGCCTGTAGCTGGGTGGGTAGGTGAGATGGGGAACAATTGGACCCCTTTAAAAACATGGTCGTGTAAAATGGATGTTTTTGAGTTAAATGGAGATTGAGAATGTTTTATAGTCAGGCGGAATTGCACGTTTAAGAAGCCATATACTTACTTTGCTGATATCATCAGTGACCTTGCGGTGATAGACAATATCTAAGGCATCCTTTACAGTGTGGTATTTACCCTTTGCTCGCTCAAATGTTTCTTTGTAACGCAGCTGATTTAAAAAAAAAACAGAAGACATTTATTTCTATATCATTTATTTATTTATTTATAAATTTATTTCTATATCATTAATGAGATAGTCCTGAATTATATCTTTAAATCTGGGACAAATCAGACATTATCTTCACTTGTTTAGCTTTTGCACAGACAAAAATAATACTATTATTGTAATAATAATAAAACAATATTATCCAATTATATTCTGACAGCTTAATTTTCTGTATATTTTCTGTAGTTTTCTATGCAAATGCAAATGCTCCTTCCCTTCCACTTTACACAATACTTTTGTTTACTTCATTCTTTTTTTTTAGACAAAGGGATAGATAGATAGATAGATAGATAGATAGATAGATAGATAGATAGATGATAGACAGATATCCAATTATAAACCAAATGTACATTCTAAATAATCCTGGTTTTCTGCAAAAAATCAATTCATCCCTATTCAGGTAATTATTATTTCATCTGCTGAATAATTTTGGTATTAATTTAATATTTCATTATGAAAGCCATGTAATAAGAATTGATTATCTCCAACTATCCCCCTATAACAATATTTATAGCATGAAAACACATATTATCTAAAAAATTGTTTCTTTTTTCTCATACACTTACATCACTGGCATTCAGATAAGCCTTCTTAGCTCTGATGAGGATTGGTGTATCTGGGACTGTTACGTATTTATCCTTTAGTTTATCGTAGAGTGATCTGTATTTTTTCTAAAGAAACAGAAGTGGGAAAGGAGGAGAAGTATGATTAACATTGAGACTTGTGCTCTATAGGGGCTAAAGTATAAAAGTGGGACCTTGAGTATCGCAGTGAGCACAGCCTGAAAGCTTGCGCTTTAGGAGAACCAGATATTTATCCATCTCATCAAGACAACCCAAATGGTTGCAACTTTTACCTCACTGGCAAAGTCCTTCACATGCTTAGCAAGTTTTAAGGCAGGCGTCTGATCTCCAGCATGGTGATGTGGTCTTTCCTTGGTGGCGAGTTCAACATACAAGTACTGTAGAAAAATAAAAAGTTGTTACAGATCAGAGAGGTGCTGCAATTAGAACTATAGGTGTATATAGCATAGTGCAGAATGTGAGAAAAGTATACAAGATGATGATGGAGGAGGAGGAGGAGGAGGAGGAGGAGGAGGAGGAGGAGGAGGAGGAGGAGGAGGAGGAGGGGGAGGAAATATTGGGCATAAGCTTTTGCAAGAGAAAGAATGTAACAATAGAAGACAGATCAGAGCTGGGTTAGAATTAAGACAAAGAGAATTCTTGGAGGTGGAAAAGACCTGAAGATTCCACTAAGCTGACTCAATAATTACAAGCACAGGAAACCATTTGTTACTGTAATTTGCACAATTACAAAGCACATAACAATGGCAGGAGAAGAGCTCTTAATATATCCTTTCCGATGAGCTGAGTATCACAGTTACTTGGCAGGAATTCCAACAACACAGATTTATAAAAGGAAAGTTGCCTGCAGGTTCCTGGCTAAGGGGGAGGAGGAGGGGGGAATGTCTTATTACTTGGAAAAACACCCCAGAGTTATATGTGTGCTTGACAGAGTTTCCATTAAATTACATGGGACGGTGGGAGGTTTATGAGACTACACTACTTTCTTTTATTGTCACGATTAAGTTAGCTGAGGAAAAACCCTTAAATCTATGCTATTAATATGGAGAGAGTCAATCATTGCATAATACTGTTTTCATGCTTTTAATTTTTTCTCTTTAATTTTTTTTTCTTTAGCTTTTTTAAAAAAAATTACAAATAGTGGTGTTATCAATATTATGCAGCGTTTAATTAAGTCTACTATGTATTTCTTAAGTTGCCATAATGAACAGCTCCGTACCTTTGATTAATTAATGAAACAATTAATTTCAAAATTGATCATTGTAAATATCTTGTTTATTTGCCCTATTTTGTTCTTTTTCGTCTATGAATCTTTCTATTTTTTTCTTCTTTTATGCAGTTATTTATCCTGTTCCTTTAAATATTTTAATAAACAATCAAAAATATGAAGGAAGATGGCACAATGTTTCTCAACATTACAAAATTAAATGTAATTAGAAAACGTTACACAATTCTTTCATACCTGCAGCTGCACATGTACATACCTGGCTCTGCAGTTTTTGTCCCCTTTTGGCCCTCTTGAAATCTGGTGTATCAAGGATTGATGTGTACTTAGTCTTTTGCTCTTTACCTGCAGCTCTGTATACAATCTGGAAAGGATTATATGGATACGATACTGTGAGAACAACCCCAAACATTTAATCATGCCCATCATTAAAGAAACACATAGTAACTCCTTAAAGCAGTTGATTTGTGCTAAAAGGTAGAACATTTAACTCATTATTGAAAACCCTTTTTTCCTGGAATGAAGCCTTGCTCAATATTTCTGTCTAAAGTTATCAAAATAATTTAACTATTTTTCACCTTCATTTTTGGGGCAGGATATTATTGGAAATGTCTTGCATTAACCTCATTTGCGCCATTGACTACAATAGAAAGAAGATCCTTTAGCCCAAAGATATTGTGCAGCACTTACTTGCGAACGGTATAGAACAGTAGCTGTTTTCCTTCATCCTTGAACTTGGCTTATAAGAACTAACTTCAAAGCTAATGACCTAAGATTCCTTGACTTTTGGAAGCATGTGTCTGTTATAACCAATCTTTGGTTTTAATTTGGTCAAAATTGGGTTGATTGATTTATAAGTTCATAACTTCCCAATAATAACAATCAAAGCCTATTATGGAAAAGGAGGAGCAGTCTGAGGAAATGATGGTCTGGTTGTCTATGCTATTTTTTTGTCATTGAGCATGAGTTTGCTCTTCTAGAAGACCCTTAGTTATTGTCCCTTCAGTAAGCTGGTGGTTTTTCCCCCCCCTGCAGTTGCCCTACTCATAGATTCCTTGTAGAACCAACAGTTAATCTGATGGGTTTGTTTCTGCTCTTGTTCTTATTCCCCTAGTCTTCTATTCTCCCCTGCTATGAAAAGTATTCAGGTTTGTTGGCACTTCTTCCCAATCTAAACTACAATGTATGCGGTTTGTTATGCTGAAAGCCAGATTGCATCAGATCACCCCTTACATCAGGGGTGTCAAACTGGTGGCCTGCAGGCCAGATGTGTCACGTGCAAGCCACACCCACCTCATCTCCGCAATGGCAAAAAAAAAAGTCGCAATACATCACGTGAGGTCACATGATGCGATCAAGTTTGACATCCATGACATACAGTATATCTATCCAAAAAAGGTGTAGAATTTTCTTCACTTTGCAAAGTTGCCAAGTAGTCCCACCATCAATTCTATTTCACATTTGTTACTGGTATCAATAGAATTATGTCTCTTGACTGTATTTTTTATTGGCAGTTGTCTGCCACAGTGAACGTCCAACCTTCTTCTGTCGGTTCCTTAGAAAGCAACTACCTTGTTTCCCCCAAAATACGACATCCCCCAATAATAAGCCCAATCGGGCTTTCGAGCACATGGCAATAAGGCCAAGCGCTTATTTCAGGGTTCAAAAAAAATATAAGACAGGGTCTTATTTTCAGAGAAACACGGTATGTGTTAGGAGTCAGCTTTCCTCTTGAATTTAAAGGGCTTTTCATTGTGGGAAAACTAAAACTAAATTGCCTACAGTTGTGTCTGGTGAGATGGGCAGCAAACAAATTTGATAGATAAATAAATAAATACATTGAACTCACCTCACTAAGGTGGGTCTTTAGCTCCTGGTCTTTTCTATAAACAGGGGTATCCAGAACCACAGAGTATTTGTCTTGCATTTTCTTTGCAGCATCAGTGTACACATAATGAGACTGGAAAGAAAAATAGATTTAAAACATTAGCCCCACAAAATTAAGTAAGAAAGTGAAAATTAAAAGAAAGCTAAGATAGGAAGATTCCCTAGCTTCAATGGAATGTCAGTCTCAGCATTAGTGTAATACAGATTCATGTTGTCTTTTAATAACAGTAACAGAGTTGGAAGGGACCTTGGAGGTCATCTAGTCCAACCCCCTGCTTACGCAGGAGACCTGTACTAGGGATTTGAACCGCCGAACTGCCGACCATTCTGATTGACCAGCTCAGTGTCTTAGCCACTGAGCCACCTAGTCAGGCTATGTTTTAAATATATTTATATTATGGGTTTATTCGTAAGCCTTTTATTATGGAGGTTAAAGTGGCATATATGCTTGATTAATTAATCGATTGATCTTATATGCCACTTTAAAAATATTAAATCTTGCTTTATAGTGAGTTTTATCTTTTAACTAAGGATCAGAAAATAAATACATCTAGCATTGATGGTTGTGGGGGGGAAATGACATACCCAGAGTTTGCGTAAATGTCGCGAACGGACCATATCTGGAGTATCATACAGGAAGCAGCCGATACCTTTGAGCCATTGTAGATCACTTTTGTATTTAATCTGTCAAATAGAGACATTGGTTGAATATATAGCTCTTCCACATCAGAATTTATGTATATTTTGCATAAATCAATAATCTGAACTGGTCTGGAATGCTGGGAAATCACAAAGCCATTCTATTGGAATATTTGTCTAATGCAGGGATGGGAAAACTATAATTTTCCATATGTTGCTTGATTCCATTCTGAACAACCCCAACCAGCATAGCCAAGACTGATGAGCATTGTAATCCAAAATCTTGAAATCCACAGGTTTCCACAGGAGTATCCAAAGCAGCTGCAGTTGATATAACGAACTAACCCTGCTCCATATTTATTTATTTATTTAAGAAAAATTTTATGGTCGCCCACTCATTCTCAGTAACTCTGGGTGGCTTACAACCAGGGGTGAAATGCTACCGGTTCAGACGAACCAGTAGTGATGGCAGCACAAGGCTCCGCCCACCCGCCCGGTCGTCGTTACTTCCTGGCGCATGCACTTCTGACCCGGTCAGTAGATTTCACCCCTGCTTACAACAATAAAAAAACCTCAATATATAAACAATAAAAACAATACCCTCCCCCAGGCCCCCTGGCAACAACAATCAAACAAACAAGCCACTTGATGGGCTTCATCCCACTCTGAGTTCCCCAGGCCCGTTGGCAAAATCAGGTCTTCAGGGCCTTTCAAACGAGTGTCAAAGTGGAGACCAATCTAATCTCTGCAGGGATGATATTCCAAGAGGAGAGAGCCACCACAGAGAAGGTCCTTCTTCTAGATTCCACTAGATGTACCTTCTTAGAAGAGGGAACCCACAATATTCCCTGCCTCCCCGCTCTGCTGGGTCAGGTAGATGTAACCGGGAAAAGACGGTTCTTTAGATAACCTGGTTCCATGCCATGTAGGGTTTTAAAAGTGACAACTAGCACCTTGAATTGCACCCAGAAGCATATATATGTTCCATTTATTGGGTGTAATGCTTTTTGATAAATTCTTTTTAGGGAAGAAAACCATTAATACAAAAAAAAGATTTTGATATTACCATAGGACCAATATTTGTTGCAACCCATCTATATGTATTCACAGAAATTTATTCTAAAGATTGAAAACAAGTCCTGCTTACATCACTTGTAATTTCTCCGACATAGCGGTTGTGTACAGTTTGTGGAGTAAATGGTAAGGAAATCAAATGTCCTTGCATCTTGAAGAAATCAGTCTTGTAGATAAGCTAAAATAAAGAGAGAAGAAGAAGAAGTTTGTCCCCTCCCAGCAAAATCAAACACAACACAAATTGTGCATCTAATATAAAAATAAAATATGCCTACATCACTGAAAGCTTCTTGGTTTATTTTCACTTGGCGATTGTGTGGAGTATCAGGTGTAGTATGAATTTTATCTTTATTTTTGTGATACACCTCCCGATACATTCTCTGTAAGAAAAGAACAAGGATTAAACAAAAAATTAAAATTAAACCTTAATCTATTTTGCACAGTATTTCCTTAAAAAACACTTATTCCGGTCATTTGAATAGATAGAACCAACCCATGAATGCTAAATAGTAAACACATGAGTTGGTTATGCCACTTAAATTAGCACAGGTAGTCCTTGACTTACAACAGTTCATTTAGTGACTGTTCAAAGTTACAACGGCACTGAAAAAAGTAACTTATGACCTTTTTTCACAGTTACAACTGTTGCAGCATTCCCATGGTCACGTGATTTACATTTGGATGCTTGGCAACTGGCTCATATTTATCACAGTTGCAATGTCCTGGAGTCATATAATCAACTTCTGAGATCTTCCTACAAGCAAAATCAATGGGGAAGCCAGATTCACTTAACAACCATGTTATTAACTTAACAACTGCAGTGATTCACTTGACAACTGTGGCAAGAAAGGTCATATAATGGAGCAAAATTCACTTAACAAATGTTCCATACAGAAATTTTGGGCTCAGTTGTGGTCGTAAGTCGAGGAGTATCTGTATTAAAAATAATAGAATACACATGGAGCTCCATGCTTAAAACAGTTGCTTTACAGCAAGCAACAGTTTGAGAGAAAGAAGTTTATCATTCCTATTTTATACTTTCTTACTTGGAGTACTCTGGCCTTTTCAGGTGTACCGGTAATTTATTATTTTCTTTCATTTTTAAAAAAATTACCGTCCTATTTTAACGCTCAGATTCCATTTCTGCTACATATGTAAATGATCAAAAAGTTGTCTTGACTGTTATTTTCGTCAGGTTACCTTTCTATGAGATGGAAATTTTGTGACTGGACATGATCTCCATACAGCCAGTTTGTGAATGGACACACTCTCCTCCCCAAAAAATCTATAATACATTCCCAACCATGGTGGGTTTCAAAAATTTTTACTACCGGTTCTGTGGTTGTGGCTTAGTGGGTGTGGCATGGCTTGGTGGGCATGGCTTGGTGGGCATGGCAGAGAAAGGATACTGTAAAATCTCCATTCCCACCCCACTCCAGGGGAAGGATACTGTAAAATCTCCATTCCGTCCCCAATCCAGGGGAAGGCTACTGCAAAATCCCCATTTCCTCCCAATCAACTGGGATAGGGAGGCAGAGAATAGATGGGGGCAGGGCCAGTCAGAATTTTTACTACCGATTCTCCAAACTACTCAAAATTTCCACTACCTGTTCTCCAGAACTGGTCAGAACCTGCTGAAACCCACCTCTGATTCCCAACCATTCAGGTAAACCTAAAACATTTACTACCTCAGTCAATGTTTTAATGCTGATGGAGAAAAGAAGCAAAGCATTAACCTTCTTACTATTTTGTAGCCATGCAGGTTTTATGCACAAATATAGTTCTTCGTTGCAAAATATTATAACTGTGAGCTTTTCAAAATTATTGATTAGAATATACAATTTAAAACCATTAATATTTCTAGCAGTCACATTTATCCGCTTTATCTAAAATGAGTTCATAAACATTGTACAAAAGTGCACCATTTTTTAATGTAAGATTCCTACGTAAGATTCTAACAGTGATCACAAATAGTTTTATAAAACCAAGTACTGTATTATAGCAATGTTGGTTTTATGAAATGAATTAATTATTTACCTCATTAAGGATTTTATTGACTTTCCTTGTATGTACAAATGGAACAGCTTTGGGCCCAAAATTGTAACCAGTGCCCTTGATGTGTTCAAAAATTTCTTTATATTTTATCTGAAAAACAAATTTATACATAGACTTCAGATTCAGGTGTCTTTAATAAATAAAAACCATTGCAGCAGAACCCAAAAACCAAATGAATTAAGTATTATATATAATAAAACCAATATTTCATGTAAACATATAATTAAAAGACCTCATATTGCAGTTATGCAATGTTTGTCTATCTCAATACCTCCCTTAATCTATTTGAATATTTTAATGAAACCTCTGATTTTATTATTTTTGTTTTTATTTGTTTCTTTTACAATTATCTGACTCAATTGAAAGAAGAAATCAATAAAGAAAGATGCTTGGAATTACATTTTAGAAATATATGTACATTTAGAGCAGAAAGAAAATTATATGAGAGATTTTTAAAACAATTGTGATTTTTTTTCATGTATTTTGCAGTAAGATAAAGTTTTTCATCTTATCCTAAATATAAAGTCATACAAATCTTATAGTGATACAGTAGCTTTGCTATAGAGAGGTTCTCACATGAGCAGAAAATCTCTTGCATAAATGAGAGGATTTTTCCAATATAACACAAGTTTTCTATAGCTAACAAAAGGCTAGAGGTATGTGGCTGTTAGCAATAAGATATCTGTTGCATATTGTTTTGCATGCTATCTCATGCTAACTCATGTCTAAAAACTATTTCTGTACTCTTAAGCATGAATAAGCATAAGGATTGCATTATGGAATTATTTTGGGTGCTACTGGTATATGTCTTGTTTAATATTACTCTGACAGTATTTCTCTCTTTTTGTCTCTCTCTATCTGGAACTAAAAATTAATTAAACAGTTACTTACATCACTGCCAATATAGTAGGCATGTTTAGCATGCTTGAAACCAGGGGTATCTGGTGGGAGTTTGTATCCAGTGGGAAGGGCATGCAAGCCAGCATTCCGGTAGAGAGGCTGCCAAAAACAAATGAATAAATGAATAAAAATTGAAATGTATAATAATATGCAAAACCCTTTAAGGCAATAGTTGGTAAACTTCAAACTTGTAGAGTCAACTTTGGGTATGCTCTAGCACTGTACGAGCAGAAGTCATACCAGGCTCCACCCACACTCACTTTTTTTCCCAGAACTTCTTCACAGCCTCAATTTGGTAGATTGAAAATATACATCAAGAAATGCAATCCTAGCTACTTTTAATTGCAGTACTCAATGGTAATAACATTTCAACAAGGGAAGTGGTGATCTCCTCTTGATAGGATATGTTCAAGCAGAGGCACGCAAATCTGATAGGGATACAGTTGAATTTAGATTTTCCGCTAAGAAAGGGCTGGATTAGATGGCCTAATTAGCCCCCTTTCTACTCTATGATTCCACAGTCTGCTAAATTTAGGATTATGGTCAGAAAAAGGTGAGTATGCTGAACTCTGCTCCCTGCTGGCCTTGGTTGAACTTCAGAAACCTAAGGATTAGGGATAAAGGTAAAGGTTCCCCTCACACATATATGGTAGTCGTTCCTGACTCTAGGGGGCATGCTCATCTTCGTTTCAAAGCGGAAGAGCCAGTGCTGTCCGAAGATGTCTCTGTGGTCATGTGGCCGGCATGACTAAACGCCAAAGGCACATGGAACGCTGTTACCTTCCCACCAAAGGTGGTCCCTATTTTTCTACTTGCATTTTTTATGTGTTTTCGAACTGCTACATTGGCATAAACTGGGACAAGTAACAGGAGCTCACCCCGTTAACACGGCACTAGGGATTCAAATGGCTAAACTGCCGACCTTTCCATCAACAAGCTCAGCGTCTTAGCCACTGAGCCACCGCATCCCTCAAGGATTAGGGATAGATCTGGTTAATATTAGATAGACAGACATCCCCACCCCGAAAATCTCATGTCTGTAACTTAGAATAGGAACAGCATTCTGAGAGAGAAAGTAGCAAACCCCATTCTGTTTTATTGCAAGAAAACAAAACATTTCCACAAATTATCATCATGAGTTCAGAGAGTGCACATTTTATTAGCAATCTCACTTCCAAAAAAGGTAGCCAAAATCACACCACTAATGAAGAGAGATATCAACACACTTTAAAGTTTTATACCATATATGAAAAGGTTTTGCAGGAATGAGAAGACCCCCCCCAAACAGCTGGGTCCTTGTATGGCTCACTATAACCCTGCCTGTCTTGAACATCTCCTTCTTATTGTTTTATATTTGATACTGTATTATTTGTATATTATTATTGCTGCTGTTCTTCTGCAGCTTCATGACCTCAAATTTCATCAAACCCCTTTCCTCCCTCTTTTTAAAAAATTGTCATCAAGAGCCAACATCCAAGTACTTACTTCGCTCTGTATCTTGTACGCCCGATTTGCCCGCTCCAGATCCACTGTTTTATTTGTTGGTGTATATTTCCCTTTGATATGATGCACGTAGTTATGGCGGTAAACAGCCTAAAAATTGACAAAACAAAATAAGCTATGTTGAATATCAGCAAAAGCTTCCTCATTGTTTTAGTTTTTAAATGCTGGTTAGATATCAATCAGATCTAGAAAGAGCAAAAGTAGAGTTTCAAAGGAAAATCCTAATGCTGGAGAGGGGATCTGAAAAAAAGAATTCCTTCCTTCCTTCCTTCCTTCCTTCCTTCCTTCCTTCCTTCCTTCTTGCATCTGATCTACAGTTCTAGATGGTGCAGAAATATAATAATTAGGAAGTAGTGTGACAAAAAGCTGATGGAGAGGAAATACTGTATCTTTATTTTTCTATAGTTTTGTTAAAAATTAAAACTAGAATCACTGCATGCCAGGGGTGGGATCCTACCAATTGAACAACCAGTTCGCTGAGTGCGCGTGTGCGCAGTTTCCATAAAATTGAATTTCTGCATTGCAAACAAGGAAAGGAGCCAGGAAAACAGCTGAGGAGGGCCAATTCAATCTGCTGCCCTTGATCAGCTGGGCTTCAGAAGCAGAAACAAAGGTCAGTATAACCCGGGGGGGGGGGAGCTCACTTTCACAGCAATAGAGAACCAGCACTCTCGGCAGGAAGTGGGAACCACCTGTTCAGGAGAACTGGTCCGAACCGGTAGAATCCCACCCCTGCTGCATGCAGTTACGGTGATTGCATAAACATTGATGACACAATATTACTTTGCCTGGAAAGTCATCAGATATGGACTATTCAAGCACGTGCTGAAGAATAAAGAAAAAAATCCCAGTCCTATTGATTTATTTATAAAATTTCTAACTTGCGGCAATCTAAAAAGCTTTTGGTAGCTTACATAGAACATAGCAGAACAAATTAAAACATCCATGGTAACAAATAAAACCACACCAGAACTTCATATGTAACAGCAATAAATGTAGTAGCCAACCTAAAACATAGAGTAAAAACAAGAACTCTTTTATCTTATGATATAGATATCTGTTCAATCAGGGCTAAATGAACTGAAAAATAAAATGTTCCTGTGCATCTAATGTGTGACTTAGCTGTAAAAGCAAGAATTGGGGTGCGGGGGGGGAATTCTTCTGTGGCTGTAGTTTAAAAAAACTACAAAGCTGAAGCTGTGCAATGACTTGCATTGGGGGGAAATCAATCCCCATTCAATTTCTGCAGTATTTGTGAACATGCTCTATTTGGTTGATAAAATTGCAAAGAAATGGAACTAGATCAGTCTGAAAGCAATTTCTGGTTTTAAGACTGAAATGGAAAGATGACCCATTCCTGAACTATTTCCACCTGCAGATTTGAACTGCTTCTTCAATTGCTGCTGATTGGCTGGTGGACGTAGTATTAGTAAGCCATGCTAAGTGTGTTAGCAAAAATCCAAGCCATGATGATTAAAGGAAAGGGGGAGAAGCTGATGGGAACAGAAATGCAAATACTCACTTCACTCAGATTCTTGCCACTGAGGACATTTTGAACATAGAGAGGTGTGTGTGTGACTACAGAATATTTGCTCTTCATTTTCTCTGCCTCCGCCTTGTATTTGAGCTGTGAGAGGGGAAAAATACATAGATAACATCTTCCTTTTTTGTCACTCTATTTTTCAAATTTAATTTATCCATTTAATAGTTTTTGTGAAAGTAGCATTCTTAAAACACATCAAGTTTTATCTGGCTTGGAGCCTCTTTTCCATGAAGAAAGGAGGCAGTGGAAAAATGCAAGCAACAATAGCTTTGGCAAGACTAAAACCATCTTGGAAAGATGGCTCATGTGCTGGGCTCCTTCCTGTTAGTTAGAAAGATATTTTTTTGCATTTGAAAATGTTTGGGTTGGTAGAAGTTTCAAGCGATCAGAAATTGCCAACCATACTTACGAGATTGCGAAGGTCATAGGCATGTTTAGCATGAAGAATTTCAGGAGTGTCCCAAACAAAACAGCCAATGCCTTTGAGCCAGTTGAGATCGTCTTTGTATACAAACTGAGATATTAAAATTAAAAGAGAAACCGAGAGAAAAGGTGAGGATTCATTCCATGCAATCTCAAGAATGCTTTATCTGTCAACTAAAGTTAACTTCCCAACTTGGGTTCAGCTCTATTTCATGTAAAATGACCTATTAATTTAATTCCGGGCCTGGAAGGAATACCACTGACAAGACTAATTTGAATGTTAATTTCATGTCTTTCTAATATCTATGCTTATCAGATCTGGTCTAAAAAGTCTTGAAAGACAAGCAGAATATAATTCAGTTGAGCCTTCTTTTTATCAGCCTCTGCCATCTGAAGAAAATTTAATTAGTAAAAGCAGGAAGCTCCAAAAAGTGGCTGGTTAGTTTAAATCAGCCTTTTAAACTCAACTCCTTCCAAGGAATCTCCGTGTCTGCTGCTCTTAGGCCTTTAGTTTTCTGATGGTAGTCAGTTTCATTGACATGAAGAGAAGATGGCTGATAAGGTTCTACATTTGTAATTTTATTCCCCTTTGGCTTTTTTTTTTCATCTCATGAATTTCTTTCTCTCTCAACGTAGACCTCAATTTTTTGATTGAATATTCTAGAAATGGGGTGTCAAACTCTCATCGTCACGTTGTCACGTGACATATCACAATTTCCCTCCCTTCGCTAAACCAGGGTAGGCATGGCCAGTGCATGACACATCTGGTCCGTGGTCCGTGAGTTTGACACCCCTACCCACTCTAGAGGTTGTTTTGCCACATCTTTGTTTTTCTTTTTTCATTGACCTCTTTGATTGTCCCTTGACCAGTTTTTTATTTTGTTCTGAGAGTAATATTTATAAGGTTCATTGACGTATCACCCCAAAATGACCAACAGCAGCTGACCTTTGGTTTTTCTGCTGATGTGTGACTCTGACAGAAGAAGGTAGGAAGGTCAGGAACCCACCAGTCCCTGCCCTCAAAACAAGATGTGTAATGGCAGCACACAAATAGCTTCATTGCTGAGATGGAGCAAAAGGCAGGCATGGAGATGCAATGAGAAAGAGCCCACAATTGTATTTTAATAGCATGGATGTTATATTAAAAATTTAGGGTAAATTATTTTTATGGAAGTTTCGTATTGATAAGTATTTGCTATAAAATAAGATCTAAAATGTTCCATTGCAAATCAGAAAACGATGTTGGTTGTAATTTTTTGTGATGTGCATAGTTTGTCCAGGTATACATAATTTATTGTTTTTATTGTTTTAAGTTTTGTAAAATGTAAGTGACCCAGAGTTGTTCTGGATTAGGTGGTCTTTAAATCTAGCAAAATAATAAATGGTCCTTTATATAAAATCTTACATTGTCCTTGTAAAGGTATGTGCTATATAATTCCTATATCACTTCAAAACAAAAACTGATAATAAGGAGTCTATTTTTGATGCCTAGGTTTATAGATGTTTATTTATTAAATTTATTTTTATTTATTTTATTCATATTTATATGCCGCCCTTCTCCCGAAGGACTCAGGGCGGCTCACAACAATAAAACAACAAAACAATAAATTAATGCTAAAATAATCCAATTAAAATTCCCAACAGTTAAAACTAAAAACTCCCAGCAGATCAGGAGATTTGCTGAAAACCCATGTCTTCAGGCCACTGCGGAAAGAGCGGAGGTCGGGGGCCATCCGGAGCTCAGTGGGTAATTCATTCCAGAGGGTCAGTGTGGCCAAAGAGAACGCCCTCATCCTGGGCGCCACCAGCCGACACTGTCTGGCCAATGGCACCCGGAGTAGGGCAGTCCTATGTGAATGCACTGGGCGGTGGGAGGCCGGTAGGAGGTGATCCTGCAAGTACCCCGGGCCCATGCCATGTAGGGCTTTATAGGTAAGTACCAGCACCTTGAAGTGGATCTGAAGGACCATCGAAGGATGTTTATGGATGTTTTATAATCTAAACCAACATATGATGGTTATATATCAGTATCATACTTTCATCTTGTTTGAATTAAGTTGCAAAATTTAATTTTAATTTCGTATAGCTTACAATGTATAAAATGAAATACATGCCACCACTCATACTTTTTTTGCTTTGTGTAACGTTCATTTAGTAGATTTCTAAGAAGGAGTTATAATATAATTGACTTACATCACTAAGTTGATTATTGACTTTTCGGGCAAGAATATTGGCATGAGGATCTGGAATACTAGCCCACTGATGGAGATGGATACGATAATCAACTTCACTGATTTTCTTCTGTGTTTTCTTAGCTGTCACAATGCCCACCATGTCTGGGGCAATATGGATTTTAGCCTTGTTCTTTTCATAGACGTCTCTGTATAAACGCTAGGAAATTCAGACAGAAAATTTAGTTAATAGTACATTAACAAGCTTCTCAGCTAAATATTAATCTGAGATAATTTTCTAAGGAGTTGAATACTATGATTAGAATAAATGTGAGCAAATGCTTATTGATTTATTTTGGAATGTAATGGTGCTCTAATTATGCTAAAATAGTTTTACAAAAATAAAGTGACTAGGAATCACTGAATATCTAATATAACTACAGCAATATAATACATATAAGCCTTGGCTGGCCTAAAATATCTTGGCAATGTAAGTCTCTCTGTAAATCCAAAGGAATCAAGGCTTGTAATTTTTGTGCTTGACTCCTTGCCACTTGGAGAAGTAGGAAATGTTTAATAATATAGTTTTTTAAAAATATCTTACATCAATGTTCAGCTTGCCAACTCTTAAGCATCTTGCAGTGTTGGGATCATCCTGGACACCTCTAGGTATAGTGTAGAGTGCTTTAAATTTATCATACTCTTCCCGATATTTCACCTAGTGGCAAAGAAAAGAAAAATAAGGAACCATGCCTTATTTCTAAAGCAGATTTATAAATGCATTGTTACGCATACTTACAATACTGGCATTATATTTCAGCTGTTTAGCACGAACAAAAGGCACAGCATCAGGAGGCAATTTATAAGTGATGGACTTGATTTTCTCCCACAGTTTCTTGTATACATTCTGAAGAAAGGAGAAACAGTTATATATATATATTTGAGACAAAATCTATGAAACTGCAGTGTAGAACAGGTAGTCCTCGACTTACAACCAGATTTATATTTTAAATTTTATGTCATATAGTATACCTTATTTTAATTGTAATGCTTCTCACACGAATAAACCAATTTACAACAACCATTCACTTAGTGACCATTTAAAGTTACAATGGCACTGAAAAAGGTGACACGACCATTTTTCACACTTACAACCGTTGCAGCATTTCCCATGGTCACGTGATCAAAATTTAAACACTTGGCAACTGGCATGTATTTATGACAGTTGCCAAGTGTCCCAGGGTCATGTGATCACCTTTTGTGACCTTCCGACAAGCAATGTCAATGGGGAAGCTAGGTCCACTTAACAACCCTGTTACTAATTTAACAACTGCAGTGACTTACTTAACAACTGTGGCAAGAAAGGTCATAAAATGGAGCAAAACTCACTTAATGACAGTCTTGCTTACCAAGAGAAATTTTGGCTCAATTGTGGTAGTAAGTCAAGAAATACTTGTAAACAGTAGCACAGGTGGCACGCGAAGCCATATCTATTGGCACACGAGCGTTGCCCTAGCTCAGCTCCAGCTGATTTTTGGCCCATCTGGGCCCACCGGAAGTTGGGAAATGGGCCGTTTCCGGCCTCCGGAGGGCCTCCAGGGGTGTGGGGAAGGCTGTTTTCACCTTCCCCGGGCTCCTAGAAAGCCTCTGTAGCCTGAGGAGAGCGAAAAACGAGCCTACATGGCCCACAGTGCCATCACATGCCAAAAGCAGGGGGCACCCAGGGGAGTCACAGGCGCATGCACGGGGGGGCAGGGCACATTGAATTATGGGTGTGGGCACGAACGCATGTGACACCCCCCCCCCATGCTCCCCACGCTTTTGGCACACGACCGCAAAAAGGTTAGCCATCACTGGTATAGAACAAAGATTTGGATCTTCTTTAGCATTCTTGCCAATGATGGCACAAAGCAAAATTTGTCAGCAATTAACATAAAACTCCATATCAATCTTATACAGCAGGTAACCCAGAACTACATATTCCTTCACATATAACTTTATCTCCTCTTAATCTTCTTGAGTTGGTTGGAAATGAAAGGAATACCATCTCCACTCCCATCTATGATCCATCCTAGATAAGCCAGCCTAAGCAGGAAGAGAAGTCAATACTAAGTAATCCTCAAATTCTGATTTTGGCTGTTATATATTGGTATAAGAAGCTACCAGAGTAGCAGTGAGCCAAAATCTGTTTTCCTGCGCACAAAAAGTAATTTCAAGAGGTTTCTGGACTTGGCAGAATTTGAACTATTTTATATTCATTAGCATGCATGCTGTTTGATATACCATCTATAGTATGCTGTCATAACTCCAGAATAGCATTAAAAAGAAAAATACTCACATTACTGAAGAGGTGCTTGAGATTCTGGATCCTATCATGATCTGCTGTTTTCAATATTGTGGTATATTTGTCCTTTGTTTTATGGTATTGTTCTTTATATTTCACCTGCAATAAACGGGAGTTACAGTCATCCAATCTCTTCATATAAATTACAGAAAAAAGAAAATAAGGAATAAATCTAAGCAAAGAAGGAGAGTGACTCACCTCACTAGCATTGTGGCCACTCTGAACGGCAGTTACATAAACTGGAGTGTCCATAACCACACCATAGTTCGGTAAATTGTCCTTCCCTTGTTTTGTGTATATCAGCTGTAAAATCAAGGCAAAAAAAAGCAGTAGAGTTTAGTAATCATGTGCACAACCTATGTTCTTGAAGTCCATGTATTATGGAGTCTCTATAATATACAGCGGTTGATAGCTTTAAAAAAAATATTGCAGAGCTATATTTCTACTAAAGCCCTTTTTGGTTTAGAAAAATTAGAAAGGTTTGCTTTGTTCCCAGAAAGTGAGACACTATCCTTGCATTTATTTATGCCTGTATTTTTTTTTTCCACAAAGGAAAGTAATTCTATAATTAAAGACGCCTTACTTAACTCGGCTATGCTCAAGCATAGCAAGCCATGACTGTAAGCAAATCATGTTGTCCTGATTCTCACAAAACATTAAATGAAATTAACCAGGCAGTAAAAGATTGGTCATTCAAATCATCCCAAAGGTGCTTTTCCAAAAGGCAACTGGACTTTCTTAGGTTTTGTTTCCTTGAAAACGTTTCACATCTCTTCCAAGAAGCTTCTTCAATTCTAACTGAACAGTGAGAAATGGAAGGATTTATATTCTTTGCACTCATCTGGGTGTTAGCACTCTGTGGGTCCTTGAGGCCACTTGGGAGTTTATCTGTATCCTTAGAGACCCCTGAATAGAGTGCAAAATGATTCATTCTGATTCACAGCAGCTTTCCATTAAAAAAGAAAGTTTCCTAACTGTGCTACCTAATATTCCTCAGTGAATCTATGGATGAGCCTTAGTGGTGTGTGACTGAACTGATTAACTAAATATGCCTCCCCAGAGATATTTTTATTAGGGATTTTACCAGAAATGTATAGTAGAGAACTGAGATACTTGATTGTGAATGTTTTGACAGCGGCTAGAATTGTATTTGCTAAAAATTGGAAAGGAGAGAAGATACCTACTGATGATGAAGTTATTAAGAAAATTATGGAATGTGCTGAAATTAGTAAATTGACATTTGAAATTAGAGAACAGGAAGATAAACAATATTATTTGATATGGGATTTGTTTTACCAGTGGCTAGACAATAAAACATGGAGATGAAGTATGAAATATGAAATTAAGGTAATGACAAAATATATGAAATGTTTTCTTATGGGAATTAAGCCTTTGTTAAATAATTGTTAAATGAGAATAATAATATAAAGGGATATATAAAGTTGTTAAATAAGAGAAATTAAATAATTTGTAATTTTGGATATGGGATTTTGCACAAAAGAATTTTAACCGATCGACACACTCTCTGTGATTGTATTGAATGATGGTGTTTTTATGTTTAAAAATTAAAAAAAATCAAAATAAAAAACCTAAATATGCCTCCCAAATGTAGTTCATGTTCTTCTTACTTGACTCTGAAGGTCATAGGACTTCTTGGCATGCAGGATTTGAGGAGTGTCCCACACGTAGCATCCAATTCCCTTCAGCCATGTCAAATCATCTTTGTACAGCACCTATAGTTAGAGAGAAAATAATAAAGCATAAAACTTCTCTTATCATCCCTTGCATATCATAGTGATATCTTCAATCCTCTTACAGTTTAATTCCGGGACAAATTTTACAAAAAAAGGAACATCAAAAACATTAGGTAATGCAAATCAGAATATAAGAGCATGTGAATGTCTTTCTTAGCTTCTTCTTGATATCATTCATACTTTTTTTAAAAAAACCATTTTTTGGGTCATTATATCTGGTTACGTTATGGAGGATTTAAAGCAGAGATATAGTGGTCCTCAAAACATTGCTGAATTACAATCTGCAGCATTTCCCTATTTGGCTATTTCAATTTAGGATTTTTATCACTTTCAGTTTCAGGCAGCCTTCCGTTCCTTAGTCATCCAGGTCATGGTTGTCCCAAAGATGTTTTTTCAAGAGGCAACTGGACTTTCTTTGTTTTTTCTTTGAAGTTGTCTCATCCAAGAAGCTTCTTCAGCTTAGACTGGATGATGGTGAATGGAAGGATTGATATTTCTTGCAGACAGCTGGTCATTTGCATTCTTTTATAAGTCATTGAGGCCACTTGGAGGTTTGTCTGTATCCTCAGGGCTACCTGAGGAGTGCAAATGGCCTTCTTGGAACTGCTGAAAGGACTGTGTTGTGGCGCTGTGCTTTCTGCAGTGTGTTTTTCTGCACAGAAGGAACACAGGGCAGAGAAAAAAAAAACATCCTACAGAAAGCACAGCTCCACAACACAGTCTTTTCAACAGTTCCAAGAAGGCTCCACACGCATTTACACCACTCAGGTGATCCTGAGGACACATATAAACCTCCAGGTGGTTTCAAAGACTTTCTAAAAGGATGCAAATGACCAGCTGTCTGCAAGGAATATAAATCCTTCCATTCTCCATCATCCAGTCAGAGCTGAAGAAGATTCTTGGATGAGAAGCAAAACATCTTCCAAGAAAAACAAAGAAAGTCCAGTTGCCTCCTGAAAAAGCACCTTTGGGATATCCAGTGGAAGCCCATGAAGGTACTCTGCAGTTCACTTCATGGTCCTACTGTTCTATGCCAGCAGATAAAGCAAAAGCTCTGGATTACTGACACAAAGCTTGACTATCGATTGGCAATAAATGAAGCATTTCTCAGGGACCGTGAGACCAAACCATTACTTACATCACTCAGAATCTCCTGAGCCTTCTTAGCCACCACCACATCATTCTCTTCGGGGGAACAGTTCCACTGGTGCAGGTAGGTTCGGTATTCAAGGTCACTGAGGATATACTGACATTTCTTAGCCAGCACATGGTTGATCATGTCACTTGGAATATGAATGTCCGCCTTGTTGTCTTCATAATTTTTCCTGTAGGCCAACTGGAAAACAAGACAGAAGTGGAAATTATTAGGAAAATAAAGAGGCTCTGGGCTCCATCAAAAACAGACAGCATGTAACAATCAGTTACCAAAGTCAGATTCAGAACTGTTCTGAAGAAATGAGCAACAGGGTTAGCCCAACATCAGCACACATTCGTTGTCTTCCAAGGCCTCACCCTCATCCCCAATCATCAGACATGTTTTCCTCTCTTTATATTACAGGTAGTCCTTAACTTACAACAGTTCATTTAGTGACCGTTCAAAGTTACAACGGCACTGAAAATTGTGGCTTATGACCGGTTACAACCTTGGCAGTATCCCCATGATCATGTCACATTAAAATTCAAATGTTTGGCAACTGTTCGTATTTATGACCATTGCTGTGTCCCAAAGTCATGTGGTCACCTTTTGTGACCACCTGAGAAGCAAAGTCAATGGGGAAGCCAGATTCGCTTAACAACTGGATTGCTAATTTATCAACTAATGTCAGCTAGCCTTCTGCTTGCTGCCATAGAAAAGGGGGGAGGGATCAGTGGAGAATTTTTCATTGCAGCTTTGCAACTACGGCCTAGATTTTGCTTATCTCTCCAAGGCCATTTCTGCTAGCTCTGGTATGCAATAGCCTCTGGTTGCCTAGCTACAAGAGGGTTGGGCTGTACAGTTTGTTTCAAATTGCTATTTTCGCGCGCTTTGCCTCAGAGCTTCCCTGGAATTTCTTGCTTTCGATTCATTCCTAGTAAAAGTACTTTTCTCTAAATCTATGTAGCTGAGGATTTCCCCCCCTAGGAAATGGACAGAGGCAGCCCTGATAACTGCAGTGATTCACTTAATAACTGTGTCAAGAAAGGTCGTAAAAATGGGACAAAATTCACTTAACAAATGTCTCACTTAACAACAGAAATTTTGGAGTCCAATTGTGGTCATAAGTCGAGGACTACCTGTATTCAGCTTCCTTGCTATAATTCCTGGGAGAATTACCATCCAAGAAAAGCCACAAATAACTCCTTACCGCACTCCGCATTTTTTGGAAAGCAAGACAATGGAGCACACTCGGGAAGTCTTTTTTATGTTTCCCCGCCAGATAATGGCCCTTTAGCTTCTCATATATTGCTTTATATTTGAGCTGAAAAGGACGAAAAAAGAAAATGTTAGATGTGTATTTTTTTTCAAAAAATCCCACAAAAGTAATAACCAAAAGAAAACTCATACAGACCTCGCTGTTAATATAATCGGCATGTTTGGCACCAACAATTGGGATGTAATCTGGAGGCAAAGTGTAACCATAAGCCTTCTTTGATTCCCAAGCATCCTTGTACACGTACTAGAAGGGACAAAAATGGCAGATTAGATTTAATGAACTAAGTTTCAAAGAGTCAAAATGCAAGTGCCTCTAAAGCAGGGGTGGGAAACAATGGCCCTTTTATGACTTGTGGACTTCAACTCCCAGAATTCCTGAGACAGCCATGCTATCCACAAGTCATAAAGGGTCCATCCTTCCCCACCTCTGCCTTAAAGCAAGAGCAGGGTCCTTTTCCTAGTTTGAAACACCAGCCTGCAATAGGAGGGATGATAATGTATAATGGGTGGGTACCCCACATTTAAAAAAAAAAATCCCTGTTTTTAGTGGAAATATTATTTCTTTCTGTCTCTTCCTACTTCTGCTTTTCTCACTCTCTGATATACTATAGTTTATCTTACCGTTATGCACAGGTAGTCCTTGACTTACAACAGTTTAGTGACTGTTCAAAGTTACAATGGCACTGAAAAAAGTGATTTATGGCCTTTTTTTCACACTTACGACCGTTGCAGCATGGTCACATGATCAAAATTCAGATGCTTGGCAACTGACTTGTATTTATGACACTTGGGTTATGTGATCACCTTTTGCGACCACCTGACAAGCAACATCAATAGGGAAGCCAAATTCACTTAAAACAGCATTACTAACTTAACAACTGCAGAGGTTCACTCAACAACTGTGGCAAGAAATGTCATATAATAGGGCAAAACTTAATAAATGTCTCACTTAGCAACAGAAATTTTGGGCTCAATTGTGCTCGTAAGTCAAAGATTACCTGTATATTCCTTTTCCCTTAGAATGGCAGGACTTTTCTACCATTATTGAAGAGAAACCCAAAAGTTGTACATAAATGAGTTCAGGAGCCACAATGGATCCAGAGTCTCAGTGTACTCTCTCCTACTTAAAAAGCAGATCTTTGTATGCCTGTAGGCAAATTCATTCTTTCATATATTTTTTTGAAGTACTGTATAATACAAAGTTTTCTTCAAAAGAAATTCCTCTGCTGAAGACTTTATCCTTGACTAAATTGATTTCATTTATTGATCTGTCAGCAACTCTGTTGTACATCTTGTTTTCTCTATCTTTGGCCTGTAGATTCTTTAGATCTATCACGATTAATAAACTATTTGAAAGACCATAGCTAGATAATCGTTTAAAGAATGATATATTAAATTATTTTATTTTATTCCAATTTCATTTTAAACTGTGTTTTATTCCAATTTCATTTCAAATCGTATTTTATTTCAATTTCATTTTAAATTGCATTTTATCCAATTCCATTTTAAACTGTTTGTATCAGATTTTGGTCATAATTTGTGTCTGGAACTCTGCACTTTGATATGGCCCAAGGGCTAATCAATAAAGTAAAGTAACTAATTTGAAGAAGGAAAAGGCAGACAGCAATATATTTGCATAGTTAGCATGAACAAAATTTATTCCAGCCCATACAAAATGTATTACTCGTTGATTTTATCTGAACTGTAAATTTAAATAGTATCAATGAATAATATTTAGTACTTTAAAGTATTGTGAAAGTAATTGCTGATTCAGAATTAAGACATAGTGTGGGATGCAGGTTTCAGGGAAAAGTGAAGTTCCAACAAGCATTTGCATAAAAAATATGCTTCCCCAGATTAAATTTCTTCCTAGTAATAGAAAGAGATCTTGAATTTACATGATACGAAATACAAGATAACTTACATCGCTGTAGAGTTTTATCATCTCTCTGGAATGATTTATGGCCGGTGTGTCATCAGAACCGATGTAGTGGCCTTTTTGAAGGTTAAAGGTTTCTTTGTATTTCACCTAAACAGAAAAATGAAAGGCAAGGCAAAAATTTCAGACATCAGGTTGAGTTTAAGGCTAACTTGATAAGTTGGCTGTCTAGAATGATAACTATTTTAGAGGACTATAGAGAATTTGTTCTAATTTTTAGAAGTTTATAAAGTATTATCGCTTCTTTATATGTGCATTTCTTTTCTGTATGAAAGACACTAAAGCTATAGACCAAGTCATTGCTAGGAATTCTGTCATTAACACAGACTCCACAAAGTTATTCTGGCCTCAAACATGGATTATATTTTTAAAAGTGTTGTAGAGCATTTATGTTATATATAACTGCCCTAATATTGAAAGTTTTGTTAAAAATAATATTGTGTTATACAATAGTATATTAATTTAACCTTCAATCTACTGAATATTTAACACTAGATACAATGGTCAAGCAGAACAATGACAAACATATTGTATGGCATCTGAAAATACATATTCTCTCACACAGGGACACACATACTGTACAGTGACACTACTGCAGCCATCCTGTTTTAAAGAATGCTTACGTCACTCTGCATGATAGAGTTTGCCTTTGCCAAAACGACATCTGGAGTGTCTTCAACGGATGTGAAATGGTCAAAATTATCAATGGCTTCCTGTGTGTAGATTCTCTGTAGAAAAACATGACATAATCATAATTATCTTCTGGGGAAAGTCTAGAATGCTGCTATGAGTGTACAAAACAATAATTTACCTTGTTTATTAATTCCTGAGCATTCTTTACTCTCCGATGATCCACTGAATCTAGTGGAATCCAACCACAGCCACGGAGCCATTCAAGATCAGATTTATAAAGGTTCTGTAAACATTAATAAATTATGATAAGTACAGTATATCTATCTCTATGTATGTATGTATGTATGTATGTATGTATGTATCTATCTATCTATCTATCTATCTATCTATCTATCTATCTATCTATCTATCTCTGATTTATTTTCCTAGATCTTTCTCTTAGATATGCTTTGTTAAGATAATGACGATTTAATAGCTGACCAGCTGCTGTAAGGCTGTAAACCGAGATGATGCAATGAGAATGAGTCAGCAGGGTTATCATTTTAAGAGGCTGTCTATATAGGGGTGGCCATGTGAGGGCGTCTCTCTCTCCTCATGTTCTATCTCCATTGTAGCTCTCCATGTATTTTTCTCCATATATGCTTCCTGTTATAGTTGAAGATTGATTGATTGATTGCCTGGCTTTGCTTAACACGTGTAAACCACTGTTTGAAAGATCTCTGTGTACTATATTTTGCTCCTGGGTTGTCTCAAACTAGCAGTCACACTGTGCACACTCTGACATGCTTTCATATCTAGCTTGTAAAAAAAATTAACTTCGGTAAAACTGGAGTTGGGAGGCTATAACTATAACAAATCTGAATAAATAATAAAAAGATAAAAATTAATAATATTAATAATATTATTACTTACATCACTTTGAAGGTCATAGGCTTTCTTTGCCTGGATACAGTCATTTTGGTCAGGGTGACATGTCCATTCATGAAGGTAAAGACGATATGGAATGTCACTGACAAGGTGCTGGCAGTCTCTGGCTGCAATCACCGAGCGTATATCTGGGGGTATGTGAACGTGGGACTTTGTTTTGTGATAGGATTCTTTGTATAACCTATCATTCTGAATCTTGCCAGCATGCTCAAACCACACCAGTTTTGGATCCTCTCTCATATTATTGACCCCAACATAGTGGCCTCTTTGGATGACGTAATCCGCCTTATATTTTAGCTAAAAGGGAGAAAACACATAAGTGTAAATATCAGCCTTGAATCTTTTCTTCTTCTAACTTGTGAAGTATGGTACTTTTTACTGTCCTCAGTTTCTGGAAAGATTAAGAAAAATACGGGTGCAATTGCATAACTTACAAAGAAAATGAGTCCCTGAAATGATAAACCTGACTGGGTCATTGCGATGAGAAATTGGATAGGTTTTGCAATGTTACGAAGGATGAGCATGGCAAATATTTGAAATCTGTGAGATTTTTGAAAGGTAGAAAGATTTTACCTCACTTTGGACGTTATCAGAATGCTTGGCATGACGAAGTGGCACGCTGTCAGGAGGCAAACTGTAGCCAGTAGCTTTATGTTTCTCCCAGCTGTCCTTGTACAGATGCTGCAAAAAAAGAGCAGTAAGAAGTTAATATTTTCTGAAACACTACAATTGTTTCTAGTTCTATCAAAAACGCACCCAGATTAAACTTCAGATTAAAAAAATAACTGTTTAAGCAATTTGTTCCATATCTTGGAAATGTTTCCCTTGGGCCCTTTTTTCATAAATTCACTGTTTATTGTCTTTTCAAAATATTTAAACTGTATTTCAATATTTCAAATATAACTAATTATAAAAAAAACTGCCATATTCAGAGATACACAAGTGATCAATCTCAGCACTATCATGATTAATTGATAGCCTATTAATTAATAGATAATCTATTAATTAATAAAGCCTGGTGGCACAGCAGACTAATACCTGTTATTAACATTCAGCTGCCTGCAATTACTGCAAGTTCGAATCTCCCCAGGCTCAAGGTTGACTCAGCCTTCCATCCTTTCTAAGGTAGGTAAATTGAGGACCCAGTTTGTGGGGGCAATAAGCTGACTTTGTATAAATATACAAAAGTATGAAAGCTATTGTTTAACGCATTGTAAGCCGCTCTGAGTCTCCGGAGAAGGGCGGCATATAAATCAAATTAAAAAAAAAATAGTGAATCTATAGGATTTCAGTTGGAGGTCTTTCTCTGGAGATTCCAGAGACTAGGTCCAGAACTTTACACATACACACACACACACACACACACACCTGTGTTGAGTCACTGAACTATAGCTCTTTCCCTTTGAAGTTCTCTGTCAGTGTTGCTTGGTTATATATGGCAACCTTCAAAACAATATCTAGAGTGCTCCCCTTACTGAGGTTATTTAGGAGAGACTGGGCATACTATAGATCTGGGTTTGGATCAAGGAGTTCATCTTGAAGGCTCACAAGGTCCTCTCTAACTCTGATTCTGTGTTTGTAGGTGCAGTATTATACTGATGTAGTCACAGAGAAATGTTCGTGTTTTACTTGTTTACGGTGGCCATAAGTTTGTTTCTGTGTTCAATTAAAAGTGGAACATCCACTCCTATCAGAACACGCTTGCAGATAAGATCATCTCCAGAACTTAAGTTCCCTTACATAAATGAACAGCTATCCAGAATTTTCTCAGTGGTAGTAAATAGAATTATGAAACAACTTCTCCAGAAGCATGGCATTGAATCATGATTAATTCCTTAAAGAAATGGAACACTAAAATGGGACTGGTTAAAAAGAAACTTGGGGAAAACAGTAGATGGTTTTGATTCTGTCGTTATATTTGAGGGTCCTTAACAATCACTTAAAAATGATTAATTGTCTTATTTGGCCTGGAGCTGACATCTGTGCATGGTTACTGTAATCACAAAGTTTGCAAAAACACAGAAAACTTTCTCTACACACTGAAGAGCCCAGTGAAAATTGAGTTGATTTAAGGGGAAGAAATGCTGAATAAATAAATGGGGAAGAAGATAAGAAACTTGCAGGGGGAGAAAAGGAATGGAATTCTGAACAGGGATCACTGCAACATTGTGTTGCAGCTTTTGAGTTAAAAGAACTGTGTGAACTACCGAGTAACCAGATAGTAGTATGAGCATATATGAGAATATACAAAAGGTTGCATAAATAAAGAGAAAAAAGTGTGGGGGTATACAAATGGAAGCAACTAAAACAGTCCAGTGAATGGGTCAATAGTGATAAGTAAATTTGTTTTGCAGTCAATGGAGTAGAAAACTGTGGGAAAGGAAGATAAAATAGAAATCTCTTGAAATCAGCTCTGACTGGGTAGAACCCCCAGCAAGAGGCCTGTACATTTATATCCTTATTTTCCTTGACTATAGTTTTTCACTAACTATCCCATCAGGACCAGGGGTGGGTTCCATTTACCTTTACTACCAGTTCGCAGCGGGATCGCACACGGACACTCGCTTCGCTCACGCACACTCTTCTGCGCATGCGCAGATCACCAATGATGATGTCGTGCCGGGTGGGTATAGCCTCCTGCCGGTTTTACTACCGGTTCTATAGAATCGGACAGAACCGGGAGCACCCACCACTGATCAGGACTCATGATTTAAAGATATAAAATTATGCCACATTTTCTATTTACTATTGTTCCTGGGAGGAAACAACATACCTCATTAAGAATCCTAGCTGCTTTTTTAACTGCTTGCAACCGAGGTGTATCTGTTAGTGTATAAATGTCCTTGATGCTGTTCCATTCCTGGTGGTATTTAACCTGGAAACAAATAAAGTTAACAATAGAGTTATTATAGATCTGTTACAGATGTACAAATTGCATCTTAAACAGACCATCTGATGCTCTCCAAATGTTTTGGCTTTCAGTTCACACCAGCCTCATCCAACATAGCAATGGAAGGTAGTCTCCAGATATCTGGAACAAATCCAACTGACTCCATTTCTGATTTTTATTCGTGTGTTTATGGATACTGATTCTGCCTTCATTTTTGTGAATAAGAAAAATAAGAATCGACACGCAGAGAACAAAAATATAACCCCAACTCAAAAACACACACAGTGTGCACTTATTTGCATAATACATGCCATTCTGTAAAAAGAAAAATGGAGAAACAGAAAAGCTTATTGGCTAGATCAGAGTTAGGGTGCATTAAATTCAGCCTCTTTAACCTGTTAGAAACTGTCATGGTTGGCTTGCCAACCCTACTCTGCAAATCCCTGACTATTCTTACCGGGATATGTAAATATAGTTAGTGTCTGCTGAAATGCCATTAATCTTATGCACTTCACAAGAGAAAAAGAAGTACATGGATTTAGTCTTGCCTTCCAGACATTATGTATTTCTTTTTTTACTTTATTCATTATTTAATGAAATCATTTATGTAATTGGTGGATTGATTTATTATTTGATCTCATAATTTAATTATTTATTAGGCAAAATAACAGTTTGGTGTAGTAGATAGTTTGGTGCAAGTCTAGAAAGCAGGAACCTAAGACAGGGGCGGGTTTCAAAACCAGTCGTTACCAGTTCGCTCGTGGCACGTGCGCGCTCGTGTGCACACGTGGCACTTCCGCAAATGTGCAGAAGCATCCGGGCAGGTGGGCGGAGCCTCCCGCCATCGCCGCCACTACAGGTTTGCCCAATCCGGGGCGAACTGGTAGCAACCTACCATTGGCCTGAGAGCTGTAGTCCCACCCTTAGGCATGAAAGGCAACAGGGTGACTTTGGGCCAATCACCATGAGATTGTGAGTTCTAGTTCCGCCTTAGTCATGCAACCTGGCTGGCTGACTTTGATCTCTCTCTCTCAGCCCAACTCACCTCACAGGGTTGCTGTTATTGTGGTGGAAAGAGTATTAAATATGTTCTCTGCCTTCAGTTATTTATAAAATAATACAGGCAAGATAAACAGTTAATAATGAATAAAATGAATAAAATCAAAGCAGTTGCTGTGGGGAGGGAAAGGTTTGGAAGCATCTTTTCGAAGCAATCCTGTCAGGTCAATCATGAGGTTTTTGGGCCTATTCTAATCCCCCACAGTGCAACATGGCTGAGAAGAATCAATATTTCGCACTCGAACACAAAGGAGGCATTCCTTAGTTTGCTTTATAAAGGATTTAATGATGGTAGGAGTCAGTAGGATTAAAGTTTAAAGAATGCTGTACAGGAAAATAATTGACGTACCGTATTTTCCGGCGTATAAAACGACTTTTTAACACATGAAAATCTTCTCAAAAGTCGGGGGTCGTCTTATACACCGGGTGTCATTCTCCTGTAACCAGGCAGACCAGCCCGAAAGGCTCTGACGAGCCTTAAATGGCTCTGGTGATCCAAGCTCTGACGATCTGCTAATCAGGCAACTCAGCTGGGATCGCCAGAGCCATGGAGAAGAAAAAAAGTTTTTCCCCTCCAGCTTGCTTACCTTAGCTGCTAGTTGCAACGCTTGCCTTGCTTGGCTTGCCTGAATCCATTCCATCAGCAAGCCACTCCCTGCCTGCAATCAAGCAGGCAGGGAGTTGTGGACTTCAACTCCCAGAATTCCTCAGCCAGCAAAACAAAGCTGGCTGAGGAATTCTGGGAGTTGAAGTCTACAACTCTTAAAGTTGCCAAGGTTGGAGACACCTGTTCTATTGGGTAAGTTTTTTTCTCCTTTGGGATCTTTAAAAAAAATAGTTAATTGGGGTTTTTTTTAGTTGTTCTTTTTTAGATCTAGCCATTTAAAGTTTAGGAAGTTTTAAATTTAGCTTTCATATAAAAATAAAAATAAAATAATATTTGTGCAGCTTTCTGAGATTTAGTGTGTTTCTGTAGTGTTTCACTCTAACTACACAAACACACAAAATCTCACAAAGCTGTATGTGGAATTTTGTGTGTGTAAAGTGTGAAAGTTGAGTTTTTGGACTTTTTGTGGCTGTGTGAAGTTCCTGCTTGTTGCAGGGGCCATTTTGGGTCTAGCACAGCTGCTTTTACATTGTGGGTGAGCCAGTTGTGTTGTGTTGTGTTGTGTGTGTGTAAAGTGTGAAAGTTGTTTTTTGGGGGGCTTTTTGTGGCTGTGTGAGGTTCCTGCTTGTTTCAGGGGCCATTTTTGGGTCTAGCACAGCTGCTTTTACATTGTGGGTGAGCCAGTTGATGTTTTTTAATTTTTATTTGGTGTGCGTTGGAAGAGGGGTAGTCTTATACAGCGAGTATAGCCCAAACCCTATATTTTAACAGGAAAATTCGGGGGTCGTCTTATACGCCCAATCGTCTTATACGCCGGAAAATACGGTAGTTGTGAAAATGTCCTTTTCCTACTGCCACAGTTCACAAGGTTCATTAAGGTGGATGAGCTCTGCTGGAGTTATCAAGATCCATAGCGATTTGTTCACAATATATTGTTTCCTTTTCCAAGATTTATTCCCTTTATCCTAGGAGATAAATGTAACTGGATTGAAATAAAAACTCAATACTTACATCGCTTAGTATTTCTCCACCTTGTTTGGCTGTGATATAATCAACCCTGTCAGCCACCGGAGTAAATGGCAGTTTATCAGCTTTGGTACGATATAACCTCTATAAAAAGAGAAAGGAATACAGAGGTAAGGCAAATAACAAAAATAAATAGTCATGCAAGAAAGAAAGACAGGAGGAGAATATAGGTAGTCCTCAAGTTACGACCACAACTGGGCCCAAAGTTTAGGTTGCTAAGTGAGAAATTTGTTAAGTGAGTTTTACCGCATTTTATGACTTTTCCTGCCACATTTGTTAAGTGAATCATTGCAGTTCTTGAATTAGTAACACGGTTGTTAAGTGAATCTGGTTTCCCCATTGACTTTACTTGTTTGAAGGTCGCAAAAAGGGATCACATGACTCTGGGATACTGCAACCGCCATAAATGTGAGTCAGTTGTCAAGCATCCAAATGTAAAACAGGTGACCATGCGGATAAGTGTGAAAAATGGTCATGTCCCTTTTTTCAGTGCCATTGTAACTTTGAATAGTCACTAAATGAGCTGCTGTAAGTAGAGGACTACGTGTATATTCATCTGAATTGGCAGGTATTATTTTTGCTTTTGCTTTTTTAATAACTCTTCTGGATTATGCTAAAAAACAGTAATGCTATTGCTGTTCAGTTTGGATCCTTAATCTGAAAAAGTATTATTATTAAATAATTTAAATAATCAAATTAATAATTAAATATCTAATTAATAGTAATATTTATTGTTTTAATATTTTATCTGGTTGCTTTTATTGGGTTGTAAAGCTACCTAGAGTCACCTCTAGGTGAAATGGGCAGTGTATAAATCCAATAAATCCAATAAATAAATATTAAAGTGGATTAAATTAACCTATCTATTCGTTTTGAGCAGTACAACATGGATATTGTATATCACATTAAATCAAAATCTGTTTTTTTAGCTTTGATTTAACACTGTGTATGAAATTAGCCAACGATAATGTATCCGATAAACCACAGTAAAATAAACCATAGCTTATTATTTAAAGGTTTTTAGATTATTATTTAGAGAGTTTTTCTTTTTTTTTCTTTTTTTTTGTTTTTATTGATGTTGTGCGCTACCAAGAATGCTGTTTCTTAAGATGGGCAGACACATACATCTAATAAATAACTAAAAATCACTCAGTGGATACTCAGTTCATAAGAACAAACAAGCATGAAGGAGAAACAGTTTTGCATGAACTAAAGGCTGCACTGTGAAAAAGCCACATTTTTATAAATGGGTTTTTCTGTGTGAAACAAGAAAGATCTTTGTAGGAGGAAACCTCTTACCTCGTTAATAAGGGCCTGAGCATGTTTGACATGGTTGACAGAGACAGAATCACTTGGCATCCAGCCAATTCCTCGTAGCCATTCTAGATCGGATTTATAGACAGCCTGCATAGAGCAAAAAAAAAAAAAAAAAAAAGTTGAGAATTATTTACACTTTTTCCAGGAGGCAATTTCTCATTCATTTTGACTGAAAGATAAAAATTGCCCTTCTTTTCTCACAGAGAAGAGCAAATGAATTAGGCACAGCATATAAGGAAAAAGTATTATATTGTTACAATTTTGATGCTGTTTTAACTTAATCACTTTCTAGTTTCTTACCATAGTTTAAGAATAGAATAGAATAGAATAGAATAGAATAGAATAGAATAGAATAGAATAGAATAGAATTCTTTATTGGCCAAGTGTGATTGGACACACAAGGAATTTGTCTTTGGTGCATAAGCTCTCAGTGTACATAAAAAGACAAGATATGTTCAAGATATAAATATTTTTTTCACATTCACATTTATATCTGGTATCATATTTTACTGGAGACCTAAAATGCATATTTATTTGAAATTAATGATGTCCATTTACATAGTTGCATCTGTGGGATTCTGATTGGAAAATGTAATTTTCACTAAAATAGTTATCTGGATGTTATGATTACTATAATAAATATCATGTTTATAGAAGCGGGTTGATTTATACAAAGATGGCTTATAATAATTGAAGCAACACAAGTACTTCAATTTTGAACAGCAAATAGTAATAATCAGCCAAAAGCCAAGGGAAAATGTAAAAAACAATAGTCAACATATAATAGTACAAGCAATGAACTTTCTACTCACATCACTCTGTAACTCATAGGCTTTCTTGGCTTGGATGACATCATTCTGGTCAGGCAAACATATCCATTCATGGAGGTACCGGCGATAATCAATGTCACTAACCAGTTTCTGACATTTCTTGGCCAGCAAGATGGACAGCATGTCCACTGGACTATTGAACTTGGTTTTAAACTTCTCAAAATGTTTCTTGTATTCCCTCTGACTCTGCAATTTGGCTACGCGCATCGCCAGCACTAGTTTGGGATCATCATAAATATTCCGGAATCCAACGTAGTGTCCCACTTGCTTACGGTAACCTTCTTTGTACTTGTACTAATTTTAAAGAAAGATACAAATAAAATTTCCATCTGTAATATCATAAATTGTAAAGGAATTGCATGAGAGAGCCTTGTTGCAATATCTGGGATGTCAAACTCGTGGCCCGTGGGCCAGATGCGTCATCCGCTGGCCACTCCCACCAAAGGGGAAAAAATTCATGATACATCACATGATGACAACATGATGCTGCAAGTTTGATACTCCTGCTCTAGAACAATACCCCCCAGAAATTTGTGTGGCTCCCACATGGATGTTTTAGATACCAACCCTGCTACAACATATAATATTTCCCGGTTCTGTGCAGCAGCACTCAAAAGTCATTGGATAATGATCTGTGTTTGGGTCTTAACTTTATAAGCTACATTTAATGACTTATTAATGACATATTATATTGCTTTAGAACTTAATATAGTCTTCCAGTACTTTTATGCTCCCCTACACCCATGTAATATTCTTACCCCTCCTTTTAGATTCTTGCTTTATATATGTATGTATGTATGTATGTATGTATGTATGTATGTATGTATGTATTAATTTATCTTTTATATCTTCTAGCTTTTAATAATTTTGTTCTCTCAGGTGCTGGGGAACTGATAGCTGTGGAGCCTCCTTCTATTATAGTTGGTTTATAGTTGCTGTTTGTTTCTAACCAAGATGCATTTCTAACCAACTGCAATCTTTTATTCTAAATTGGGGAACCTTTGGTTAGAATAAATCCTATTTAGTATCAGCATGGTAAAACATCTGGCCAACCTTGTACCAAGGAAGTTCCAGGTAGTAGGCTAGACTGGAATGTCAAAAGGCATCTGGGAAGACAGAACTGGCGAATGGCTTCTGTAATATTGCCTAGAATTGATTGATTTGTCGATTGATTGTTTAAACATATATGCCGCCAAGTGATTTATAGTTGGTTTTCTTTCTATTTTGTGCAAATGCTGATAGCAATTTAGGTCACCCTGTAGTCACCCAGAATGAAGATGAACTTAGAAAGTTTTAAGTATCTTTCAGACATATTGACTGGTAGGACTTTTATCAGAATAAACATACTGTGGACTACAATGCTAATCTAAACATCCAGTAAATGTATATAACTTCATGTGCCAGAGCTGTTGCTTGCAGAGTTTATTCACAATAGTTGAATTATGCTTGCAATCTCTTATCTTGTAGTGAACTGAGATATATAAATATTTGTTTGCATATCTATATATATATATCTATATATATCTATATCTATATCTATCTATCTATCTATCTATCTATATATGTATATATATATATATATATATATTTATATTTATATTTATATTTATATTTATATTTATATTTATATTTATATTTATATTTATATATCTCCACCATTTACCCTGATGAAGGTCTAGAGTTCACACATACACAAACACACTGAAGATAAGAACATACAGTGATTATACTTACATCACTGGCAATTTGTCTTGAGGCTTTGGCTGTTCTGATTGGAATTGCGTCTAACCTGTAATCAATGTATTTCTTTACATCGTCCCAAGCGTCCCTATAGAGTTTCTGAAAAAAACAAAACAAAACAAAAAACCAATTCATTAAAACCCAACAAAATTTTCAATAAGTTTTTGCCATATCTGCTTGCTTTGGAAAGTTTCCCTGTTAAGAACAGCGTCTCCCCAAAGATACATTCAACACCAACCTTACTTGCCTTTCAGAAGGTCACAAAGACTTGGCTCTTTCCCCGTGCATGGAGGCCAGGAAGTTACTATGGGAGATCTGCCATGAATGCATGTTGTAGGTGTTTGATAAGAGAGCCTCAACCTATATTCTGCCATTCTTGTTTTATTGTTAATATCTACATTGTATTTTGACTGCTCAGAATGTCATCTGAAAGATGACTAGCTGTTTAAATTGATTACAAACTAACAAATAAAATTATCTTACATGGCTAACATTCACAGCATTCATCCTGGAGAGCACAACTTGAGGGGTATCGAGAGGAATATTAATCTGTGCCTTCTCTTTATCCACGCTTCACGATAAAGGTTCTAAGAAAGGGAGAAAGGAAAGGAAATTTTCAATTGCTTTGTAAAAATCCTTCTAATTTTTTAATGGCCACTGTATTTCAGCCACATTATAAGAGGTAGTGACTACATTTCAGTTTACCTCACTGATCTGTTGTGCATTGACCTTAGCCAGGACAACCGGGGGAGGGTCAGGTATACTGGTAAATTTCAGTGCATCTGGGCGTAGTTTGTACAACCTCTCATTTATGAGATCTTGAGCCCTTTTCACTCTGACCACATCCACAGAGCCTTCCGGCATCCATCCAATCCCACGGAGCCATTCCAGATCAGATTTATACAAGTTCTATGAGACAATGGATCACAAAAAAAAAATAAAATGATTAAACTCATATTTTTAGCAAATATTTCATGTGGTAAATAGAATTAATAGGATATTGGAAAGTCCTGATTAAAATGGTTCAATTATTTTTGAATGGATTAATTGTCTTTATGAAACAAAACAATCAAAATAGATAACGGAACAAAAATACCAAAAATTCAAACAGAATGTACACCAAACATTCTAGACAACTCTTTCTGAATCAACTGAAGTACAATTATACAATACCCTAAATTCAAAATAAGTTAATTTAGTGCAACTTATGCCAGCAAATTTAAAAAGGTTATTAGAATGTGCCAATTGGTTGTTCAAAGGCTTTTTGGAGTTATCTACACTTTGGGAAGCCAAAACTCATTGAAAATTCTTATTTCTGTGATCAATATTTAAAAATATTTCCACCATCACAATATGGTGTTGTAATATGGCGTGCAAAGGCTACACTCAATGAAGACTTCAGTGGAGGAACAATGTCTCTAGTGTCCTTCTGACATATGTAATCAAGGAAATAAAAGTAGAATTAAGATAATTTTCATGAGCACCTTCTAAAACTTACATTCTTCAAATATGGGGATTAATCTGGCAGGGAGAAAGTTATGTGGGTCAGGATAATGGAAGCTGAAGTGCAAAGCATCTGTTCTACAGCTATGCACTTCAAGGTCTCTTTTGTTGTGTGCCTGATCATAATGCATCTATGTAATCTTGTACTGGTGTACTTACATCGCTCTGAAGTTCATACGCTTTCTTTGCTTGGATCACATCGTTCTGATCCGGCAGGCAAGACCACTGGTGCAGATAATGATGGTAATCAATGTCACTGGCTAAAGCCTGCCCTTGTTTGGCTGCCTGGATAGCCACCATTTCGTAAGGGATGGTTATATTGGCTTTTGAACTGTGGTATGCTTTCTTATAGAGACGGTCATTTTGCATCTTCATTACTCGAGCAGCCCATGAAAGTTTAGGATCCTCCTTGACTGATGGGGTTCCAATGTAATGACCTTTCTGTCTCTCGTAAGTTTCTTTGTATTTATACTGAAGAGAAAAGCAAAGCAAAGAACAATTGAAATGGGTAGGATGATGCAGTTTGTGAAAATTAGTATTTTAACAACTGGAGGACCTTGAATGAAGGAACAGGTAGATTTCATTATGAAGAAGTTTCCATTCAATAGATTTTGAATGCATGTGTCTTTGGAATGTTGTTTTGTAGGTTAGGCATCAACATGATATTATATTGTATAATAAACCATTATAAAACAATATTTAAAATAGTGATTTTCCCTTTGAAAATGATAGCTTAAAGTGACATATTTAGTAAATGGAGAATCCTTTTTGAATAAAATATTCCCTTTCAAACCAAACTTTATATACATTAAATGTTTCATAGTTATCTGACTGGCACTTCCAAGTAAAAATGATTTTCATTTATTTTAAACTCATGTCTACAGCAATCAATATGAAAAATAATTGTGTAAGAATATCAAAACTGCTGCAGTGTGCCTTGTATGATATGAAGTTTACATAGAAATTTAAGTTTAAATAACGTTGCACACTTTGCTAGGTGGGTGATATGAAAATATTCAGTGGTATCAGCAACTACTATATATTTAAACAATAGGCCTCATACCTCACTGGCAATTTCTCTGGAAGATTTCGCATGCTTGAATGAAAGAGCATCCACTTTAAAGTCATAGCCTTTGTCTTTGGCTTCATCCCAGGCTCCAGTATAATGTTTCTGAAATTTTACATGTATAATTTTCAATATAATCAGAAAATGAAGGAGGAGGAAAATAAACTATAGACAGTTCTCAATTAAACATACAGTTTTATGGGCCTATATTAGATATACGTACCACTATGATTAACTTACTTAGCTCCCAGGGACAACTGAGATGTGGCACTACTGAAGAGTAAAGTATGAAAAATATAAATTTTCAGAATGAGCAATGGACAAGTATTGCATAAATACAACGGAAATGGTGAAATTCAGGCTAGGCAATCACATTTGGAGCTTGTTTGTCCAAAATAATTTGCTTATTTATGGCTGTTATAGTAGTATGTCCATTGTACAATATTTTGAAATTATATCAATTTAGCCACAAAATTTGGGATGCCTACTTAACAAAAGAAAATTTAAAACCAATATTGGTCAAGAAGGCATAAAGTTTTTAGGCAGAGCCTTGTACTTCCAACAGGGATGGTTGGGAAAGTGTGTCCAATGAATGCATATACGTGTGTGTGTGTGTGTGTGTGTATGAATCAACATGTAATACTTTTATATTTTTAACAGAAACTAACAGGAGAGTATAACTAAGGAGCCTTGATAGCACAGAGGTTTAAGCACCCTGTCATTAACACAGCTGCCTGCAATTACTGCTGGTTCGAATCTCTCCAAGGCTCAAGGTTGACTCAGCCTTCCATCCTTTCTAAGGTAGGTAAATTGAGGACCCAGTTTGTGGGGGCAATAAGCTGACTTTGTATAAATATACAAAAGTATGAAGGCTATTGCTTAACGCATTGTAAGCCACCCTGAGCCTCCGGAGAAGGGCGGCATATAAATCAAATTAAAAAAAAAAAGACAATGTAATAAACAAAGGAATAGTAATATGCTTAACAAAAGAATGCATACAGTTAGTTAATTATCTTACATTGCTAACATTCACAGCATTCATCTTGGAGAGCAGCATTGATGGGGTATCGAGAGGAATATTAATCTGTGCCTTCTCTTTATCCCACGCTTCACGATACAGGTTCTAAGAAAGGAAGGAAGGAAAGACAATTTTCAATTGCTTTAGGAAAATCCTTCTAATTTTTTAAAGGCCACTGTATTTCAGCCACATTACACAGAGGTAGTGACTACATTTCAGTTTACCTCACTGATCTGTTGTGCATTGACCTTAGCCAGGACAACCGGGGGAGGGTCAGGTATACTGGTAAATTTCAGTGCGTCTGGGCGTAGTTTGTACAACCTCTCATTTATGAGATCTTGAGCCCTTTTCACTCTGACCACATCCACAGAGCCTTCCGGCATCCATCCAATCCCACGGAGCCATTCCAGATCAGATTTATACAAATTCTATAAGACAATGGGTAAATAATAATAATAATAAAATGATTAAGTTTACATTTTTAGCAAATATTTTTATCTGGTAAGTAGAATTAACAGGATATCAGAAAGTCCTGATTAATATGGTTGAATTATTTTAAATGGATTGATCCTCCTTATGAAACAACAAAAATGCAAGACAGTCAAATTAGATATTGGAACAAAGATACCAAAAAATTCAAATGTGCTAATAATCTTGATTAAGTAGGTAGCAAACGTATTCAGTCATAGCATAATACACCAGTGATTCTGAATAACTCTTCCTGAATAAATTAATATTAATTCATAAAACTCCCTAAATTCAAGAGTTCAGTGCAACATAAATAAGGAAATTTTAAAAAGATATTAGACTCTGCCCAATTGATTTGTCCTAAATTTCTTCTTTGATCACTTTAGAAAGTGAAACCACATTTAAAATTCTTATCCCTGTGATAAACATTAAAAAAAAATCATCAATCACAGTATGGTGTTGTAATATGGCGTGCAAAGGCTAGCTACACTCAATGAAGACTTCAGTGGAGGAACAATGTCCCTGGTGTACTTCTGACATATGTAATCAAGGAAATAAAAGTAGAATTAAGATAATTTTCAAGAGCACCTTCTAAAACTTACATTCTTCAGATATGGGGATTAATCTGGCAGGGAGAAAGTTATGTGGGTCGGGATAATGGAAGCTGAAGTGCAAAGCATCTGTTCTACAGCTATGCACTTCAAGGTCTCTTTTGTTGTGTGCCTGACCATAATGCATCTATGTAATCTTGTACTGGTGTACTTACATCGCTCTGAAGTTCATACGCTTTCTTTGCTTGAATCACATCGTTCTGATCCGGCAGGCAAGACCACTGGTGCAGATAATGATGGTAATCAATGTCACTGGCTAAAGCCTGCCCTTGTTTGGCTGCCTGGATAGCCACCATTTCGTAAGGGATGGTTATATGGGCTTTTGAACTGTGGTATGCTTTCTTATAGAGACGGTCATTTTGCATCTTCATTACTCGAGCAGCCCATGAAAGTTTAGGATCCTCCTTGACTGATGGGGTTCCAATGTAATGACCTTTCTGTCTCTCGTAAGTTTCTTTGTATTTATACTGAAGAGGAAAGTACAGAAAAGAGCGATGATTAGGGTTAGGCAACAACATATTATATAGTTTATTAAACCATTATAAAACAATATTTTAAAATTGTGATTTTTCCCTTTAAAAGGATGGCTTAAAATAACATATTTAATAAATGCAAAGTACTTTGTGAATAAAAGATTCCCTTTCAAATCAAACATGATATAAATTAAATATTTCATAGTTATCTGACTGTCAGTTCCAAGTAAAAAATTGTTTTCATTTGTTTTAAAATATTATTTCTACAGCAACCAATAAGAAAAATAATGGTGTAAAAACATCAAAACTCTACAGTAGGATACCTTGTATCTGGTTGAATCAATATAAAGTTTATATTGATAAATATAATAAATAAATTCCACATTTTTGCCAGATGGCTGATGTGAAAATATTCAGTGGTATCAGCAGCTACTGTATATTTAAACAATAGGCCTCATACCTCACTGGCAATTTCTCTGGAAGATTTTGCATGCTTGAATGAAAGAGCGTCAATTTTAAAGTCATAGCCTTTTGCTTTGGCTTCATCCCAGGCTCCGGTATAATGTTTCTGCAATTAAAACACATACACAATTTTCAAGGCTGGAAGAAAATAAACTACAGATATCCCTCAATTAAACATGAAGCCGTAGGCTCAGAAATAAATCTCATTATATTTATTGGACTGTCCTTCAGAAGACATCTGTAGACAAATGCAATGCAATATGTGAAAAATTTGATTTTTCAAAATAAATAATGGGATGGACACTGCATAAATTCAGTATATATTTGCATGCATATTTATGCATGCACACATGTTAAATAACTTATAACAATTTTATTTGTTTAATATCAATACTATGAATTTATATTAATAGACCAAGTGGAATTTATTATGAATTGGTAATAATGTAACTATGCAAGAAGGGAAAACCTAACACTTAAAGTAACAAAACTCTATTCCAAAATACTATGATTTTTTATACTCTAAGAATATCTTGTTCTTTTTAGTAGATCTCTCAGCCAAAGTTACAAAACAAAAACATCTCCCTTCTGCCATCTCAAAATCCTCTCAATGGCTTCAGAAACCATTGATCATGGTATCCTCCCAGGATGACAGACAAGTTTGGGAGAAGAAAGATGCTGTGGATTTCATTTTTCCATGGCTGATTTCAGATGGGGAGATGTCCAGCCCTAGACCTCTGCTGTTCTGTTTTTTTCTACATTTCTAATTAATGTCTACATCAGACCACTGGATGATTTTACCCATTGGCACAAGTTGAGATTTTATCAACGGGATGAAGAGACTGAATTGTACGTCTCTGTCCCGTGCCATGCAAATGATGCTATTGAAGTACTTTCCCAGTGCCTGGTGATTTGCAGACTGGAAGGGGAGGAACTGGCTTGACTAAATCATTACACACCTGAATAGCTGTAGATGTTATGGCCACCCATATCTCGTAAATTTTCCATTGTTGTATCTAAATGGGAGAATATTCCCCAAGGCAGAGTAGATGCACAATGTTGGCATTCTTCAGGGTACACAGATTCTGCTCAAAGAGCAGGTGGCTGCTATGGCCTGAAGGGCCTTTGCACAAGTACATCTTGTGTGCCAGTTGCACCCATCCCTAGATTTGTCATTCATGACTTACTCACCTCCCAATTAGATTATAGAAATGTGCTCTGCATAGGGCTGCCTTTGAAAAGAAATCTAATGCTCCTGAATATGGTAGTACATACAGCACTGGGAGACTCATATAAATATACTTATACAGAGGTGGGCGTCACATACTGTAACAACCAGTTCGCCCAGCACTGGAAATGTGAGTGAGTGCAAGTGCAGCATCAAAAAACACGGCAATTCACTCATTCGCGCCATCCGCACGTGCGTGCGGTGTCAACAAACACAGCAATTCGCTTGCGTGCAGCATCAAAAACACTGTGATATAGAATGGGATTGCGCCCAGGCCCAAACCGGTCCGAACCAACCACTGCACTTATATAATACCACTGCTACATTAACTACACTGGTTGCCAGAAGGCTTCTGGGAGCAATGCCAGTTATTGTTGTCATTAACCCTTTATGTTGCTAAGGACCAAATTACTTGTGGGATAGTCTGTCTTTGGTGGTTTCTACCTATCGCACCAAATCTGGCTCTGAGCATATTCTGGGCCCTTTTGTGAGGCAATATCTGATAGGACCTAGGAAGAACCCAGGAAGCATGACTTCTCTGTTAAGAACAGCTTCTCCCCAAAGATACATTCAACGCCAACCTTACTTGCCTTTCAGAAGGTCACAAAAACTTGGCTCTTTCCCCCGTGCATGGGGGCCAGGAGGTTACTATGGGAGATCTGGCATGAATGCATGTTGTAGGTGTTTTACATTTTTGATGAGAGAATCTCAACCTATATTCTGCCATTCTTGTTTTATTGTTAATATCTACATTGTATTTTGACTGCTCAGAATGTCATCTGATAGATGACTAGCTGTTTAAATTTGATTATAAACTAACAAATAAAATTATCTTACATGGCTAACATTCACAGCATTCATCTTGGAGAGCAGTACTTGAGGGGTATCGAGAGGAATATTAATCTGTGCCTTCTCTTTATCCCACGCTTCACGATACAGGTTCTAAGAAAGGGAGAAAGGAAAGGAAATTTTCAATTGCTTTGTAAAAATCCTTCTAATTTTTTAATGGCCACTGTATTTCAGCCACATTACAAAGAGGTAGTGACTACATTTCAGTTTACCTCACTGATCTGTTGTGCATTGACCTTGCTGTGTGTTGGGGGTGTTTTAGTAACCGGGGAGGGTCAGGTATACTGGTAAATTTCAGTGCATCTGGGCGTAGTTTGTACAACCTCTCATTTATGAGATCTTGAGCCCTTTTCACTCTGACCACATCCACAGAGCCTTCCGGCATCCATCCATCCAATCCCACGGAGCCATTCCAGATCAGATTTATACAAGTTCTATGAGACAATGGATCACAAAAGAAAAATAAAATGATTAAGCTCATATTTTTAGCAAATATTTCATGTGGTAAATAGAATTAATAGGATATTGGAAAGTCCTGATTAAAATGGTTCAATTATTTTTGAATGGATTAATTGTCTTTATGAAACAAAACAATCAAAATAGATAACGGAACAAAAATACCAAAAATTCAAACAGAATGTACACCAAACATTCTAGACAACTCTTTCTGAATCAACTGAAGTACAATTATACAATACCCTAAATTCAAAATAAGTTAATTTAGTGCAACTTATGCCACCAAATTTAAAAAGGTTATTAGAATGTGCCAATTGGTTGTTCAAAGGCTTTTTAGAGTTATCTACACTTTGGGAAGCCAAAGCTCATTGAAAATTCTTAATTCTGTGATCAATATTTAAAAATATTTCCACCATCACAGTATGGTGTTGTAATATGGCGTGCAAAGGCTACACTCAATGAAGACTTCAGTGGAGGAACAATGTCTCTAGTGTCCTTCTGATATATGTAATCAAGGAAATAAAAGTAGAATTAAGATAATTTTCATGAGCACCTTCTAAAACTTACATTCTTCAGATATGGGGATTAGTGTGGCAGGGAGAAAGTTATGTGGGTCAGGATAATGGAAGCTGAAGTGCAAAGCATCTGTTCTACAGCTATGCACTTCAAGGTCTCTTTTGTTGTGTGCCTGACCATAATGCATCTATGTAATCTTGTACTGGTGTACTTACATCGCTCTGAAGTTCATACGCTTTCTTTGCTTGAATCACATCGTTCTGATCCGGCAGGCAAGACCACTGGTGCAGATAATGATGGTAATCAATGTCACTGGCTAAAGCCTGCCCTTGTTTGGCTGCCTGGATAGCCACCATTTCGTAAGGGATGGTTATATTGGCTTTTGAACTGTGGTATGCTTTCTTATAGAGACGGTCATTTTGCATCTTCATTACTCGAGCAGCCCATGAAAGTTTAGGATCCTCCTTGACTGATGGGGTTCCAATGTAATGACCTTTCTGTCTCTCGTAAGTTTCTTTGTATTTATACTGAAGAGAAAAGCAAAGTAAAGAACAATTGAAATGGGTAGGATGATGCACTTTGTGAAAATTAGTATTTTAACAACTCCTATTCCAGCAGGCCGGCCTGGCCTAATTTTTCCCCTTCTTTTAAATTTTTAAACTCAAATTTTAATTTGTTTTAAATTATTGGGAGTTTTAAATTGTCTCGGGCAAAAATTATTTAATTAGGTTTTAATCATGTTTTAACTTTTGTATTTATGTGTTTTATTTTGTGCCTGTTCACCGCCCTGAGTCCTTCGGGAGTAGGGCGGTATACAAATTTAATAAAATGAAATGAAAATGAAAATGGAGGACCTTGAATGAAGGAACAGGTAGATTTCATTATGAAGACATTTTCATTCAATAGATTTTGAATGCATGTGTCTTTGGAATGTTGTTTTGTAGGTTAGGCATCAACATGATATTATATTGTATAATAAACCATTATAAAACAATATTTAAAATAGTGATTTTCCCTTTGAAAATGATAGCTTAAAGTGACATATTTAGTAAATGGAGAATCCTTTTTGAATAAAATATTCCCTTTCAAACCAAACTTTATATACATTAAATGTTTCATAGTTATCTGACTGGCACTTCCAAGTAAAAATGATTTTCATTTATTTTAAACTCATGTCTACAGCAATCAATATGAAAAATAATTGTGTAAGAATATCAAAACTGCTGCGGTGTGCCTTGTATGATATGAAGTTTACGTAGAAATTTAAGTTTAAATAAAGTTGCACACTTTGCTAGGTGGGTGATATGAAAATATTCAGTGGTATCAGCAACTACTATATATTTAAACAATAGGCCTCATACCTCACTGGGCAATTTCTCTGGAAGATTTTGCATGCTTGAATGAAAGAGCGTCAACTTTAAAGTCATAGCCTTTGTCTTTGGCTTCATCCCAGGCTCCAGTATAATGTTTCTGCAATGAAAACACATAGACAATTTTCAAGGCTGGAAGAAAATAAACTACAGATATCCCTCAATTAAACATGAAACCCTATGCTCAGAAATAAATCTCATTATATTTATTGGACTGTCCTTCAGAAGACATCTGTAGACAAATGCAGAGTTTCATCTGATAGACGAACAGCCGTTTAAATTTGATTATAAACTAACAAATAAAATTATCTTACATGGCTAACATTCACAGCATTCATCTTGGAGAGCAGAATTTCAGGGGTATCAAGAGGAATATTAATCTGTGCCTTCTCATTATCCCACACTTCACGATATAGTTTCTAAGAAAGTGAAGAAAAGACAGACAACTTTAATTGCTATGTGAAAATCCCTTTAATTTTTCAAAGGTCACTGTATCTCAGTCACACACACTTATCATTTCACATATAACACAGAGGTAATGACTACATTCAGTTTACCTCACTGATCTGTTGTGCATTGACCTTAGCCAGGACGACTGGAGGTGGATCAGCTATACTGGTAAATTTCAGTGCATCTGGGCGTAGCTTGTACAACCTGTCATTCACAAGATCTTGAGCCCTTTTCACTCTGACCACATCCACAGAGCCTTCTGGCATCCATCCAATCCCACGGAGCCATTCCAGATCAGCTTTATACAAATTCTATGAGACAATGGGTCACAAAAGATAAATAATATGATTAAGCTCATATTTTTAACAAATATTCTTATATAGTAAATAGATAATTATATAGCATATGGTTTATAGGATGTCAGAAAGTCCTGACTAAAGTCGTTCAATTAATGAAACAACAAAATTGAAAGAAAATCAAACTAGATAATGGAACAAAGGTATCAGAAAATTTAAATCTGTTAATCATCTTGATTAAATAGACAGAAAGGTTATTAAGGCATTGAATGTATTCCAATCTGTCTAGACAACTCTAATTCCATTGAAGTGCATTCCTACAATGCCTTAAATCAAAACAGATCAAAACTTAAGCAAGTTTAAAAAGGATATTAGACTTTGCCCAATTGTTTGTTCAAAAGTTTCTGGTATGTATGAATACTTTGAGAAGCCAAAGCAGATCTGATATATATGTATACTTTGGGAATTCTCAACAACTTTTTTATATCGTGGTGACCAAAACTGGATGCAGTATTCCAAGTGTGGCCTTACCAAGGCATTATAAAGCAGTACTAGCACTTTACGTTATCTTGATTCTATCCCTCTGTTAATGCGGCCTAGCACTGCATTGGCTTTTTTGGTGGCTGCAGCACATTGCTGGCTCATATTTAAGTGGTTGTCCGCTAGGACTCCGAGATCCTTATCACAGTTACTGCTATTGAGTCAATTCTATACCTGTTCACTTTACCTAAGTGTAAAACCTTACTTTTCTCAGCATTGAACTTCATTTTTTTTAGTTAGGGCCCAGTGTTCAAGGCTGCCGAGATCATTCTGGATCTTGAGTCTATCATCTGGGGTGTTGGCTATTCCTGCTAGAAGTGTACTTACATCGCTCTGAAGTTCATACGCTTTCTTTGCTTGGATCACATCGTTCTGATCCGGCAGACAAGACCACTGGTGCAGATAACGATGGTAATCAATATCGCTGGCTAAAGCCTGCCCTTGTTTGGCTGCCTGGATAGCCACCATTTCGTAAGGGATGGTTATCTTGGCTTTTGAATTGTGATATGCTTTCTTATAGAGACGGTCATTTTGCATCTTCATTACTCGAGCAGCCCATGAAAGTTTAGGATCCTCCTTGACTGATGGGGTTCCAATATAATGACCTTTCTGTCTCTCATAAGTTTCTTTGTATTTATACTGAAGAGAAAAGCAAAGAACAATTGAAATGATTAGGACGATGCCTGCCGTGTGAAAATTGGTGTTTTAATGATTCAGGGACTTTGAATGAATGAACAGGTCGATTTCATCATTAATAAGTAACCATTCAATAATATTTGAACACATCAGAATTTAGGAATGTTGTTTTGTAAGTGAAGATCAACCATATATAATATAGTTTAATAACCGAATGTAAAGCAAATATACTAAAACAGTGATTTCCCCTTTTTAAAATGGCAGGAGAAAGTAATATTGAATTCAAAACTTTAGGGCAAAAAATATTCCTTTTACTTAAATATCTCACACCTGTTATCTGTTTGGCAGTTTAGGATGAAATAAAAAAATAAATAAAAAGCTTGAATTAAAGGTGATATTAAAATCTCAAATTTTGAAATAAGTAAATATATTAAAAAAATGGAGGATGCATGCAAAAATATAATATCCTTGAAGAACAGCAACTGGTTGAATTTATATGTGTTTCAGATGAAGATATCTAGTAGCATACCCTGCCATCTGTTTGATATGAAATGATACGGTAATTTTAGAAGCAACATTTAAATAACAGAGTTCATACCTCACTGGCAATTTCTCTGGAAGACTTTGCATGCTTGAATGAAAGCGCATCCACTTTAAAGTCATAACCTTTTGCTTTGGCTTCATCCCAGGCTCCAGTATAATGTTTCTGCAATTAAAAAATAAGCACAAATTTCACTATAGTCAAAAAAATACTAAATGAATTACAGGAGACTACAGATATTCCTCAAATAGATATGCAATTCCTATGCACATCTAGTCAGAAATAAGCCAGTGGACAAAAGATGGTGGAAATCCGTGCCTTCTTAGAACACAATTAATTGCACAATATATGATAATGTTATGTTATGTATAGAGGATTGTATGTTTGTTAGTATGATTTACTGGGTTAGGGATTTTCTGTCTTTCACTGTGAGTTAATGAGATGTATTGTGTTGGGGGGGGATGCACTAAGGGAGGCTCAGCCAATCTCATTGTATACATGTTGTGCATTGACAATAAAGGTTTGAATTGAATTGAATTAATTTGATCTGAACCACATAAAGAACTTTTTCAGCATCCAGCAAAGTTAAAACAACTAATTCCAACATAGCATGCTGTGGTGTCCAAAAAAGCCATTACCAAACTTACTATAACGATGGTTGTGCCAATTTATTTTTTACCTTCCTAAGAGATTTCTCCCATTTTAATTATATTTCAAAAAAATAATAATTTACTGTTCAATTACAAATGTTCCCAAGTCATATAAACTCAGTGTAAAAATAATAAAACTAATAATTCATTGATTCTACTTCATTTTGTAATTGACCATCGCTGGCCTGAATTACAGATATAAAATGTCATTGTTTTGTTGTTTCAACAAATACGACAATATTTCCTTCTTTCTTTCTTGATTCCCAATAGATCCTTCTTTCTTTCTTGATTCCCAATAGATAAGATTAGTGTATTTCAAGGAATATTCAAAGAGATCCGAAAGTAGATTTAATTTAACCTTAGCTGCGATAAATACTTGTCATGAATCCTCTCTGTGATTTCTCTCTAATCCTCTCTATTAAAAACTTAGTATATGGATCTCCTTTTTCTTCAATCATTTGTTTCCTTTTTTGCTATCTTTATTTTATTCCTATGTTATTTTCTTCTATATAATTATGCACGTTTGAGCATGTGCATGTACGTGTATATACCTATATTATGTTGTTATTGCAGTGATTTGTATTTTATTTTAAAATATTTTTAAATCATCACACTACATGGCCTGTTTGCATTTTATTTAAAACTATTGTTTCAAATCATACTACATGATCTGTCAAATTCATAATAGGACAATTTTATAATTCTATATATGCTTCTTTGGTTCCTGAGATTGAAGTATCAGTTTAATTGTTGTTCTAAAAATAAAAATATAGAATAGACATGCAACTTATAACTCGAACACCTTTATGTTTTTAAGAGCAATTAACAAGTAGGGCAATATATTTAGGACAATGTAAAAAAAGGAATATTGATATTGTTAACAGGATTTATACAATTAGTTAATTATCTTACATGGCTAACATTCACAGCATTCATCTTGGAGAGCAGTATTTCAGGGGTATCGAGAGGAATATTAATCTGTGCCTTCTCATTATCCCACGCTTCACGATACAGATGCTAAGAAAGGGAAGAAGGAAAGACAATTTTAATTGCTGGGTGAAATTCCTTTTAAATTTTCAAAGTTCACTGTATCTCAGCCACACACCGTTATAATTTCACATATAACACAGAGGTAGTGACTACATTCAGTTTACCTCACTGATCTGTTGAGCATTGACCTTAGCCAGGAGGACTGGAGGTGGATCAGCTATACTGGTAAATTTCAGTGCATCTGGGCGTTGTTTGTACAACCTGTCATTCACAAGATCTTGAGCCTTCTTCACTCTGACCACATCCACAGAGCCTTCTGGCATCCATCCAATCCCACGGAGCCATTCCAGATCTGACTTGTAAAGATTCTACAAAGAAACCCAACAGTCTATTAAGATACTACTTCTACTTACTAAAAACATCACTGAGGCTTCTCTACTCAAAATTAATGTATAATTACTCTTATCTCCTCACAGAGCCATTCAGTTGACATAAATGTGGTGTCATATACGTATTTATTTAGTTTTTATTTATTGAAGATTTATTCTATTGTCTATTTTATCTATCGTAAGATAACATGGGTGGCTTACAAACAATAACAAAACATAAAAGGCATAAAAAGTTTCCTCATGCTAGCTTGTGAGGATACTTGAAAAATGCATTCCTCTTGATTCTCTTTTTAAGCCACATTGTTTTTACAAGAGTCAATTACAAGAAATTGTACTTTTTATAAAGTAACTCTGCTTATGATAACTGTATTTAGTGCAGAGCAGCACAGATATAGCACAGATTTACCTATCTTTTTATACCAAAATATGATTAAAATTCAAAACAAATTGTCAATAAACAGGAATAAAGAAAAAAAATTATAATTCTATGCAAATAATTCTCTATATATGGATAGCCAGCTCTGTTCTATTTAACATGCAATCACAAATGGGATTTGATTTTTTTTTAATGATGATGATGGCTGCAGAACGTATGCAGGGCTTGGGTTACTATAGATGCAACCATAATAATTCACCAAATGCAGTATGAGACAAAATAAGCTAAGAGGCAAAAAACTATAATGCAAGATATAGTAACTTTCTACTCACATCGCTCTGTAGGTCATAGGCTTTCTTGGCTTGGATGACATCATTCTGGTCAGGCAAACATATCCACTCATGGAGATAGCGGCGATAATCAATGTCACTAACCAGCTTCTGACATTTCTTGGCCAACAAGATGGACAGCATGTCCACTGGACTATTGAACTTGGTTTTAAACTTCTCAAAATATTTCTTGTACTCCCTTTCACTCTGCAGTTTTGCTACATGCATTGCCAACACTAGTTTGGGATCATCATGGATATCCCGGCATCCAATATGATGTCCCACTTGCCTACGGTAACCTTCTTTGTACTTGTACTAATGAGGAAACATAAACAAAACATCAGTTTTATAAATTACACATAATCTAATTACTAAAATTACATTCCAACACTTCAACACTATACACTGCATTGTGCCCTCTTTTTATATAGTTACAATCTGCCAACAACCAATACCTAATGAATGAACTGTAAGCAATTAAACTGACAGGTATGATTTGATTGCCAGGATTCTATATGATCCTTATAAAAGGTATGGACAAAATATTAACTATTTATTTTACAGAAAATGAAATAACTGTGGAAATGCCAAAGAATAGTAGACGATACCTCACTAGCAATATTCCTAGAAGACTTGGCATGCTGGATTTCAATAGCATCCAATCTTAAATCATGACCTTTCTTCTTCATCTCCTCCAATCCAAGTTGATAATGTTTCTGTGAAGGAAAATAAATAATGCATATTCCAGTTCAAGGCATGTCATATTTATAAAAATATGTAACTTTTCTTTATATATTATATCATATTATATCATACCATAGTACATTATGATCTTTGGCTGCAAACAATGGTAAATTTATGGGATTGTTATGATAGGGAAAAGCTTTTCATGTTACTCTTAAAAATTGCTTATAAAGGTACTCTCACATTATCAAATTTGTATTTATATAATTGTAACTTTGGCGAGCATTATAAACTGTCAAAGAAGATTCATCCTCAGAAGAGGAAAAAACATAAGGAGAGATCATGGAAACATTAATATTTAATTTTTTAATTTCTTACTTTACTGTAGTTCACAGAATTTGCTTTGGACAGAACAATCTCAGGAATGTCAAGTGGAAGCGTGTACTGTGTTTTTTCATTATCCCAAACTTCACGATATAAAGCCTGAAGGGAGAAAAACATATTTATCATAGGTTAATGATAACATATTGTAGGATATATTTCACTGACAAAAATATTCTCATTTGGACACATGGACCTTCAAATCATTTTACAATTAGGGTTACACTCAACTATTTGGCTTCAAGACCAAAATAAGCTCTGCAAAAGAATTGATATTTCATAGGAAGGTAGAACGGAAAGCAATGGGTCCAAATTACCACAGGTGTAACAGACCTTGACAATGCTACGCTGGCAGTGAGCAACCAATTTGGCTTCATCTTACCTGCAATAAATTTCCCTATCTAGCTAAACAATATCTATGAAATATCTGCAGAGTTCTGGCCAAGAAAACAATAAATATATCACAACTTAGCTGTGTGATATATTTATTGCCAAGTCCTGGTCAAGAAAGCCTGCTAAAACTATCAGTAATTGAATGGAATTTAGGTAGACTTACATCTGACTCCAAATCTGAAGCAAAAGATAAATCCTTGTAAGTCCATCATTTTAAACCATGGGAAAAGACCCCATACAGGTGGTGCTCAATTTACAATTAGTCACTTCGCGACCATACAAAGTTCTGACAGACCTACTTGGGGGTTAGTTATGACTTGGATTCAAGGTTTTGATGGTTGCCCATGGGCACTTGGCAGGCCACATTTATGGTCCTTTGCAGTATCCTATAGTCATGTGACTGCATTTTGTGATGATAAACTGGCATTTACTTTCATTTTTTGGCAAAACCAACCCCATAGAGAACCACTGGTTCATTTAACGACTGCGTTGCTCATTCAACAACTGGCGCAAAAGGGATTGGCCACGTGATCTTTATGACTGTCACAATTTACAATTGTAATGGGCAGGTTCCATTATGTTCATAACTCAAACATTACTACTATATGCATTTTAGCTCCTATTCCCATTGTCTAAGAATTAAGCCTTCGCTTAGATTAAAATTGAGTCAGTTTCTTCAGTGTAAGTTCTAAAGAAATAGACAATATTTCTATGAGCAGTATAGAAGACGAGTTGTGGGTATATGGAAAATCAGAACAATGATTTTAATTTTAAAAAACCCTTAATGTTTGCTTTTTCTCACATATTTTTCTACCATACTGAAATGAGAATGCATGGAAAATATAAGTCTTATAGTTTTATAAAAAACAAAGTAAACCTCCAAAACCTAAAAGAAAATGTGTAAAATTTCCCTTCCTTTGCAATCCCTAATCTTCCTAAAAACATTTTCCATTTAATGTTTAAAAGGATGTACAATTACAACTAAAGCTGGAGCAAGTTGGGAGTTAAAGTGTTCAGATTTTTTTCCCCCCAAATAAGGCTTGTTTTCAATGACAATATTTTTCACGGGGAACATTAATCCTTCTACATCCATCTAGCAAAGTATCAATCAACAAAATTGCAGCTTTTGTACTTTTTTCCAGTGTTCATTGACATCCTAGAAATGTATCTCACTTCAGTGAATGCTGATTTTAAATAGAAACATGTGGCCCCCAGTAACAATGACAAATACTACTCACCCCACTCTGCATCAAAGCATTGGCCTTAGCCAGGACAACTTCCGGGGAATCAACAATAGCTGTGAATTTCAGAGAATCTGGCCGCTGCCGGTACAATCGTTCACACACCAGATCCTGGGCATTCTTCACTCGTTTGACTTCCACAGAGCCTTCTGGTAGCCAGCCAATTCCACGTAGCCATTCCAAGTCTGCCTTATACACATTCTGTAAAAAAAACAACAAAATCAAGCATTTCCTAGGCGGAACAGAAGTTCTGGGCTAATCTAAGTAATGTAAATTCATCAGAGTAATGAATGCCTTGATCAACCTCTCCAACTTCTTTTCCAGTAAAGATATTCATATTTATTTCATCAGAGATCATTCCCACTGAAATAAAGGGCAACTCCCATAATAAAAATAAACATTGACAAAATTACTATCAGTCGATTACAAAAGGTGGGATTTCTTGAAACAGCCTATATCCTTAGCATCATCAAACAGCAGAATCTACCTATCCCAGGTCTTTGAGAAGGATTCGATAGATGTATAAAAATGCTAAATTCAGTCTAAACATCTGGCTGACGGTATGACCAACCACAATAAAACATTTGCCTATCCCAAGTCCCTGGAAAGGGCTTGACATGTGGACAAAAACACTAAATCCAATATAAACATCTGGTTGACTATGCAACATCTGGTTGACTATGCAACCAGCATAATATATATGCTGTTGTCTGAATCCCACCAACTACGGACAGTCTCCTGTATGCCACTGAAACACCTGGAAGCAGATTCTACTACTAATGGCACAGGTGACATATTATTCCAGTAACGTAAAAATAGCACATAATTTTCAAAGAGCCCCAGGGGGCTTAAAAGAGAACCAAAAGAGACACTTTGGTGTGATAGTTTAAGGCTCCAGGCTAGAAACCAGGAAACCATCAGTTCTAGTTCTTGTACTTGACCACAAAGCCAGCTGAGTGACTTTGGGCCAGTTCTTAGGAAGTGGGTAAGGACAAATCACTCCCAAAGAACCTTGCCTAGAAAACTGTATAACTGCCTAATCCAGGCAGTCGTCAGGAGTTAAAAATTGACTTGAAGGCACAGGTGCGCGCGCACCCACACATATATGGTTTACTTCCAAACAAATTCATAGATTTGCAAATAACAGTACAATGTAGCTTATTCTAGAGTTGGGAGATAAATTGCATTCAGAGATTTCCTATGAGAAATTTCTCAATCTTGTTGGAAGTTATACTATTATCCACTTTGTCAGCTGCTCTCCATTCTCAGGAAGAAATTAATTTTTGTATGCCTTTCACATGTTCTTTCACTAAACAACAGTCTTACTCAGACATATGTCACCTTGCTGTGCCCAGGGGTAGGGCGTTCTCTGTGGGTGCTCCCACCCTCTGGAATGAATTACCTACTGAGCTCTGGACAGCTCCTGATCTCCGCTCCTTCCGTCGGGACTTGAAGACTTGGCTTTTCAAACAAATAGGCTGAGACTGATTCCGGGCTTTATTATTTACTACTAATTAATTATTTGGATTAAATTATGATTTTATTGTACTTGTTTCTTAACTTGTGTTCGCCGCCCTGAGTCCTTCGGGGAAATGGCAGCATATAAATACATGTAATAAATAAATAAATAAATAAATAAATAAATAAATAAATAAATAAATAAATATGCATTTTACATTTGAACTATACGTACATCACTCTGGAGTTCGTATGCTTTCTTTGCTTGAATAATATCATTCTGGTCTGGCAGGCAAGTCCATTCATGCAAATGTTTGCGATAGTCCACCTCACTAACCAACTTCTGACAATTCTTAGCATCTAAGATTGATAGCATGTCAACAGGACAATGGATATTTGCTTTACATTGTTCAAAGTTCTTCTTGTATTCCAGATCACTCCGAATCTTGCCTGCATGGGCAAACCATACCAACTTGGGATCATCTTCCATTTTTTTAACCCCAACATAATGCCCTTTTTGCTTTTCATGTGCTTCTTTGTATTTATACTGTAACAGAGAACAATACATTTTGGAATGAATATAAATGCTACTAGGAAAGCTAACAATGATTCAACTACTAAAGTGATAAAAATCAAGAGAAGGAGGGAAATTTGGATTCAATTTTCTTCAAAATCTCATATTGAATCAACTTTGACTAATATTTTGGGGACATTTGAATATCATTGTAAACTATAATAAAAATCCCTTTGTACCATGGTATCAGAAGAAGGGTTCTTAATACACATTTTTCTACAACAGTTTTTGAGTGAGGGTGAAAAAAAGCCAGTATTTGCCTGATACACAAAATGATTCCAATGACAAAAATCAAATAGGGAAAGTAGATTTCTTCATTTTCCAGACTTCTTTTTATTTACCAGAAGGGAACCCTAAATGAGCATTTAAAGCATTGAGCTAAGAAACTGTGCTGTGTGTTAGCACAGTTCTTATTATGAAAAAAATTATTACATGTTATTTGAACTGGGACAAATAATGCATCGTAATGTTAAAAATCAATAGATGTTATTTTAAATTAATCTCCCTATGTTCTTGCCATCTATAGCCAATAGACATATAACCTTGTTATATATCATTCTGGGTCAGTCTAATTAACTTTTCTAAAGGTCACCTGTCTATTCTATTAATTTTTTTTTATTTCTGTGGTTTCTTTTTCTAAAAAAAATAGGGAAGTTACTGGATAGGAAAGCATTTGCTCACATCACTAGCAATATCCCGTGAAGCTTTTGCCGCTTTAATTGGAATAGCATCGGTTCTCAGGTCATAACCTTTCATCTTAGTATCTTCCCATCCTTGGACATAAAGTTTCTGTAGAAGATGTGATAAAAAGATACCTGACTGTAAAATCAGTTATAGCATCTAGAGTTTAAAATCAATTTGTTCAAACATTCATATTAGTTCTTGTAAAGTGAAAACAACCCTCCAAATTATTAAATATCCAACAATGTTAACATTGTCTTACATGGCTGATATTTGCAGAATTTGCCTTGGCCAGCAGAATTTCTGGGGTATCTGGCATAACATTGATTTTAATTTTATCAGTATCCCATGCTTCAGTGTATAATCGCTGTGAAGGAATAAGGGGAAAAAAAAGATTTGATTTTTGCCTACAGAAAATATGAATCGAAATAGAACGTGAGACTATAACATTAGAAAAATTCATATTCATTAAAAATGTTATCTAAAATTTGTAATGAAACTCAATGAGGGAAATTTCCATATGTACCATATGATAAACTATATTTTACAGACATTATTACACTTTTTTTTCTAGTTCGGATTTTCTGGCTGAACATGTTTAAAAGAACACTTGCGTTCAAGATCCGAAAACTCAACTTTATCAAAAAAAGTCAACAAAGAGCATCTTAATTCTTAATTCTTTTGGACCTGAGACAAAGCACATGTGCTCAAAAACTTAGAAAAAATGCAGATAGATTTCCAATACATCAAAGCAGCTTCCAAATCAAAACTTGGTAGAAACTCCTTAAGATACTTTGATTCATATGCCAAAAATTGCCACAGAGATTAGTGGATTTTGTGGTTCATTGCATGTACAATTCCATGATTTCAGCTCATTTTTCATGGGGCAGCAATCCCTTCTTTGTCTTTACATTCCTATGCCATGCTACTGTTTTTTTTTCTCTTAGCTACAATATTCTGTACTATTAGTTTTCCAATACAATCAATAGTCACACTGGCTGGAAATTATGAGACCTGTAATCTGACTGGTTTGAAAGTCCAATTTCTTAACTAACAAAGTAGTTCATTGATCCACCAATGATCAGTGATGGAGAGCTTTCCTTCCCTACATATATTCAAGCAGAAACTAGGACATCAGTGAAGGATGGTTTTATTTGGATTTTGGCTCCGAGCAGGCTAAATAAATCCTAAATTTAGCATGTGATCATTCTATTTCCTAAGCAAATTATTGTCTGTTATGGAAGATTAGTTACTTTGTTCAGAAAACCTACCTTGCTCATTATCTCAGCATTATGCTTTGCTAATTCTACATCCCAGGCATCTGTGATACAGGTAAATTTCATTTGATTAGCTGGTTGCCGATATTTATTTTCACTTAGGATTTCTCCAGCTCTCTTGACATGTTCAACATTCAGTGAACCAAGAGGCACCCAGCCAATGCCTTTCAGCCATTCTAGATCTGACTTGTAAAGAGCCTGAAACATAAATAGCAATAAACTGTGTTTAGATAAGTCAACAAACATGCATTACAACAACTTTGGAGAAAAAAAACATTTCTGGCTAATTGAATTATGAATTTGATTTTGAAAACTTCAGGTGAAAATGATCTATGATGCTGAAATTCACCTAAAAGTGACTCAACTGATTTTCAGCAGCTTTACATGTTATAAAATATAAATAGGCATCATGATACGCATATTTAAGGAATAATGATGACAGCCAAAACCATATTAAGTGTAATGTTGCAGTTAATTATCCATTTAGGGTAAATGTAATGAATAAATATTAAAAAATGAAATAATAATGTTGAGCGGAAGAATCTCAACTCCTCTTTAATATGTTTATTTGTTGTTGTTGTTTTCAATCCCAAGTAAAACCCAAAAGCTATTCATACTTTAAAATTCATGTGAACTGTATAAAGCAGTTACCCCGGTACAAAGTTACACTATGAAAAATCTGCACAATGCATATAATGTGCAAAACATTTTTTAAAATCCTTGCAAAAACTATTATTAGGCATAAAATATTCTATTACATTGTGCATAGAACCACATATAAATTTTAGTCCAAAGTTATTTTTTAAAACACCGAAGTGAATATGATAACAGTACAAATGAAAATTAAGAAACCATGAGATTATGAAATTGACACATCTGTGAACTACCAGTGAGAAATAATAAGAAATTAAACATACCTAATAAGATGAGAAAGGGGAAAAAATTGCAAAGCCTATTTTACTTCTGATTTTCGGGGGGGGGGATATTGTCTAAACTGAAACAGTATGAATTGAAATTCAGACTGTGATACATGAGTCATTAGAGTGGGTAGTATAAAGAGGAAAACTTCCTCAGTATTTGAATATATCTGTTAGCTGACAGAATGATTTTCCTAAAAAGGACACACAGACAAGTCCTTCCCACACGTAGCATCCTGTATTCCACATCAGCCTATTTCAGATACTCAAGGAATTATTTGGAACTGCAAGGGCAGGGTAAGGCAGCGTTCTTGGGAGAGAAGGAAAGCTTCAAATATTTTCCCATTCTCTCCTGCACACATGACTTTTTAATGAATCACAGACCAATCTCAGTAGAAGAATACCAATGCATCCATTTTACATTTTCCACATCATACTTACATCACTCTGCAGATCATAAGCTTTCCTAGCTTGGATGACATCATTCTGATCTGGTAGACATGTCCACTGGTGCAAGTAATTGCGATAATCAATATCGCTGACCAGTTTCTGACAATTCTTGGCCCCCAAGATTGACAGCATATCCACAGGGCTTGTATATTTGGTCTTCAATTTCTCAAAGACTTTCTTATATTCTCTCTCACTTTGCATCTTGCCTACATTTATAGAATGCAATATTTTAGGATCATCTTCCACACTACGAGCTCCAATGTGATGGCCCAGTTGCTTGCGATAACCTTCTTTGTACTTGTACTGAAATGTACACAAATATTTGAGTTGCCAACACAGAAAAGTACTTGTCCTGAAATTGTTCAGTAATTCAAAAGGAAATCATCATTTTAAAAGTAAATCTTTAAATCTTTAAAAACATAAATCTTTTTTGTGAACTTATAACAAAATATTAGGAAAAATGGATTCACTCATCCAATTTTATGTCATAGTTAAAGACTGATATATTTTAAATGGGATTTTTAATCCCCATTATCTGTTTTTTTTTTAAATATTTCCTTTTGTTTTTGAAGTCAATATACTAGATTAGATTACATTTATAATCAAGGTTTCATATGTGGAGGGGATTTTTTGTCATCTTATGCTAGCTACGCCTCTCCATATGTCATCCTTAGTGAAGCGTGCAAACCAGCATCTGCATTTCCTGCATCGGATGAGGACAGCACACCTTTCTCCTTCTGTTCTGTCCACTTTTTACAGAGGCACGATTGAGAGCGTTTTAATAAACTGCATCACTGTTTGGTTTGGTGGCTGTAGAGAGAAAGTCCATTCAGAGAGTGGAAAGGACAGCCAAGAAGATTATAGGAAGCTCACTTCCCGTTATTCAGGATACTGCTTATAAGTGCCTTGTGCTTAGAGCTCAAAGCATTGTTAGAGGCTCCCACACACCCACTTCACGGACTGTTTCTGTTGTTCCCTTCTGGGAGGAGGTTTCAAAGTATTTCTAGCAGGACTACCAGATTCTGTAACAGCTTTGTTCCCTATGCCATCCGTCTGGTAAACTTGCAGAATTCGTTTTTCTCCCCATGTACATGTATACATCCGAACTAGACTGTGTTGTTTCTCTGTGTCATATAATATATGTGGGTATATGCATAATTTTGTATTTATTTATTTATTTATTTATTTGTTTGTTTGTTTGTTTGTTTGTTTATTTATTTATTTATTTAGTCATGTTTTGTAGTGTATATTGGAGATCCTTTGAGAGCTGTATGCAACGAAATTTCATGTTAATGTATGCCAATTACATTCAAAGTGACCATAAAGTTATTCTAAGAGTATCTATTAATGATTTTCCTTATCAAATTTGAAATTTGTATTTGGCATGTAAAATCCTTTTCTATCTATAGTTCACTGAATTCATAGGTTTAAAACAGGGGTGTCAAACTGGATTTCTTCGAGGGCCAGATCAGCATTGTATTTCATTACAGGGGGGGAGCGGGAGGGAGACAGGATGGACGCCTCTTGTAGCACTTTGCCAGACAAAATGGGGCATGGGGGGGTTGCGTGAGGCCCCCTCGTGCCTCGTTTTCAGCCTCCCCAGCCTCCAGCAGCACTCTGCTGGCAAAAAATGGGCCCCACAGAGGCCCCGTGGTAGAGTGCTGCAGGAGGCTGTAGAGGCCCAAAATGGGCTGTGAAGGGGGGGTCACATGTGCCCCCCCTGCAGCCCATTTTGGCTGGCAGAGGCACTGTGGACCGGTCCTTTGATATTTCCAGGCCAGCCCCACGGGACAGATTTAAGCACCCCAGGCCTTGAGTTTGACATCCCAGGTTTAAAATAACAACTTTAGATAATTTAAGATTTTAGTCCTACTATGTGGAGTATTTAAATTTTCCTCCTCCACACCAATTAAAATGTGCAGATAAATGTCCACAAAATTAAAAGGCTTTTTCATTCTGCGCCATTGAAGCAATGGTCACGTGAAACAGAAATCCAGATACACCCTGGATTTGGAAATCTATCCTACAGTAATTCTTCTAAATTTGTTGTCTAGATTTACAGCTGCCCACATATCAAATTATTACCTATCTCTCTTCTCAAGTTTATTCTCAGCTACCTGTACAACAGCTGAGATTTTTCTGGAATTATTTTGCAAACTTGCTTACTCACAGTATGTATTTATTTATTACAAGCTATTTTATTCTGCTTTAGTCATTTTGACTCAAAGCAGCTTACAAGCAGGGACATAATTCCTCAGTGCCGCTAAAAAGAGCTACAACTGTTCATTCTGATTTTGCAATTCACAGTATGAATTCTTTCCCATAAACTCTCAGACAGATCTGCTTGGGGAAATCTGAAGTATTTCCTGTAATAATTTCTATGTTCAGTAGGATATAGAGTCATTTGGGACTTGCTGATTTGCAAAACATTTCCTTTTAAAAAATCAATACTATTTATGGAGACAAGTAGCCACTTACATCACTGGCAATAGCTCTGGAAGCCTTGGCCGCTTGAATTGGGATGGCATCAAGACGCAGGTCATAGCCATCTTTTTTTGCTTCCTCCATGGCCAGTCGGTACAATTTCTGTAAAAAAGAAGAAAATGTTAGTTTCAGTGCTACAAACAGAAGTAAATAAAACATTCTATACCTTAGCAAAAATATGATTCTTGATTGTTCTATACTGTATAGATGGAAGTTCTTCAGTGCAACTCAGGAACTGAATCTTCACAAAACCCAACTAGGACCCCAGACCTTGTAGGAAATGTTGCCATTACCTGCAAATCCTTGAAGGAGACTCAGTTCTTCTAGTGGCTTTTACTAGTTCGTATACTCACCTGGCTATAGTTTAATTTATTGAACTTTGCTAGGACGATTTCTGGCGTATCAGGCATGACATGGATTGTGCATTTATCAGTATCCCAAGCTTCAGTATACAGCCTCTGCAGAACAGAATCAGAAAGAGAGTTAGCACAAAGTGGTGGCTGTTTATGAATAGTCCTCCATTCATCTGGCTCTTGCAGCATAGAGACTGCCTTCTGAGATCAAATTAAAAATCTGGTGAGCAGGAAAGACACTGCTTAGAGCAAAGTGTAAGATATTAATGTTTAGGACTCATATTCCAGAGGAAAATCCAGATTCAAAATGTAGTTCAGTCAGGACTGTGTGTGAAGCTTGACATTTGTTTTACTTCAGCTTTATCCTTCTTTTAGATTTGTTAGATAAAACAGGTGTCAATCCCACTTTGTTCCAAATCCTCAGCTTCTTACAACTCATCAGATTTGTAAATATAACTCCTAAAAGTACCAGCTGGGAATTATGGAAATTTTCATTCAAGCAAATGTAGAAGGCATCAATTTATGGAAATAGAGTTTAAAGTTCTGTGCAGCAGAAATCTATATGAAAGTCATAACAGTTTGTGGATGGTATATGATATAAACAGTATTTATCTAGCAAGAATTAGTATCTTAAGGGCCACATTATTTCATTTAAAAAGTTATAGGATATCTCAAATATGTATATGCATAAAGAGATGGATAGCATATAATACTAATACTAATAATACTAATACTAATACTAATACTAATACTAATACTAATACTAATACTAATACTAATAGACTGAGTTTTATGTTTAATGAATAAAAGAGATAATAATAATAATTACATGGAAATCACTGGGACTTGAAAAAAGCTTTAAATTAATTCTAACCTTTTGAATTTTATTTGGAATCACCAAATATCTTGCAATAACTAATAAGATAAGGTTGTTTTATTAACTGAAAGAAAAATTCTCACATTCATATTTCAAAGATTCCAATATTTCAATTATGAAGTTTAAAATACAATTTTTAAATCTATGGAAAAGAGGAATCATTGGGTCTGAAATGAATCTTGGACAAATTGCATTATTTTTTCAAATATTATTCAGCAAGCCAATTTTATTAGCTAATATTCACCTTGTTCATGGTTTCAGCATTATGCCTGGCCAATTCCATTTCTAGAGAATCTGTCACACTGGTGAATTTGAAATTCTCTGGAGGTTGGCGGTATATCTTTTCACTCAGGATCTCTCCTGCTTTCTTGGCACGCTCAACATCCACTGAACCAATAGGGACCCAGCCGATGCCTTTTATCCATTCAAGGTCTGCTTTGTAGCAATTCTGTGAATTAAAAGTTCATTAGAAAGATAGTCTTGTATTTTTGGAAAAACAATTGGATCTAATGACATTTATGACACATTGTGTTCAGGTTGATGAAAGAAATGTAAAAAAAACATCCTTCAAAATCATGAAAATGTCCAAGTCATGCTCAAGTGAGTCCTAATCTCAGTCTCTTGTTTGATATAAAACATGTAAGCATGTGAAAAAAAATTATTTGGATTAAAACAAAATCAAAGCTTCAGAAAATAGTAATAATATTTTTTTCACAGTTTTCCAGAGTTTTGTATAATTCTCTAATATAAACTTACAGAAAGAGATACGGCCATGAAGCAATAGAGCAACCTAGGAGAATAGTCTTATCTGCTTATTCATGCATTCGGCTTTGGTTAAACAATTACATTCCACTTCTATCAATACTTTGTATTGTATGTGCACATGGGAGAAATGTGCCTGAAATATTATAGTTTCCTCTCTTTCAACTGATATCATCGAAGATGAAATTATACTCACATCACTCTGCAGATCATAAGCTTTTCTAGCATGGATGACATCATTTTGATCTGGGAGGCATGTCCACTGGTGCAAATAATTACGGTAATCAATATCGCTGACCAATTTCTGGCAATTCTTGGCCCCCAAAATTGACAGCATATCCACAGGACTGCTATATTTGGTCTTCAGTTGCTCAAAGACTTTCTTATATTCTCTCTCACTCTGCATCTTGGCTACATTTATAGAATGCAATATTTTAGGATCGTCTTCCACACTACGAGCTCCAATGTGGTGGCCAAGTTGCTTCCGATAACCTTCTTTGTACTTGTACTGAAATAAACACATATATTTTAATCACAGATTAAATACTATCTGGGTTGGATTATTGTTAAGCATGTTTAAAAAGGGAGATCCCATCATCATTTTAAATAATTTTGTGAATCTTTTTCATTGACTTGTATTAAAAACTCTATTAAAAAATGGAATTTCTCATCCATGTTTAGTTCATAGTTGAAGAACTAATTTAACATGGTTATTTTTTTGTATTTGTTTTTTTTTTAATCACCAGTTTTGATTTTAAGAAAAATTTATTTGATCATATCTATAATCAAGATTTTATATTTGGTTCTTTTGTCAGGTTTTCCTAGGTACATTTTTGTCTTTATTAATGCCTTTTGTACATATTTTCTAGAATTTGAACTCTGTATTCTGTATATAAAGTTCTGTTCCTTCCATAGTTCACCAAATTCATAGGATTAATACTGAAATTCAAGATTTTAGCCCTACAAATAGAATATATAATTTTCTTTCTTCATAAGCCTCAGTATATACCCACATTTCTACACTACCGCAAGTATTTTATATTATGCACCTGGAAGCAATGTTCTCATGAATGAGAACTACCCAGTGCCCAAGATTTGGAGAATTATTGGCATAGAATATTGGATCCTACTCTACATTAATTATTCTGAGTTTATTGTCTAGCTTTACAGCTGCCCACATATCTAAATATTACATACAGTCTACATATCTCACTATTATAATTGTTCCCATTCAACTCTAGAAGCAGCTGACCATTGAATCAGAGAAGTTATTCTGGCATTTTAATCATAAATTAATTAACATACACACACACACACACACACACACATATTCCTCAATGCAGTTAAGAGAGAACCACAACACTGCATTCTATTTTTGTAATTCACAGCATAAATTCCTTCACAGAAATTATTCCAGTGAAGTTGGAAGCACTTCCTGCAGTAATGTTATGTTTGATAAAGTACAGTTTGTGATAAAACAATAATATAAATAATATAAGCATAGTATAGTGTATTAAATGTATATGCCACCTGACTCCGAGAAACTCTAGGTAAGGGATGTCAAACTCATGTCATCACGGCAGGGTCACATGATGTATCGGGACTTTTTTTTCCCCTTCGCTAAACTGGGCGTGGGCATGGCCAGCGTGTGACTCATCTGGCCCATGGGCCAGGAGTTTGACAGCCCTGCTCTAGGTGGTTTTCAATTGTTAAAACATTTTAACGACTGGGAACAATACAAAGAAACAGAAGACAAGCACAAGACAAAGGAACAAAAATGGCAAAGAAAATAAGCCCAGAGGAGAACAAAAAGAAAGGGGCATCCATCATCCTCTCCAAAAGCCTGGGAGGAAGAACCAAGTCTTTAAGGCCCTCCAAAATCAGAGTAGGGTTGGAGCTGTTCAAATGTCAGGGGAATCATATTCTAGAGGGCAGGTACTGCTTCCAGGATCCCAATAAGTGGCATTGCTAAATCAATGGAATCTGGAGTGCACCAACCCTATCAGATAAAACTGGTTGGACAGATACTATGGGAGTCAGGTAGTTCCTCAAATAACCAGACCGTATGCCATGTATGGCTTTATAGATAGCAACCAGCAGCTTAAATTGCACCAAGTGATCTGCTGTTTTTCAAAAAGTTTACTTTAAAAATCATTGATATTTATGGCGCTAAGTGGTCACTTACATCACTGGCAATAGCTCTTGAAGCCTTGGCAGCTTGAATTGGGATGGCATCAAGACGTAGGTCATAACCATCCTTCTTTGCTTCCTCCATGGCCAATCGATACAATTTCTGTAAAAAAGAAGAAATGTTTGGTTTTAGTGCTATGCAGTGTTTTTTTTTTTTTTCTGATACACTTGGAAATAAGAAAGCTTAGCAGATATGTTAGATGGAAGTTCTGGTGCAAGTCAGGAAACTGGATCCCCAAACAATCTAATTAGGACCCCAGACCCTGCAGTAAACGTTGGCATTGCTTGCAAGCCCTTGAAGGAGACTCGGTCTTCCATTGGCTCTTGTACTTATACTCACCTGGCTATAGTTTAATTTGTTGGACTTTGCTAGGACAATTTCTGGTGTATCAGGCATGACATGGATTGTGAGTTTATCAGTATCCCAAGCTTCAGTATACAGCTTCTGCAGAACAGAGTCAGAAAGAGAGTTAGCACAAAATGATGGTTGTTTATTAGTCTTCTAGCTAACTATGTCTTCTGACAGAAATTTTCTTTTGCAATTAAATTAAATTTTTTGCTAAGAATGAAATTCATTATTCTGTCACTGTATATTGTATAATTTTGTAGGAAAATAAGACCAAAAGACACATTAGGGTTTACTTTCTGGTTAGGTCTTATTTTCAGGGAACTACAGCAAAATAGGAAGTTAAAATGCCAGGAAAGAGGCTCTAAGATTCTTTGCAGCAGAAGATTATATAAACGTCATAACCATCTTATGATTCATGTGCAATATAAACTGTCTACTTTGTCCAGCAAGAATTAATACATTTATAGTTATATTCTTTTATTTACCTAATTACCTAAATCTGTGGTACTGGAAAAAACGTGAGGACAATTCTGACTCTGAATTGAATTTAGAATCACACCAAATACTCTTTGCAATGATTATAAAGGCTAATTTGTCAGTTATGTAGCCAGAATTCACCTTGCTCATGGTTTCAGCATTATGCCTGGCCAATTCCATTTCTAGAGAATCTGTCACACTGGTGAATTTGAAATTCTCTGGAGGTTGGCGGTATGTCTTTTCACTCAGGATCTCTCCTGCTTTCTTGGCACGCTCAACATCCAGTGAACCAATAGGAACCCAGCCGATGCCTTTTATCCATTCAAGGTCTGTTTTGTAGCAATTCTGTGAATTAAAAGTTCATTAGAAAGGTAGTCTTGTAACTTTTGGGGGAAACAATTAGATCTAATGACACTTATGGCACATTGTATTCCTGCTGATGAGAGAAATGTTTTTTAAAAAGACTTGAAAACCATGAAAAAGATCCAATATAATTCATTTTCAGGAGATTCCTAACCTAATCCAGTAAAATAATGCCCCCTGTTTTAGATAACGCTCAAGCATATGTCCCATGAATATGTGAAGAACATTGTCATTTGGGATAGAACAACATCAAAAGTTCAGAAGACACTAATAACACTTGTTTTATGGTTTGTATAGAGTCATGTTTAATGCTCTAATCTGCACCGTCAGAAAGAGAAAAGACCCTGGAGTAATGCAGCAGACTGGGTAAAGAGTCATCTCAGTTCATCCATATAACAATGTATTAACCAATTAAACATCACTACTATCCGTATTTTATACATGCATGTGGCAAAAATATGCCACAGACAGTGTGACTGCCCCTCTTTCAATTAATATGGTCCAAAACAAAATTATACTTACATCACTCTGCAAATCGTAAGCTTTCCTAGCTTGGATGACATCATTCTGATCTGGTAGACATGTCCACTGGTGCAAGTAATTGCGATAATCAATATCGCTGACCAATTTCTGACAATTCTTGGCCCCCAAGATTGACAGCATATCCACAGGAGTGGTGTATTTGGTCTTCAGTTTCTCAAAGACTTTCTTGTATTCTCTCTCACTCTGCATCTTGGCTACATTTATAGAATGCAACATTTTAGGATCGTCTTCTATACTACGAGCTCCAATGTGGTGGCCAAGTTGCTTGCGATAACCTTCTTTGTATTTGTACTGAAATAAATGCACAACCATACAGTAAGACATATCTTTATGTTTCTTTTTGGTTCCTGAACTGTAATAGCAAAGTTAAAATTTGCAAAGTTAAACTATTCAACATTATTGCCAATATTAACTCCTTGACGAACTACAACTGACAGTTTATAATTAAATATTAAAAGATAATTCAAATTAAAGTATATAATCCTATGTCTACTAGCAAGAAATGCTGTTCTTTTTGCCTGAAGTGAAAATCTGTTCCATTTGCCTGAGAAGCTAATTCTACAGCTCTGTTAGGAGCTATAATTTGTTTCGCTAACCAAGAAAATTTGGCATCTAAAAGCTTCCAAAACAAGCATGAAGTGGCATAACTCCTGTTCCTTTGGATAAACTTTCCATCTTTTTAAAATATGTGACCAATCTGTTCATAAGCTCTATTAAGACATTCAGGTGGTTGACCTTAGCTGCTCCATTCAGCCAGACTGCTTTTTAAGAGTTCATATCAGAGACAGAATGTTCTCTTAATTGCAATACTCTCTGATTTTAACTCTTGAACTGCAGGTTTATTTTAAATTCCTCAGGGTAGGAAATTCACTTTGTTTTAAAACAAAAACTACTGAAGAATTCATTTCCCTCCCACAAAAATAAAGACTTACATCACTAGCAATAATTCTGGATGCCTTGGCAGCCTGAATCGGAATTGCATCGATTCGCAAGTCGCACCCCTTCTTCTTTGCCTCTTCCAAGGAAAGTTTATATAAACTCTTTTTAAAAAGAGAAAAAGAAAATATTAATATTTACAGTTCATACCTATCAGTAAACAATCCCATAATAGAGGTAGACAGACTGAATCTAACAATCAATCTAACAGTCTAGCAATCTTTACTAAATAACCTCTTCAAAATTATTTTAGTAAGAAAGGGAAATAGCAATGTTTAGTTCAGATATAAAACATCCAAGTATGTCATCCCTCTCCTTGCCTGTGCATTAGACATTACAACTTGACAGTAAGTTTTGGGACTGAGGTTCATGCCCATAGTTTTAGTAGATCATACACTGTGTGTCAGGGTTCCAAGTAACACCCCCAATGAAAAAACCTCTGAGGCTTGAATTTCCTCGAAGTTCCATTTTATTAGAGATGTCATATTGGGACATCTGGGAAAACCCGAATCTGAAAGCTTCCAGGTTTTCCCCACCCAAAAGAAAGTTCAAGTCCCTGCCCAACACCCACATATCCATCACATGGTCCAATCAAAGCACAGTGCAACTGGAGATGCTTCCCAGTTCCAGCTGTCCAGGTGCAGGGCAAGATGTCCTTGACTTTCTGAGAAAGGAATGTTATTATGACTATATATCACCCTGGCTCCATACAATCCCCCCTCCCAGTTTCTCCCAGTACTAAATGTGGCAGTCTTGAAGATCCAATGAAAAAGATGGCTTCCAGACCTGACACCCTGCATGCTCTTTTAGATTACTAGTGGAAAAAATGCTGGAACTATGACATGGATCCCCACAGACTTTTCTCTCTTCCCCCACCACTAGCCTTTCTCCCTCTCCCCTCAGTCCTTTTACCCTACTTGCAGCTGATGATCAGCTCTTCCTCAGAGATCAGTTATCTTCTCCCAGAGAACCCTCTTCGTGTAGAGGGTGCACATCATAACAAGACTGTTTGATAGAACTTCAATCAAGTGACCTCACCTCACTGTAGTTGATCTTGTTCTGTCTTGCTAAAGTGATTTCAGGGGTATCAGGCATTATGTGAATTTCTGTCTTGTCTTTATCCCAAGCTTCAGTGTACAAACGCTGTGAAAAGAGGACAAGGAAGAAAATAAAACAGGCATTGGAATGAAATCAATTTGGGTTCTTCTCTAATCCCATTGTCTCTCTGTGAAAGCTCAAGTAGAAATACCATCACCAAGCAGGGCTTCTCAGAGGATATCAAAAAAAAAAAAGTCAAGATGGCAGCCCCAAGGTGCAATCAAAATCCTGCCTCTCTCTACGTACACTTCATGAGCAATGCAATGTCTGAACTTCTGAAGGCAACTTCAGCTTGTGGGTGCTTCATCATTGGAGGCTTTCAAGATGAGACTGGACAGGCACTTGTCAGAAATGGTATAGAGCAGTGATGGCTAACCTTTTTGCCATCGCGTGCCAAAAGTGGGGGGCAGTGCGGGGGGTTGTGTGAACACGTGCCCACACCCATAATTCTATGCGCCCACCCCCCGTGCACAACCACCCCGTGGTCCCCCACTTTTAGCACGTGATGGCATGGTGGGCCCGGTAGGCCCGTTTTTCGCCCTCCCCAGGCTCCAGAGGCTTTCTAGGAGCCTGGGGAGGATGAAAACAGCCTTCCCCACCCCCTGGGGGCCCTCCGGAGGCCAGAAACAGCCTGTTTCCTGACTTTTGGTGGGCCCAGAAGGCCTGAAAATTAGCTGGACAGCGCACGCATGTGCGCTGGAGCTGAGCTTGCGTGCCCACCAATATGGCTCCACGTGCCATCTGTGGCACGCATGCCATAGGTTCGCCATTACGGGTATAGAGTCTCCTGCTTGAGCAGGAGGTTGGGCTAGATGACCTACAAGGTCCCTTCCAACTCGGTTATTCTAAATTCTAAGTTCTAATGCATACAAAAAAGGCAAGTCTGCAGTCACACAGTTGCAGCTGTCATCTTTCACACATCTTTCATTCCATTCCAGAATTCTGTGTTGATAATTAGTGCAGATTACATAAGAAAGCACTCCTTAGTTCTAAAGTCTATGAAAGAAAAATGAGGCAGTAGATTATTGATTTTACAAAGACATTTAGCCATTAACGGCATTAAAGTTTTGTATTTAACAAATGCTGTGCCTGTTGGACTTCATATGTCTTGAAAAATGAAACTTCTTTAAGACTAGTTTGATGTATTTGCAATATTGCTTAAATAGAAGCATTGCAGGTTTTTAGTAATAAGGACTTAAATACATCATTCTTTTAATTCTAATTGCTAGTATCAAATAGAAAAATCCTAGGATCCAAAGGATGCAGTACTGTCCCTTTATGTTTGAAAACATTCTTTATAGAAAAAGAATGAGAAATAATATGTACATGGGAATTATAGGCATATTATTTAATGATATACAATTAAATAAAGTATTACAAATAATATTTATAGTAAACAAAATGCCAGTACAAAGTTTAAAACTGCCGTATTAATTATTACATTCAATCTCTTAAGCTTCTTGCACAAATGTCATTTTAATACTCAGTTACATATTTAAAACATGCCATCAGTGCTCACCTTATTCATATTTTCTGCATTATGCTTGGCCAAAAGTATTTCTAGAGAATCTGTCACACTTGTAAATTTGAATTTGTCTGGAGGCTGACGATACAACTTTTCGCTTAGGATCTCTCCAGCTTTCTTGACTTTTTCATTCTCCAAGGAACCAATAGGGACCCACCCAATGCCTTTCAACCATTCAAGATCAGACTTGTAGTAATTCTGTGAAGCAGAACATTAAAAAGGGCATTTAGTCAGAAATGCATTTAGATCTAACAGCCCAAAGTTTTGTCTTTGATCCTATGCACTACACCAAGTTCACGAGCCTTATAGTCTTTATGGTCCTCAATGAAGTGCTTTAATAATTGAATTTTATTTTTTGTCCTTTAAGACAGCTTATGAATTGAAACTCACTACTCTGCATATTAACACAACAGCTGTCTTGATACTTTCTTTAAAATATATCCCATCACCTCCCCACATCCTTTTAATCACAAATGTCCTTAATATGAGCATCTTTTATTCTCTAATCACATCACCTAACATCATCATTTAAAATGAAATGCTAAATCAACAACTTTTGCTACGACAAATGCCAGAAATAATGGTCCTTATTAAGAAAACAAAAACCAATAATTTGTGGGTTTAGTTTTTTCAGCTAAACTAAAACATTTTCCCAATTTTTTTTTTACAAAACCAAGAAAAATGGCTAAATTAGATATTACAATATTGTCACAATTACAGTTATGTAATTTTTTTATGTATTTTTATGTATTCTTTTATGTATTTATAAAACTAACCTTATTGTAGACTTGTGATTCCCAACTGTTTTAGGCTGATGTTCAGATTTGAAATATTGAGACAATGTTGTGATCACATGCGATTACTACCGTGAATGTCTTTTGACATCAAAACAATATAAAAATTGCCACAAAAGAAACATTCCATCCCTTAAATTGCAAATTGATCCAATACTCTGAAGCGTTTTTGGAAAGCATGATTTGCTCTTCGTTAGCTTCTCATTATTTTTAAACTTAAATAATGTGTTTTTAGTACAAATATTAAAAGAATCAGGGAACCTTGCAGCATATGCCAGGTGTCATGTTGTGGGCCCTAATTAGACTTTTCCATATATTTCCATATGGAAGGTTAAAATATATATATATATAAATGTTTCCCCTGCCAGTCATATCCACTTTAGGGGTTGATGTTCATCTCCAATTTATAGCCAAAGAGCCAGCATTGTCTGAAGATGCTTCCATTGTCATATGACTGACATGAATATGCACTGAAGGCACATGGAACCCTGTTACCTTCCCACCGAAGTGGTGCTTATTTGTCTACTTGCATTTACATGCTTTCAAACTGCTAGGTTGGTAAGATGGGGTAAGTAATAGAAGCTCACTCCCTCGTGAAGAACTTAATTTTGAACTTCCAACTTTCCAGTCAATAAACCCAGCATCTTAACCACTTGGATTCTGTGCACCCTTATTCTAACGTTAAGGTTCTATTAGACTTCAACTTAAGTAATATCAAAAGTCAGTAAAGGGACTGAATTTTGGAAGTACAAATATTACTGAGAGCTTCTTCGAATCTTTTTAGAAATATTTTCCAAGCTACCCATATTTAATGAACCAGATCTTGCTGACTTTTCTAAAACTCAAGAAATTTGTTCTCACAAATCAGTTCCAGTGAAGTTAAAAGCCATCACGACTTACATCACTCTGTAGTTCATAGGCCTTCCTGGCATGGATGACATCATTTTGGTCTGGGAGGCATGTCCACTGGTGCAAATAATTACGGTAATCAATATCGCTGACCAGCTTCTGACAATTCTTGGCCCCCAAGACTGACAGCATATCCACAGGACTGCTGTATTTGGTCTTCAGCATCTCAAAGACTTTCTTATATTCCCTCTCACTCTGCATCTTGGCCACATTTATAGAATGCAACATTTTAGGATCGTCTTCTATACTACGAGCTCCAATATGATGGCCGAGTTGCTTGCGATAACCTTCTTTGTACTTGTACTGTTGATAACAATAATAAACAGTTTAAAACATAATGTTTACTTACCTTGAGTTCCCTAAGATCTAGAAGAGTTTAAATCAAGTATTGTACAAATCTATAACATCATCCAGATTGTTTGTACAAAACTACTTATATTTTTGCATGTGGATTTGGGTTCATGTTTACTATTTCAATCTTTGGTAAATTTACAAGGAGAAAATGTAATTGATTCCAATGCTTTATACTACTTCATTTCATTTCCTAGGTTGCTATTACTAATCTCTAACATATATCCACAGAGAGAGAATGAAAAACCGTTGAGTAATTAAATCAGGCCAATGAAGATATGCTCCATTTATCTTTGTAGTTATTTTGGCTGAAAAATTAAATGCCCATACTATCAATACTTCCAAGGAAAACTATTTAGGCCATTTAAATATATCCTGAACACTTGTAGCAGTTGCAAAAAAATTTGCACAATCAACCAAGCCTCAAAAGAATCCAATTCTTGCTGTATAGGAAAAGTCTAAAATTATAGGTAACATTGCAATCACATAAAAATTTGTGGTTTGTATCATATCATGTAACTACATACCTCACTTGCAATATCTCTGGATGCTTTAGCAGCCTTGATAGGAATTGCATCTATCCGAAGATCATACCCCTTCTTCTTGGCCTCTTCCAATGACAGTTTGTACAGTTTCTAAATGGATGGCAAGTATTGCTTTAGTGTTTCTGACAGCATTTTTTCCCCATCCCTTCTCATAGGTTCGACTAATAGAAATCCACTTACATCACTGTAGTTGATTTTGTTCTGTTGTGACAGTAGAATTTCAGGTGTATCAGGCATAATATGGATACTGGTTTTATCTTTATTCCAAGCATCAACATACATACGCTAAAAAAAAGCACAATAAAATAATCAATATAATGGCTATTAAAACTGAAATATATTCTAATTATGTGTTGTGGATGGAAATTACGAAACCCATTTTATATTGTTAATACCATAATTACAGAATACAGAAAGCAGTCGAGTGAATAAGATTGTGCTAGATCCAAAAATAGATGAGAAAGTATTACTTAATTTTTAACTTATTCGTTTTTAAAGCCAGGGTTGGAAATAAGGTGAATATAAACAGGTTCAATATTTGTGACCATCTTGTTGCATAAATAAAATCCTAATCTCTTTAGCAAGGAATTTCTTCATCAAGTATTAATCAATAATGGGATATCTAATAGGTTTCCAAGGCCATTTCTGATGAGTTCTACTAAGCTCTTATACTGTTCTAGAGAACACATTTTGACCTAAGACTGCTAGGAATGATTTACTGTGTCTTCTGAACTTTCCCCTCAATTCTAAAAAGCAAACAGAAATCAATAACGCATCTTTTAGGTGCATTAAGGTACACCAAGACAAATTCCTTGTGTGTCCAATCACACTTGGCCAATAAAAAATTATATTCTAAATTCTATTCTTGTTGTGGCCCGCCAGCAGCCTGCATGGATCGTGGCTGATCCCGACGACGAGGAGGCTGGTGTGGGGTCGCACCAGCAACCTGTGCAGCTAGCACTCGTGTCGGACAGCGAGGAGGCTGAAGAGGATGTGATGCCAGAGGCAGAGACTCAGCCAGGGCCTTCAGAACCTCCAGAGCTCCTTCAAGTGGAGAGAGCAAAGTGGAGGAGCCTCTCCTCAATGCTTGAGCACACAGGGCTGCCAAAAGGCAGGAGTGGCTACTCAGGAGGAGGAGGTCTCCTCAAGAGTAAGGTTTGAGGATAATTGGCCACTCCCTTAGCCTATTTAAGTCACATGCAGTTAGTAATTTCTTGCTGGAAACAACGTGTAATTATTAAAGAGTAGTTTGGATAGTGAGTGTCTTATCATATCTTGTTTTCTGGGCTGGTTGCTAACCTTTGCCAGACTTTGTTTATTCTTGGTACGTTATAACTTTGATAAGAACCGTTGGTGTGTGTCACAATCCTTGGGAATCCGGAGCTGGGGCAGAACAATTCTATTCTATTATATACTGATATGCATCTTTAAAACTTTAGTAGAGCAACTATATAGCTTACTTTGAAGTCTTGTTACAGAAAACATTATTATTCCATCAAACTGTAGGGTGTGTGTGTGTGTGTTTAAAGAAAGGATCATTGACAAAACTTACCTGATTCATAATTTCAGAGTTATGTTTTGCCAAAGCCATAGGTAAGGAATCAATAGGGCTGGTAAAAGCGAAAGTGTCAGGGTGCTGCCTATATCCATGGTCACTCAAGATCTCAGAAGCTCTTTTATTCTTCTCTGCTTCCAAAGAACCACTAGGAGACCAGCCAACACCCCTGAGCCACTCAAGGTCTGATTTATAATTAATCTGAAGGAAAGAAAAGTTATTACTTTTTCTATTTTATTATTCAAAATTTTATTAACGTTATCGCTTCTTAAAACATCTCTAAATCTTGAGAAACAGTGTAACAGTGAAACACATTCAAACAAACTGAGTGGTCCATAATGGTTGTTCTTAGTGCACAGCTAACACTGAGCAGAAGAAAGTGCTTAGCTTAGTATTAAGCATGGCTTTATATTTGCAAAGTTGCTAAAATGCCACTTACATCACTTTGAAGATCATACGTTTTCCTGGCATGGATGACATCATTTTGATCTGGGAGGCATGTCCACTGGTGCAAATAATTACGGTAATCGATATCGCTGACCAGCTTCTGGCAATTCTTGGCCCCCAAGACTGACAGCATATCCACAGGACTGCTATATTTGGTCTTCAATTTCTCAAAAACTTTCTTATATTCTCTCTCACTCTGCATTTTGCCTACATTTATAGAATGCAATATTTTAGGATCATCTTCCACACTACGAGCTCCAATGTGGTGACCAAGCTGCTTACGGTATGCCTCTTTGTATTTGTACTGTACAGAGAGAGAAAGAGAGAGAGAGAGAAAAACCTTTCATCTAGTTCCCCATATAACTAAAAGTGTTAAACTGACATATTTTTTCAGTCAATTTGATCACTATATATCAAGTGCTGAGTTCCAACATGATTGGGTAAAATCCAGAGATGTCTCTTAACTGAAAGATCTGTATGTCAAGGCTCCAAATAATGAACCCAAGCAAATCAGAACTCTGAGACTTGGCTCCTTCTCAAAGGTCTTCTTTAATGAGTACATCACATCAGCACAGCTCCAAAGGAAAACCAAATCTAAATCTTTCCCGCGGTTTCAGTATAATTAAACTAGGAAATAACCCCATCCCCAAGTATCACAGGTCACATTGGCCAATTAGGTTAATTGGCAGTTAATTGGCAGGCTCTTCAGGCACTCCTTCCCCAAACCTTATTGGTTGCCAGTAGAGATGACCTTGATTTTCATGAGAACGCTCTCTGTTGTGTCTAGTAATGTATTCCAACCTCCTTCCCTCCTTCCCCCTCTGTGTGGCAACTGAGGAACAGAAAGATGGCTGCTGCCAGGTTCAGTTCGAAGTTGACACTGTATTTGCCGGTGTAATAAATTTTTCTTTCCCATTAATTCTCCATTACTTCCTATCCTTCTTGGTGTAAATGAGGGGAGCATGCTGGGGATGGAAAGTAAGCACTTTTTATTGCAATGATGATAAAGGGTACGGTATTCAGTTTTTTAAAGAAGGTTTTACTAAAGGTATTATTATTATCCCTATTAACTATTATTATTAAGCTTATTAATAATTACCTATTTAAATCTATATTAATTCAAAGGGGAAACAAGTTATTCCTCCCACCCCCCACTGATTATCTGTTAATTGGATTGTTCATTTTCTGGTGAGTGAGCAATCCCCATTCTTTGAGAACAGAAAAATCTGGCTGAAAATAAGAGAGTGACTTGGGTGTACATATAGTTATATACAACACTGTTGAACTGTCTCCAGAATTGATTTCATCTGTAATTAATGACCTTAAGTTGACATGACGGGAAAGATGGGCAACACACAAGTATTTTGGTTTGTTGAGAGAAAGATGGAGGTAGAGATAGATATTATCAGCTTAAATCAATCCACTGCAGGATGCAGGCTACTTCAATGAAGGTTTTGGACAGTGGTGGATTTCAAAAATTTTTACTACCGGCTCTGTGGGTTTGGCTTGGTGGGCGTGGTATGGCTCGGTGGGCGTGGCTTGGTGGGCGTGGCAGGGGAAGGATACTGTAAAATCTCCATTCCGTCCCCAATCCAGGGGAAGGTTACTGCAAAATCCCCATTTCCTCCTGATCAGCTGGGACTTGGGAGGCAGAGAATAGATGGGGGCGGGGCCAGTCAGAATTTTTACTACCGGTTCTCCGAACTACTCAAAATTTCCACTACCGGTTCTCCAGAACTGGTCAGAACCTGCTGAAACCTACCTCTGGTTATGGATGATAATCCACCATGCTAACCCAAAGCAGGTTAATAAGTAGATATTTTTGAACTTTCCAGTCTAGGGATGAAAGAGAGCAACTGGATCTCTCCAAAATCACCCGGATGGTTTTTATACCTACAGGAGGATATGTATGGAGTGTGTTTAATCATCCTTGAGAGAAGATCATCTCAAATTTAGGGTGTTCCTTTTAATTCCAGTAACATCAGCAACATATTAAAGAGTTATAGGGGGAAATTATAGGGTTTGTTTATACAAGAAATTCTAGTTTTATATATTTATCAAAATAGTATTTTCTTTTAGTACACAGTACATTTTTATTTATATTGTTTATTTATATTTCATATTTCTTAACTGCCCAGCTCCCTCGGAGTTTTCATTTACATATATGAAAACTAAAGTGGACTCTGTATATTTGTTTTAATGATGTAATTATTAATCTAACTAGTAAAACAGGTTAATATTTTTTCTTAGCAATAAAAGAAATGTGAGGTTAGTATTTATTCATTTGTTTGTTCACTCATTTATTATTCAGTTTATATAGTTGCCTATCACAAATATATGTCTTTTAAGTGAAGAATGATTTGAGGAATATTAAGTTATAAGAAAGGGATTTAGAATTCCCTGCTTATGATTTTCAAAAAGGGTTAAAAACCACCTTTTTATTTTCATTAATCAGATGAGCATTCGGAATTGAAAATGGTTAGTCCAGAAGGACATTTAATACCTTTAATACATTTAATTAAAATGCTATCTTAAATTATTTTATTTTTTTCTATTGAAAAATCTCACACAGATTAATTAGCAATTTAATTGATGAATGAAATTATATTAAAAATCGGGGGGGGTTGTGTGGTGGTCATACATATAAACCAAGGATTGGGGCCATCATGCCAATGGGAAACAAAACTGAAACAAAGTCCCTGTGGAAATGAAAGACCAGTTATGATATGCAAGACACTCATTTACCTTTCCATCAAGAACCAGACTCTTAGTCCTTAGCAGTTAATGGATTGCTTTCAGGGGCCTTTGGGAACTATGCTAGGGCCTCAGTTTACCCTTCCTCAGATACCAAATAAGAGGAAGATTTAACAAACACTGCATGCCATTTTTCCTTAAAATGCATAAACAGAGTTCCTTACTTCACTGGCAATTTCTCTAGATGCTTTTGCTGCCTTGATCGGTATGGCATCAGGTGGAAGATCATAGCCTTTCCGTTTCAATTCTTCCAATCCTAATTTGTAGAGTTTCTAAGAAGAGAGCCAATGAAAGTTAGGAGTGCAACACTCTAGTGCAACACTAAAAGTTTGATTCTCTAATCAAACCGGTATCAAACTTACATCACTCAAGTTAACTAAATTGATTCTGGACAACATAATCTCAGGAGTGTCAGGCATGATATGAATCTGAGTCTTATCTTTGTCCCAAGCTTCTCGATAAAGTCTCTAGAAAGCAAAAACAAAGACTGAATCAATATGTTTCAGTGATAAAAATAATTATATACAATATGACCTTTCACAGTACAGTAAAATTTCTACTCAGATAATGCAAAACATTATGAGTTGTTCTGTGCATGCAGAAGAAATAGTTATGAAAATGCTGCTAGAAGGTTTCTTCTTCATAACCTATCTACAAAGTGGAATAGTTATGCAAAAGAGGTTATTTTGTTTCATCTTTAAATTAAGTAAAGTTTATTATATCCTCAAGGATGTTCATTTATATTAATTTTTAGAAAAACTGAAATCAAACTTACAAAAAAATACCATTTTGCTGAATAAATCCAATGAGCAACTTCATTCTTCCTACACTAAATTTTATTTTTAAAATATATTTACCATCATAAAATTTTATTCTTATTTACTTGGAAGCAAGTTCTGTTGATCAGGGGATCTTAACTGCAATTTATTAAAGAGAGTTACAGTCCTAAAGCAAATTTCTAAACGATCTTGAGTTTATTTGAATATAACTTACTTTTGAAGAAATATAGGTTCAGGGATGGAATCAAACAACTACATTATACTGCAGAATCTATTGCTTTCTTCCCCCTCGCACTTTCAAGCTGTTTTTAATGCTGTTGACTGTTTCTCCAAACAGCAAAACCCCTCAAATTGAGAAACACTCACATCACTTCTATGCTTTGAGTTTTCTTTTGCCAGAACAACTTCCATTGAATCAGGAATGCTTGTGAATTTAATTGTGTCTGGATGCTGACGATAAGTTCTTTCACTCAGAATCTCAGAAGCTTTCTTGTTCTTTTCCGACTCGAGAGATCCAAGCGTATTCCATCCAACGCCTTTAAGCCATTCGAGATCAGATTTATATGCAATCTGGCAGGGGAAAAAAAGAAGCCACCATTCTAAATTAACAAAAATATCTGAAGGTGTTTTGTTCCTTACTTACTGCCCTATAATTTTGTACATATTTCTTTTTCATCCAATGATGCCTCTTTGATTTAGGACTCTGTAATATCTTGGTGGGTTATGAATAAAAGTGCAAAGTAGGATATAGGGTTAGAAACGTATTTTCATGTCAGGCCAAACCTCATAAAAAATACAATAACTCTCCTTTATAATATAAGAGTATAATAACAGAATATTGAAAACTAAACATTGTTTCCTCTTCTCTCCCTCTTAGTCCAACTTTGATTCTCTTTAGCATATTCTGGTGTGTATGTTTTTACTCATTCTTCCTTTCCTGTACTAGGCTCATATTTTACTAACAGTTGCCACATATTTTCTTCAAAATACCATCTCTGTATAATTTTCTTTCATATTTTTCCAAATTTAGACACTGAGAGAAATGGTTGAGAAGAGAAAGACAGAACTGAAATTTTTTTTAAAAATCCTTTGCAAGTTTTAGTTTAAGGAAGGAACTAGGAACAAGGAAAGGAGAAGTTCAGGAAATTTAAAAACAACAACATGACCTTACCAAGTTAATAAAGGAAGAGGGAAACGTAAGTTGGATATCAGTGTCTACAATTACTATAAGTCACAGAAACAGAGAGTGCAGAAGAGTAATAAGAAAATAAAACATGCATTTTCAGATCTCAATAAGGAAGGCAAACGATGCAAGCAGGATCATTAATTGGTAATTGGATAAATAACAGACAGGGAAAGACTTCAGACAACTGCTACAGTATAGTTTTATCAATCAAAATGGTTGAAATATGTGGCTTACATCACTCTGTAGTTCATAGGTCTTCTTGGCATGGATGATATCATTTTGGTCTGGGAGGCATGTCCACTGGTGCAAATAATTACGGTAATCAATATCGCTGACCAGCTTCTGGCAATTCTTGGCCCCCAAGACTGACAGCATATCCACAGGACTGCTGTACTTGGTCTTCAGCATCTCAAAAACTTTCTTGTATTCCCTCTCACTCTGCATCTTGGCCACATTTATAGAATGCAACATTTTAGGATCGTCTTCTATACTACGAGCTCCAATATGATGGCCGAGTTGCTTGCGGTAGCCGTCTTTGTACTTGTACTAAATTTTTTTTAAAAAATAAAGGTTAGAAAAAGTCAACGTCAGGAATAATTTGCAGACCCAGGTTTGTTGAGTGTCAGATTTAGAGGTATATCTAACATGTTCACGATGGTTGCATTTTTATGTACACAAACCTAGTAAGTCTCTACAGATTTCTGTATGATTTACTTGTGAAGAAATTGTCTGGACATAGCTCAAAATTTTTTTAGTGCGAAGTTTTATCAAAGTTGAATCTTATAGGAAGGACAAAGTATATATATATATATATATCAATGTATATCAATATATTATAACTAACTTACATCACTAGCAATGTCTCTGGATGCTTTAGCTGCTTTCACTGATAAGGCTTCAGTAGTGAGATCATAACCCTTTTTCAACATTTCTTCCAATCCAAGTTTGTACAATTTCTAGCATGAAAAAGTAGCATAGATTAAAAAGAAGGAAAGCAATTTGAATAAATTAAACATTTACAATCCACTCCTACAATTGAAACACATCCCATATATGCTTCAGGTTTCCTCATGGAGAAATCTAATCTTGTTACAGGAATGTGCAAATCCCTAAGAAACTTGCCTAGTAATACCTTAGCTTTCCTCAAATATTGTCTGTTATTTGAGGAACATATTAGCTTCAAATGTGTTTTTTTAAAAAAATTGAACAAAGTAATATGATTTCTTTAGATTCTGCAAACATCTGTCTAGTCAGCATTCTGTTATCACAGTAGTTGTGAAAGACCTGCTAATATTTAATAATATTATCATACTTCTCAGCTTTTTTCTCTTTTGTGTGTGTGCCTCACAAGAAAACTTTTGATTTGCTTCAAATTTCACTTCAAACAAATGCCACAAATTGAAATCAACTTCCTAGTAATTAAAAGGGAGAGAGATTACTGAAGAGATTTCTGAGGAATAAGAGCAGTTTATGACAATGTCATTAAGGAGTCAATGCCTAAGATATGGCAAATGCGTTAAATATTCAGAACTGTTAAAATCAGCTAGGAAGTATAAATTTGGCTCTAGAAAATTTCAGATTTATCTAGCTGTAGAACGATCAGTTTAGATTTATAATAATTAGATTATACATTCAGTATTTTTATTTGTTCTTTATGCTCCCTATTGGACTAGGCCCAGCTGATAGAGAATCAGAGGACTTTATAGACATTAATGTTCTTGTTCTTTCTTGAGAGAAAATTTAATGAAGCAAAAGTTGAATTTCCACCAATAGTCTCAGAGTTTCAAGAAACAGCAATGACAAAAATTAACTTACAAAGGAATCATTTCATTCATGAGAATATTATCAACATGATGAAGACTAGTTACTAAAACACATGCTTGAATATTTTCTTACCTGGCTGTAATTAAACTTATTTGCTTTAGCCAGCATAATATCTGGTGTATCTGGCATGACATGAATTGTTGTCTTATCTTGCTCCCATGCATTTATGTATGCACGCTATTAGAGAAGAAAACAATAAGGATCAATAAATTGCATACATAGGCAATAATGTTGGCATATGGACAACTGTACCAATATGCATATGCTGAGTTTGATTTTAATATAAAATTTTAATATAAAATTGAAAGTGTGTGCAGGTACTCTACAAAGGAAATATATTTATATGTTCTATATTATATATATTTAATAATGTGCTTGGGATGATCTTCTGGCCATAAATTAGCTTTTTTCTCTATACAACACCTCATGAATTTCATCTGCATAAGCCCTTTTAGGGACACACAAAGCCCCTTGAGAGAATAAAAACATTAATTCAAAAATATTGTATACCACTAACAGTAGCATTAAAGGTGCCAGTAAACTGAGAAATCAGCTAACAAATAATTATGTTCTATAAAATAAAAATCTGCTAGGAATTATTCAGTTGTTTTTACAAAATCTCTTTACCTCTACTGAAGTTAAACATATAATACAATCCTTAAAGGCCGGGAAGCCCCCGGAGAGGACTTGCTGCCTCCCGAACTCTTTAGGTCCAACACTGATTTCTGGGTACCGGTGTTGGTAGCACTGTTTACTTATATCGATAAAGTAGGGATAATCCCTGAAGGGTGGAGGTTAGCTATAGTTTTTCCAATTTTCAAGAAAGGTGACAGAGCCGCCCCATCTAACTATCGACCCATCAGCCTTCTCAATATAATTTCAAAAATGTATACAAAGCATCTGCTAAATAAAATAGAGGACTGGTGCTTGGATAAGGAAATTCTGGCAAATGAGCAGGCAGGTTTTAGATCGGGTAGGTCTACCATTGACAATTGTTTTATCCTTTCCCACTTAATTAATAAATACAAGACTCAGGGGAAAAAGCTGTATATTGCCTTTATTGACCTTACTGCTGCTTTTGATTCTATAGATAGGAACCATCTGTGGAGGAAACTACAAGCCATGGGGATGGACCCCAGACTTATTTTGTTGATCAGGACTCTCTATACTAATACGGCAATTAGAGTCAGATATGCAGCAAATGGGGCCTCAACAAACAGCATACCGACAACTAGAGAAGTGAGGCAGGGCTGCCTGCTGGGCCCTACTCTTTTTAACCTTTATATAAATGATATCCCAGCGCAGATGGAAGATCTTCTGACGCATAGCCCCCAAATAGGCTCAAGATTTATTAATGTATTAATGTACGCCGATAACTTAGTGCTGTTTTCTAGAACCCAAATAGAGATGAGGAGACTTCTCGCCAAGCTCTCACGTTATTGTACTACAAACCATTTGACTATAAATGTAGCTAAATCAAAAGTTTTAGTCTTTGGCAATAAGAATAAAAAGCATAATTGGGATATTAATGACACAAAGATTGAGCAAGTTACCCAATATACCTATCTTGGAATTGTTTTTTCCAGTGCAGGTGGTTGGACTCTGCACCATCAATACCTTTCTCAAAAGGTCAGAGCTGGGGCAAGCCTTGTATCCAAATTAAGTAAACATATTCAACCAACCTCGATTTTACCAATTCGTAAAGTCTTTCAGGCTAAACTTGTTCCGATTATGCTCTACGATTATGCCGAAATCTGGGGTCTTACAGAGGCCCCCATGTTGGAGAGAACTCAAAATAATTTGTTAAGGAGGATGCTGGGGGTAAACAATTCCACTTCGGCGGTAGCTGTCAGAGCTGAATTGGGACATTTTTCACTGCACACCTACACAATTACTAGGGTGGTAGCCTACTGGCTAAAAATGACTCAGATGGAAGCCAGCAGACTTCCCAAAATCTGCCTAGAGCAGCGGTTCTCAACCTGGGGGTCACGACCCCTTTGGGGGTCGAACAGCCATTTCACAGGGGTCGCCAAAGCCCTCTCTTGCCCCCCCCCACACCTTCACTCACTCTCACTCTCTGTTCTGTTGGATCGCCGGCCATTCGCTTACCCCACCCACTCCCAATCTATTGCTGCCTCCGGAGTCCCAGCTGATGGCTAGAGGAAAAAAAACTGTTTAAATTCTTGCCAAGGGGCTTCAAAGGGCCGCCCTATAGCCAGTGGTGCAGCCGAACCATTTGTTAAATTGCTGGCTTGCCCCACCCCTCCGCACCACTATTTATTGCCAATAAATAGTGGTGGGCGAGGGGCGGGTGAGCCAGCAATTTAACAAATGGTTTGGTGTTTTTTTGTAATTTTATTGGCCCAGGGAGCTTCAGCATAGGTTAATTAGCCCTGGATTAGATCGGCTCCCGACCCTCAGCTGATTTGCTCTCAGCTGTTTTGCTCAGGGCTCTGGTGCTTGCTTGCAAAGAGTGCTGATTTTTTTTCCCTAGCTATGCTGAAAAACAAAACTGAAAGTAAAGCAGGCTGTTGGCTTTGCTGTTGCTGCAAAGTTGGAAAATTAGGCAGGTAGATTTCTTTTCTTTTTCCTCACCAAAAAAGGTAGGTGCAAACAATGGGAAATTTAGGGCAAAAGAGGAGAGTTCAAGATGAGCTGAGTTAGAGAGGAGCTATCTTATTTGGGTTATCTAGTTTTGGAAACCTAGTTATTGAGTTTCGATGTTGTTAAATTTTAAATGTCATATATGATATATTTTTAGACTGTTATTTCTGTAACTGTTTGTTTTATCTTTTTCTTTTCTTTTCTTTTCTTTTTTTTTTTTTGAAAAGGCCTACAAAATCTCTACCACTCATAACATACATCTGCCTGAGACTCTTTTGCTTAAGTAATGCTAACCAGAGGGGTAGAGTGGGGTGTGGCATATGCCATTATTTGCACTCAGAATGGAAACAGTCACCTTATTCATAACATCAGCATTATGCTTGGCGAGTTCCATATCCATTGAATCAGTCAGCTTCTTAAATGGGAAAATACTTGGGTGCTGGCGATATTTGGTGTCACTAGCAATTTCAGTGGCTTTCTTGGACTTCTCAATATCCAATGATCCAGCAGGGCTCCAGCCAAGACCTTTATACCACTCATTATAATCTTGCTTATATTCATGCTGTAGGCAGAGAATAAAACACATCTATAGTTGCACAGCTCTTAACTATAATAATATAACATCACCCTATGGACATATGAAAAAGAGACATCTTATGATGAAATGATGACACGGTGAATTACAGTTTTGGTCACTCTTGAGTAAGATATAATCCTCTTGTCTTTTGTTTGCTTTATTATTTAATTAATAAGCATTGCAAAATTGTAAAAATAATGCTTGGTTTATTATTTAGTTAATAAACAAGTGTTTTCTTTCTAAAATATTGAACAGCAACGTCTCTCATACGATTTTTTAAGAATACTCCAATAATAATTCTGACTCTATAAATTAGCAGATTTTAATTTTTATTCTCAATTGTATCATGCCATTGAGAAAGCATTTAATACATTTGTACATGGTATAGATCTTCCTAAAAGTGCACTTAATTAAGATGCAACTTAATCTTTCCAAAAACTTATAGTTATACTATATTTATGAAACCAGGAAGCACATATACCACTGAGTGATATAAGACATGTATTGAATTCTTTGTCCCAATATCATTGCAGTTTATCCAGATCAGTGCACACTTGAGGATCTCACGGCAGCGCAACACAACACAATTAATGTTGCTAGTTTCTGGGCAAGATCTGTTTAACTTGTATATATTTTAATCTTGCGTTTTATATTTTAAATATTGTGTCATGCAATATGCCTTATTTCAATTGGTATGCTTCTGACACAGATAAACAAACATTGCAGATCTATACAATAATGCCTTTTAAAATACTCCCCTCCCTCTCTGTGATTTATATAACTATAATTTTGAAGACTGGTGACTATCCTGCTGACTTTGCAGTTCTGCTGACTAATTTACTTGTTCTATTTTAATGCAAAACTACCGCCATGGACCCTGGCACATAGAAGGCAGATGGAATTCAATCATCCATCTTGCACAATATTATTTTATACACAGTTGACAAAGCATATTATTAGATTACTGACATTCAGAAAAACCTAAAATCTGCAGCAGTAGTCTCACTGGATGTTTTTGAGATGGTGCAATGGGAATGAGTAAAGAAAAGCTTTGGCTAACTATTCATTACTAACTATTAACTAATTTGGGCACTTTATGCAAAGACTCTCTAGAGCAGGGGTATCAAACTCAATTTCATTGAGGGCCGCATCATTTGACCTCAGGGAGCTGGGGGGGGCTTGACGTCACTCGTGTAGGGGGCATCTGTAGTCTCCCAAGCGCTCTGCCAATGAAAACAGACTCACAAACTCCATTTTCGGTCGCGATGGCCTCCTGCCACCCTCTGCCAGCAAAAACGGAGCTCGTGGGGGGCCATGCGCAGCCCTCGCAGCTTCATTTTTGACCGTAACAGCCTCCTGCTGCCCTCTGCCAGCAAAACAGAACTCAGGTGTGACCCCCACCCAAGCTCTGTTTTTGCTGGCAGAGGCACTGCAGGCCAGTCCTTCACTGTTTCCAGGGTGGCCCCATGGCCAGATTTAAGCACCCCATGAGGCTGATTTGGCCCATGGGCCTTGAGTTTGACACCCCTGCTCTGGAGAAAGCTGTAATGCTGGGAAAGATATAAGGCAGAGGTGTCAAACTCACAGCCCATGGCCAGATGTGTCATGAGCTGGCTCCTCTCCCGCCCAGTTTAGCAAAGGGAAAAAAGTCCCGATACATCACGTGACGCCACCGTGATGACACGAGTTTGACACCCCTGGTGTAATGAAAGGGAAAAGGATGACCAGCAACAAGGTAGATGGGCCTAGTGACTAATGACTGTAACATTGGAAAACTTGAAAGAACAGGTTAGGAGTAGATTGTCATGGAGAAAATCTGTGTGGTTACTAGGGTCAAAAATGACTTGACGGCACATAAGCAATCAAATGAGAAAGTTTGGGAAAAGTTTTGGCTAACTATAGATTTCCTCCTTTTTTATGCGATCACATAATGTGGATTATGTAGTCACAAACTGTGGATCAATACGTGGTACACTGTTCTTTTTTGCTAAGGATATTACAAATGGAATGATCTCTTCATCTAGCAAGAGAACTTGCTGAACTTAACAAGAATGTCCTTTATCTCACTTTGTTTTTCATTTAATATTGGTACAGTACAGCTATTACAAATTAAATACATTTTACAGCAGGTGGAGTTGAATCCATACTATTATATGTGCTGATGATAGCTTACGTCTTTTCTACAATTATGCATTTTTATACTAAAATGTATTTGGTAATTTATCAAGTTATTCATTTAGTTGAAATGTTTTAATGACATCTGTAAAAATTGGGATTTCCCTTTTAACTACGTGGGAATTCCAAGGGAATTTTTTTCTCAGCTAAAAAATCAACATAAATTGTTAAAAATCCTGTTGAGTTTATGTTCGTATAATTCTGATCCTTATTCAGTCAAGAAATTTCTATCCTACGACAATTCTAGCTGAATATTGCAAGTAATCTGTTTATTTATAAATATTAAATCCATTTATTATAAAATATTGTTTATTAAAGCATTTTTATTTTTATTAATTTTTCACATTTTTGAACTGCCCATCTCCCCCAAAGATAAACAAACATATAAAAAGCACCTTTCAACTAATAGTAAAAAAAAAAAGATTGCAAGATCTTACATCACTTTGAACCCGATTCATGTTTCTGGCCAGTTCTATATTTATGGCATCCGGCAGAAGGATATATTTATGGATGAGCCTTTTGTAATTGATATTGGTAATATTGTCTTGTGCTTCTTTGGCAGCCACAATGCTGACAGTATCAGCAGGCGTGTTGTATCTCGTTTTGCTGCCTTCATAGGCTTTCTTGTACTCGCGATCTGACTGCATCTTGCCCACTTGCATGTAATGGACAAGCTTGGGGTCATCTTGGAGGCTGAGGAAGCCAACAAGTTTACCCTTGTCCTGTTCATAACCCAATTTATATTTGTACTGCAGAGAAAACAGAAAGTGAAATGTAAGCTCGAGAAGGTCAATACTGAATTGTAACTTTATCATACAGTAATAAAATAAAGTGAATACAGGTACAGATTGAAAGATTGTTAAATATGGTAAAATTGGTTCCAAAGGTGTCTTTTTGTTCACAGGGGCCTTCTGTAATATTTCTTCAGCAGGAGAAAAAAACCAACAACATCGACTGTAAACTTACATCACTGGCAATCTCCCGAGAAGCTTTAGCAGCTTTAATAGGGATTGCATCACTTCTGAGATCACAGCCTTTCTTCTTAGCTTCTTCCAGAGAATGTTTATATATTTTCTATGTGGGAAAAGAAAGGAAACTATTTTAAAAAATACTCAATACAGAGACAGAAAATTAATACTTTATAAACTCTGGTTATTTCTTATCATCCTGGAAATATTAGGAAGATCCAGAAGAAAAAGTAAATTTGATTTAATAGAATTAAGACACAAGCACATTTAAATTAATGTAGTGCAAGGGTGTCAAACTGGCAGCCTGCAGGCTGGATGCATCACAGGCAGGCCACACCCACCTCAGCTCCGCAAATGGGAAAAACATCACAAAACGTCACGTGATGGCAACGTGACACGGTAAGTTTGACAGCCGCAATGTAGTGCAATGATTCTGCCAGTTAAAAGTTACGATTCTTTGTTTTGAGGGCCATCCCAAATCTTTCAAAAAGCACAAGGGGCCTTAAAGTCCACCCTGCTAATTTATATGTTGATCAATGCCACATTACAAACCTACATTAGGGCCCTTTTTACAAACAAGCCACACAATTCCACATGTCCCACATCCATATGATGCTGTGCACTTGGTTAATTAAGATGTATAACTATTCTTAGCATCCAAAAGAGCAATGACAGCTTTACAGCAGTTCTACTGGAACTCTATAGAGAGGCAGTTTTACATTGAAACTTAATCTGCTTAAAGGATCCTGAGATTTTCTCTTCCTTCCTGTAGTTGAGATGCTAAAGTATCTGACCACAATTCCCCCTCCACTTCCCAGGCATTCCAGTGGGGCAGGTTTGCCATTTCCTTCAACAATCACACCACCAGGGGTGGGTTGCCCCCGGTTCGCACCGGTTCTATAGAATCAGAGTAAGATGAATCAGAGTAAGATGCAAGACTATTGCCAAAGTTCCCCAGGACACTATGGTGTCTGGGTAGAAAAAGACCTATTTTAATTACACATATCCAGCAAAGCAACATTTCAGTAAATGAAAGCCGGCTTTGGGGAGCTTTCACAAGCATTTTTAATACACTGCCAGGATAATTCTCGAGTTTCTATTCAAGTTCTGGCAAATAGTAATTTTGATATATTTTTTTTCTTCTTCAAGTTGTATTTTTTCCCTGTTTCTTTTTTTTTTTTTTAATAATCTTTATTTACATTTTTCGTTAAAAAACATAGAAACAACACATCATAAAAAGATAACACAAAAAAAATAAAATAAACATACATACTTCCTTGTTTCTTTGCAGTACCTTAATACATAAATGTTCGGTACTGTATCTCTACATTATAATCCGGGGAAGACAAAACAGCTTACATGCCTTAATATATCAATTAGGTCTGTCCGACCTCACTTATCTTATATAGGATAGGTTTCTCAACAGATATCATTCCTCCTCTAAAATGGGATTTACTTTCCTCTTTTCTAGCCATTTATAAAATTTATCCCATACTAAACCTCCCTGTAATTGCTCTCTCTCCTTTAATTTTTTGGTTAATGTATCCGCTTCCGCACAGTCTAAATTTTTTTTAATAATAGCCTCTTCTGTTGGGATATTCTGGTTTTTCCAGAGTTGGGCATATGTCAACCTCGCCGCTGTGATGATATGTAAAGCCAAATACCACAAATCCTTTTTTATATTTTCCGGCTTGGACCTTTTTCCCTGTTTCTTTATTGACTTGGTGTGATGGTTTTCTTGATTTTGTGCTGATAGTTTGAGAATAATTATTTGGAAATGTTAGGTATGGAATAGTTACACATACAAATAATTCTGCTACTTAGAGTTTTCAATGAATAATACTGAAGGATTTGACTCAAAGGCTAGCTTTTCTCCTAGGCGATGTGTCTACTTTATCTTGTTTGACAAATAATGTAATGTAGTTTTGCTGATTCACTAATACTAGCACTTAGCAAAATATAGCTCTTAATCAACCTGCATACTTACATCACTGATATTATACGCATTGACTTTTGCCAAAAGAATCTCAGGAGTATCTGACGTGATATGAATCTGTGTCTTTTCTGCTTCCCAGTCCTTTTTGTAAAGGTGCTAAAATAGAATGAAGGAAACATGTATCATTGAAAAATAACTTTGAACTAAACCTAAAAAAAAACCACACCATAATGAAAGAAACCACACCATAATAGAACCAATATTGTAATTAAATTTAATTTCATAATCCTTTGATGATTGAAAAATATTTTATCAGTTCATTTTACCTAAACAATTGAATTAATTTGACTGAACCATGCTTAATCAGCCCAATACAGTATGAACCAAGTGTGAATTTTATCTTATGTAGAATGATCCAAGGAAGAATATTCACGTGCTGATGACAATTTGCTAGTACAAATTGGTACTAGCAGTTGAGGTAGCTCTCAACTTACGACCATAATTGAGCCCAAAATTTTTGTTGCTAATTTGTTAAGTGAGTTTTGCCCCATTTTACGAATTTTCTTGCCACAGTTGTTAAGTGAATCACTGCTGTTGGTAAATTCATACACAGTTGTTAAGTGAAACTGTTTTCCCCACTGATTTTGCTTGTTAGAAGGTCACAAAAGGGGATCACGTGACCCAGGATACTGCAATTATCATAAATATGAGTCAGTTACCGAGCCTCTGAAGTTTGCTCAAATGACCATGGGGACACTGCAACAGTTGTAAGTGTGGAAAATGGTTATAAATCACTTTTTTCAGTGACATTGTAACCTTGAACAGTCACTAAATGAAGTGTTGTAAGTCAAGGACTACCTGTACTAGCAAATTAGCATAGTTAAATTTGTTTAGCTACACTAATTTTTAAGAAATAAAATCAAGCAGAAAGATCTTCCGGTTCCTCTGGTAATTAATGATTGTTGCTTTTGTTCTGTGAAATCTTGGAATATTGAGTCCAAAATAATAAAGACTCTTAGGCCAGAAAGTAAATCTCTTTTGAAAAGGATTATTTTGAAAAGAGAATTGTGTCATGGGATTGTGAAAGACTTTATGTGCATTTGCATGTTGATCATACAATAATATAAAAGAAAATTTACCCCTTTCATTGGGAGAAAAACAAACATGTAAATATCACCCTAAATTGCATCTTTTAAAAGCCAGTTACATCATAGCAGTTAGAAAATATTAGCAAATAGAAATCTATTCACCACTTCATCCCTAAGTAAATAATACTGATTACATCTCAAAGAAATGAATCTGATGATACTTGTTTACCTAGAAATATCATACGATCCATAATCAAACCTATGAACTAGAAATATATAAATCACCAATATATACAACTATTGGCAAGTTGCCTCCTGAATTGTCCTCACAGTAACTTTCTTAATACTGTAGAAAAAATAATATACATTTCTTAAGAGCTAGAATCTGTCCTGCACATGTATATCCACTGAAAACAAGTTAATTTAATGACTTTGGGCAAGGATGTTGCTGTGTTTCACATCACATTTTAGTTATTAGATTTTGGTTTTGTGATGAATCATGTTTACTGACTGCAGATATTTGATTTATATGATTGTAAGCCTACCCAAATCTTAGTAAGTAAGCAAGTAGATAAATAAATATTCCTTGGCTTACATCATCCATTATTTTTGCATTACTTGTCGCCAGAACCATTGGCATAGAATCCATTAGAATAGAATATTTCAATTTATCTGGATGTTGTCTGTACTTCTTCTCACTGACAATCTCCATGGCTTTTCTATTCTTTTCAGCTTCTAGAGATCCTAGTGGTACCCATCCAATCCCTTTCATGAATTCATCATAGTCTGCTTTGTACTGATTCTGAAAAACAAAATGAAAGGAAGGTTTATATAAAATGTTTGGAAAAACAACTTTCCAAATATTAAAAAAAAAAAGATTGATCTTTTGAGCATAGTTTAGTGTGCAGCCTGGATTATAAATCACATTAGAAAAGACCAAAAAGCAAGCATTTTTTGAGACACAAATGAAAAATGTACATTTCATTGTTGTTATACTGCTTTGTTTCATCATTGTTAAATGATGCACGTGACACATTAATTTGAGCATGTCTGTATATTATTTTATCCCGTGATTTTGCATTCTATCTCCATTACAGTTTTATTATTAGTTATTAGTTAGATACACCAAATTTGTTGCATACGTAGGACTTCCTCTTCAAATTTTTCTCCATAGCAATGTTGTGAGAGAGAACTGGCATTTATTGTCAACTCACCAGCTGAATTTGGGACAGTCATATAAATTTGCCCAATGAGCTAGCGGTAGACCATGGCTTAGGCTATGCTGTTAACTATGACTACCACTCTAACATTTAATATAAAGAGCTGCTCCATAAGATGGCCTATACATTAAATTAATAAATTAATAATGTTTTCTATAGTGCCAATCTACTTCCCAGTAAATGCTCTTCAAATCTTCTCTAAATTTGCAGAGGGAAGAAGGACTTTGGCTATTTCCATCATGTAAATGGAAGTTTGATAGCAGCACATTGCATATTTTCTATGTCCTGCTTCTTCAGGAGAAAAGCTAAATGCCATCTGCAGTGAAAAAAAAACCAGTTCTGATATATCTTCCTCGCGTTCCCTCCCAATTGCAAAGTAAGAAAGAGTTTAAAGACTTCAGGTTATCTAACTTTGTCATTCGAGCAGTTATCAAAAAAATACTTCCTTACATTACTCTGGATCTGCATCATATTTTTGGCCAATTCAAGGCTCATAGAATCAGGCAAAGCACTGTAAGTGTGGATAATATTCCGGTAGTTGGTATCAGTTGCCACTTCCTGTGCCTTCTTGGCTGCCACAACACTGAACATGTCGACAGGAGTGTGGAACCTGGTCTTTGATTTTTCGTAGTCCTTTTTGTATTCACGTTCTGACTGCATCTTGGCAACTTCCATATAGTGCACAAGCTTAGGGTCATCTTTTACGTTACGGAAGCCGATCTGCCTTCCTTTTGATTGTTCGAAGGCCAATTTGTATTTGTACTATAAGCCATATAGAATAACAAAACAACACACATACACACACACACATGTACATATATGAAAGGATATTTAGTTACTTTATTCATTGACGGTGACTGATAAAGAATTTGATATGTTTAATTTAATTTAATTTAATATTTAAATTTATATATCGCCCTTCTCCTGAAGGACTCAGGGCGGTGAACAGCCAGAAGTAAAAAACATCAAATACAAAATATAAAAACAATTTTAAAATGAATTAAACAATTTGGCCCGACAGTTAAAATCCCCCATTAAAAATCCAAATTAAAATACACAATTGGAGGGATTAGGCCAGCCCGCCTTGATGAAATAAAAAGGTTTTGAGGGCCCAACGGAAAGTACATAAGTCCGGAATCATCCGTATCTCCGGGGGGAGCTCGTTCCAGAGGGCAGGTGCTCCCACAGAGAAAGCTCTCCCCCTGGGGGCCACCAGTCAGCATTGTTTGGCCGACAGCACCCGGAGGAGCCCCTCTCTGTGGGAGCGTACTGGGAACACATATATGTGTTACTATATAGAGTATATAAAATGTTAATATATGTAACATTTCCTATCACCCAAATCTTCTGATTTTACAATTACAATTCAGTAGGAATTGCTTGGGCTTTTCTAAATATTTCTGGATAAAAATACCAGAATGTTACAGGCACAGAAATATTTGCTTTTTTCAACCGGCAAAACAAAAAAACAACACCCAATCAGAATGTGCTCTTCTTGATAATAGATGAGCACAGATAGCCAAACAGTGCTTGCCTACATCCCACCCGCTCCAGTTTTGCACAATAAACCACTGCCCTGTGTAAATAGAGTAAAAGATGAGAGTTTTATAAGCTTGTGATGGTGATTAATCATCACACAACTTATACAGCGACTCCTTTATCCACTCTCAACATCCAGCCACCATCCCTGGATGACTGCACGCCCGATGGACACCCAAATTAAATATAAGCAGATCTGCATCGCCATCTGGAAATCACCTAAGTCACCATAAGTTTGGTGTAATATAGCAATAATTAATCTTTTAATAGAATTAAATGGCATTAAGCCTTTTCAAATCAATAATATTGATTAGGCTACAATCTAACTCATGGTTTACATTAAAGCCTAATATTTGGGGGGAATGGAATAAATGCTATCTTTATCCACTAGCAAGATAGAAGTTTGTACCAATTATCTTTCAATATTTCCCTCTGGTAAATTCCCTGGAGATCATAAAAGGCTTGTTGACAAGGACAGAGTTAATGAAGCAATAAAAAAAGAACTATACTGGGATATAATTGTTTACTGGCAAGAATAGAAGGACACTTATTTAGAGAGAGAGAGGGGAAGGGAAAGAGAGAGAGAGGGGGTGAGGGAGGGAAGGAGGGAGGGAGGGAGGAGGGGTGAGGGAGAGAGAGAGAGAGACTTGACAGATGATAGATAAAATATACTAAATATATTCCTGCAGGAGCATGTTTGAGAAAGTAACAAGATATCCACAAAACCTTAAAATTTTTAGGAAACAAATTCCATACATTTGCCAGAGCAAATTCATGCTTCAGGAAACATAAATAATTCAGACTAATATAATTGTATACATGTAGATACCAGGGAGCAAATGAAATGATCAGACTAAGAAAATGTTTTCCAATAATAAGGCAATATAAAAATTAAACTTACATCACTTGCAATATCCCTGGAAGCTTTAGCTGCTTTTATGGACAAAGCATCTGACCGTAGATCACAGCCTTTTTTCTTCTCCTCTTCCCAGCCAGACCTATATATTTTCTGTTCCATAACAGAAGGAAACACAGGCAGATGTTTAGAATTTTTTTTTTCAAGGAAAAAAATAGAATGATGGATATCATTCAGAATTAAGCCAAAAATATGACCCATAATAATATAATGATATGCAAGTCCAGTCGAATAGTTAGCTTACATCACTCATGATGATTTGGTTGGCTCTGGAGAGGAGTATTTCTGGTGTATCAGGCATTACGTGAATGTCAGTCTTGTCTTTGTTCCATTTTTCTATATACAGCCTCTGAAATTAAAATAAAAAGTTTAAACAAATCACATTGTTGCATGTTGCCAAGTTATTTGCTTGCACATTTTGTACCATTAAGACACCCTGTCTCACTAGGCAAAACTAAATCTCTAATGATAAACATTTTATCATTGCTTTTGCTTCCTAAACTAAAAATATGCAATATTTTCTTTAAAAAAAAAAACTACTAAATATTAATTCAATGCTTAATTTCTTGATTTCACAAAGGGGCTATACAAACTCAAAATAATGGAATATAAATATTAGATTTTTTTAAAAAATAATTCAATCCTAACCGTTCGTTGAATTTCTGAATAAATTGTAATATGGACACTATTGCTATAGCAGATTGTGTCTCCGTAGTATTACCACTTACTACAACAAATAGTCATGTCATTTTCTTCTATATGGTTATTTTAATATATCTATTTTAGTAATTTACCTACTGTATCTTAGAGGATCCAGTTTTTTTACAATTAATATGACAAGAATTAAGAAGACTTCCCCCCCCCCCCTTTCAATTGACCTTTTATTCTATTTATTCATTGCCAAGCTGCCAGATGCAGATCTGAGCTCAAAAGAAAACCCAGGACATAAGAACAAGTAATATTAGAAAGAAGCCATATTCAAAACAATTTTGGCCACTACAGTAAATCAAGATATAGCCCTATTTATAGAGAACTTTCTCAGCATAATTCATGGATTATGCAGGCTCTTCTTTCAAGCAGGTTGGCTTGTTTTCCATCTGGTTTTTTTGCAATGGTTCTTAAAAAGCCATATTGATTCTTGTTTGTGCACATAGCTTATTGATCCCTGGTTTAGCTCAAAACTTCTTTTAATCCAGTTTACCATCATCCAGAACCTTCAAGAAAATTAAAACGCAAGCCGCAAAGACCATAATCACTCTCCATGCAGGTAACATCTAATTTAATTTAATATTTAGTCATCTTGAACAATTACCAGAGACAGATCTCATTACCACACCTTATGATAGCAAATTTATGAATATGCACTGTATGAAGAACTACTTTTCTTTATTATCGGCTAATTATTCATTCAATAAGCCATGACTAAAATTAATGAGCCATTGAAGCAGTAGAATTTCCAATAAATGCTTTTTACTAAGAATGAAGTACATCTTTACTGGGTCATTTGACTATAGTCCCTGAATCCTAATTTGATGTTCCTAGGAGATTTTGTTTTTCCTTACCTTATCCATGGTTTGTGCATTTTGTTTAGCCAACACCTGTTCCATGGCATCCATGTCAATGGTATACTTCAGTTTGTCTGGATGCTGACGATATTTGTTTTCGCTGAGAATTTGAGTGGCATTCTTTGCATTTTCAGCCTCCAGAGATTGAATTGGCACCCAGCCTAGTCCCTTCAGCCAGGTATTAAAGTCAGTTTTGTAAAGATTCTGGGGAGGGGTTGGGGAGCAGGGAGAAGAAATAACTTGATATGAATTAAATTGTCTTATTTTAGTGTTCATAAGATCCCAAAATAATTGTAGTTGTAGCATGGCCTAAAGAGCAAGCTTCATTCTTCATTCCATCAAAATGCTCACTGAAACGGTAGCTTTTGACCAAAACTGCAGAGAAAATCTTCTCTCCAGTTCAAGGAGGACATTGCAAATTGATATGTTCATTATTCTGAAAGTGAAGTCTATTCCCACTGTTTATGACTTCTAAAACTTATTTCTAACATTTATTCACGAACGTATGAAAACATATATAAATATTGAAACATCCAGCAGTGGCAGTCTTTTGATCATTTTTTTAATTGATCTTTTGCTAGTTTTTCCAAATGTAGGATTACTTCCTCTCCGTGCATGAAAAGATCGAAGGGTGATATACTGAAAGGCCAGTGGAACAAGACTGGCCAAAGTTCTTTTCCCTTTTACTGGCAGGACAGTTTTCAGCAGAGTTCCATTCTAGTGGAAGCAGAATGAAGTGGGATCCAACTATCTAAGTCTACGTAAGGGAACTTCCAATAAGAATGTGATGCATTTCACATTCTTCCAGTATTAAATGCCTCTGTAATTTATTAAAATCCATTCGTCCCACAGTTAATTGTGGCCATATGAAAAACTTTACACTTCCAGTAAACAGACTGGAACCTGTCTGGAAATAAACACATTCTTATGTCAGGTTAATCAACTGTATCTAAATTGTATTAATTATATTTTTAAAAAGCTGTCCTGGCCTTCTCCAAGCCATTAATTAGCCTCCGTAATCTTAGGCACAACGGTGTTAATAATTACGTACATCACTCTGAATCTGCATCCTGTTTCTTGACAATTCCATACTCATGGCATCAGGAAGAAGAGTGTAACTGTGCAGAGGTTGTCTGTAGTTTGTGTCAGTCACAACTTCTTGGGCTTTCTTAGCGGCCACTACACTGAATAGATCTAGAGGCAAGTTATATTTAGTTTTGCCGCTTTCATAGCCTTTTTTATATTCGCGTTCTGATTGTAGTTTTGCCACATTCATATAATGAACCAATTTAGGATCATCTTGCAGGCTACGGAAGCCAATTTGCTTTCCTTTTTCTTTCTCATAGGATTCCTTGTATTTGTACTAGGGAAAATCAAAACAAAGAGGTTTAAGCCATTGCAAAATGAGTAGTATCAAGTTAACTTAAACTATCCTGTGATAGAGAGTATCTCAATGCTGGGTATTTATTCCTACCCTTGCTTTGATTATTTTCTGGCTATCACCTCTTTCCCACTGTTCTTCTTCTTGTTGTGGTTAAAAATGTCACAACTGCATTCAGTTATTGTACACCAAACTAGAAAACTACATTCTCCCTTGTTGTTGTTGTTTTCATGTGCTACCTGTACTTCTCCAAGACCTTTTCTTCCAAACCCTGCTGTTTTTTGTTTTTTTGAAAGCCCCTTAAAAGATTTTATTAGGATTAACTTACATCACTGGCAATGTGGCGTGAAGATTTCGCGGCCACAATAGGAATAGCATCTGCTTTCAGGTTATAGCCTTCAGCAAGCCGCCTCTTCCAGTCTGCTTTGTAGACATTCTTAAAGAGAAGAAATCACTTTTCTTAAAGCCTCTAATTAAGTTCTAGCAGTGAAGATCCATGAATATTCTTATGTTAACATGAAAGGGTTTTTTTTTTAACTTGAGAGTTCCAATTAGAATTAAGATAATTTACATCCATTCTAGTGAACAAAACCTTAGTCTTTTTCCTACAAGTGGCTTAAAAAAAATGAAATGGAAAACCCAAGAATAAAATGAATCACCAATTTTGGTTTTCTAAAGATGAAGGTCCTACATCAGTTTATGTATTCATTTAGACAACAAAGAAATTGCCAAGTACTTACATCACTTATATTGTAGGCATTGACTTTTGCTTGAATAAACGCAGGTACATCTGGATCCAAATGATATGTGTGCTTCACTTTCTCACCTTCTATCTTATAGTTTATCTGAAAGAAAAAACAATTTATGCAACAAGTCCAAGTTTTAATTTAAAATTATGTTGCCCAAACTAGTATCTTCAAGGTATATTTGGACCATAACTCCCAAAATTCATAACCACTATGGTCAAATGCAATACAGTCTGGAAATTCTGGAAATTATAATCCCAACATATTTTAAAGGATTGAAAAGCCTCCTTTAGAATGGAAACTTGTACCCAGAGCACATAGGATAATAAATCCAATTTAGGCCTGTATAGCTAGGGATTTGCAAAATTCCTGAAAGTTTCATGGAAGAGCCTCTGCAGGAATTTCTTAGGTAAAGCGCAAAACTTTGAACCAGCCCAAGACTGCTTATAAATATTTTAGAATTCCATAGCACTTTTAAGACAATAATTTAAAAGATGGAAATGACGTCCTTTGGGTTGAACTTACATCACTCAGCTGTTTGGTATTATGTTGAGCCAAAACCATCGGTATAGCATCCATCAAACTTGTAAACTTGAGTTTGTCTGGGTGCTGGCGATATTTGGATTCAGATATTGCCTCGCCAGCTTTTCTAACTTTTTCCATATCCAGGGAGCCCAAGGGACTCCACCCCACACCTCTTAACCAGTTGTTGTAGTCATCTTTGTAAGCAACCTGAGGAAAACCAAAAGGAGACTCAAAGCTCTGGAAGCATGGGGAAAGCCCTTCAAAGGATCAAGGAGTACATACAGTAGTTCCCAAGACAAGCATTGGCACCCCAATGGGATGCATTTATATTGCCTAAGTTAAACATTTGAATGTCTTTATTGTAACATAAGGTCTGCATAGGTAGGCAAAGTGAGAGACAAAATCCTGCATTTTCTGGCTATCTGATAATAGTATATTTATTTCTTTTAGACTGAGGCAAAAGCTCTTGAGAAAATGAGTATTGTTTTTCAGCCAACATTAGCATCCAATTTAGCATTCCATTTATCTCTGAGTTTGGAAGGCAAATCTACTGAGCACGAAAATACTGAAATGGAATTGGATATACACATTCAAGCAAAATCCATCACAATCAGAAAGCATCCCTTTCGAAAGGGAAAGGAGAACACAAAGTGAAATTCATGCAATCATTTCTTTGGCAACGCTCAAGGCAACAATTTATTTTTATATATGAATTCCAACTCAAACCCCAAAACGGGGTTCAGGTGTGCTTTCCTGTGAAAATTGTTACATTGGCACAAAGGGTATTAATTAATTTGTGTATCAATTCCAACTTGGTGTTCACATACCAAAAGTTAAGGGGAAAAGTGGCAAGTGAAGCCAAAAAAAGAGTATAAAGCTGACACTGGAAGAGAGATCTCAAATACAGAATGGTACTACCGTGTTTCCCCGAAAATAAGACCCTGTCTTATATTTTTTTGAACCACAAAATAAGTGCTTGGCCTTATTTTCGGGGATGTCTTATTACTTTGGGGTGCATGGAGCAAGATGGGCTTCTCTTGCTGTCTTACCTGATTGCCAACTCTGTCTCCCTAACCCTAACCAGGGGTGAGGACTGGCTACGCATGCATTTAAATATTTTCAGGGGGGCTTATTTTCAGTGGGGGGCTTATTTTAGCGCTCAAAAGCCCGATTGGGCTTATTATCAGGGGATGTCTTATTTTAGGGGAAGCTTGGCCAAATGAGAAGTGTTGGAGATGTAAATCCAAATCTTCAGTCTCTCCATGACCTGATGACCATAAGGGTGCAGGAGAGTATAGATAGAGAGTTAAGAATTAACAGATTAAAGAATTCACAGAGTTAAGAAATGATGATCTATTTGCTAATCTGATGTCACTTTCATCTTCCCAGGAGCATGCATGCGCATGTACACACAGAGAGAGAGACAGACATAGAGAGAGCGAGATACAGGCACATGCAATGTGATTCTCCTCTTGAAGAGATATAGCTAGCTAGATACCAAGTATTTGCCTGTTTGTAAATTTCCTGCAATTAAATCAATTAAATTAAATTAAATTAAATCTTTCTGTTATAACTCCTAAAGTTGCTTCACTGATCATTTGCAGGTGTAGAATGCTTTAGCTCCCAACAAAGAGCAGTTTACATGAATGACTCTAACATTCTCAACTGCTATCTCTTCCTCTTTAAATGAGGGTCCCAATTGTTTTGTCAAATGTGGCTCTAAAAAAATAGCCATCTATCACACTGATGAAGTTATCTGAAAAAAATGGAGTGCATCATCAGTGCAGATAGATTTCCCTTGCAAAATTAAGCAGTAGTTCCTCTGGGAATTAGAGATAATTAAGAATTCAAGGAACTGTCATATTCCCACACCTCCCCTTCCTTCTTTGGTAGCTCAAAAAGCCATTTTAATGACTTCAGCATCTTTAAGAATGATTAATCTGACCCTGTGGTTAAAAAATAAATATTTTCAAAAATAATGTATTCTTAGAAATGATTCTAGAAAAAAAAATACCATTGCTTGCTAGGTAAACTATGCTGTGTTGTCTCTAGGCAATTGTGACCTTTTAAATATTGCCCTACTTACATCACTCTGGATTTGCATCCTGTTCTTGGCCAGCTCCACATTCATAGCATCTGGCAGGTAGGTATAGTGATGGATCGGATGTTTGTAATTGACATTGGAGGCTACATCCTGAGCCTGCTTGGCAGCTTGGATACTGACCATCTCCACTGGTGTGTGATAGCATGTCTTGCTTTTCTCATAATCCTTCTTGTACTCACGCTCAGACTGCATCTTGGCCACATTCATAGAATGAACAAGCATAGGAGCGTCTTGCAAGTTTCGGAAACCAACCTGTTTTCCTTTAGTCTTTTGATAAGCTTCTTTGTATTTGTACTAAAGGTCCAGTCAGAGAGACAAAGAGAGAGATTAGTTAGGCCTGGATAGTGAGACTTGGTATACAAGCAGCTAAGAAAAGTGTCTGGATTAATTGGCAATTCAGTACTCATTTTTATATTAGTAATGGAGAAAAATAATTTTAGGTGAATCATTGACATGGACATGACAGGAGTCCTTCAAAAAAACATTCTCCTAGAGTAGAAAAAGTAAAATTAGGCCTGGGTACAGGCATAATTATGCCTGGATTATAATCATGAATTTCTGAAAGTTACTATTATAGTCTGTGCAAAAGAATACATACAGATTTCCAAACTGCTGGAAATGGGATAAAGTATATGGCATAATATTTAATTTTATCTATGTTGTGCAATAACCTGCTCCCATTTTTTTCCAGTAATTTTTAGCTCTTTAATAAGCAGCCACATCATTTCCACTAGACGAAACAATGACAGGTTCGCACCTGTCTTCAGTAGTGAAGAAGGAGGCTAAAGCAACAGAATGAGAGTGGCAAGATATTTTGCCAACAAAAACCTTTGAGCCTACAGTAAGGATAGAATGGTCTAAAATAGAGAAGATAATTTGTGAGAAAATACTTTAATCGTTTACATAGCAAGCTAATAGCAACTTTCATCATTCTGATAGTATATAAAGAGAATTTAGTAAGGATTACTTACGTCACTAGCAATGTTTCTTGAGGCCTTGGCATGAGTAATTGGAATGGCATCACCCAGTACATTGGGTCCTTTGGCGATGAGGTCCTGATAGCCATATTTATAATAATTCTGGAAAAAAGAGCATCTTACTGATTTAACAAGTCATTTTAAGTCATTACTGTTGATTAACTTAGAATCCAATAGTCCATACAATGCAATTATCTGGACTTTCTGACTTTCAGTTAGCTTTTCTGGATTATGCTTGATCTAACAGGTTTCAAACCATGGCTAGTCATGTCAGCACAGCCTCTATTGATATGACAGTCAATGTTTGACCCCCTCCATTTCTTGTTTCCCTTCTCCCAATAGGAAAAAAAGAAAATTACTTATATCATGCACAGCATCAAGTGATAAACAATGATATATCACATGCCAAATTATGTTGACTATTTGATTTTCAGAATATCAGAATAATATTTATTATAAAACTCTGCATTATTTACCACAGTATAAATTATGCACAGCCTTTGAATAGTCACTTACATCACTGATATTAGTTGCGTTATATTTGGCCTGGATAAACTGAGGGGCATCTGCAGGCAAATTATATGTATGCTTCATTTTTTCCCCGGAGGATTTGTATAAAATCTGAAAATCAAGGAAACAAGACAATAATATATCCTGATGTTTCTTAACTCGACAGTTGAATTTACATATTACTTTAGTGCATAAGACTGCAGCCTATGCACACTTACTTAGGAGCCACTGAAAGCAGTTGTACTTCTTTCCATGGGAGAAAAGAATGGCCATAGGAACAGGTTATAACAATTGTCCTTAGAATCAGTTACTACATTTCCATGTGTACTTATTTGTCATTAAAAAAATGTTGCTATAAGGTAGCTAAGTTGAATCAACTAACAATTATAATTATAACAATTATAATTAATCAGTCAGCAACTTCCAGATCATTGGAAAACCCACCAGATCCTGGTAGGTTTATTAGCAGAACAAAGATATCTGAAAAAATTAGATGTAAGAAAACTAAACTTTTAAAGAGGAAACACCTAACATCCTTCAGTCTCAAACAAATGACTCTGACTATTACTATTAGAGCTACAATCTCAGCCCCAAGCACTTGAGTATATGCTTATACTTAATGTTTATTCAATAACTAAAAATAAATTATTTCAAAATACTATTAATAGAATACAAATCTATTATTTAGCTATTAAAATTAGTCACAGCAATACCGAATTTAGTGGAAAAATTCTGAGATATTTACTCTTGCTTTCTAATTATGTTGTTAAAGCTGTTGCACTGATTTTTTTTTTTTAAACAAAGTGACAATACAAATGATTGCAGAATCTGTAATTTTTTCTTCTACAAGAACATTTTCAGGTATTACATCCAGGCCTATTTTGTTTAAAAACAAAATACCTTAGGATTGTATTCATTTATTCAATTTATGTGGCTGCCCATCTTTACCATCGTGACTCTGAGCTAGCTAACTAAGAACATTTACAAACGTAATATAATAACACAGCATAAAGAACAAATGGCAACTGGAGTTAAAACAAAAACACCTATCTACCATAAATTGAATGAAACCTTCACAGGTCCAACTAATGATGAAACCTATATCTGGAACACAACCTTATCTTCAGGACTTTCCGAAAAATCATGAAAACCGGTGCCAATCAAATCTCCAGGGGACAATGTACCATCAATAATACCCTGAACTCTGTTTTTGTATATATTTTTCCAGTAGATTCATTTGATATTATAAGCCTTTGGTTATCCAAGTAACTTGGGTGGTACTTTATCATGCCAAGGGAAGAATGCACAGACTTTGGGATCTGACATAGTGATGTGAAGGTGGTTTTTGAAAATGTGGAAGGAGCAGATAAGTTCTGAGTCCCTTAGTATTGTGAGCAGATATTTTGTAGACATGGTGAACTCCATAGCGTATTGGGGGGGGGAGGCAAAGATAGAAAAAGTTTGCTGTAGTGATTAATAATCAGGGCTAAAAATTGAGGGGCTGGGATTTCTAGTTCCATTGGAGGCACAAATTTGGATAACTATGGGTCAGTCATTGTCTTTGAGCTTAGAAAGAAAATAATGATAAACTCTTTCTGAAAACTTTAAAATAAATTTGCCAGGAGTCAACAATGATACAAAAGAAACCCACATGCACAACCCCATACCCTTCCTAAATAGGACATTCTTTTACACTCTTCATAAAGCAAATACTAACATGCAAGATGAAAATAAATAGAATAGAAAAGGGAAAAATTGCTAGCCACGTTTGCATAATTATTAAATACAAGGTTCAATTTCTTTAATTTCATTCATTCATTCATTGGATTTAGAAGACTCTCCAACTCCGTAAGACTTAGCATTTCACCTATCTTTCCAAAGCTTTACTCACATCACTGAGCTGAAGTGCATTCTGCTTAGCCTGGACCATGACGGGAGAATCCACAATACTGGTAAATTTAATAGTGTCTGGATGCTGTCGGTACTTCTTTTCGTTTAGAGCCTCTCCTGCTTTTCTTGCTTTCTCCGCTTCAAGGGAACCAATTGAGATCCACCCAATTCCTTTCATCCAGCTATTAAAATCTGTTTTATAAAGATTCTGAAGAAAGAAAAAAAGAAAAAAGAAAAGAAGGAAGGAATGAAGGAGGGAGGGAGAGAGGGAAGGAGGGAAGAACTGATTAGTTTAAAAAACTTCTTTTCAAATTACATTTATCTGAACACAAATGTCTCGGTAGACTTACATCACTCTGAATCTGCATCATGTTCTTAGCTCGCTCCACACTAATATCATCTGGCAATAACGTATAATTGTGCAGGACATTCTTGTAATTGGTATCGCTGACAATTTCTTGGGCTTTCTTAGCAGCTACAACATTCACCATATCAAGTGGAATGTTGTATTTAGTCTTGCTTTGCTCATAACCTTTCTTGTAGTCCCGCTCTGACTGCATCTTGGCCACGTTCCTATAATGGACTAATTTGGGGTCATCTTGAATGCTCTGGAAGCCAATCAGTTTGCCTTTGTCTTGTTCATAGCCTCTCTTATATTCAAACTGTCAAAACAAGATTGAGAAGGAGATTTATTTCCTGATGAGCATCATATAACCAATACTACAAAAACCAATGCTGAAAACAAAAAGACAATAAAGTCAAAATGAGCAGAAAAGTGTCTACTTTCCAGATTGAATGCATGCATTTAATAGTGCCAGAAGAACTGCAACAAGTGACAGCATATAAAGTATGCTTTTGGTGTACTGGTGAAAACTCCCATGCATTTGCAGAATTGTGTTAAATTCTGTGTAAGTAGAATTCTATAGATGCCATTGGCATTTCATGATCAAGTCTGTTCACAGTACGCTCAATAATTGCAACAATTGTATAATATTATTAATACTGATGATAGTAGTGATAGTAGTAGAAGTAACAATAATGGATTGGATCAACTAATATTTAAGACAATGTGAAAATTTGGTTGTGGTTAATTTATTTGATTATAATTCCCACTTGATTCACTGGGAATTAAATGGAATCAAAGTCCAGCATCACCCTATGCCCTTTCATTTGGCATTTATATCCCATTGTCTATGGTAGGGTTTGATCCAAGGTTAAGATTATGAGATTATAGTGGCAATTCTCAGATTTTTTTTTTTAATCAAGTTTTATTGATTCCCCCCCCCCTTCACCTGCATATTTTATGAACAGAGTATTGGCCATATCATAACGTATACAGTTTATCATATTCAAATACATTTTACTCAGGTACAATTTTTGCCAAAATTTCCTTTTTTCATTTTTTGATCGTGTCTTAAAATTTCTATGCTTATTTGTATAAACATCTTTATTCAACCTCAAATTCTAATTTTTCTGTTTTAACTCATATTTACTCTCTTTTACTTTTTAATAACTCATTCTTTATCCTAGTGCATTTATGCATGTTCAGGGTTGCCTTTCTTCCATTTCATCTTTTTTAATGTACAGCAATCTTTCTTCTCAATCTCTTTCATCTCATTCCCTTCTTTCCTTTCTACGTCCTTCTTCCTTCTTCCCTCTTCTCCTACTCCTTCTCTACTTCCCCTCCTTTCTTCCTCTCTTCCTCTCTTCCTCTCTTTCTCCCATTCTAACCCTCTCTCCTACTCTTATTTCCCTTCCTTCCTCCCCTCTTTCCTTTCTTCCCATTCCTCTCTCTCCTTCCTCCCTTCCATCCTTCTACTCCTCTTTCGTCTCTCTCTATTGCTGTACTCATTTTCAATTTTCTATTTTCCACTATGGTGTCCAGGCAACCCCGACTTTTCTTTCATTTATTTTCTCAAAATTCCCCTTATCTTTTAATTATTAACAATGTATTTCAACTTATTCCATTTTTATCTTAAATTGCAATTCTCAGATTTTAAGAACCATAGCACTGTTACAGAATTTGCAACTGTGATCGAGGTACAGTAAGATAATACAAATGTTACAGTCTGAGAAAGGTAAAGCAAACCAAGAAACTAAACTATTGCACTGATATATTAGTAATCAAAAGTATTTGAACACCACTAGTTAAATATCTGAAGCAGCTTACTATGATTATAAAACAGAATAAAATGGAGGGGAGAGAAGAGAAATAATTGAAGCTATTCATGGAAAATAATAAATATAAACTATTGGAGGAGTTACCAGCTCAGAAAGAGACTCATGAAAAGTTAAAGATTGGAAAGGCTCCTGAAATGAATCAGTATTGGGGCCTGGCAAGTTATAGATAGGAAGGCATTCCCGTCTGCAAAGGCTATTTATTTATTTACTTTATTTGTCAAGCATGTATAAGATAACAGATATAAGTATAAACACGATTATGAATACAGGAAATGGTTACGAAGTAGGATAGGGATGGTAGGCACGTTGGTGCGCTTATACACGCCCCTTACAGACCTCTAAGGAATGGGGTGAGGTCAACAATAGACAGTCTAAGGTTAAAGTTATGGGGGTTTGGGGATGAAACCACAGAGTCAGGTAGTGCATTCCAGGCATTGACCATAACAAAGATGCAAATGATGTAGTGAGCTAATTGAAAAAGACAAGGCACAGTGCTGTTCAAGTTCTGCACTCTGAAGTCCCATGAAACCGAAAAGTTAAAAGATATTCTTAACGCAAGAGTTGTCAAAGTCTTGTTCCCAAATGGCTGCCTGATAGAGGCTCAGCCACTATTTAACATGTTAAGGGTGTTGAAATGATGGCTGGTAAACTGTACAAATCAGTAAATGCATTACAAATAGATTTGTTTGTGTGTTAGTTTGTTTGTTTATTAAATGTATATGTCACACATCTCACTAGCCAGAGTGACTCCAGAAAAGTACCACTCTTTTCTGGGATTGGTTTAATTCAGAAACCGGTCCACTAGAATGCAGGTGATGTAGCATGGAGGGGCTTTTTCTTAGTTTGATGAACTAGGGTAAAGTCCTAAAAGTGAATTACTTGGAATTCCCTTTGCCCCCAAGTAAACCACTCTTATGATGGGCATACTCACATTACTGGCAGCCTTTGTGGCACTTTTAGCTGCTCTAATGGGGATGGCATCACTCCTCAGGTCATAACCCCTCAATTTCAGGTCTTCCAACCCCAGTTTGTAATAAGTCTGAAAGAGAATGGATTTATTGAGTCATCAATTGTCCACCAACTACATGTGCAGTTAAAGTTCCATTTTAAAAATTGTCCAAAGCAAACTTACATCACTGATATTGTAGGAGTTAACCTTTGCCTGGATAAATTGAGGCGCATCTGACGGGAGGTTATAATTGTGAATTATTTCTTCATTTTTGGCTTTATAAAGTACCTGAAGAGGAATCAAGTGTGCAAATCAGTGTGACATCCAAAACCAAAAAACAAACATTATAATTTATTACAATTCCAAATTACAGGTTTGGTTTCAATTTAGAAGTATAGGTTACGTTTGATCAAGAAACCTTAATCTTTTAAGGGTTCTATGACCTGCAGCAAGTTTATAATACAGTTACTCCAAATGTTAACAAACATACAGACATCACCCATACTTACATCACTCCGCTGGGCTTGGTTGATTTTAGCCTGAACCACAGTAGGATGATCTTCAATTTGTGTAAATTTAATAGTGTCTGGAGGCTGACGGTATTTTTTCTGTTTATGAAAAAAACAAATCAATCTCATTTACTGAATTTTTCCATTGCTTCCTTCTAATCATTATCTACCACTTCACTGAAAATCCACGTTAAAGATTTTTTTTTAAGTCCAAGTCTTGAAAGATTTTTAAAAGTAATCAAGGCCGAAAGACTTCGATGAATCTAAAATGTTAACACTTTTTCTATGTAAAACACTTATTCTACCCCAAGAATTGGGTTTTGATGTTGTAATGAATTAATTAGAAGCAGGCAAATAAATAAAGTCCTCCTAAAAGTAGTATAGTCAATTTTTATACCTACTGGGACACAATTAACCACTTTATACATCATATTGTACCACATTATGGCTTAAGAGTGATGGAGCAAAGCAGAACTAACTACAGATACTTGGTTTCGTGGATAATTTAACCAACTACATGAACATATGACTTCAGTTTGTTTCTATTGCTATAGAAAAGGGAAGAGAAGGAGAAAGAGAAAGCAAATTTCACACAGCAATCTAAGTTGCTTGTCTTTTTCAGAAATTTCAGTCCAGACTGCAGTAAATTGATAACAGAATAGGACTGGTGCTCAATCCAGACTTCAAACTGATTGGTCTTTCCCCTACTTCTTGTCCTTCCCATCTGCTTAAGGAAGGCAGGGCTCAATGGCTTGCTGGACCATTCTGCTAGTGTCTTTCCTTTCCTTTGAGGGACTACTCCCATTTTACTAGTCCCCTGCTTTTCCCTTGGTTTCCCGATGCCTGCTCACATAGATGCCTTCATGTTCCACTCCTCTGCCCTCCCATTATCTCCTTTAACACAGAACCCTTTCATTTCTTTTTTCTTTTCCTTATGACACCACTGTGGCTCTGATGCCACGGTAAGGAAACCAATAGCCAACAGTTGTCCTTTCATTCCTACAGCCTTCTGTAGTTTCACAGAAAGTATTTAGCTAAGAAGAAGGTTAGTTCAGTTCCAAAATAAATAACAACATTCATATGTTGTAACATAAAGATTTTTTAAAAAAACTAAAGGGAAGATATTTTTCTCAGTACCAGTGGGCTAAGAATGGGAAAGCCTGGGCATAAAGCAAATGGGAGATATAAGAGGTGAATGATCTTCTAGGATTAATAATCTTTTATGGACTTTATGGGCCTTTTTTGGATTTTTATAATACTAGATGACTGTAAAAACCAACAACTGCCCACCAGCAGAGAACACAAAAGCCAAGGAACTAAAGGTGGAAAGCCTGCAACTGTAGGAGGGAAGGTAGAATGACAGATCCTGCAGCCAATCAAACCTGGAGCTGCTGCTAGATCAGCATGAATTGCTGGAGAACATCTGCTCTACAGAGTGTAAGTCAATTCTGATTAGAAAACAGAAGTTTTTAATTGAAGCAGAGAAATACAGGGACATGTTGCATTTATGATGGGCCAGTTGTCAGAAGAGGACCATGTCATCCTTTGTTGCTCTCAGGAAGTCTTCTACAAAAATACTTGGTTGGAAGGTTCTCCCCTGGATTTATCAATCCAGTGTGAGATGCCACTGATGCTGAATTACTTGCTTATATTCTTGAAATCCATAATCTTGTTACTGAAATTATACAACAAACCCACTTTTCTAACAGATATGACCTGAAGGTTATGGGTTACAATGTTCTAAATTTTATTTGTACCAGAACATTGTCTTAAGTCTACAAATCTGCCTTCTGACTGACTGTAACTGCTGGAACTGCACTTACGTGACTCTTCTTTAAATATGTGCAACTACTGGTTTACCCCTTGGGTTGAAAAACAGTGTGCAAAACGTGATAAGTGAGAGGGTTATTGATTAGACTGGGGATTCAGTGCATAGTCCCTTTTAGGGTATCTGATTTTTTTTTCTCCATTTAGCTATAATTAAATATGGAGAACCCCACCGAGCGGAGCAGTGACCTAAAGGTGCAGACTCTCATCTCACATTCAGGAGGTTAAGAGTTCAATTCTAGGTACCGACAGAGGTTTTTCTGTTTGGGCACGAAAAGAAAATATCTGCTGCAAACTCTGCATAGGCATCAGGTAGAGCATCCAGTCAGTAAACACTCAGCTCCCTTGAGTCGTCCTGACTCCACACCGATACAAGGGATTACAGAGTTGTTAAAAGAGAAAAAAAAATATGAAGAACCCCATAACTAACCTGAAATAACTCTGGCTTTCTTTACTTACCTCGCTTACGTATCCTGAAGTTCTTTTTGCTGTTTCTGCATCCAGGGATCCATAAGGTATCCAACCAATTCCTTTCATCCAACTGTTGTAATCAGCTTTATATTCATTCTGGAAAAGACCATAATGAGTTTAAAAATGGGAAATTCTTGCCTTCAGGTTCATGTGACAGTTTATTCAAGCTGTCCTATATGTGGATGGAACATTCTTTAAAAAGGTAGCCAACAGAAACTATAATTCATGAATTAAAACTAGGATGATAATGTAATTGCCAAAAACAAAATGTTGAAATTATTCCAAAACTGGTGAAATGTGCTTCATTAAATAATGGCACAACCTAAATAAAAGCAGGATCAGTTTTGAAAGGTGCTTGATCTATAAGGTCCATCTGGAAAAATCAGACCTGTAGTAAACTATACTAAGACATTTTTTAAAAAAACACATCCTGGGATAAGAAAGTATCTGTATAATCACTAGAAGCTGAACTCAGTTTGAAAGCAACACTTGGCTTTATGTAATAGTTAGAATTTCAGATATGGGCAGGAATAGTATAATATTTTTAGAAGTTCTCTGAATTTCAGATTATCCTTTACAAGCAATAAGATATTGTGAATACATATTATCTCTGTTATACAGACAAGCTACAAAACATTTTATAGTTTTAAGCCTTTCTTCAGTTCTATTTTATACCCCAAGGAACATTTATTGAAAATTATACTGAAAGCAAGTTTTTAAAATCAATTATCAGGTTCAGAACTCAAATCTGTTTATCAATTCAAATCAAACATGCAATCAAACTGATCTGAGTTTCTGAACTTTTTCAGAAAAATAGCTTCAGTGCATGCATGGAACATTCATAATTACTGAACTGATTCAAATACACTATTTGACTAAGTGATATAATTTGAATAATCAAACTGATTTTAAACGTCAATTTGATTTGGACATGTCACTGAACAGTTTTGAATCATATCCTTGAATTTAATCTTTGTACTGTAGAGTCCTAGATAACAGTTACCTATTCTTTTCAAATTACAGAATTTCTTTTCAGTCTTTAAATCTATTCTCTTTTTCACAAATATTCATCAGTCTATATTTTAATATTTTAAAGCATCCTTCCCTAACTGATGCTTTATGGATAATTACGGGCCAGCATATTTTCAAGACAGCTGATGGCCACCTTAGGTTTTAAAGTCAGATATGCTGAACAAATGTCTGGGACTTATATTCCCAACAAACCTGGAGGACAGCAGTTAGGGAAGGCCAAAATAGACAATCCTCAATTGGGTTTCTTTCTGCCACAGTTGTCAAACTCTGGAAAAGGCTTATTCCAGAGGCGCAATGGCTCTGGCAGTGGCAGTGGCTAGAATGCAGTACTGCAGGCTACTTTTGCTGACGGTTGGCTGCCTGTAATTTGGCAGTTCGACTCTCAGCAGGCTCAAGGTTGACTCAGCCTTCCATCCTTCCGAGGTCGATAAAATGAAGACTCAGATTGTTGGGGGCCATAGGCTGACTCTGTAAACCACTTAGAGAAATGTTATTGCTATTGCTATGGAAATACACTGCCAGCTCTCTTTTCTGTATGAAGTATTCTACAGTTCAACAATGCTAGGTTTGAACAGACATTGCTACTTACGTCACTTAGTATAGTATTAGCCTTCCTGGCCAGTTCCACATTAATACTATCAGGAGGATAGGAGTAATTATGGATGCGATGCCTGTAGTCTGTATCACTGATGATCGCCTGGGCTTTCTTTGCTTGTACAACAGGAATCATATCCAGTGGTGCTGTGTATCTGGCCTTTGATGCTTCATAACCTTTTTTATAGAGCAGCTATGATACAATTAATACAAGTCATTAACCACTTGAAGTTGGAAAAAAAAGCCCAGTTCTTTGTAAAATGTGGGTGATAATCCCTCTACAATATCCAGTGGGTATGCTAAAAACAGGCATAGCTTATTTAAAGAATTCTTTTTTCTGCAATACGAGAAGGTCTTCTGAAATGATTACAGTCGTATGCAAGAAATAGATTAGGTTCGGATTATGATGACTGTCAAATAAGTCAATGTCAATAAGTATATGCACTTCTGAATATATGGCCAACTTATGCTAAAAATTTGGTGCATCTACTGATAACCTAATATTCACTTATTTTTTGTATTTCATAAGCATTCAATAGCCCAACTATTATTTTTATTAACATTTACATTTCCTCATCATTTTGTTAGGCAATTATAAGAACCTACTTTCCTTCAAGGGTGTATTATTATTTCCCATCAGAGGATTTAACACTCTGAACTTGCTCATTATGTTTTCAAAATTAGAGATCAGTGGTTCTTTATTAAGAATTCACTGAATGTAAACTTTACCGAAAGGGACACTGTAAAGAAATAATTTCTGAAAATGGTTTTATATCTAAATAAATCAACATTTTTCAGAAAATTCAGCATATCATCAACAAACCACATATTATTTGGTTTATCTGTACTTACATCACTCTGTTGCTTGCCCACTTTTTGGCAATGTATCATTTTGGGATCATCTTCAATACTCAGAGCTCCAATTAACTTGCCTTTGCTCTGTTCATAACCCTTTTTGTATTCAACCTGTATGGTCACAAGACAATAATGTACTTTGGTATTCTAAAAACCTGACTGCAAATGTAAATCAATCCAAGATCTACCTTAACTTCTGTGTAACACTTACATCACTTGCAATTTTCTGCTTGGCTTTTGCAGCTAGAATTGGAATGGCGTCCATCTTGATGTCAAATTTATTTGCTTTTGATTGATCCCAGTCATACTTATAACAATTCTAACCCAAGGAAGAAGAGAAAAATACATGAACAAGTCATAATATGAAATCCAAAATGTATTACATATAATCCATATATTTATTTTACGGAGTGCATAACCCTATAACTGCATAACTATTTCAATGTGCATGTTATTATGAGTAGACTAACAGAATAACAGACTAGAATAATGAGTAGAATAATGAATAGAATAATCTTTTTTGGCCAATCTTTTGACCCACAAGATTTCAAGCTCTTTAACATCCACTCAGCAAATGTAGAATTTGTAGAATAAAGGAGAATATGTAGAATAAAGTAAGCCCTTTATGAGATTAACATTACTTGATATTGCAAGGGTTGTCAAAGATATGATCCAAACAATCTAAGATCTAATTTCAGGACATTAGTCTAGAATGAAGCTCTTTGTTGTACTCCATGTACCCTAGAGAATCTTTCTTCAAAGCTGGAAAGCAGTGATGTCTCTAGAATAATTGGGTTTTTCTATCCATAGTAAATAATTAAACATTTATTAAATAAGGTCTTTTCCTTCATTGGTTTTTCAAGTGAATCTCTGTCCATGAACTCTCACATAAGAACACACACATACACACTTAACATTCGCTGTGATTTCTTGGTCTTCAAAGCCTCCTAGAACCTCAACAGTCTCTTTCCCAAGCATGTTTCTTCTTGCCAGCACCTATAGACTCTCCTAAATATCTATTTTGATAGTTTTCTTTTCTCTCTTCTTCATTGATATCTGTTCATCATTCGTCCTCTTCAGTATCTCATTTCTTAATTCATCATTGGCCTTTCCCCAAAGCTGATGCCACTCACCAAACTAATTAGAGGTGACGACAGTTGATTATGAAGATAATCTAAATGGTTATTGTAGTTCTACACTTCTAAACTAAACTAATCTCCTAGCAGGTGTTACCTGACAATGAAATATATCCTGTTTTATGCCTTATTATCCTCACTATCATGAATAGCTTTATGATTCTCCTCAGTAGCTTGCTTTTTTTTAGCTGTGAAAGTATAATTCATAAGACTCTTACATCACTGATGTTGTAGGCATTGACTCTGGATTGGAGGAATAAGGGAGCATCTGGAGGGATAGAACATCTGTTCTCAGCTTCATGTTTGGCTTTGTAGTTCAACTGAAATGTAAAATGAAAATTACATTAAACATTTTCTGTTGGAGGACTGCAATTAAGCATGCTAGCATAGGCTGTTAATGCCTGAGCAAAATAAAAGGGAAATGCTAACCATTTAAAGTAAAATAATTTACAGTGGTACCTTGGTACTCATCTTTAATTAGTCCTGGAAGGCGTGATGAGTACTAGAAATGATGAGTATCACACAAATTTTTCCTATATGAAATAATATAGTGAGTCACAAGGCAGACAACACTGACAAGTTCCAGCTTGTGCATTGAGTACTAAACAAATGATGTGTACTGGGACAAAATTTTCATGTCAAAATACATTGAGTACCAAATTTGATGGGTTTCAAAATAGTTGAGCACCAAGGTACCACTGTACTTTAATAACCATCACAAAAGAAAGGCATAGTATAAATCAAGTAAATAAATATGTTTACACTGTTCAATTAATTCAGGAAAGGCTACATCGATGTCAGTCAACATAAAGATATGACTGGACTTTTGTTTTCATGAACACAACAATAACAGATCCCCATCTGCTTTCATAACATACATCTTTTGAGAATTAAAAATAGGGAGCATTACCACAAAGCAGTGCAAAAATAGATTTTCTATGTTAAAGCAACATTAACAACCTATACATCCCTGCTGATTGATTACAAGCTCAGCTCTTGTTTTCCCAATTATATTACTATTTATTTCATTGACTCTGGCATTAAATATGTGCAAAAATATACAAGTTTGGAAACAAAACATTCCAAGGAATAGTGAACTATTCCATTATTCCTTTTGACTACTATGGATTTGGTTGTTCCAGAGATGATCCAAATAAAATTTCAGAAATAAATATTCTGGAAGAAGAAGTAATTTGTGATGTTCCCAGCATATCCTACCTCACATTTCCATAAAATTTACATTAAGCTTTTGGATTACCCTCAGGATGGCTGGAATGGTATGGTCTAGAACAGACCTAGGCATTTTATGGCCCCTGGGCCACATCCAGCCCTTTGGCTGTCCCTGTTCAGCCTCTGTGGGAAAATGAATTGCTCACCCCTGGTTTAGAGAATAATGAGACCTTCTGATATTCTTCAAAATGTTATGTTCCTTGCATGGTATGTTTTGAAAATCATAAACAAGAACATTTTCGACAGCCAGGTAATAAAGCTACAACTTCATGAATAGAAAACCATTACTAGAAGAGAAAGCATCTACAAAATAAGACCAGATGGGACTTCGTTAGAGTTGCTAGGTTACTCACATCACTCAGCTGCTTGGAATTAATTTGTGCTTGTACCATAACCAGCGAGTCTGTCACAGGGGTAAACTTGATCTGACCAGGATGTTTCTTGTATGCATGCTAGACAAATGAGGAAACAAAAGATAATTTACTTTTTAGCGTATATCAAATTACAGTTCTACTTTGCAGTATCTACAGAAAAATATTTTTTTTAAAAAAATTCTAGCATATTAATATGGTCCATTCATTCATCAACAATATGTCTAAACCCACTGCTGTTTAGAAATCTTAAAGCCTTCTGATTATATATATGTGTGTGTGTGTGTGTGTGTGTGTATACATACATACATACATACACACACACACACACTGCTCAAAAAAATAAAGGGAACACAAGCAGAAGACTTCCGAGATCTGAATGAATGATTCCCTTTATTAAATACTTTGTTCGTTACATACAGTAGTTTTGTGTTCCCTTTAGTTGTTTGAGCAGTGTATAAACTACTGTATGTAAAGAATAAAGTATTTAATAAGGCTATTTCATTCATTCAGATCTCGGATGTCTTCTACTTGTGTTCCCTTTATTTTTTTTGAGCAATATATATATAGAGGGGGGGATGGTCTCCAGGGGTAGGGGTGCACTGTAATATTTGCTTTTTCCCCCTTTTTTTTATTATTTAGATGTATTATTTGTACTTAAAATATTTTTTTTAAAAAAAATAGTTAATTCCATTCTAATGCCAATAAAACTATGTGGATGGATGTCTGCAGAGGGCAGGAATGTCTAACAAGAGCCCTCACGTTCGTATGAGTCAAGACCAATCCAAGGAAACATACATTAGCATTGTAATATTAAAGTTTATCTTAAAAAAAAAAACCCTTCAGAAATTTTTTTTAAAGACTCTGGACTACTGTAGATATAAATATAAAATTTAACAGTAACAATGACTTACATCTTTGCACACGTCCAGCTTCTTTATGGCTTCATATTCTTGAGTTATGGTTTGAGGGAAATAGCATTTAGCCTTTTCGTCTTCATAGTCTGCCTTATAGTTTTTCTAGAAGAACCACCAGAAAACATCATAAACACCATGAACCGAACAACAAAAGGAAAAAAATAGAGGAAAATAGGTACAATTCATACTCACATCACTCTTCATAGCTTCAATTTTCATGCAATGTGCTTGATAGGGATCCTCAGAAGTGCCTATGTATCGGCCCAGGACATTGGCTACATAAGGCTCTTTGTATTTCACCTGTGGAGAAACACAATCACAAGTTGCAACAAACCAAGCAAGACTATGTCCGGAGCAGAAGCAAAGGAGAAATATTCACCACACTTACCCCACTAAAGTTCTTAAGAACATTGTCCACTTGATACTGTGGAGTCTCACAATAGTTAATGCTTACTCCTTTTGCTTTTTCATATAGTTCCTTATATAGTCTCTGCAAGAGTGGGGGGGGGAGAATGGACAAAGGGTTATAGGAGATGACGTTGCAAATATTGTTCCTTCTGTGTCTGCCTGGCTTCCCACTTACACATTTCTGTTTCCATTTCATCCTGAAATATACATCACAATGCATTCCAAAAGATTTCATCCAAATTTACATTCTGAATCCATGATTGGGATGGAAGCATAAGTACATATTTTATGTATTAATTTATTTTTGCATACATTTGTAAACCCACCCAAGTGAAACAATTTGACTCTGGACAGCATACAACAAAAGTAAGATTAACAAAAAAATATAACTATAAGAAAGAAAGCTCAGCACATAAAATATAAAATAGCAACCAAATATTTTTAAAAACCAACCAAAAGGGAACTGGGCCATAATCACCTAGAAAATAAAATCATGTAATCTGGATTAAACCCATGATCTGTATGGTTAAATAGGTTAATTCCCACAATGCCCTGAAGTTTGTTTATGAGAAATCTATGATAAATTCTAATGGAAACAGTGACTGTACTTTAAGTTAGTTTAACAATGGTTGCTATGAACGGTCCATTTGGACGTCTTTCAAATATGGATGTCCCATTTAGGTCATTGATGTTTTAACATGTTGATGTTCATGAATTAATAGCAATAGCACTTAGACTTATATACCGCTTCACAGTGCTTTACAACCCCCTCTAAGCGGTTTACAGAGTCAGCATATTGCCCCCAACAATCTGGGTTCTCATTTTACCGACCTCGGAAGGATGGAAGGTTGAGTCAACCTTGAGCCAGTGGGAATCAAACTGCCAAACTGCCGGCAGTCAGCAGAAGTAGCCTGCAGTACTGCGATCTAACCACTGCGCCTCCATGGCTCATAATGTTACTCTATTTCAAATACTTTTTCATCAGACAATTGTGGAATCCTTGCTGTTCTCTGAGCAAAGTTGTTTGCCTACAGATGTTTTGTTACCAGTCTGAGCTACTGATATTCAGTTCTATTGGTGTCATCAGACAATTCACTATTTAATATAACTGTGAATAAATTATATTAATTATATAAATATACATTACAAAATTGGAAGTTCCCAAATTTGATATAGTCATAAAAGATTATAAGAGTCATAAAAATGTTAGCAAATGTTACTGAAGCTCTAGAATAGAGGGAGTCAAAAAAAGGTTGTGCTGCATCATCACAAAGGTTCCAACCTGCCACACACCCAATTTTACCATATTTTGGCCTTACTTACATCATTTTGCAGTTTCCCTACTTTCATAGAATGTAAAATCTTGGGATCATCCTGGACACTCAATGCTCCAATAAGCTTCCCTTTGCTCTTTTCGTAGCCTTTCTTGTACTCAACCTACAGGGGGATTTTGGAATAAAATATTTTCATAGGCTGCAAACTTTGCATTCAAATTGAAAGCTAAATATTACTACTCTGTGCCATACTTACATCGCTCGCAATTTTTTGTTTTGCTTTAGCAGCCAGAATCGGGATAGCATCCATTTTGATATCAAACTTCTTTGCTTTCGATTGATCCCAATCATACTTGTACCAATTCTAATCAAGAAAGAAGAGGAAAATAAAGTGGATCAACTGAACTAGGAATCAGGAGGATAGGTCTTTTTTTTTTAATCAAAAACCATACCTCAATTTGATTCATTTTGAAAATATTCTTCAAGATACGGACAACAATTGTCATTTCTAACCAACTGAACAATAAATTCTAATGTTCTTTATGCTTCAATAAAATACCATCAGGAAATAGAATCGCCTTTAAATATTTGAAACTTTCACAAAATGAGTCCATTATAAGATGGATCTATGTGTACAGATTGTTTTGGCAATCTATTCCATACTAATAGGACAGATTTAGAATGTTTCTATCTATCATCTATCTATCTATCTATCTATCTATCTATCATCTGTTCATCTATCTATCTATCTATCTATCTATCTATCTATTTATCAACAAGGATATAGATATAAATATATACAGACACTTAGACATAGAGAAAATACGTATCTTCATTTAATGATTATTTTGTTATAGATACATCTGCTCAAATATACCTGTTACTTCCCTGTACTTCACTTCCCATTCCTACTTATAACCCAGACTCTTTTCTAGTAATTCCTGTGATTACAGTCACTCATGTTCTAAGTTAGGGATCAGCAACCTGGGGCTCTGGAGCCATATCTGGCTCTTTCACCCCTCTGCTGCGGCTCCCTGCCACTCAAAATATGTGTCACAGCTGCCAATGTGTGACACCTGCCGGCATACAATTTATTGAGCTTTTCAACCCCTGGTAGGCCAACCATGGATATATCCAAGAAAAGAAAAGTTTCAAAAGAAAACAGAACGTTTAATTCAACTACATTGTGGCCACTCAAGAAATAGTCAGGCACAGGAAGGGTTTTGTAGCTCCCGGTGTTTTCTTTTTTGTGTGAAACAGGTCCAAATGGCTCTTTGAATGTTTAAGATTGTAGACCCCTGTTCTAAGTATTTGTGAGATCCTTAGTACCCAACTTCCTTCTTCTACATCATTTCTATTTCTATTGTTTCTCCTGCCAAATATGCACAACACATTCCTATATGTGTTAAGAAATTCTGCTTTCCCTCTTCCTTCTTATGTCATCACATCATTCGCTTGTTTTATTTCATCCTCTACCAATAAATCCTGGTCTTTGTGTTGTATTAAATATAGCTAATTAGATTGGTTCTTTTCAAGCTTGATGTCTTTGTCCATACTGACTCTGGGTTACAACAGTCTGTCCAATGTATGCAAAGAACATTCACCTAGGCTTATTTGCTGTCTGCCTAGTAGAAATCTCACTGCAAATATCATAGTAGCTATAATATTATTTATTAAGAAATTGAGTCGGAAGAGCAGTTGTCCATTATACTCACATCACTGATATTATAAGCATTAACTCTGGACTGGAGAAACAAAGGAGCATCTGGAGGTATAGAACATTTGAATTTTTCAGCCTCGTGTTTAGCTTTGTAATTCATCTGAAATATAGAAGGAACAAAGAATGGTATATAAATGACTAACACACACTGCTCTTCGCTATGGGAAGAATTCCTTCTCCTAGAGACCAACTTTGGCTACTGAGTTTTTTGTAACCCCGTTAAATATTGATTAAACCATCAGTGCCTTGCTCCAGTACCCAAACTAAATGCTTTCCCAGAAGGACTACCTTATCCAAATGATGAACCTTCTAAAGGAGCAGATAGGACAGAATGATGGTGCCCATGCAGTACCAATTATTCCCTTATACCAATAGCAGTAATTTCAACTTTCTGAATACCAACCTCCTTTCCTGACCAATATCTTTGAAATCTAAGAAAATTTACTACTTTCCTAACTCACATGAGCCATATATCTGCCTGAGACCAAATGCTTTATTAGCAACATAATTGATATAGGATTTTCAATAAGCCTGCTGATGGAGGGAGCTATAAAATGGTAACCCTTTCCTCCCCAGTGCTTATTCAGAAAAGTTCAGACAACCACAGTAATTTTGTGATGTGCCTGAGAGTTAACTTTAAAGATCTGATCAAGTGAATAACAGACATTTTGTATAACTAATATGAGCCAGAGAATGGCTCACTCGGCGATGAGGAGAAGGAATGGGAGGAATTCCTCACCAAGAAGAGGTAAAAAATATGTCCTCCTCTTGTTATCCAGTGCCTGGAAGTGGGAGGGTATAAAGAGGCCCCAAATGTAGTCCGGTTTCAGTTCTCATTTGGGTGGAAAAACCAAACTATCCTTCCTTCCTTCCTTCCTTCCTTCCTTCCTTCCTTCCTTCCTTCCTCCCTCCCTCCCTCTCTCCCTCCCTCCCTCCCTCCCTCCCAGGAGAATTAGAGGCTTTATCATGGCTTATTCCCTGGCATCTTTCTTGCTTTCTCTTGAAGTTTTGCCAGAGCTGTGGGAAAAATGGCTTTGGGGCACAATGGGAAAGTTTTGATTCTCCTGTTGTCAAATGTTGAATGATCAAGGAGCCAGAGGAAGCCATTAGCAGCAGGGCAGTTTGTCCTCCTCTATAACTTTACCTACAAATGAGGTACTGCAGACTAGCTAAACTACAAGACACGTATTGCCTATGGTGGGAAAATGCCCTTTTAAAACAGAACAAAAATAGTGGACAACGGGCTATTCTTCCAATGGGACAAGATTGAATTTAAAGATGACCACATCCATTTCTGTACTTCTGGAATGGCTAGGAAGACACCTTCCTGCCACAGTTAGCAGGACATATGAAAGGGTCTGATTATTTTTTTAAAAAAATAGCTAAGGGCGCAATTCCAAACTTTTTAGAATCATCTAAATCATCATCAATGACATGGTCAGCTTCTTCAGAGCCTGAAGAGGGGAGGAGGGACAAAATAGAAGAGGTGGTATAGGGGCTATATCTACTGAAGTAAAAACCAACAGTTTCTAGAAGTTAAAGACGATCAATTTGTAAACCTTTCTAAGCTATTCTGAGCTGTTAACCTGTTAACTGAGAAGGGTGACAGAAAAAAAATGCCCATATTTAAAATTCCAAAGCATAACCCTATGTAAAGGCATGCCTGCCTCCCAGGGCTTAATTCTTGTCTGCAACAGAGAACCTAATCTATCTGATTCATGTCTGAGAATCTTTTGCTAAATAAGCACATACATGAATAAGAGGATGTGCTTCTGGAAAACTGAGATGTACTGCCATGCTCATTCTGATACATTCTAAGCAACTGCTTCAATTTGTTTTCAAAAGTGTTGCCCCAAAATTCTCACTTTCCAAATAGAGAGTCATGTTATTGCAATGTAAAGAATCTGCAAGTCCCAACTCAACGCTAGGCTGTCTGTTAGGCAATTTAGCAGGAAAAGTAAGATCATGCAAAGCCAGCTTCCGTCCGTTTCCAGGTTACTTACATCACTCAGCTGCTTGGAATTAATCTGTGCTTGTAGTAACACTGGAGAATCCGACACTGAAGTAAACTTGAACTGGTCAGGATGCTTTTTGTAGGCAGACTAGGAAAAAGAATAAAACAAAACCCAGCAGCGATGACTTTTCAGTAAACATCAGACTTATGTTTTTCTACTTCATGATATGTTTTACAACATTCTGCTCTGCTACTATCATCCATGCATCCAAATATGGCTGGGAAAGGCAGCATTTATATTGACAGTATTTACTGTATGATGTTTAAATTCAGTTCTTGTACCGTCAGTAATACTTCAGATATTTTCACGTATTTTTTAATTTCATTTATTATTTTAAGAATATCGTGACATAATACACCACTGAGATTCTTTTCTTTTTCAGTTCTGAAGCACATAAAAAAAATATGACCTCACTAAAACAATGACTTACATCTTTGCATATGTCCAGCTTCTTCAGGGCTTCATATTCTTGAGTTATGGTTTGAGGGAAATAACATTTAGCCTTTTCGTCTTCATAGTCCGCTTTATAGTTTTTCTAGAGAAACCACCAGAGTTCAGTAAGCACCATGAACTGAATAAGGGGGGGGGAGAAATAGGTACAATTCATACTTACATCGCTCTTCATAGCTTCAATTTTCATGCAATGTGCTTGATAGGGGTCCTCAGAAGTGCCTATGTATCGGCCCAGGACATTGGCTATATAAGGCTCTTTGTATCTCACCTGTGGAAAAACACAGTCACATGTTACAGCAAAGCAAGCAAGACTATGTCCGGAGCAGAAGCAAAGCAGAAATTTTCACCATGCTTACCCCACTGAAGTTCTTAAGAACGTTGTCCACTTGATACTGTGGAGTCTCACAATAGTTAATGCTTACTCCTTTTGCTTTTTCATATAGTTCCTTATATAATCTCTGCAAGAGTGAAAAAGAAAGGAGAAATTGTTATAGGAAGTCATGTGGAAAATGTCATTTCTGAATTCATAATTACAATGGGCACATAAGAACTATCTTCCTGGCTTAATTCCAGGGTATAGATTACCAACTGTTTTCTCTCCAAGAGTAGCTAGGCAGGTGTTTATGGGAAACCCAAATTAGGTTATAAATAAAATGGCAAGGATACTTCATATCAATTAACAATAGCTATTAATGTTCTGTGTAAATAGCTTTCTGATATGGATGTTCCATTTAGCTCATTCATGATTTAACATGTTGATGTTCATGATTATTTTAGTTGAAACATTTTTTCATCAGACAATTGACTACTTGACTCTGAATAAATTAGGATCATTAGGCATTTTATAAATATCTATTATAAAACTTTTATAAAAACCCAGATTTGATAGTGATAAAAATATTAACAAATTACTGAAGGTGCACGTGGTATGTGTCCTCTTTACTGCCTAATATTAATATAGTACTAGATGCAGGTTTTAATTTTCAGAAAATAATATGAGAATTCTTATTTCACTACTAATTTTTCTTGCTTCATAGCTCTAAAATACAAGGAGCAAAAAAATGCTTTTTTTTCCCTGAGGAAAACAGAACATCAGGAAGGAGGGAGGGAGGGAGGGAGGGAGAGGAAGGAAGGAAGGAAGGAAGGAAGGAAGGAAGGAAGGAAGGAAGGAAGGAAGGAAGGAAGGAAGAGATACAGATTAACAGAGTAGGAAGGGACCTTGAAGGTTCTAGTTCAATGCCCCGCCCAAGCAGACCCTACACCATTTCTGACAGATAGTGGTCCAGTCTCTTCTTGAAAGCTTCCAGTGATGAAGCTCCCACCACTTCTGAAGGCAAGCTGTTCCATTGGTTGATTGTTCTCACTGTCAGAAAATTTCTCCTTATTTCCAGGTTGAAACATTCCTTGTTCAGTTTCCATCCATTATTCCTTGTCTGGCCTTCAGGTGCTTTGGAAAATAGCTTGACCCACTCCTCTCTGTGGCAACAGCTGTGCTACATCATCACAAGATTCTAATATGCCACACACTCCATTTTCATTTTACTGTAATTTGTGATTACTTACATCATTTTGCAGTTTGCCTACTTTCAGAGAATGTAAGATCTTGGGATCATCGTGGACGCTCAAGGCTCCAATAAGCTTCCCTTTGCTCTTTTCGTAGCCTTTTTTATACTCAACCTACAGGGGGATATTGGAATAAAATACTTGCATAGACTACAAACTTTGTCTGCGTTTTGAATGCTAAGGGTCACCTTCATTACTCTGTGCAACACTTACATCGCTTGTGATTTTTTGCTTTGCTTTCGCAGCCAGAATTGGGATAGCATCCATTTTGATATCAAACTTCTTTGCTTTCGATTGATCCCAGTCGTACTTATACGAATTCTAACCAAGAGAGAAAAAGAAAATAAAGTGGGTCAACTTGAACTAGGAATCAGGAGGATAAGCCTCAAAATACATACATCAGTAGTAGAAGATGCTTTTATCTGTAACCATACCTCAGTTTGATTGACAAAATGAAAATGTTCTTCAAGTTAAGAACAAAAATTTCTAGCCAACTGTAATATAAATTCTAACATTTTTATGTGCCAACATGAAATAGTATTAAATGTATAATCACTTTTTAAAAATTGGAATTTGTAAAAAAGCCTCTTATGAGATGAACAGTACACAATATGCAAATACATGACGTAACCAATTTATTCTCTGCAGTATTTGAACATAAAGGCAGAATGCATTCACCTGATCAAGTTCTTTATCAGCGCCTGATCCTTGACTCAAAACCAAGCTGTGATTTATCACATAATTGGGGGTAAGTCTACTCAACCACACACACTTCCATAATATTCCCAACAACTGCATTTAGATCTATTTTTTCTAGGTTGTGCTATGTCTGCAGAACTTGATTAGACTCTTTCCTTATCGTCCCTGCTAACATTTTTCTTTTTCCTGACCCATATAGTCTTTCCTAAATATTTGTTGAGAAGTTTTGTTTTCTTTTTTACCTTTCTTCTTATGTCATAATTTTGACATGCTTCATTCTTCTTCCCTAAGAACCAATATGCTTTGGACTCCTTTCTCTTTGATTCTAAAATTAAGTTAGTTCTTTTTCCCAGTTTAATGCCCTTGCTCATACCGACTATGGATTATGAAAGATACCCAATGGCTTCGGAAGGCATTCATTTATCTTACCCCTTGCTTACCTGATTGACATCACACTACAATGTTTGAGATCCATGCCCTATTATCCCAGTAGCAATAGTAAGATTTCACGTAATTGAGTCAAAACTTAAATTATATATTATATCATTCTAACTGCAAAACTATCATACAGAAGCATTATACTTACATCACTGATGTTATAAGCATTGACTCTGGACTGAAGGAAAAAAGGAGCATCAGGAGGTATGGAACATCTGGATTTTTCAGCCTCATGTTTGGCTTTGTAGTTCATCTGAAATGCAGAATGAGTTAATGAGGACTTAAAAAGCAACTTTGTGGGGACATATAAAAATGTCACACAAACACACTGTTCAGAAGACAGGTAGATAATTTCTCAACAGCGTGCCACATATGTATCTAATGTCAGAGGCATACCTCCGCTAGTATCTGCACAGCAGAGGAAAAGAGTTTCTTGGCACCATCAGGTTAAGAATGTCTTTGGCTTTCAGTGGGTCAGCAATCAAAAATGATCACTGTCGTTTTGTAAAAACTGAATCTAGTTAAGTATCAACTGGCAGTTCCTGACAATTCCTTCCAATCACTGAACATTATTGCAACGTTAAGGACCTGAAAGTCCCAAATAATGCTGGGCTCTTTGTCAGGCAACTTAGCAGAAAATATAAAACCATGTGAAGCCTTACGTCACTCAGCTGCTTGGTATTAATCTGCGCTTGTAGCAAAACTGGAGAATCCGACACTGAAGTAAACTTGATCTGGTCAGGATGCTTTTTGTAGGCAGACTAGTGAGAAAAAAGTTTTTAAAATTCAGCAGCAATTCATTTTTGGTAGACATCAAGTTTATTATTTTATAATTAATGATACATTTTATGAAGATCCATTTTATGAAGATCCATCATCCATGCAGCCATTCAGCAAAATTACAGCTGGAGAAGGCAGCATTTACATTGATAGTATTTGCTGTATGAAGTTTGAATTCAGTTCTTTTGCCACCAGCAATACTTCAGATATTTTTGGATCATGTAATATCTTTTATTTTATTTATTGTTTTAAGAATTTCATGAAATAATATACCACATTTCTGAAGCTCGTAAAAAATATGATCTCACTAGAACAATGACTTACATCCTTGCACATATCCAGCTTCTTCATAACTTCATATTCTTGAGTTATGGTTTGAGGGAAATAACATTTATCCTTTTCATCTTCGTAGTCCGCTTTATAGTTTTTCTAGAAAAACCACCAGAGTTCAATAAGCACCATGAACTGAATAAGGTGGGGGGAGAGAAATAGGTACAATTCATACTTACGTCACTCTTCATAGCTTCCATCTTCATGCAATGCGCTTGATAGGGGTCCTCAGAAGTGCCTATATACCGGCCCAGGACATCGGTTACGTAAGGCTCTTTGTATCTCACCTGTGGAGAAACACAGTCACACATTGCAGCAAACAAAGCAAGATTATGTCTGGAGCAGAAGTAAAAGAGAAATCTCCACCACACTTACCCCACTAAAGTTCTTAAGGACATTGTCCACCTGATACTGTGGAGTCTCACAATAGTTAATGCTTACTCCTTTTGCTTTTTCATATGGTTCCTTATATAGTCTCTGCAAGAGTGAAAAAGTAGAAGTAATCATGCAACAGGGATTTAGAAAATATTTCTTATATGCATGATGTTGTCTCCCATTTAGAAAGTTTTGCTATTGAAGTGTTGGTTATCTTGAGAAATAATAACAAAAATGTATGGGAAATAAATAGCACAACCAATATATGAAAAAATAGTTAATGGGCCAATAGGAAGGAGGAGGCTAAGGAACTTGCAGCCTAGTTAGTTGAATTTGATGAGTGAAAAGTTTAAGGAACAAAAAACCATTGTTCAATATGTATACCATACAGCCAATATATCGGTATTCCTTTGAAATTAAATATAGAGCCAAGATTATAATATTTTTTTAAAATAATATTTAGGACTTATTGTTCCATACTCAGTCTCTTAGCCTGTAAGCTCCTGGGATCCAAGGAAAATGTTGTATGCCTCCCACACTTCCTGTTTTCACAATACTATACCTTGGGGTTACTTACATCACTTTGCAGCTTGCCTACTTTCAGTGAGTGCCGGATCCTAGGATCATCTTCAACACTCAAAGCTCCAACAAGCTTTCCTTTGCTCTTTTCATAGCCCTTCTTGTACTCAACCTAATTGGGAAAAGAGAATGACATACTTTCATATGCTATAAATTTGTATAAAAATGGAAAACCAAGAATTGCCCTTTTTAAATTCTGTGTAACACTTACATCACTTGCAATTTTTTGTTTTGCTTTGGCAGCCAGAATTGGGATGGCATCCATTTTGATATCAAACTTCTTTGCTTTGGATTGATCCCAGTCATACTTATACCAATTCTAGCCAAATGAGAATGATAAGAAAACATAAGGAAAGTATAGCATAAAGAATCAATGCAGCCATTTACTGTAGAAAATATATAAAATCACAGCAATTTGGCATATTCAAATCATGCATTGAAATTCATGCACGCTTCAAAAACCTGGTTTGGAACATGTATTACTAATATATATTACTCAAAGAAAAAGAAATACTAGGTTCATCTGTGTTGATTTTATAAAATGACTAGGTCCCTCTTGGTTTTTAGAGATCATATATTAATTCAGTGATATTTGTATCCAAAATTTGATTCCATTAACAGAGTTGAGTTTTCCACATAATGTTCCTCTTGTTTGTTATCCATTGGTACACATTTCTCTTTCCTTTATCTCTCTATTTCCTTTGCTACACTCTATACTCTTTCTTCATCTCTACTGAATTTTTTTCCCCAATCATTCCATCTGTCAGTTACTTCCCCACTTGGCCTTTCCTTAACCAGGTTATCTCCATTTCTTTTACCTGCTTCTCCCTCCTTTAATTTTTCCCTTTTAGGGATTTCTTCTTTTCCTTACTATCTTATAATAATTCTCCCCAAGATGCCATCCAGATGCAGGGTCCCTAGTGCTAATAATTCAAAGTTAATGTCCAGGTATGCCACCTTCTTTCTTTAGTGGATTTTTCATGGTAAATAAAAAATGAAGCAAGCAGTGAGATTGGGAAGGGGGAACTACATCAATGATAAATAGAAAATAAAAACCTCTGCTCACCCATTGAATTCTGTAAATGTAGAAGAGTAACTGCACCATAGTAGCCACATCTGGAAGTACCCGCTGTTACTTCCTCTTGCTTTCAATTTTTAAAGTTATTTCTAAATAAGCACTAGTCTTGTGTTGTTCCCTTTCTCCCAATCTTTTGGACTTTCTTCTTTTACATTTTTCTCCTTCAGAACATAGCTAGTCTAAACCAGCAATCTCTATCTCTATCTCTATCATCTATCTATCATGTCTGTCTGTCTGTCTGCCTATATATCAGCTTTTACATCACTAATATTATAGTCATTAACTCATTCATAGTAGTAATAGTATTATTAATTATGAAATTGAATCACAAGAACAGTTGTCCATAATACATACATCACTGATATTATAAGCATTGACTCTGGACTGAAGAAGGAAAGGAGTATCTGGAGGTATGGAACATCTGGATTTTTCTGCCTCATGTTTGGCTTTGTAATTCATCTGAAATGCAGAATAAGCAATGCCATAAAATGAATTAACATGAAAAAAAAAGTTTAATTACAACACTACCATTCATTGCTAACATGAGATCTGATCAAGGCAACAGATTCAAATGTTTCAACTCAAATATTTCAAAAGCAAGCCATAGTTAGCCATTTTATTCACCAACATAAGGATGTGTATCGGTAGAATGGATCAGTATAAATCATCTGGAATGAAATATGGCTCGAATGCAGACAAAACCGTTTACTTGCTTTCCTATGATGCAGCTTCAAATGGTAAGAGATTGATAAAATTTTGGGGGTATAGGGAAATTTCAGGCTGGTATTTGAACACGCTGTCATTAAGACTTGAGGCAGTTTGGTGCAGTGGTTAAGGCATCAGGCTAGGAAGCAGGAGATTATGAGTTCTAGTCCTGCCTTAGACACAAAGCCAGCTGTGACCATGAACCAATCATTCTCTTTCTCTCAACCTTAAGAAGGAGATAGGCACAAACTACTTCTGAAAATATTGCCAAGAAAACTGCAGGAATTAGTCCAAGCAGTCACCAGGATTCAAAAACCTGATTCAAGGACACAACAACAACCAAATCATTAAGACTGGTTGCTGGATTCTAAAACGCATGATACTCTCCTACTTTGATATCTTACTGTATCTCTGTGAGATCTAACTTCTTGTTCTTTTAATAGAAATCATGTATGCAGATATAATGGGAGGAAGCCAATTTTATTCCCCTAGTAGTCTCATCACTGCCCCACAAAATCAAATGTTGTATGTGTACAGAGGAGAAGGAAGAAAAAGAAATCCCTGTCTTACTGCTAGAAGTCTCGTTCCAGTTTATTATAATTGGTAAACATAGTAATACCATGTCTGAAAAAGTGGGTTTTGTGCTTTAAGTTTTTTTTACTATAGGACTTAAGTCATGAAAGTGAAGAGAGAGGTTTTTCCTACACCCATTTCCATCAATTTCTTTCCATATCCTTCTCCACAATATCAGATTCTTAAGATGACACAGTCCTGAAACCTCTATTGCACACAATCACATCATGTGACGTATCACAATGTATCGTGATGTTTTTTGCCTTTGTGGAGATGGGGTGGGCATGGCCTGCACATGATGCATCCAGCCCGCAGACTGCCAGTTTGATACCCCTGCTCTATTGGAAACTAACAAAGCATTGTTTATTCAATATGCAATATTCTACTTGTTGTGACTGATCCTGACGATGAGGAGGCTGGTGTGGTGTCGCGCCAGCAGCCTGCGCAGCCGGTGCTCACGTCGGACAGCGAGGAGGCTGAAGAGATGTGGTGCCAGAGGCAGAGACTCAGCCAGGGCCTTCAGAACCTCCAGAGGCTCCTTCAAGTGGAGAGAGCGAAGTGGAGGAGCCTCTTCTCAATGCTCGAGCACGCAGGGCTGCCAAAAGGCAGGAGTGCCTACTCAGAAGGAGGAGGTCTCCTCGAGAGTAAGGCTTGAGGATAATTGGCCACTCCCTTAGCCTATTGAAGTCACACACCATTAGTAAGTTTCTTGCTGGAAACAACTTGTAATTATCATCAGAGCATTTTTGGAAAAGTCTTATCGTATCTTGTTTTCTGGGCTCGTTGCCAACCTTTGCCGGACTTTGGTTTATTCTTGCTACTTAATAAATTTGATAAGGATCGTTGGTGTGTGTCAATATCCTCAGGAATCCGGAGCTGGGGCAGAACACTACTGCATAATGCTTTAAAAAGCAGAATAGGTACGTTTCTTGGTCAACCGTGAGTGATTCATTCACCCTTTCATTGTTAAATATGCAGCATTATGACCGGAAATATTTTATCATGCACAAAGCTTCATGAAGTATAAAAATCAGAGAGGAACTCATTCTTTAAGTTGCAGGTTAACTTACATCGCTTAACTGCTTGGTATTAATCTGTGCTTGTACCAAAACAGGAGAATTCGCCACCTGAGTAAACTTAATCTGATCTGGAGGCTTCTTGTAGACAACCTGGTTGAAATGAAAGCAAAGCATAATAAATATTCAGGCTGCAGTACCATGGTCTTCCATTTTTGTATCAACATATATAAAATATTCTTTAAAAAACAAAAAAGCAGCATTCATAAAACAAACAGCACTGCAGTTAATGATGCTGATTGGGAAAAAAAGCATCTAATTGGGTAAACCATGATATAATATCATTGTCTGGAGTTCTCAGAGGTTTGTCTTAACATCAAAGCATACAATCATCAAGAGATCTCAGTATGTTTTGCATCTGGAATGATAGCAGATTTTAATGTATCTGTTGCATCTAGAATACATTCTCTCAACACACATTAAGATTAATCGAGGGCAGAAGTAATAGGGGAGGGAATCAGTGGTCACTGTCTTGTGACCACTTCTCAATCCATTTCATTATCCAGGCAGATAATGACTGGCAAACCAGAAGCTGGTCAAATATTTATAATTCTGGCATAACTACCGTGTTTCCCCGAAAATAAGACCCTGTCTTATATTTTTTGAACCCCGATATAAGAGCTTGGCCTTATTTTTGGGGAGGTCTTATTATTTTGGGGCACGTGGAGCAAGATGGGGCTCCTCTTGCTGTCTTACTGATTTCCAGCTCTGCGTTTAAATATTTTCAGGGAGGGCTTATTTTCGGGAGGAGCCTTATTTTAGCTCATGCGCTCAAAAGCCCGATTGGCCTTATTATCAGTGGATGTCTTATTTTGGGGGAAACAGGGTAGGTATATCATGTGCAAAGCCCCACTTCTGGCTATAGTTGAGGCATCTTATCTTTTTTGCAAACTCAGCCATGGTTTATTTCCCAGGATACAATAAACTCTACTATGGCAAGGCTAAGGGTATTGTGCAAATACAAATAGGCTATAAATACAATAGCATGAGCTAAATCAAAATGTATTACAAAACTTACAACAGTTCATTCAGTGACCATTCAAAGTTACAACAGCACTGAAGAAAGGACTGTTTTTCACACTTACGACCTTTGTAGCATCCCCATGATCATGTGATCAAAATTCAAATGCTTGGCAATGGGTTCATAGTTATGACCATTGCTGCGTCCCAAGGTCATGTGATCACCTTTTGTGACCTTTAGACAAGAAAAATCAATGGGGAAGCCAGATTCACTTAACAACCATGTTACTAACTGCAGTGGTTCACTTAACAACCATGGCAAGAAAGGTCGCAAAATAGGACAAAACCCACTTAACAAATGTTGCACTTAACAACAGAAATTTTGAGCTCAATTGTGGTTGTAAGTCAAGGACTATCTGTATTTCCTGCAATTCTGAAAGCTTTCACCCTATGATAGTCATGAAAACATCAAAAGATATCAGATGCTCAATTAAGGAAATGTTGGATAACTTTGATTTATTTACTATTCAGTAATGTGAACTATCCTTGATGCAGCCCATACATATTGTCACTTACTGCGTTTGTGAGTAAGCGAGCGTACCCAGTATTATAGGTGATTATTTACACCACCGTGTCCAATTCTACAGAAAGTGAATTGAATTGATATATAAGATTTTGCTTGAGAAACTATGTATGTGACCCAAACACATGTTAACCACTAGATGTCATGAGCTGCCTATAAATTAATACGATGATGTAAGATGTTAGAAGGATACCACCTGAGGACAAGCTACACATCACATGCAAATGATACAAAGCAGCAACTAAAAACTGCAGCAACTTCAGGATGCAGTTTTCAGCTAAGACCAAGCAGATAGCATAGGCTACAAATAGTTTGATTCAATTGGGTTTTTTTTCTTATTTCACTCCTTTATTCAAACTCCCAGTTCTTCAGTATATCTGTTGGAATAATGAGACCCAGTGATGTGATCCTAATTCAACATAGACCACGATTCTTAAATAGAAAGCAAAATAAATATTCCAATTGATGATAGCTTTTTTCCACTTCTGTGAAATAGTAAAACACATGATTCAACAACCAGTGGTCAGATTTAAGGGGACCTTGGTGCTTTCTGAACTTGCTTGTTTTCTTGTGGACGTTTCATTATCCAAATTAGGTAACATCATCAGTTCTAGCACTGATGATGATACTTAGTTCGGAAAACGAAACATCTGGGAGAAAACAAGCAAGCTCAGAGAACACCCTGGATCCTTTATGTCAACCCTGAGCTACAAATAGTCAGATTTAAGTCTGTGTTCACTTATGCGGGTGCAGTGTTTGTCTATCTTCAAAACACATTTTATAATTTAGGCATTCAAATTCCTTTAAATAAGTTTCGAAAGATATGCTTCCCCCCCCCGCATCTGAGATTCTGAGCCATACACGATTTCACAGCAGCTCTTACATCTTTGCACTTGTCCAGCTTCTTCTGGACTTCATATTCTTGAGTCAAAGTCTGGGGGAAGTAGCAGTTAGCCTTTTCCTCTTCATAGTCCGCTTTATAGTTTTTCTAGAGAAACAATAAGAGATCAGTAACCATAACAAATCAGCGAAGCCAGATTAGGTAGAGAGAACTCATACTCACGCCGCTCTTCATAGCTTCAATCCTCATGCAATGCGCTTGATAGGGGTCCTCAACCGTGCCTATGTATCGGCCCAAGACATTGGCTATGTAAGGCTCTTTGTATTTGACCTAAAAAAAAAAGAATGCCATCAGTTTTTATAAGAAACCGCACGACTTTATCTGGAGCACATTAAAGAACTATTTCTATCACACTTACATCACTAAAGTCTTTCAGAACATTGTCGATTTTGTACTTTGGAGTCTCGCAGTAGTTAATACTTTTCGCTTTGGCTTTCTCGTATGCATCCTTATATAATCTCTGCCAGGAAAAAAAAAAGAATATAAAGTATTATAGCAGTATTAACATAAGAGGAACACAGAAAAAAAAATTAAATTCTTCTGCTGATGCCATCAAACCTGTGCTGCCTTCAAATGAAGCAAGCATATCTAGAATGCAATTCTTTATTTTCCATTATTTATCCTATCTAAGTTATGAATGATGGGAAAGAAAAGCCTTTCTGGAGGAAATATGAGAACCAGCATCTTCTTTTCTGCAATGGTAGACAAGATTTCTGCACAACTGCTTCTTCTAATAAAAGGAAAGCCCTTTTTATAAACCTTAAAACCCTTTTTTCTGTGTTAATACAAATATAACACAAAAACAATTTGTCGCAAAAGCGACTACCTGCGAAGGTTCCTGGATTGGGGCTGAAAGACGAAAGCGAAAGCAGTATGATCCATCCCATATTTGGGTAGACCAGGTTGCCCTGAGAAGAAACGATCTCTCCCCTGGTATATCCAACAAAGCAAGGAGAGCCTGCGGCTTAGAGGTTAATATATCTACCTAATATGTAAGTAGCCCGGGTTCAAATGCCATAACCTATGGCATGCGTGCCAGCGGTGGCATGCAGCGGCCTCTCTGATGGTACACGAGCCATAGCCCCAGTTCAGCTCTGCTGCGCATGTGTGCATGCTTCCCACTGGCCATCTGATCTTCTAGTATTTGCCACGTGTGCGCGGGAGGTGGGGGACATGCTCATGCACAGGGATGGGGTGCATGCAGGGGGCCATGCGTGCATGCGTTCAGGGATGGGGCACATGCAGGGGCCGTGCTCGAATGTTCAGGGGTGGGTCTCATGGGAGGCACATGCTTGGGGGCAGTTCTCATGCAGGGGGTGGAGCACATGCGGGGCCCGCACACACATGTGGTGGGGGTGCATGCAGGGGCCACATGCGCATGCATGGTGGTGGGGCGCATGCAGGGGCCATGCATGCATGCGCGGGGGACACTTAAACAGGGGCCACACGTGCACTGCATTTTGGGAGTTCGCTATAGGCACTCAGTCCGGAAAAGGTTAGCCATCACTGCTCTAAGTTTTGCAATGATCTTTACTATTCTTCTTTAAAAAAAAAAAATGTTATAAAAATAATAGAATACAAAAGGAAAAAAAGAAATAAGATGAAGCACAGGTAGTCCTCAACTTACAACAATTCATTTAGTGACCATTTGAGGTTACAATGGCACTGAAAAAAGTGACTTATGACCGTTTTTCATACTAATAACCATTGCACTATCCCCACGGTTATATGGTCAAAATTTGGATGCTTGGCAATTGGTTCATATTTATGACAGATTCAGTGCGATCATCTTTTGTGACCTTCTGACAAGCAAAGTGAATGGGGAAGCCAGATTCACTTAACAAGAGTGTTACTAACTTAACAACTGCAGTGATTCACTTAACAACTGTGGCAAGAAAGGTCATAAAATGGGGCAAAATTCACTTAACAAATGTCTCATTTAGCAACAGAAATGTTGGGCTCAATTGTGGTAATAAGTTGTGTACAGAACTGTATAGAACTGTACAGAAATAATTACTAAAGATAGATTTTAAAACATATAGTGAAAAAACATTTGTGTCCCCAACCACTAACCAGTTTAAATACTTGAATAATATCATTGTTATTGATTTCTGTTTAAGACCCAGAAACCAGATTCCCAATGTATAAATTTGCCTTGTGTAAGACAAATTTAGATCTTGCATTGTTAGAAGCCCAGCATTATATCCATATGTAGTCTTCAAATTACCACCATCCCTGGACACAAGTTCCTGCTAATTAAGGGGAGAAATGGAATTTGTAGTCTGATACCTAAAATTTAGATAATAGAACAATAGAATAACAGAGTTGGAAGGGACCTTGGAGGTCTTCTAATCCAACCCCCTGCTTAGGCAGGAAACCCTACACCACTTCAGAGAAATGGTTATCCAATATCTTCTTCAAAACTTCTAGCATTGGAGCATTCACAACTTCTGGAGGCAAGTTGTTCCACTGGTTAATTGTTCTAACTGTCAGGAAATTTCTCCTTGGTTCTAGGTTGCTTCTCTCCTTGATTAGTTTCCACCCACTGCTTCTTGTCCTGCCCTCAGGTGCTTTGGAGAATAGCTTGACTCCCTCTTCTTTGTGGCAACCCCTGAGATATCGGAACACTGCTATCATGTCTCTCCTAGTCCTTCTTTTCATTAAACTAGAAATACCCAGTTCCTGCAACCGTTCTTCATATGTTTTAGCCTCCAGTCCCCTAATCATCTTTGTTGCTCTTCTCTGCACTTTTTCTAGAGTCTCAACATCTTTTTTACATCGTGAAACTAAATGTTAAACTAAATTTCCCAAACGCATCTTCATAAAATCAAAAGTTAAAAAGAAAAACAGAGCAGCCTGAGCCATGTTTATTTTATGTCATTCCCAATTCACACATGCTGTGAACCAAAATGTGATCCCAGAGCATTCTTCACTCACTGACCAAGTTCATGATATACCTGGGGAAGTGAGACACTCTGACAGAAGGTTTACAATATGGATGCAACAAGGGAAAAACCTTTATCTGAAGTCCCCCTGTTCAGCCATTGTCAAAATTAGAAGATGCACAGAGTTGGCAACTCTTACAACACAAATGGAATAGAGAGCAAAATATTTTTCATAGATATTTTACTTTGGGATTCTGTGGTAAGCTCCGTGTGTTCGAAGTAAGGAAACTATAAGCTTACTATCCTCAAACAAGATCATATATCTTGTCCTCCAGTGATAGCAATTGAAGTGATATGAAAAAAGGAACAAAGGAAGTTTTATCATCTACGCTGATCTAACCAATTTGCTGATTAAATTTTGGATTTTCATAACAAGACAAGACAACCTACTTTTAAATGACATATAATGATGAATTGTTGAAACTCTGTTTTGTCAACCATCCTGGGGGGGTGGAATAGCATACTTACATCATTTACATTATTTGCAACAGCTTTTAGATGCCTGAGCATCGGATTCTCCGTTGCTGGAAGTACATTATAATCTGCTGAACCTCTGCCTTTTTCATAATCTTCCTTGTATTTTATCTAGAAAAATTAAGCAGGGAAAATAAATCATTTTCCAATTTTACAACATGCTGTTTTGGTGTAACTCGATGACCTTTTTATTTGGGCTTTTAGCTCAAAGACTTTTTTAAAAAAATGGAAACATTCATGTACCATTCTAAATCAAACACATTTGAGGCTTTTAAGAGATGCCATTTCTTCAATTAAGAAAATGGTTTCAACTGGAAAATGCTATTTGTACTCACATTTGCCAATTGTTCCATAATAAAAAAGAAAACCATTGCTGATGAAATATAACTAGAATGCATTGTGCTTTCAAGGGTTAAAGGAAGTACCTTTTTCATTAGCAAAAATCTTTTTAGAGTTCTATTATTTCTTCTGCTGAACTAAATCTGAGAAGGATAGTAATAGTAGATAGATGAAGTAAAGGACATTGCGTTCTCAACATCTAGGATCCAAAACTATGTTTTAGCACAGTTATACTGTTGGGAATGCCCATACACACACCCTCCAACAGAAATGAGGGAGGCAATTTTCATCATTTTCCATGTGGTCTCATTTGCCTCCCAGAAAAATAGGATTGTGACTAAGGGGAAAACAGGAATCAATGAAAGTTCTCTCTTCCACCAACAAAAGTTTCCACTGGATCACCAACATAAGCGACAAAGGAATTCAGTTTTTCGAACTCCCTTGTTAAGCTCAAACATATTTTCTCGAACAATGCCAAGACCTAACAGAGGCATCCAAGTCTTAATGGCGCTCCACATTAAACTTTCCTTGACCACCAAGACGAGATGAGGCCACACAATTTATATGGAATACCAGCTGTATAAATGGGCAGAATATTCCATGATCAGTAGATTCCATTAGAGTGGAAAAGAGTGGGTCAAAAAGAGCATGATGCCAGCTGTGACTATATGAACAAAGCCCCATGTGTTTTGTACATGTGTCAATGTCACAAGCACACACAGGGGCTTTGTTCATCTGGTTGCAACAGCCATCTTCACTTCTTGACCCCTCCAGCAAACATCCCTGTCTCTGACACATTTTCAATTTACACAGAAATGCCTTCATTTCAACTCAACCCATGTGAAATGACCAAAAGCTTTGAACTACTCCTGTTTTGGATGGGATTTTCTTTGTATGTAAATTGAAACTATCAGAAGATTCCAAGCACATTAGGGTCAGGCCATCGCCTGGTCTCCCCAATGGACCCAATTTAAACACATAGCTAGATTTATTGCCATACCTTACTGGCAGCAATTCCAGCACGCTTATTAACCGTATACTCTGGTGTTGCTGTCTGCATGAAATAGATATGGTCTTTCTTCGATTCCCAGTCTTCTTGGTATTTTCTCTGCAAACAACAAAAAGTGCAAGAATGTACAGCTCAGAATTGGGATTTTATTACAAAGGCAAGCAATCAATATAAAATAGGGGGAGGGAGAAAGTGGGGGGAGGGAAGCAAATACAAAATGGCATTTTGATATTCCTTCTTACTGGGCTCAAGTTGTCAGAGTTCATTTTGGCAACTGCGACATCATAGCATGGTGTTTGGCTCCATTTGCCATTCTTCTTTTTATGGTCTTCGTGATATTTGTGCTACAACAAAAAAAGAGATAAACATTGGACTGTAAGTAAACTACTTTAGAAAAAGAAATATATTCTTAAAATAGGTTTGCTTTCCCGCTATAGGTGAACTATTGCACTATAGTTTTTAGACTCTTCTGTCTTAGGAATGTTTGAATAAAACATAATTGTTCTATAGCTTTCAAAAACTTTCTCAGAAGAATGGAATGGAACGGAACGGAACGGAACGGAACAGAACAGAACAGAACAGAACAGAACAGAACAGAACAGAACAGAACACTTTATTTAACCAAGTGTGATTTGACACACAAGGAATTGTCTCCAGTGCAGATTCTCCATTATGGAAAATCTTCCCAGAGGAATCAATCTGTACCTACCCTACTTACTTTCTGATGCCAAATATAACTAATGGGGTGGGGGGAAGGGTCACATTGCATTCCATTAAAAATATAGCATGGAATTTAGTAAGTTTAAATTTATGATTGGGTAATAAATTATGAACACATTAATAATGAATAAAATCTAATTATATATAAATATCAAGTTTATGAGTCATGCTCCATGGATCTCATCCGTTGTGCTAAATGTCTATTTCTCTCCCGTCATTTTTTAAAAATCTTATCAGGCATTATTTTACATGAAAGTAATCTAAAATTAGAAAGGGAGATTTATTTCAGCTTCACCAAAACAATGTGTCTTTAAAAGCTCTTTCTATACATGAATTACTCTAGTTCAAACACAAACAAAAATTAGTTACTCAAAATGTGCCAGGGGAATTTATAATAATTAAAAGAACAAGAAATACCTTCACCATACCTAGTCCAACATATGAAGGCCACTCCAAAAAAACAAAAACAAAAAAACAAGAATATTGCCCTATTAAACAAATCTAAGATAAGATACTCACAAATGATAAATTGCTAAACTGATTCTATGTGTGTACATTTCCACATGAAGAAAAATAAGCTTTTTGAAGAAATAATGCTTAAACCATTGGAACAGTTACCATCTTAGAATCGATGGGAAGCAAGAATTAAGAATGTTAAACTTCATATTTGGTACTAGCTGGACGCCCGTGCTTCACTATGAAACTATGTGCTCGGGCTTGATATATTGACACTTGCAGCCCGAAACTTAATGTAGAATGTGTAACTCCGTAGCATCAGAGTGTGTTAATATAATGCTACTGGGAATTGGAACAGAGGGGGAGAGGGAGTAGAATGTCCCAGCCCGCAGCATCCATCGGTATTCATTTGGCTAGCATCCTGTCAGTGTGTGAGTTGAGGTGTGTTTGGAAACTCAAACAGTATTTGCTGTGTGAGCAAGGAGATAGGAAGGAGGCTGGGCATGGCTTAGCTCAACTGTTCTGTAGTAAAGCTGCTTGCTGCTGTGAAAGTAAAACTGAAAGTGAAACTCCTCTGCTTGTGTTTTGCATTTAGAACAGATTTCTTTTGAGGGGGGGAGGGGGAGTAGAACTCCTTAGCATCAGAGCATGTTAATCATAATATACGAAATACTAATGTTCTGATGGTCATTTCAAAAAATCCTTTCTTAGTGAGCACCTAGAAGCCAAGAGTAACATACATGGCAAATTTCAAGTTTGTAGGCTTTACGGTTCTGGAGATTTCATGATTAATGCTTGAGTGGTTTTCACTTTTATATATATAGATTATCTGGACTACGTAGATATTCTCATAAATGATCCAGTGTACTGCAGGTCAGCCCCATAGGTAGACCAGACCAGCAAATCAACTCCACAAGAAGGAATTGATATCTCAATACTCTAATTGCGATTGACTATAATAACAGGATCTTGTGATGTTCTGAGTGTGATGTTCCTCCTCCTCCTCCTCCTCCTCCTCCTCCTCCTCCTCCTCCTCCCTGAATTAGGGTGTTATCTCCTTGAGCTGCATCCAAATGTTATCTTGCTTTTCTGGTCTTAAAATAAATATTTCAGCTCCTCTTGCTTCTGTAACAGTTTTTGCATTTTCTATTAAGGTCAACTTCCTTACTCTCTACAATGCAGGAAGTCTCTGCTTTGGCCATCCAACCAATTCTAACCTCCAACCAATTTGTAAATGACCACAAGATTGTGAGGTTGCTTGCAGGATTGCCTCTTTCTGTAAAGATTGTACACACCCTTACTATCTTCCTTGGGGCACTTCTGACAGGCCCTGGCACACTTATATTTCAGTGATGGGCCTCAAATCATTAAACAGCTTTCTGTTGGAGCTTAGGTTGTGTCAATTTATTTATTTGTTTATTACATTTATATGCCTCCCATCTCCTTGTTAAGGCAACTCAATCCTTACTATGTTTAAGAGGAGGTTTAAAACAACTCTACACCGGATTCTATTCTATTCTATTCAGAACTTTGAAAGCTTCCTAGAGACACAAAAAGGGAATGAGTAAAATATAAAGTTATCAATCTATTAATAATATGCAATGTATTGGTTGATTTTCTTTATATGCTAATACAGGTAGAAAGATAGAATGGGAAGGAGAAGCATTGTTGCAGAATGGTTGGGACGGCAAGGGTCAAGAGTCACCTGTAAAGGGCACTGATATTTTCCCCTCCTTGTAAGATATTTTAGAGATCCTTGATGACTGTCCTGTTCCCAACTCAGGTGATTATATTACAATGAATTCTGTCACAAAATACTCACATCACTAAGCTGTCGAGTAACTTTCTTGGCAAGCTCCATATCAGGTCGGTCAGGCACAGAGGTGTACTTCGATTTCTGCTCAATGTGTCCTTTTTTGTAAACAATCTGAAACAATCAAGAAAAAGAAGGCTGATTATTTAATAATAATAATAACAGTAATAGAGTTGGAAGGGACCTTGGAGGTCATCTAGTCCAACCCCCTGCTCACGCAGGAGACCTGTACTAGGGATTCAAACTGGCAAACTGCCAACCTTTCTGATCGACAAGCTCAGTGTCTTAGCCACTGAGCCACCTAGTCAGGCTTTTTAAACAAGCATATTTATTCTTGTACCCTGTCTCAATAGGAGTTCATTTTCATGGAAGCAAAATATGCCTCTGTTAATTTAGCATAGTTATTTTAGGATTTTATACCAGGAATAGAGCAAGATAATCAGAGGAGGCAATTGTTTAATTCGCTTGGCTCTAGGCATGCTAGGTGATGAAATTTGCTCTTTACCACAACAAATTAACCATCTTTATAGACATTAATAAATTAAGAGCCGATGTGGAAAATTTGTACTGCACCATTTGTTTTAATGCGCCATTTATTTTAATGGCCCTGGTGTTGGTTGGATTAGGGAATAATACTTTCCAAAATGGGAACATTCTTGCCTCCATTCCTTTGAATAAGATTCAGTTCTTAGTAACTATATTATTTTAGTTTTTTTGGCAGCACAGAGAAATGACTTGCTATTGTCTTCATTCCAGTTTTTTTTTTACTTTTGTTTAACCTACAGTTCTAGAATGTCCTTGTAGACTCCCATTCAAGTCCTAACCCAACTCTGCTAGACTTTTGAGATCAACCAATGTCAACTAAGTGCTGCCACAGATTTCTTCTCCATCACCTTAAATTCAGTATCCATCCCATTCCAGTACCTCCTCTATTGCTCAGACTTTGCCCGTGCCAAAGGGCAAGACAATGTGCTACATACAGCCTTCTATTTCATTCTTGCAAAATCCCTTTCAAGATTGTTCAGCTTCGCCACGTCATACCTGGGTGGCCCTTTCCCAAATGTCTATGGAAATTCTCAGTCATCCAAGTCATGGTTATCCCAAACGTGCTTTTCCAAAAAGCAACTGGAGTTTCTTGGTTTTCGCTCAAAACGTTTTGTTTCTTCTTGGATGAGAAATGAAACATTTTCAAGGAAAAACCAAGAAAGTCCAATTGCCTTTTGAAAAAGCACTTTTGGGTGCTCTTTCCCAGTTACAAAGGTCCAGAACTGATGATCGATCAGGATCTTGGTACTTACATCACTGAGGGCTTTTTGTGCCTTTGCAACTCTCCTAAATTCAGGACTGTCATCGTAGGGATAGAAGAGGGACTTGTCTGCTTCCCACTCTTCAACATAAGGTTTCTGAGGGAAAAGTATTCACAAAACTCATTGGGCACAGGCTGGAAAGAAGTATGAGATACATAGAAAAGGATCACAGATTCGCCTAACCAGAAGTACACCTACCTTACTGAATAAGGCTGTATTTTTTATGGCATGAACAAACTCAGGAGCATCAGGAGGAAGCAAATACTTTTCCTTATTTTCTTCCCAGTTCTGTTTGTATAAAACCTATAATGACAAAAACAAAAAATACCACATTGGCTAAAGGAACTGTAAAGAAGCTCCTCTTTTAAGTCCGATTCTCCATAAATTCTAACACAGGGGTCGGCAACCTGTGGCTCTGGACCGCATGTGGCTCTTTCATCCCTCTGCTGCGGCTTCCTGTCGCCAGTCAGCTCCACAATTGATAAGGCTTTTGGTTAGGACAGGTAGGAGGAAACTCTATGGTGGAAGAACCGGACTTTCGGGCGGCAGAGGAAAAAGGATGCCACGCTAGGAGGAGACTTTATGGTGGGGAACCGGACTTCTGGTGGGCTCCAGAATTGAATGGGGGGCTTCCAGTTAGGACCTTTGTGGCTCTTTGAGTGTTTAAGGTTGCCAATCCCTGGTCTAACAATATACTACTTTTGAACACCTCTATGTTTCTTGACGTCTTTTATACATGATTGCCTAACCTTGATTTTTCAAAGTTATTGTTTAAACACACATAATAAACTCAAATTTCTACTAACTTTTTTTATTTATTTTATTTTATTTCCAATTTCTATACCGCCCTTCTCCCTGAGGACTCAGGGCGGTGTACAGCCAGAATTAAAAACATGCAATACAAATATTAAAAAACAATTAAAATATCTATAAATTTGGCCCAAAAATTAAAAATCACTACCAATTAAAACATTTAAAAATTTCTTCTTAAAACAGATTAACAATTTAAGCTTTCTGTGAAAGTATGCAGCCTCAAAAAGCAATTTACTGTATTCATTCACCTAACTGAATAAATGAGAATTTGCTAAAAAGACATTTTGTCGTTTTTAAACCATCTCCCCATAGTCTCCAGTAATAAACGGATGAGTCATATCTCCAGTGTCAAATCTAATGACCAAGGTTGTTGATTGTGTCCTTGCTTCATTTTGTAGGACAATGGAAGAATGTTTTGGTCACAATAGTTGATACTAATAGTTTAGCGCCAATCCAGAAGGACAGGAAGCGATCATACTGAGACAAACATTTTAAGACTTCTGTGAAATGTATGGTTCTGTGAAATGTATAGCATACTATTTAGAATAGAGAGGATCAGCACAGTTGTTATCATAGTCTATCCACAGCTTGGAACTGTCAGGCATATCAATTCCTTCAAAATTAAGCTGCATTGTGGTAAAAATTAAAGCTTCAGAGAGAAATAGAAGCCCCGGCAACCTCTTTGAGACTGCTTGGTAACTGATTAAGGTAGAGTTTACACATATTTCACTGTCTGGGTAAATATTTCTTGGGGATTGAGGAGAATAAGGTATTCTTTTGCATTGTATCACCTGAAAAATTGAACATCTGAATGTGATGCAATCAGTGGTTCCAAACAAACCATTTTGCTAATATTTTCTTGGCACATCGGCTTTCAATTTCTACCCTTCCTGATTCAAAAGCCCTAATGACTGCAAATCATGGAACTGTAATCCAAAGTCCCTGGAGAGCTCCAGTTTGGGAAAATCTGATACATGTTGCCTATATTTTTTATATATATTACCATTCATTCACGCAATACTATTATGCCTTTCTATAGGCATATGGAAAGAAAAGATGTGAAAAGGTACTCCACCCACCACAGGGGTAGTCATTGTTTAGTGACCACAATTGGGACTGGCACCTCAGTCATTAAGCAAAGCAGTTGCTACATGAATCCACAACTATGCTTATCATCTTATTTCAGATTTCCTTTCCTTTACAGATTTGCAAAGGTCATAAAGTGAGGATTGGTCATAAAGTTATTTCTTCATCACTATGATAACTGCAATGGTTGCTAAAAGAGGCAGTCAGTGATTGAGGACTATCTTTATGACTCACTAGACATGCATAAACTTTTCATTGAAAAGTTGGATGAAAAGTGATAAAACACATATATTATTGATGTGTAATAACAGGTTCCTCTCATAATTTATTCAGAATTAAACCATTTGAGCTGCATAAGCACCACCTAAGTTTTAGGTTTTATTTACAAATCTCAATAATTTCTACATCACAGGATGTCTTACCTTGCTGACTTGCTGAGAAATTTTCTTTGCATGCTCAATGTCTCTTGCTTTTTCGTCAACGTGGCAATCAGTTCTAGCTGCCTCCCCAGCCATGCGATACTTAACCTACAGAAAATACATATAGGCTTACAGTGTAGTAAATCATTACTTTGCAAACAGGAAATGGAGCCAAAGCAAACTGAAATTATCATGTAATTAATCTAATTTCTTTAAGTTTATTTAATATACATTTAAAATGAAAACAGTGCTAGCTTTTGGGAAAGCTCTTGAGGGCCATTTCAGAGGGTTTGGAGATGACTGGCAGTGTTCTTATGCTGAGACAACCCATAAAGCCAGCTGTCAGGTGTGAAGAAGCAAGACCACATGTTATGTTCCAGTCAAGCTAATTTATTGCTCATGCTATACACAGGAATTTAGTCAACTAACAGCCAGCACTAAATTGGTGCTAGATAAGAGCCAATAGAATTCAAGAGAGGCTGGACTTGGATTGCTTGTGGCAATCTAATGACTCCAAACTGATTCCTCTCTTGACTCCCCCACCCAGGCTCTGCCTCTTCTTCTCCTACTCCAGCAGCTTTCATGCCTGCAGTATTTTTCAGATAGTCAAGAACTGTAATTTTAACCCACAGGTATGTAGTAAGAAGTCTCAAATTACTAGCTTCAAGCGGAGTCTACAGTTTCCTTGGCCAAGGATCTAGCAGTATTCATATCCTAAAGTTCCAGACTGGCTTACTGTAATATTATGAGTGAACTTCTCGCTGTCCTGACTAGAATTAAAACAGTATTACCTAGTCATGGTTTCTTCTTCCTCATCCTTACCTCACTGAGCTGGTCCTGGACTTTCTTGATTCTCCGAAGTTCGGGAGTATCTGTTGTTATTCCACATTGTTTTCCTTTTTCTTTTTCAAATTTTTCCTTGTACTTTTTCTGGGAGCAGCGAAGACAGAAAAATGTAGATCTATTTTTAGCATGTCGAAGTGTTATGGTTAAGAAGCCCTGTGGAAATGCCTTGCGCGTAAAGCTTTAACGTATTTCGATAGGTGGGCGCATCCGAATTACACAAATTGTTTTGATTTCAAATCCCACAGTTCCCTACAATTTGCCAAAAAGGTTGAACTATAGGTAGTCCTCGACTTACAACAGTTCATTTAGTGACATTTGAAGTTACAATGGAACTGAAAAAAAGTGACTTATGACCGTTTTTGACTGTTGCAGCATCCCCACGGTCATGTGATCAAATCTCAGAGGCTTGGTAACTGACATATATTTATGACCATTGCAGTGTCCTGGGATCATGTGATCACCTTTTGCGACTTTCTGACAAGCAAACTCAATGGGGAAGCCAGATTCACTTAACAACCGTGTTACTAATTTAAGAACTGCAGTGATTCACTTAACAACTGTGACAAGAAAGGTCGTAAAATGGGGCAAAATTTACTTAACAAATGTCTCACTTAGCAATAAAAATGTAGGACTCAATTGTGGACATAAGTCGAGGACTACCTGTAATAGGAAATAGACTCCATAAGATCTGGGGACATCAAGTTGGTATGTGAGTAGAGGGGGTGTATCTACATGCATATATACAAGCACAGATATATCCCCATGCATAATTGGATGAAAGTTTAATTTATATATAAATTGCACAATGTTCTGATTAAGAGACATTTTTCCCCTACAGATTTATGGCCCTACAGATCAGCTTTGGCTCCCTCTGGATATACTGAATTTATGCTCTGAGTACAAAACACATACACCCCGTACACCCACCCACAGGGAGGGAGGGAGGGTGAGAATTTAAAGAGATATAGATAAGGTGAATTAGGTTATTTCATTTAGCCAAAGAAATTATGGTCTGAATAAGGAAAGACTATAAACTTGAACTTTTTTCATATTATTCTAAATATTAAACTGGGATGACCCTAAGCTTTGATACTTTCTGACAAGCTTACTCTGGAGACCAGGATTTCCAGCTGCCCCATACGCTACAGTATTTGATAGCTGTTATCAATTTCTTTTTTTGACTCAAATTTTATTGTATAAAATACAAAAAAAGAAAAGAAAATTAAGAGGAGGAAAGGAAATGGGGAAAGGGGATGTGAAATACAAGGGGAAAGAGAAAAAGAAAGAAAAGGGGGCATTGATTTCCAACTCTTCCTAGCACCATACAAGATAAATACATTCCAACCTCAACTTTTGCTTTTACATATTGTTACATACCGTTATCAATTTCTGATACACAGAAAAAGTACACATGTATAAAATCAATATTTTTTTTTCACAAGGATCTTTTTTAAAATTGGTTGAAACCAGTGGTGGGATTCAAATAATTTAACAACTGGTTCTCTGCCCTAATGATTTCTTCCAACAACCAGTTCACCAAACTGCTCAGAAAGTTAACAACCGGTTCTCCCGAAGTGGTGTGAACTGGCTGAATCCCACCACTGGCTGAAACTCATTAAAGTAGCATTAAGCTGCTTTGAATGTGAGAAGATGCAAATTTCTGACTTACATCGCTGAAGAGCTTTTGCATTTTTGAACTGTGATCCAAGTAAGGTGTCCGAAACTTAGATGTGTCCACTTTTTTCCGTACAACTTTTTTTCTGACAGGTTGGGAGGCCTTGTGAGAAGGGTCTGTGACTTCCGGAGGTTGTGTTGTACTATCCAAAGTACGCGATGTTGTTGTTTCATAAGTATGCGTTCTCGCTTCTGAAGGATGCCTGCTTGTTTCTGAAGTATGTCTTGTTGTTACGGTGTACGGTGCGGAGCCAGTGCTGTATGTGGTCTCAGTGAACTCAGTAATCACCTAAAAACGTGGAAAGGTGTTTTAAATTTATCTCCCGACTCAGCACTAGTTTTAGAGCCTTTTTAGCTGATATTTTTGGAGTTACAATTGTCTATATTCCTGATAATCTTTTGAAAATCAGCACAACTGAGTTCCAGATACACTTTATTGAGAACCAGTCTTTGACAATTTCCAAAGGATTTTCAAAGTTTATTATTATTTATTTATTATTCAAATTTCTATACCGCCCTTCTCCTTTCGGACTCAGGACAGTAAACAGCCAAAATAAAAACATCTATACATAACATTACAGTTAAAAATAGAGTTAAAATAATTTATAAATTTGGCCCGTAATTTAAAACTTGTCAATTTAAAATCAATATTAAAATTTTAAAACTAACCCTAAAATCAAGACAGACCAGCTAACTGAAAAAAATAAGTTTTTAGGGCCCGATGAAAAGTCCGGAGGTCGGAGATCACTCGTATCTCTGGGGGTAGATTGTTCCATAGGGTAGGTGCCACCACAGAGAAGGCTCTCCTCCTGGGGGTCGCCAGCCGGCATTGTCTGGTCGACGGCACCCTGAGGAGGCCCTCTCTGTGGGAGCGAACCAGCCGGTGGGAGGCTATTGGTGGCAGAAGGCGGTCCCTTAAGTACCCTGGCCCTAAGCCATGGAGCGCTTTAAAGGTGATCACCAACACCTTGAAGCGCACCCGGAAGTCCACCGGAAGCCAATGCAGATCGCGCAGGAGAGGAGTCACATGGGAGCGCCCCGTCGCTCCCATAATCCCCCGCGCGGCCGCATTCTGCACCAGTTGGAGCCTCCGGGTGTACCCCAAGGGGAGCCCCATGTAGAGAGCGTTACAATAGTCCAGACGAGAGGTGACGAGTGCTTGAGTGACCGTGCGTAGGGAATCCCAGTCCAGAAAGGGGCGCAACTGGCGTATCAGGCGAACCTGACAAAAAGCCCCCCTGGCCACGGCCGTCATATGCCCTTCTAAAGACAGCCGTGCATCCAGGAGGACACCCAAGTTGCGGGCCCTCTCCGTGGGGGCCAATGATTCGCCCCCAATAACCAGCGATGGCGTCAGCTGGCTATACCGGGATGCCGGCAGCCACAGCCACTCGGTCTTGGAAGGGTTGAGTCGAAGCCTGTTTCTCCCGATCCAGACCCGCACGGCCTCCAGGCACTGGGACATCACTTCCAAGGCATCATTGGGATGGTCTGGGGTGGAAATGTACAGCTGAGTATCATCAGCGTACTGATGGAACTCCACCCCAAAACCACAGATGATCTCACCCAGCGGCTTCACATTAATGTTGAACAGGAGGGGCGAGAGGACCGACCCTTGTGGCACCCCACAAACAAGGCGCCTTGGGGTCGACCGCTGCCCCCCTGTCAACACGGATTGCGACCGGTCGGAGAGATAGGAGGAGAACCACCGCAAAACGGTGCCCCCCCACTCCCAGTCCCTCCAGCCGGCGCAACATGATACCATGGTCGATGGTATCAAAAGCCGCTGAGAGGTCTAATAGGACCAGGATAGAGGAATAACCCCTATCCCGGGCCCTCCAGAGATCATCCACCAACGCGACCAATGCCGTTTCCGTGCTGTACCCAGGTCTGAAGCCGGACTGGAGCGGATCCAGATAGACAGCTTCATCCAGGTACTGGGGAAGCTGTTGTGCCACCACACTCTCAACAACCTTCGCAATAAAGCGAAGGTTGGAGACTGGACGATAGTTAGCCAAAACAGCCAGATCCAGGGATGGCTTCTTGAGGAGAGGCCTCACCACCGCCTCTTTCAAGGCGGCCAGCAGGACACCCTCACTCAAAGAAGCGTTGATAATCCCCTGGAGCCAGCCTTGTGTAACCTCCCGGGAAGCCAGCACCAACCAGGAGGGACACGGGTCCAATAAACATGTGGTCGCGTTCAGCCGTCCCAAGATCCTGTCCACGTCCTCGGGAGCCATGGGATCGAACTCCTCCCAGATAACACTCTCAAGGCCTGCCTCAGTCATCTCGTCTGAACTAACCCAGTCGGCGGCCAAGTCTTCCCGAATCTGAGTTATTTTATCATCCAGATACTGTACAAAATCCTCAGCTCGGCCCTGCAATGGGTCCTCCCGCGCTCCCAGATGAAGAAGGGAGCGGGTCACCCTAAACAGGGCGGCTGGGTGGTTATCTGATGATGCGATAAGAGCGGCAAAATAGCTAGATTTCGCCGCTTTTATCGCCACGTTACCGTGTTTCTCTGAAAACATGACCCACCCCAATAATAAGCCTAACCCTAATTTTATGGGGGTGGGCCTAATATTACCCTTACCCTGAAAATAAGCCTGGGGGGATGGGCACGAATGGCGGCACGGGCGTGGGGGGGGGGCAACAGTCCAGCTGCAGCTGCAGCCTGCTGGTCCCTTGGGGCAGTGCAAATACCGCTTTTGCCCTTCTCTTTCTGGGTGCAGCGCTTCTGCTTGTTGGACTGCTTCCCCGAGGCCGGAGCTCCACGGCCAGCTGCTTTGCTTTTTCCCTCTTTTTGGGATGCTCGCAGGAGGCTTTTTGGTGAACAGGAGGAAAATGAGGAGGGGGATTTTCCTGCTTGTCATCCATTCCTCAAGCTCAGCACAGACTGAGGGAAGGATGACAGGCAGGGAAATCCCCCTCCCCATTTTCCTCCCGTTCGCCAAAAGCCTCCATTCCGAATGCTGAAGCTTCGGAATGGAGGCAATAGTGCGTCCATGGCGCATCCAGCTCACTGAGTCTGGCCTACTGCACCTCAAAAAAAGTAAGACCACCTCGAAAATAAGCCCAACTGCTTATTTTCAAGTCTAAAAGAAAATAAGACTCGGTCTTATTTTCTGAGAAACACGGTAACAATCTACACCCCACAATAGATTATATGAATGATTTATTTGGATGTTTTTTTCACCATACATCATTTCATATGGCTGTGCAATGTATAAAATTACACATTTGAGTTGAGTCTTCACCTATTCTCAAGATAAATAGTGAAGGCAGAAAATTCCAAAAATTAGACCTCTAGACAGGGAACAATGGAATAGTGTAGTGACTAGTGACTATGTTTGTTTGAGCTGTATGACTAGTACCCGGGAGCAGTTATACAATTACCATATTGTATTCAAGAGTAGCATATCCTGATATTCTTGAATTCAGGAAGGTCCTTATGACATGTTACATCTATTTTTCTGAATTGAATCAGCCATGAGTTATGTTTCAAAAAAAAGCAACAGACATGGTTTGGGGGGGTATCATACAACTTTTCCCCTAGTCCCAAATCAAGTTTTCCTTCAATTTGAAAAGTGCTTTACAATGTGCACATATCATTCAATCTATTTCTATAAAATGAAATATTTGTTTTCTACATAAAGGAATTGGTTTATTCAACCAAGTGTTTTGCATTTTACAAGGATTTTCCTCACCATCATTCTCGCTCACATAAATTCGAATTTTGACAGTATATATGGAAACAGACAAATTCTTCCTTTGCTTTAACCTCATTGATACTAGTGAGATTATTCCAAAATATATAAGAGAATTAGTCCTTGCAAATAATAAGACTCTCTCTTTTTATATTTTCTGAATTTATGCTCAAAGGTTATCTTATGAACTATTCTCCTAAAGGGAGGTACACACAAATAAACCACATAAATTCAGAATCATACAACTATATTTCTCCATCAACACAAAAACTAATGTTCTTAATGAAGGAATAACTTTGTCTCTATAGTAATCTATAGTAATTTGTAGTCTAATCTGCAAAATTCTAGGATCCTCCTAAGTAATTCTGAAGCCTGGAAAAGGATCGTGCTTCTAATATTTATAGCCATGCTGATATCATAAACAATGCAAGACTTCCAATTAAAAAAGTATATTAAAAGAATTGCCAGGAGGAATAAACAACAAATGTTTAGAGTAAAATAATGTTACAGTATTTATCTTCAGGTTGGTAGTGACATTTATGAAAATATAACCCTGAGAAGAAAATTCTTGTTTCAAAGATGAACAAGATGAACAACATGTGAATACGTTATGCAAGTTGAACAAGAAACAAAAACAAGAAAATGACATTGGACATTCCAAAGTGAATTTACATCAGACGAATGAATGGAAACACACTAACAGAAGCTTGCAGGAAGAAATATTCTGTACATACATATTTACTTTCTTCTTCACTGAGTTTTCAAGTTTTCACTCTCATTTAGCAACCTCTAAGAAATACTGTTTTTTCCTTTATTTTCTGATAGATGGCCAAGATTTCAAGAGCAGAAGTATATATGTATACGTTTTTAGGCCAATTATACTGTTCAAGCCAATCAAAAATTACTCATCCATTTCACTAGGATGCAGGCATCACTATACATCTGCATCTCCCAAAAGAAAATAAAGTGTTTTTAAAACCTCTTAATTAGTATTTTACAAACCATTGAGCATATGGACAAGGAAAAAAGCTCAGTGCAATTAAAACCTGCTGCAAATTAAGGCAAATAAAAGTAAGGATGATACATTAACTAAAACAAGGCTCCAACTTCCCTCTTGCTGGAGGGGGAAAAAACTGGGATTTTCATTTATTTGTCCTTTCTCCTATATCTTCCAAAAAAATAAAAAAAGAATGTAGGAAATATGCAGGCAGAAAGGTACTTAACCTTGTTATCCTAAGCTACATTTTTCTCTACTGGGGAACCAGAGTCTTTCCCGTCATTGAAAGAGATTATTCCATTCGTGTAGAGTAGGCCTAGGTGCAGGTGTTATCATCTACTGCACCTCCTAACCACAAAATTCGTATGTCCATCCCTTAGCATCAAAAAGTTGCCCACCATTGCATTAGCAAAAGACACTCAAGGGAAGATCATTATTCTGTTATATAAGTTGTTGGTTGACTTTGTTCTTCCCAGAGGTTATTATTAGATTACTCAAGTATGTAAAAAAAAATATCTATTAAATTGTTTTATATTATATACACACACACAAAATGCTTAAAAAGCATTAAATTCCACCAAATCAGACATTTATGCATAAATCAGAGGCTTTTACCTCGCCTGGTTCACCCTCGACCTCCTCTTCTATGTAGTACTATAAACAAAGAAGAAACCTCATTATTTTTCACAAGGTCATACATAAAAACACATGTGTTTCTCTTGAGGCAAAGAACAAAATCTCAGTCTGAAGAATGAAGTGATTGATAAGGATGTTCCATGGAAAGCACTCCAAGATTTAGCTGCTGGTAAGATCCACAGGTATTTTGTTCCATAAATATCAGTGGATTTGTGGCTGCCAATTGCTCATAATACTTAATACTGTTTAAAAAGTTATTTTTCTTTGTCTCGTAAAAACATAGCTTTTTAAATGTTGTATTAGATCCAATTCAAGAATTCCAACACTTCACAACTCCTGCTTTCACTTAAGGAATTTTGGACACCCATTGGCGTAAAAGATCATACAATAAGTCATGACTCAGTGGCGAGTGAACAGATACCTGAGTTCACCAGATCATTAGCCATAACCTGAAAGCATGATCAAACACCACCCTTTCATTATATGTACCCTTTTGGTTATTAAGGAAGGGGAGATAATCCAAAAGATAATTCAAATACCAATGCAGAGCAGTTAAACCCACAATATTTCCAAAGTGATACATCTACAATACTTGTGAAAACGGCATTGTAAAAGAACTAAGCAATTCTTTAACAGGAAAAAGATTTTATTCATCTGTGAATTCTTTTTAAAGGAAATATTGACTGTCCTAGGAACATTTGTCATGGACGATTCATTTAAGTTTGCTACCTGACAGCTCTTGTAAAAGAAAGGCTTTCATAAAAGGGCAAATGATGTGTCAAAACATGATCATATTTTATTAGAATGACAGTTGAACATTAATTTTTTTTAAATATATTTCTTAATTAGGCTGTGCAAAGTTGCAGTGAGATGATTCAAATGGATGACTCAAATTTTGTTTGAAATGATTCAAGCCAGGACTGAAACATAGCCAATAATCTTACAGAATTTCTCTTGGATCTCTCAGGACTGTTTATGCTTCAGGGTGAATTATCATATTTAACTTCAAGGAAGAAAGCATTAAATTTAAGGAGAAACCATGCCTGAACAAGAATTACTGGACAAAAAAAATCTTATTGGCTTCCACTGCTCAGCAATCTAAAACAATCCTCTATCTGGAAGGAAGAACCTCTATCAGAGGTTTCTGTCAGAAACCTCTGATACTGCTGCACAATATTTGTGATCGACCAAATGGAATACAAGCTATCAGTCACTTATATCCAATCTCCTACTAACCATAAGGAATTGAATATCTTGATTTTTCTGTCTGCCTGCTATATTTGATAAGCTGATTTAACTTTGTGTGTTAGCACAACTGACATAATTATACTGTGCATATCTATAGGTCTCACACGTGGATACTAACTCAAGTTTAATATACTATATTAGATTAGATTATATTTTACAACTGTTGGGTTTTTTCCTTCTAGGCTATTTTCATGTTTTGAATTGGGTCTTGTTACTACTGAGAGAGAGAGAGGAAGAAGTTGCTATTGTATCAGGGTTGAACTACTGCTTCTCAGCGTCTTAACTAAAATAAAGTTCAATCTCATGGCTGAACTCAAATTCCATAAAAAAAAAAAAAAACCTTTGATGCCTATGGAACAATCCAGCTTCCAGAAAAGTACAAACAAAATTCATTTCCCTTGATCTTCCAAAGAAAGCAAGATAGAAATGTAAGAAACAAAGAACTTAGATGTGGAAGACAATTGTAAAGAGGGATTGATGACTGCAGTGCTTCAGAAGATTTTTTTAAAAGTCCAGTTGATCACCTTAAATCATTATGCTGATTTCAACACAGGAAAGAAAGTGACATTATCATCCTTTAAGATTCATAATGAAACAAACAGTATCTGAAATATTCTCTTGTTCAAGAAGGAACTCTACTGCATCTTGTTTAAGTGGCTTTCTTTTTGAAATATTGCCTAGAAACTTCATCAAATTTAAGCAGATGTTCAGAGCAAATCTAATAGAAATGAATGTACTAAGACTAGCTATGTCAATAAAAATGTTTCTGCAAATCAGCTAACCTAAAAAAAATGGGACAAATCATTTTGCTAATAATACTCCATTGGTTGTACGTTGCACCAGTACAAACTCTTGTGAAAAGCTCTGTTGTCGGTAATCTTGGAATCTTTATAGTACCAGTGAAATATATTAGACTAATTTCATAGGGGGACCTTCTTAAAAATGAGTCAGGGTAAATAAAGGAGAAGCAGAATTGGCACAGAATTATCTTTGATGATAAGATTGAACTTGCATCATTATTAGAAGTTTTATGTTTAATGTTAAAGATAGTTCCAAATTATTTCTTCAAACTCTTTTTCGCTAATACTATAGCAACCACTAATTTTAGCCTAACTTTGCAGTGCATCAAATCAAGCCTTAAATTAGCAATATCTTCAAAGTGCATTTTACTTTGAAACAGCATTCTTCATCATAAGAGCAAGCTTAATTCACCAAAAATTATTTAATGCATTTGGTTAGAATTATTTCTCCTGTTCACTAAAAAGTCTTGGAAAGTGGAGATGTAGAAGATGCTGTCCATGTAGGACCCAATATGATTTATTTCCATGTCTTCCTTTTACTGTTTGACCTTATCAGACTCATTTTATTGATCGGCCTAGATTTTTAAGCACGTATTCCACCAATAAATTCTACTGGATTTCATGTATTTTGGGTATTAAAAGATTTATCGTGCTCAATTTAATAGGATCTACAACACTGACTAAATTCTCAGACTTGGTGCAATAAGGTTCCTCTCCTTTCCATGAATCACATTAACAAGAAACCTCCAAAGATACTGGCACCCTTCAACAGAGCCTGATTCATTGCCATTCTTTGCAGATGATTTATGCTTCTACAGATAACTTTGTCAAGATACTGTTTATTTCAAGCTTTGTATATAATTGGCTCTTTTTATGAGAAGAATATCAGGAGATAATGGTCCTCCTATTTTTTTTCACTATGCATCACTTAGACTGGTGCTTGTACAACTAACAGCATGCATATACCTGCTAAAGCACTACCACAAGCATAAAGGAAAATCCCAAAAGTGTTTTTTCAAAAGGCAACTGGATTTTGTTTTTCCTTGAAGATATTTCTCTTCTCATCCAAGAAGCTTCTTCAGTTCTGACATCAATTCCAGTTCTGACTTCTTGGATAAGAAGTGAAATATCCAAGGAAAAACAAAGTCCAGTCACCTTTTGAAAAAGCAGCTTTGGGACAACCATGACCTGGATGCCTGAGAATCTCCATAGAGATAAAGGAAAATTTAAGAAGATTTGCGGGAGGAGATGGAAGAGAATGCGTGCATTCATTTGCCTATATAAATGCATTGCTATTTCTGTTTTATTAATAATATATGAGATTACATACATACAAAGGTGTGTACATCTGTGTGTGTCTCTGTGTTTATGCGTGTGTGTGTGAGAGAGAGAGAGAAAGAATATTCATCCCAGCTTGGAAGAAACATGAAAGCACCATTTTTTTCTCATGCGGCCTACTGACCAACTTCAAATTGGCAATGTGGCCCTCATACCAAGCAAAAACAGAGTCTACTTCTCACTTAAGTATTCTGTACTAAACAATCCAAATCAATGTCCAAAATGAAAAGCATAAGCTACTTTTAAGAGGACTCTACTGCACGCTCTTTAAAATACAAATTTGTCTCTTTATAAATAAAAACTTATTTTGCTCTTTAATGCTTTGCACATTTAATTCTGGTTCACACAAAATTAAAGCATGAGGGAAAAGGATCAGTGGACAAAAACCAGGAAAATGATGTGCTATGTTTCTGGAAAAAGTTATCTTGCTTGAAACTAAGATTAGAAGCAATTGCAGCCTTTTATATATATATATATACCTGCTACATATATCCCAAGAGACAAGAGGAAAAAGACAGACATCTGAAGAAACAATGCAACAATATAAAACTGAAATGATAATATGAAAGATAAAACCACTATTAGTCTACTAAGAGACAGACAATGATAAGACAATGGGCATGGCTATCAGACATACATGAGATGGGAAGAAGATGGAAGAAAGAGAAGAGGGGAGAAGAGGAAGAGGAGGAGGAGGAGGAGGAGGAGGAGAAGAAGATTTTTGCAATAAAAGAAAAGTTAAAAACATTTCCTTGATTGTGGTGCTGGTCATCAGAAATATTGAAGAGCTTTACTCTAGCAGGATGTAATGTGATCCAAAAGTGGCAAACACTTGTGCCACACATTCAATTTGATAATCAGTGTGCATCTGGAAGTACAACCCAAGAGTTGCAGAAGCTGCACACACTGGTAAAATGGAGTCTGGCAAGGAAACGTACCCATGACTTTTCACACAGGTCCTATGTAAGCCAGTAAGTTGTTGCTAGATAGAATTATGGGCATTTTAAATGTCCAAATGAATGTTAACATTATTAGCATCATCTATGCTGTATTTTTCTATTATTATTTTTTTTAAAAAACTAAATCTGCAGGAAGATGAGGAAAGAAAGGGCATCACAGGCATTTACTGTCATCGTGCACTCTTACAACCTCATGTCCTAGGCCTTCTCTGGGGGAACCCGACAGCTGCTGGAGGCCATTTAGAATATATCAGTTTTTATAACTGTCCAGTCACCAGCTCTGAATTTGGAGACACACTCACTTCTGAAGCAGCCATCTCAAGTTCCTGACCTGCCATTCTTTGCTGTTTCTTTGAAATAATAAACTCATTTGCATAGCTTAAGGCAGTAAATCAAACATTTAAGTCTTACCTCCACAACCTCATCGTAATCGTCTTCATCTGCCATCTTTGTGGAAAGCCCGTCCACCTACTCACTGGTCACAAAGCAAGTCAGATAAATAAATATCAGCATGATGAAGTCAATGTTGCTCACTTATCAAGGCTAGTATCTCTGTGCATTATAAAAATATTGTAAGAATGCCTTTTTTACACACACAAACACACACAGAGAGAAAAACATACAGAGAGAGACAGACAGACAGACATGAAGCTGTAGTTTAATCAACAACATAGGCCAAATATTAAATATTAAAATATTTAATATTTATAAAGATTAATATTTATAAAATATTGTTCATAAAACATCAAAATATTAATAAACCAAAAATATTATCAAACATTTCAGCTTTCTAAAAATATATATAAAGGGATACCATTTAACTTGAGATGTTTAACATCAGATTGCCATTATCCTTTCATAATTTGTATTTCTCCCAAATATCTCATATACAGAGGAAAAAGCCAGTTTTTTATTATTATTATGGAGATGTTGGCCTCCTTCCATATTTTAGCCAGTAACATTTGGTGGGGGAGGAACCACCCCAAAACAAATTGCACTGTTATTTTTATGAGCATAAATATAGCAATTCTGCTTACTAGAATTGTTTAGGATGCAGGCAAGGAACAAACAAACATAGATTATTGTATCTATCAACTCTCTTGAGTGATGTACTTGTAGTGAAAAATTAGATAATATCATAAAGTCTCTTCCTAGCTCAACAGAGTAAGTTAAATGGAATATATAACAATCACAAGGCTGTGCATTGTGTACTGAGAATTTATGTAAAAACATCTACAGGGAGATAAATAATTGACAATCAACCAAAACCAACCCACCAAAATTAATAGTGCCCCATTAATATTTCTTGAATGGAAATTCACTTACAGTTTTGATTGTGAACTGCAACTAGAAGATCCTAAATATGTTTACCAGCAGCTAGAAATTAATGCTTAGGATAAGGAATGCCAAGCATTGAGCCAACATGGTAGCATGGAACGATAGCATTACAACGAGGTGTGCTGGCTATGGCAGGGGAAAAACTGGAGAAATGTCCACTTTAATTGTGTTGCACAAAAAAGCAGCTTGCTAGGTCACCTCCACGAAAGCTTTCCTAACCTAGAAATTTAGCTGGGCAGATCCTGCCACAATACCTGTGGGCCAATGTAATGTTACTCTATATAAACTAATAACCTTGGGGTCTTATATAAACAACCACAAACATTAAGTCATACAAATGTTGTTCAAATGACCTTAACTTAATGAAGTTAATTTCTCTCGTCCCACCATTGATCTCCTGGGATGCTCTCTTGCTTTGCTTCTGGGGTGCTTGACGTATTTCTCCAACTTCAGTCCTAGAAAAGATCAAGACTCTGGTTATTTAGATGGCAGAGAAGCGATGAATGAATGAATACCTTGGAATGAATTAATGCACTGGAATGATGAGCCTGCTGTGAGAGGTTGCAGGTCCCTCTTTTCTGGTGCAGGGAAGGAGATGAAGGCTTAGAACAGCTGCTTCCTAGTACAAAAATATTTGCCCTGTAAGCCAATACCCCAGAGCGATAGGCTGGTTTTGTCTAGTTAGCTGAACTGCCATTCCTTCTGAGGCAAGCGGCACTCCGGTGCTGTAGGTTAAATATAGGCCCTTTGAATGCTGCCTTTTCCTAGTGCCAATTCTGTTCAATCAAGGTGATACATAAAAATCAAAAGGATAAAAATGTTTGTTTCACTGAGGGAATAGGACAAGTCCTAAAGTTGAGAGAGAGAGGGAGGGAGGGAGGGAGGGAGACCTCAAGAGCAGCTTAGCCAACGGAGCCATTGATCTCCATGTGCAAAATGTTTCCAAACGACAGAGGCTCACTCTGCCTTTAAAGCCTCATCAAACTCAGGACTGATCTCTTCCCAAGCGGGATTACTTCGATGCTGGAAAAAAAGTGTGTTAAAATTTGTAAAATAGTAAAATAAAAAACCAAATCCCTCAGGCCATAAAGTCTGCAAACAAACAAACCCACAAACAAACAATCATTTGGTAGCAAACAAACCCCAATCTGTCTTTCTTTTTAAAAAAAAAAGAAAGCAAAAGGCACAAGCTTACCAGTTATATTAATAAATTTCCTTTGGAGCAAAGCCTCTCTGACTGTCCTCCCTCCTGAGACAAGCTGGGCAAAAGCAATGTTAGGCTGATGCATCAGCTCCTAAACCATCATGTGGTCGGGGGGAGCCAATCAGATCAGGCGTGCTCAAGTTTCAGATACTAAATATACATGGTGACCCTTTGGAGTTTGGAGGACCACCTGTTCGGTAAACCCTCCAAGCAAAGCAAAGTAGCTCATACAAATCATTGCTTTGTTTTTTTAACCTCAATCAAAACATAGCAAGAGCATCAGCCCCTTATAAATGATTCAACCATTATTCACAAAGACTTGTGGAATACAAACCACTATTAAGGATTGTTAATTACAATGAAGCTAAGACAATAGGCCAATGGAAGCGGGTTTTTTCCTCATCCCATTCTCACAGAAGATCTATGGTTTCTGAACTTGAGATGATTTACCATAGCCTTTCATCAAAGACGGGGAAGATAAATCAGGGATGTCCAGACTTGGCAACATTAAGACCTGTGGACTTCAACTCCTAGAATTCCCCATGCTGGCTGGGGAATTCTGGGAGTTGAAGTCCACTTGTCTTAAAATTGCCAAGGTTGGACACCCATGCTTTAGATAATCAGAAGTGAGGACTTTTCTCCATCCAACCCTTCCAATTTTGCCGGGTCTCAAGTCTTTTAGAATTGGAACATAGATTGTAGATGCAAAGTGGAAGACAGGGATCCTATGTTCTATGTTATAGCATTCAGAAAAAAATTGACAAAATGGGTATTCTCAAGAACAGTTGATGGGGCATAGAAGACATGTCTTTTCCAATGGTTGACCCATCTTATAGAACATTCTTCCTCTGGAGATCCGGATGGCACCGACCTTGCCGGCTTTTCATAAGGCCTTAAATATCCAGTTCTGTGCCCAAGCTTGGGGCCCAAGGTATCTGCAGGGGCCTGGTTGTGTTAATGATTGGGTTATTGTTTCTTGGCTACTTATATTTTAATTTTTGTAATGTTTGCTATTGTTTTTATTCTATTTTAGTTCTATTTGCTGCCCAGAATAATTCTTTGAGATGTATGGCCATATAAATTGGTTAAATAAATAAATGAAAACATTTAGTAATTCCATGCATTGACTTTGTGGCTCTCTATTTCTTTGCTCTTTTAATATAAATCATTCCAAAAGACCGGGGTGGGGGGGTGGTTTAAAATAATTGCTGGATCTCAAAGTCTTCTGGGACTGGGATGTAGATTGTAGATGCAAAGTGGAAGACAGTGATTCCATGTTCTATGTTATATAATTGTCATCATCATCATCATTTCATCATCATCTTCATACCTCCTGCAACCGTGGGCTTGTCCATAAAAATGCTACTTATTCTAGTTCTAAGACATTCCTGCTTTACATTTGTTGATTTGGCTAATTGTCTTCTCAGTTGAACAAAAGGTTATCTAGGTTTTCATGCCAGGCCTGAATTTCCCCCCCTAGAATACTGCCAAATATAGTGGTTACCAGGGGTGGTATTCACTTACCTTCTCTACCGGTTCGCAAATGTGAGCAAGCGCGCGTGTTCGCTTCACTCACATGCACCACCTCCGCACATGCACAGAGCATCAAAAATGGGACATGATGACATCCAGGTAGGTGGGCAGAGCCTCCCGCAGCCGCCGCTACCGGTTCGCCTGAACCGGATAGAACCGGCTGAATACCACCACTGGTGGTTACAGGTTGAAGCACAAGGCCATACATATGGACTGGGCTTATGTATGTTACTAAGGTATGGATTGCCAAAATCGAAGTGACATTATTATGGCTTAGTATGAAGGATGAATCCCCATGAAATTCCAAGGTGATCTTTTTCTAGCCTCTTCCTTCACTTCACTTTTTTTTTAAGATAATTTTTATTGTAGTTTTTCTTTTCCAAAACTCTAATACATATTCAAACAGACAGTGTCCTTTTTATATACTTTGGATTAACAATTAACATAAAATCTACATTCTATACATATATACATACATTCATCTTCCTTATAAATATTACCTATTTTTGTTTCTGTTGTCTATCCACCTATACCAATTTTCCCAAACTGCATAGTATTCCGAATCCTCTTTTTCTTTTAATTCTAAAGTTAATTTATTCATTTTGGCACATTCAAATATTCTTTGGATAATCAATCCCTCTGGTGGTAAGTTATGTTCTTTCCAATATTGTGGGAACACAATTCTTGCTGCTGTTAGTATATGTAGGATCAGATATCTCATTTTTTTAATCAAATTTAGTTTTTAATATTCCCAGGAGGAATGTTTAACTCATTTTGGCAATTTATTAAATCTTGTAGACAATCTCTATTTTGGTCCAATACTTTTTTGCTTCGGGACATAACCACCAAGCATGAAAGAAGGTACCTTGATGTTGGTTGCATTTCCAGCACTTGGGGCTTAGATTTGGGTACATTTTGGCCAGTCTTCCTTCACTTCACTTTTAATCAAGCCATAGGCAGTAGCCTATCATTGCACATTGATTCTATCTTGATAGCTGAATGCCATCATATGTGTCTACTGTAAGATAGTGTTTAAATTTTTATTTTCTTTGTTTATTTTAAACTATGCCTGCTAGTTAATGACTACATGACCTCTTCCTTGACATCAGTTTTAAAAACAGAGTCTTGTGTATAATCTTGAGATGGGATTGATTACAAAGATGAGACTCCCAGTACTTTTATGACACTTCAAGACAGATGCTGAAAGATCCCCCCATAGTTCATCATGAAGCGTAAGCATGTGGGAATGATGACTTCATCATTGATTTTGAAATGATGAATCAAGTTTCCAAATTTAAATTGTGGATGGGAACATTCTTCATTGCTCAAAATGTTTGGTACCATCAGTCCATCAGAAGACCTATCAATAATTTGAAGGACATGAATAATTGTACTATATTTATTTATGTACAAGATTTATAATACACTGACTTCAGATGCTTCTATGCTAAATTCAGTTCTCGCCTTTATGGATCTGTTATCCTGTTCATATATTTTCAATGGTTGGATTCACATGAGCTTCATTCAGTACAGTGTACTAATTGGTGCTTAGTACTCCACAGATCCCTGCCCACTACCTCCATTAAGGGTCCCAAATTTGTGAGACTGTTGCATTATCAGGTCTCTAGATCAATAGAGCCATGGTGGCACAATGATTACAATGCAGTATTGCAGGCAAACTCTGCCCACACCAGGAGTTTGATCCTGACCAGTTCAAGGTTGACTCAGCCTTCCATCCTTCTGAGGTTGGTAAAATGAGGACCCAGATTGTTGGGAGCAATATGCTGATTCTGTAAACTTCTTAAAGAGGACTGTGAAACACTATGAAGCAGTATATAAGTCTAAATGCTATTGCTATTGCTACTAGGCACTGATTTTTTAAGTACTTGTTTAGCAAAATCTAAGAGGTAGACAGAAGGAACATCAACCAGATTAGTATTTCTTATTTCTGCTATGCACAGTATGTACAGTACAGTACATATACAGTACATATGTACAGTATAGAAGGAGCTGATAATCAGCTTTGAATAATAAATCCTATAAGACATATATCAGATTTATAAATAGTGTAAAAAGTTGTAGGAAGAAAGCTAACTTCCTGCAAAATTTGACAGTGTTGTCCAAACAATAAGAAAAAAATGTACTGAAGACATGTAAGAAAATAATAAAAGATGCAAAAAGAGACTTTGAAAGTCATATAACTCATAATTTTAAGAACAACTGTAAAAGAAACCTTAAAGTAGATGAGAAATAGAAAACCAGTTTAAGGAAGTGTTGATCACTTAGATGACAAGAAATCAAAGATATTATTGCTAAAGGTACATACTATTCCTTTCCTGTTCTCCTTGTAAGTTTTCTTTGGACATTGTATGGAAATAAAATGTGCACTTAGACCATTCTCATTCAGCCATTTCTTTTTCAAACACTTTATTGATACCAAAAAAGTACATGGGTGATGATGGGTTTATACCCTTTTACTTGGTGTTTCTTTAATATATTCAGATGATCTCATTTAACTGCAAAACAGCCTCATTAAAGAGATGCCAAAGCATAACTAGGGAGTCCTTGTCCTAGTTTAACTAAGTCACCCCATTCAGTTGTATACAATACATGTAGATTCAGAAGGTGTCACATACGCAAATGAACCCTATTAGTCTTCCCCTCCTCTGCTCCTTCAAGGACGGGCTCTTAATACAATTTTTAGAATTCATTTTCCTAGCTGCTTGTGTGAGGTGAAAGATACATTACTCAGATGCATCATACATTTCACCTCCTGGGACTCCCTTGGCTGAGTAAAGCCCTTGCAGCTTTGCTTAGTCATCTGTTAAAGTTGACTACCAAAGGGAGGGCTTAATGTGTAGTAGAATATTGCATATTATGCAGCATTCAGTTTAGGCACAAAAGGTTAACCCTTCAGGGTATCTTTTAAAAGATTCCACCTTTCAACCTGCCTTCACTTGGATTAGAAGCAAACCATTTGCTGGGTGTGTTCAGGAGTCCTCTCAGCAACGTGAACATACAGATAGTGTAATAAATCAATAGGGAGCTTGCTCCTGATTATTGGATCTCTTTTTTTTCTGCTGGCCTACCCAATCTTTTTTTATATTGTATATATAAATATGTTTTAGCGCTTTATTGATAAAAGAGAGTCAATGTGCTGTAGCAGTTGAGAAGCTGGACTAGGCCCAGAGAGCCTCAGGTTCAAATCACAACAGCTCATAAGGTGACTCTGAGGTCTTTGAAAGATTTTGAGCCCTTCTTGTTCGATTTGGAGAACAGGGTTGGTAAGGAACTGAGGCAAGACAGGTTTCCAAATAAGCCTTTATTTGGCTTACTAGTTAACAGCTAACAGTAAACAGAGCAACTCTGGAACCAGCAATGACAACTTCTGTCTGACAGCTCTTTATATAGCAGCTGTCAGACAGTTTGTCCAATCACGGGGCTGTATTCTCCCGCCAAAAGGCTGACACAGTTCAGCCAATGGGGAGGAGCTTCTTCACTGGCATACGCGTGGATCAGTGGTGTAGCCACAAG